AGGTCACTATAATGAAGTTGGAGTAAACATGTGCCTGCAGCGAATGAGCAAGGAATGGACACATACCGAAGTAGACATGAAGTGCACCATCCCGGATACAGAGACGAGCTTACAGAAGTACAAGACAAACATAGACGACGCGAGGGTGGCGATGGTCATGTCTGGTGCAACAGGGTAGCGATGGAGCATGCCTGTCCATCTTGGGTGGGAGTACCCTTGTTATGCAGCGACAGAAGCTGAGCTCGAGCTGTTCGTGGCGATGCTGCGAGAAATGAGTACCTGGGCGAAATCGTAGCCGAGAGGTGACGCCCTGAGATCGGCGATAATATCCTCAACAAAAGTGACGATGGATGTTTCGAAAGGGGCTCATACGTGCGCGCAAGGCCGAAGGAGTTGAGGTAGTCTCGCATGGTGGAGTAGCGAAACTGGAAAAGGGGGAACTTGTAACCCATCGATTCGGCATCTGGAGCGAGCTACAGCAAGCGATTCAGCAAAGTAAGCCACGATTGATCAACTGAAAGGCTTACAGAAGGAGGGTATACATGAGCGACGAGCCGCAATTGACCAGCTTCAGTCAGGCATGGGCCTATCTCCTTGTGTATGCCCCGGGGGACGACCGGAGCCTGGCTGCGTCGCGATCGGGTCGCTCGGGGAGCCGAGCTCGCCCCACGAGGCTGCCGACTTGGACCAGCTGCATTACGAGCAGCTGATGTTCGCCTCTCGATGTTGACTCGCTGCGAGGTGCCTGGTGCTTGTGTCGCATTGAACCCGACGAATGGCTGGGTCGGCGAGGGGGCAGCAAGTGGCATCGCAGCCTGCATAACACCTGGGAAGCCGAGCGAAGGTGCTGGCTGAGACCCATAAGAAGGAAACAGGGGGGCAGGGGCAGCCGAAAATGCGAGTTGCGGAGGTTCAGGTGGGGCCAGCGACGACGACGACAGGTGGCTCGATGGCTGTGATACGGCGTGATCGGAGGTGCAGCACTCGCAGCAGCAGGCGATGCATCAGGCTGTCCAGTGTTGGGAGCTGACGACGACATGGTGGGACCCTGAGGGCCTGGCGACGATGCTGCGGAGTCGAGTCAAGAGCCCGGCGAAGCTGTGCAAGCTGGGCAGGTGTGAAACCAGCTAGTAGGCCTGGGTCGAGCGAGGATTGCGAAAGGGGGCGATTATCCATGGCAGGCTAAGAGGTATTGTCAACAGGAAGGACTATTGGGAGAGCATGGATACTCACTGTGAATCTGAAGTGTCGTAAATGAACTATAGCTGCAGGGCAGCGACGAAGAACCAGACTCGGAGCTTGAAGTATACAGTGAACTCTAGTAAAGCGATGGGTCAGCTCGGATGGTAGCAAAGAACGAGAAAAACCCACAAGTCGATGAAGAGGCCAGACGACCTTTAAGGATATTAGCAAAGCATCCAGAACGATTGGCAAGGCACTCACCGATATTATGGAGAGAATAGTATGCGACAGCGAATATTGCGAGCAATGAATCTTGAGAGAGTCCGAGGTCAGGGGCATGTATGGAAACGATGCACAAGTTCGAGGCACTCACGAGGTTTGGCAAGTATTAACAGTGGGTGACTGGAGGCACTTCGGTGTCAGGAACTCACAGCTAATCCATTGTGAGAGGGCAGAGCTCACCGATAGGGTTGTTTGAGAGGCGACAAGCTATCAACTCGGACGAGCTCAGAGGGGAGTAAGATGGAGAGGAACTCGACGACTGAGGGGACACTAGGCCAGGTGTGACGATCCGAGGTTGCAGGGGAAGGCGGGCAGCCTAAGTCGACTCGTTGGCTGACGACGACAGCGACCTCTAGTAATAGGGGCAGCAGGTAAGCCCACGAGGCATCACGAACAAATAAGCACACACCTCGTACCGACCTCACCTACAGTGGTCTTCGGCTTCGATCACTGAAATTGATGCGAGGATTCTAAGGAGAACAGAGACTTCAGCATCGTGCAGTCCCTGAAACGCGCAAAGACTGAGATTACCGAGGAGAAAGATTTGCGAGCTGGCGAAGGTCGGGAATACAATCAGCCACGACTCAGCGAGTTGGAGTAGGTGAGTGAAGCTCCAACCAAAGAAGCGACCCACCTCGCATAGTCCAGGGAATCCGTACAGACCGAGATTCGCGAGTAGGGATTCACTATTGGCGAACACTGGAAATGTGGTCGCACATATGAATAGGCTGACCAAAGCTCCATGTTTGAAGTACCAATGTATATCTCTAAAGGACGAGTTTACATATTCACTGTAGGGAGTCGAATATCAGATTATGACCGAGCAGTGCAGAATTATACTCTACCTCAGCTAGGGCAATGTGTACGACAGTCGGCACATCTAAGTACGAAGTGTACGAAGTTAAGCGCCGACTACAGACGAAAAGTACGATTTCCTGTACGACTTATCAGTATGTAATTTTCCGTGATAACGACCGTCATAGAACTACCGTGAGGCCCGTCTGCTTACTCCGTGCCTCTTCCCGGTGTCCCTCGTCGTGTCTCACTCATTCAGTCACCCGCGGAATATCTCGTCCGGGCAACTTCGAGGATGAACACTGGACTGTGCGAGACCGCTGCGCGCCCGGTAACCGTCAGCAACCGCCGGTTCCACGAACGAGGACGAGCAAGTCCGTACCTGGGCGCTCTGCCAAGTGGAGACGATCGCGTCAAAGCTTCTGGCTCTGTCCGTCGCAAGGACAAGTCGACACGAAGGCTCGAGTGGGGGGTCGCAGGATGTGAGGACGTGAGACGGGGAGCCCTCACCATCCGACCTTTCTCATCCATGCTCCATGTCCTCGGGGCCCACACACTACACCTCCGTCATCTCCACATCTGCGTTCCTCGCCCTCGTCTGGTATCTCTCCCCCCCTGCTTCGCTCGCCCACGCCTCCTTCGCCCTCTTCGCGCCTCACCACCCTGATGGACCTCGGTTTCCTTCGCACAAGCCACTTGCAAGTCGAATACGAGGCTGTGCAAGATCGTCGCACGCCTCGAGTCGTAACCACCTGCAGCCACCAGCTCTGCGCGAGAACCAGGACGCACGCGCACTGAGTTTCCGCCAACTCGTTGAAATTACAAAATCGGAACGCGTCGGAGCTAGCGCAGAGGTTGTCCCGCTCCCTGCTAGGTCGAACGACCAAGAACAATCAAGTGGGGGGCAGCTCAACGCGAGCTCGCTAAGCAGGGAGGTTCGCGGGGAGGAAGTACGAGTCGAGAGGACTCTAGTGAGTGCTCCCGCCCATCAGACCTTTTCATCTGTCCCTCCTCGCCTACAGTCCACGTCTCTGCCGCCCACTTCGCGCCTCCACCATCCAGCCACCCACGAAAACGACCTGCCCGGCTGACTTGCAGGACGAATGCGGGGCTGTGCGAGAACGCTGCACGCCCAGTAATCACTCTGCAGCCGTCTGCTCAACTCATGAAGTCAAGCCACCGCCGGCACGCCCCCGGAGCGTTGTTCAGGCCTCGTCGATCATACGGAGGAATGAAGTGCAACATACCCTGTCGTCTGACGCTCCACCTAGCCACTCGTTGGCCCTCGGATCTTCTCAAGCTGGCGGCCCGCAATCCGAATGCGAGGCTGCGCGAGATCGCCACACGCCTCGTAGCTCGTCCGTAGCCCCCAGCTTTCAGCATGAAGACCAACGGAGTCGTGCACTGGGTGCCCACGAGCTCGCCGAACCTTCCACACCGGTGCGCATCGAGACATGCGCAGAGGTCGCTACGCCCTTCGCTAGGACGAAAGGTCTCGATGTATCTGGCGGGGGGCGGCCAATCATGTCAAGCAGGCAGGTCGATCAAGGGGAGATATGAGTCGAGAGGACTCTGGTGAGTGCGCCCGTCCGTCAGCCCTAACCATCCATCCCTCCTCGTCCACACACAATGCATCCGCCCTCGTCCGACCTGTCCCTGTCTCCGCCTTGCACTCTTGAACCTTCACCCTCACCATTTGTCCCTTCACGCCTAAGCTCCGCGCGTCCGCTCTTGTCCGACATGCCGACGCTCCCGTCTTCGCCCGACTCAAGTCCCGGCCGTTCGACTTGCGAGACCCTTCGCGCGAGCGGCCTCTGAGACGAAGACACGGCTGTGCGATGCTTCTGCACGCACAGTAGCTACCCCGCTTCCTCGTCCTCGTCCGACGCGTCCCCGTCTCCTCGTTCACCGGTCTGCGGCTACTCGGCGGCTCCCAAAACCACACAAGTGAGCAGCCTACGAGACAACTTACGAGTCGTGCGAGATCACCGCACGCCCGCTAACTGTCTCGCAGCCGCCAACTCGGCGCTCGAAGCTAAGCAAGCCCATGTACACGACGAAGACGTCCCACCCGTCACAGAGAGATGAGACGACGAATTGAGCGGGGGGCTGGCAGGAGTACTGAATGGCTGAGACAAGTCATGTTTGGACAGTCGCCTGAGCGGGCTAGACGAGACGTCGCGCTGTCGAATTGTCTACTAGTACGAGCATGCACCAAGGTGGAAAAATCGTTGAGGCTTCAGGTAACGGTCCTGTGTAGTTAGGCAGGTCATCTCGACGAGAGCGCTAGGGTATATTATGACGAATGACAAACTGCGTCAACTCCACAACTTTCCCATTGAATTTAAGATGTACAGGCACGGCACGAGTAACTAGACAGCATGATAGCAGCACGAAAGCAAAGATTGACACAGAAATGCAGACAAACTCGAAACACTGGTTGTATGTGTACCAAGCACCGAAAGGTTGTCGAAGCGGAGGGAGCAATGCTTCTACATATCGCGCTAGTTGTAGTGACCTTTGACAGGCAAAGAGCCATTTGAGTTCAGTAACTCATCAACGTGAGACAGGATACTCACCGTTGAGAATATGCAAAATCATATCGAGTAGCCACGATGGGTACCCTGATACAGTCTCGCGGAATCGCACCTACCATGCGCACACAGTACATTACATTAGCGTAGACAAGACATAGAAGCCGAGTAACGACCCACTTCGCGTCTCCAAGCACGCTGCAATTGTCGCGAGTAGGGGTGAAACCGAGGGGACGGCGTAGGGCGCAACGTCGGTGTCTTCGGCATGATGGACGGAGGACCGTGTATGTGTACTATCGCTTTCAAGTTGCTAGTCCTGCAAAACCATCGCACCTCCCGGTGTCGTCTTGTACTCGACTTGGTATGGTGAAGTGTCGTAAGGCCATCTTCTAGAGCTGCGCGAAGAATCCACGAGGCTACCTGTTGTCGCTTTTCAGCGCCGTAATGCGCGTCCGTGTACATACGTACACGTATCTGCGCGGCATGTAAGACGTCCAAGGAAGTATTCGAGGGCCATTCTCGCCGGCTGTAACCGCTCTTTTGGGGGGCGTGGAGCTCGCAAAAGAGTGTTTGAATAACTAGAAGTGAGGTAAATACCGTGACACTCACAATCGAGATCTCCTGTACCACAGGAGTCACCTACAGAGGCTGCTGTTCTTGAGGCATGCCGTGCGGAGAACAGCCGGCTCAAAGGCCGTTGTTGCTCGTCCGTCCTCGAGGTGGACTTCGACTGGAACAGGGTTCTGGGGACTTAGCGGGGTCGTCGTTGTGATACTTCTGTGCGCAGACCATGTCCCAATCTTGACGTGAAATGATCGGCCTTCCGCTGAGCTGGGATGATCTCTATTGGGCGAGAACTGCGCAGACCTCTGCGGAAAAGTGTCCAACTCAACTATAAATGTATTCAGTCTTAACGAGATACACGATTAACTCAACTTGCCGCAGTGACATGTATGTTATGTCTGAGAGTCAACTGAAGAACCGGCGAGGGTCCTGTCAGTCAGTGATTATCTTTATGTAAGATGAAGGGCGGCAATGATGTGCCCGTCAGACATGATGTAAAATGAGCACGACTGGTCACCTTACCACAGCGCCTGTGACTTGAGTCCTGCGTCAACAGCTGTACGAGATGTACACAGTGGTACTGTGGTACTCTGCGGTGCTGCCGTAGGAACCCCGACCACCGAACTCGACCGCCCCGTCTGAGTCCCCTACAACACCTCTGTGCGTAAATCAACCCGATCCTTGCTCGAAGTCGCTAGACACAACTCACCTTCGTGTCGCACCCTTCTATGGACCTCTAAACCGCTAGCCTGTCTTCAGTATGAATTGCGACAGACCAGAACCGAACTGCGTTCACGCGCTTCGTCCCATCCGAACTGCCAGATGCCAGATATTTACCGCCGCGCTATTACTCTCTACTGGCGGTGGACACTCGTCGCCACTCACTCACGATGCGACCGATTTCGTAGCAGGCAAGTCCGTGAGCCTCCTCGTGTTCCGGAACCGAGAAACGTCGCCTCGCTGTGCGGAGACATACGTAAGTGTGCGAACTGATCCCCGATACTGCGTTGCGGTCAATGCGACGGGGAAAGGTGTTACCCGACTGCCAATTCCAGCTCCAGAGGATATACATCTGGGTATTCCTCGTGCCTACACGCCATCGCCGAGACCAAATGTAGACTGTCCGCCGAACAAAACGATTGCAGAGGACCAATCACGGAACAGGACACGCACGAAGACTGCCAACCGCCAGCCTGGCCGAGGCATGGAGGACATAATTACTCCTCCGCCGTTGAGGTGCCGAGCAACGGGAACAGGCGACCTGCACTCGCATACCGATTGTTATTGTTCTTCCACATTCCTGAGAAGTACGCCGTGCCCGCTGAAGCCTTTGGAGTGCCCGCCCACCATCACCGACCCTTCCTCCGCGCCATGACCAGGCTATCGATCTTGTACTTGCGTCCCTACTTCACCGGCACGCCGTAGCAGATCCACTTCTTGCGTCGAACCAGTGCGAATCCATATGCCGCCGCGTGTCTGGCGTCCGCCGCTCCTTTGTACGTACGAGCAGCCCACCGGACTTCGACGTGCCACTAAGGAATCGCTCCGCGAGGCAACACATTCGCTCGCTAACCCTGACATGCACGTCCCGGGCGGCGCGAGGTGCGCTTCGGCAACGCTGCCGCCTAGCGTACTGGATTGACAACCAGCAAGACACCGAGGAAGTCCGGAGGCGCAAGCAGGTGTCGCGGCAGCTGCCGCGAGCGTGGCACGGGTGAAGCAGACGCAGGTGATTTGGGATATGGCTGATACCGGTCGAGAGTGTCTGACATCTGTCGCGTTCACCTCTTCGACGGAGGACTTGTGATCGAGTGACGTCCAAAGCGTCTTCGCAGCACCATGCAGCTGCACGAGGAAGAGTGAGCATGTTGGGAACGATCTCGACAGGCGGCCGGCCGCCATAGATTTACGGCGAAGAGCTGATCTCAGGTGCGGCAAGCACTCTTTACAATTTTGATGAGGAGAGCGGCACGTCGGTGTTGCTCTCTCGAGGACATTGTTCGGCAACCCAGCAGGGTAGGTGATGCGGGGAAGTCGACGGCCGAGAAATGTGATGTAAGCCTTACGTCGTATGATGGCCATACCGGTACGCACCTCCTGCCTGCAGGTTTCGGCAGAATGCTTCTGTGTCCACATCCGCCTCGGAGTCTGCGTACGAAGTCAACTCTGAGTCGGAAGTGAGACTGGATCCCAAGTTGCCGCAAGAGCGTGTGCAAAAGAACTCTTGTGCGTCTTCACATGTCCCTGTGCATGCGGCTATTTAGTAGATACATGACGATATTGGCTATCCATTGCCTATTCGACAGGGAAGGCAAATCGGCGACAGGATGGCACGCCGTAGCACGAAGTTGGACTGGACACGAGCAGAAAGAGGATTGACGCGACGCGTAGGAACGCGAGCCGGTAGGAAATGACACGGAGTCCGGTTACTTCATCGTTTGTGTGTAGATACATCGTTGGCATGCGGTAATGTAACCGGAAGATACACCCGCGGTGCTGCATCTTGCTCAAGACAGGCGGGAAGCCTAAATGCTTACAAGTCGCTGCAGAATCATGACGCCTCGGCGAGCGCATGGAGACGGATATGTGAAGGACTGGGGCATGACACGGACATGAGCACGTCGGAGACAGAGTACGGGCGAGCACGTACCGGTGTTCCTGCGGATGATAGTGACACCCAAACGGTGAGCGTACTATTGACGTACTCCTCGGACTGCTCAAAGGCAATGGCAATGTTCATGTACCCGTCCGAGAACAAGGGGAAGCCTCGCTGTATGGTGCTAGTGGTCGCGGGGCGATAGTCGAGAGGAATATGTGACGTACCCCAGTACGTAGTCGATGCCAAGGTGAGGCACACGACGAACCCTTCAGGTAGCCAGAAGGTCAGTAAGCCCGACGTGAGCGTGAGCAGTGGTAGCGGCTGGCGGAGGGAGGGCGGCGGGTCGAGGAGGGCAAACACGGGCGACGGTCAACCAGGCGGGCGCGCTCGACCGATCACGACGCGCCTGTGACTAGCGGCGGGAGGAGCGCGTCTCTGGCGCCTACCACGTTCCCCGCGACATCCCACCTCAACCTCGCGTGGATTCCAGCCAACTTCTCCTGGCGGAAGATAACACCTATCATCCGTACTTTCGTCATGGCTTTTATATCGGTCGTCTCCATGGTTCTAAGCCCAGGCGAGGACGCCACAGGCCAGGTGAGTCCTCGCCATACGATGCATGTACACAAACTCGCAACCATTCCGTCTCAAGACTTCAATTCTACTGCTAGTTGGTACGTCTATCTTGTCTTGCGTCGTCTACAGCTTTCACATCACGCTCAGCTGCATTCCTCGACCCACCCGCCGATCCTTTCATTTCCGTTCTCGAGCGCGAGTTGCTCTTCGCGCTCCGTGTCACGATTGGCTGGGCGTGAGTCTCTCGCCTTTCAGGCAACCTCGCTCTGACGTTGCATAGCTGGTCTTGTCTAGGTATACTCTCCGCGCATCTAGCTCGCCATGTTACGCAGACGGAGGCATTCTCGGGACAATACATCGAGGCTGGCCCGGCCGTCATCTCCGCCATATGGGGTTCCTCGGCATGACTTTCTTCTTTATCAAGGCCAAGAAGGGATCGGACCCATACCTCATTCCATCCGTCTTCGGTGCAGGTGTCATCGACATTTCTTTCATCGCTGATGACCTCTTCCCCTACCCATACTACACCGGTAGGGTGCTCGTCTTCCCACTCATGATCCATTGTGGGCTCTGTATACTAGCGAGCGCAACCATCTTCCCCAGCACGAGAACCACTCAGCTGGTACGCAAGTGCCCTCGCACGCTCGCTGGAGCCACTCGAAGCTGCACTCCGCGAGCATCGCGCCATATTCAAGCTCTCCCCTTCGGCTTCGACGTCTCCTCGACGGTCCAGAAGATCACCGGTCTCGTCCCTAAGGCCGAAGGAGGACTTGGTCCTGCCGCCACATTGCGTCTCGTCAAGAGCGATGTCATTTGGGATCAATTCGCACCGGCAGGCACCCGGCGTATGCAAGAGTTTGGGCGCCGCCTGCTCGTGCACACAAACGGACTCGATATCTTCTTCACCCTCATTGACCCGACGCTTGAGCGGTTTCCAGTACTAACACATCTTCCCAGCAAACCGAGCACACCTGCGAGCTCGTGCGGATAGTCGCTCTCGTACCCGGGCACGCCTGTGCTAGGTGTCAACTCGCTCGACCCGCGGTCTGATCCTGTACGGTCGCCTGAGGTCGCAGTCCGCCACCTTTCCGCCCTGAGAGCCCCGCATTTAGCCCTGCGGACACCAAAGAGCGCGGACGGTTTCGACACCGCATCGGTCAGTCAAAGACCAATCCGGTTCCCTGCGGTTATCCATCAGCCGACACCTTTATGTATGTACCTACGACACCGGCAGCCCAGGAGCGAAGAAAATGGCCAAATTCAAAAGTTGCACTTCTCCCTTCTCGACATCGCCCGTTCACTCCAGGCGACGCGGCTGATCCACTCGGACAGCTCCGAGGCGACGGAGACGTTCGTTTACATCCTCGTGGAGAGCTGCGAAGACATTGGGTGCATGTGCGGACGCGATGCGCGAGGCGAGGGGGTGGTTGAGACACGCATGTCGTTCTTGTAGCACACCAGATGGATCCGCTCGATTACAATTCACAGCGCTGTCGTGCTGCGTGCATTTCATTTTACCAGAGTACAAGAAAGCTACGGCTACAACAAGGGCGGCGATGACCTAGGAAGAAGACGCGTCAGTATGTATCGTTACGACGAGCCGATGCAACAGAATGTCAGACAAAATGATATGATTCCGGATAGACTGATTCCTCAATGAACGACGTTCTCCGTTGAGGGAGTCTGTGTGTCATCTTGGAGATGTCGGGGGGCAAAGAATGTGAACTCACCTTTTACCGGTTCTTGAAGTAGTCAAGAAGAACGTTGAGACCCTCGCTCTCGGTACCGTAGTCCTTGACGACAACGCAAGAGCAGCCGACGACCTTGCGCGGGTTACCTTCACGGTCGATCTTGCAGAGACCGGCCCAGGTACCGAGGATCTTGGCGTCACCGACCTTGATGAGGTTGATCTTGTGCTCCGCGCAGAGGGCCTCAATGAGCTTGATGTACTCAGCCTCCGTGCAGGTCTCGACGAGCACGCAGAGGTGGGCCTGGCGCTTGTCGAGAGCCTTGGCACACTCGCGGAGACCGCGAGCGAGGCCGTCGTGCTTGAGCGCGTTCTTCAGAACTTGCTGCACGGGCAGGTCGGTGAATGGGTCTGAATGCACCTCGCGGGGACACGCACCTGAAGAGCGTCCTCGACGGAAAGCTTGCCCTTGGGAGCGTCAGACACCGGCTCGGCCTCGACGGTCACCTCCTCGACGGGAATGTCATCTCCAGCGTCAGACATCGTGATTCTGCGGGGACGTGAGCGAGGCCGGGAGACGAGGAGAACGGAGACATACTTGGATGGATAGGGGGAATGAGGTCGATGTCTTCGTCCGCTTTCGTTGATGTGAGGGAAAAATTGAGTTTGCCGTCCTCGCGCGCATATACCGTGGTTCAAAGTCCGCCGGTCATTGCCGGTGGCGTCGCTCGACGCGTCGCGCGCGGTTCGACGCGCCTCTCGCCAACGCCGGCAACCGTTCTGTACGACGCACGCACACGAACAAGATGGTACGGTAGCCAAAGCTAGCCATGGTGGCCCTTTATGCTGACCTTGATATCTAGAGCTTGGCGTTCCTGCACGCTCATGACTGCAGCGAACGCAAGTGATCCATTCCGCGTCTTGCGATGGTCATGCTCACGCGGTCTCTCCTCCAGCTCACTCGGATGCGATCTGGGGAACCGTGTGGACCCAGGCTGATGCAGTTCTAACTGCCTCGGCGGACGGCACTATCAAACAATGGGATCCGGCCTCGGGGCAAGTCTCACGGGCGCAGCCGGCGCATACACACGGTCTCGTATCCCTCGACGTCGATGCGGCGGGCAAGCGCGCTCTGTACAACAGTCTCGAAGGCCTCACCTGTCTGTGGAACTTGGAAAGCGGCGAGGTAGACGGGAGGTTTGAGAGCTATGTACGATCCGGGGAGGAGCAGGTCGAACCATGTGAGTACATATTTACGCAAGCCGTCCCCCTCGCTGCCGTTGGCTGCGAACTCGTATGTATCCTTACGCTCGAAAGGATACTGACTGTTCGCCGCCTCAGCATGGTCAGTCTCACTGAGCCCTGACGGACAAACGTATGCGTCTACGGGTGGCTCAGGCAACGTAACGATACACTCGGCTGCCCGGGACTCGTTCGGCGAGCGTCGCGATACGCTCGTCAACGGACGAAGTAAATTCGGGATGTTCTGCAAATACGTGGGTGACTCCCTGCACTATCATTTCGGATGGGGACGCGCACCCCTGGACCCATTCACTCGGGCACTCATAGTCTATGCAGTACGATTTTGACTCTGCTACTCATAGAGCCCGGATGGAAAGCGCGTCGCCATGTCATCTGAGACCGGCCAAATCTACCTCTATGACATCGCCTCATCCTCTCTCGCGTCGACATACACAACCCACGCGATGGCCGTCCGATCGCTAGCGTGGTCCGCAGACTCTAACGTGAGTTCAACTCGACCGTCGTCGTCTCGACGCTCACCTCGGTACAGCTCCTTATTTCCGCGTCGGAAGACAAGCGGCTCATTTTGCATGACGTTCGCCTCTCGCCGTCTGGAAAGCCAGGCTCCGGTGCAGTCGCGACGTTCTCCGGCCATTCGTCGTGGGTGCTTAGCGCAGACATCTCGCCGGACTGCCGCCTAGCGTTGTCAGGGTGAGTGCGTTTTGTGACCATGTCTTCGTGTATGTTAACGTGGTCGCTCGTAGGTCCGCTGACAAGTCGATCAAGGTGTGGGACCTCGCTGCCCGTGCTGTAGTTTCTACCACGCAGGAAACGGGCGAAGTATGGAGTGTGTCATGGAGACCACGACAGGCTGCAAACAACGCTGCCGGAGCATTTGTCTCTGGAGGAGAGGAAGGTGTGGCACGGTGGTATCGGGCTGCCGGAGCGGCATAGCGATGTAATCATAGTCTCTTCGCGAGTTCGTTACAGCTAATCGCATACCGATAGACATCCCGAGGTGTTGTGCATGCAGACGGACTCCAAAATGACGCTCGCTTGAGAGCTAAGCGCGAGCCTCCGTAGTCTATTCATCTTCGGTACGGGCCTAAAGCAGCAGTGCGTGGAACCACTGACAGGAGGAAGTCAGATGAGATATGTAGGATTGACCTCAGGTTATGATGTATTCCTAGCAACCTGGGTCGAAGCTTTCACTCTGAACATCGTGCACTCTTCTCCTCGGACACACGGCGACAATAACAAATCACTGCGCGATTCAGGTATGTCTCTGAATCGATTCTCATTATTGATATGTCGCCGCGCTGCCCTCAGGATAAACCGGGCCATACTTACAACGGACGTATGCCACAACAACGATAGTACCCGCTGCTCACGGGCGTTTGCATAGCAAATATGGACATTCCGAATCAGACTAGTCACTCGCTACTCACGTTTCAGTTCTCCAGAACGAGTCGCTAGACCAAGTCGCCTGACTAACCTTTTGGTACGTGGCACAATGCATAAGACAATTTGAAAGTCTACTGCTTGCATTTCAGGTACTAACTCTGTTCAGTTCCATCGATTGACTCCGTCTTTGCTCACTTGTTCTAGTGTGCAATGGAGACTAGCTGAAGCTTTGGATCTACGCTGGATCCGCGGCACTGTCACGGTAAGCCGACGCCACCATTTCATGCCTCCAAGTCTCTATACTCATTGCTGCGTGTCTCCGGTTTGACATCCGTGACTCGACACCAGCCTAGCGGTGTGCAGAGAATGGAGGTTCACCTTATGCATCTATCAGTCCTCCCATCCTATGATAGGTGTTGGTTCTTTTGTCGTCTGCGAGGTGGCCGGACTATTCATTCGAATCCTTCAATGGCCTCCAGACAAGAGCTATAATGCCCCCGGAGTATGAACTCAACGGGCCACATCGCTTCTTCGCTAAGCATAGCCCCTGCCCGCGGCACTCGTATGGCTTTCTCAGAATTCGTCCACGCCCTTAAAGAATACCAGCTAATCTCTGTGCTTCAGGGGGCAACCTCGTTCATCTGCATACTATGCACGTGATGTACTAGCTGTTGCCTTGTTCTACCGAACCGGTCTCGTCTGGTCTGCCCCCTGGACCGCGACGGATCCATTCTTGGAACATACAACAGCTTCCGGCGACCTACCAAGAACGCACCTTCGCCGAGTGGGGCAAACGGTTTGGTGCATTGCCAGATTGTACACGAAGACATAGTACTCATTCGACTGATCAGGGACGTGTGTATGCGCAATTCTTCAATACACCTGTGATATTCTCGGCGTGCGGAGACCGCGCTGCGCTGCTCACAAGCGAGGCGCGAAGTACTCAGGACGACCGCAGTTTACGTACATCAGGGAATGCAAGATGATCTTCATGCCCGTGACTGTTCCGAGGCTAAAGACCTTGCTGCACAGAGTCGGGTGGACCAACGTCCTCCTGATGTCGTACACGGAGCAATGGATGCGCCACCGCCGATGGATGCAGTCAGTGCTCCTCGCGCGCACGCACTCACTCCTACGAACCTCTTCAGCGTCAGGAGATACAGAAGCTACTTCACGACCTCATCCGCGATCCTGGGGACGTGTTGGCCCATGTCAAGAGGTCTGTCTAAACCGTCTGACACTCTCCATGGCGTGAATGACGAGTGGCTGATGTTCGCATCGGTGTCCGGTACTAGGTACACTGCAGCGCTGATGCTCGGTATCGGGTACGGCTACTCTCCGTCTCCTTGGACGACGAGTACATCAGGACGTCTGAACAGGCGATCCGCCTCCTCGGCGGAGGCGGGCCGGGCTCGCTCTCGTTGACTTCTTTCCTGCTCGTATGTCCTACTTCATGAACTACGGTCTGAGCCTGTTGACGATGCTTCTGCATAGTGCGGCATCTACCTGCGTGGATGCCAGGTATGGAGTTTAAGCGTAGGGGCATACGTGCGAGGGGATGATCAGAGATATGGAACGCATCCCGCTAGAGCGCGTGAAGCGCAACATGGTGCGTTGCTATCATCCTCACGGCGCAAGCCAACTCGCGCAGTGTGCTGTTGATCCTGATGTGCGATAGACTGCGGGAACGGCTACGCCGTGCGTCGCGACAACACTGCTAGAGGAAGTAATCAAGGGCGGAATGCTCAGTGAAGCCGACGAGAAAGAAATATCCATGGTATTGGGGATCCTATACGCCGGTGAGGACTTTGCTGGCTTCTCTCAGAAGATGCGAACCAAGTGCTTCCTCTACGTCTGACTCCTCTAGCCGGGACGGATACTGTACGTCGACCAGTCCTGCGTTCCTGCGGTGAACTGTCATGCGTTGAGATAGCCTCTGTAGACGTCAGCGATACTCGCTGGGTTCCTTCTCGCGATGATCCTGCATCCGAAGTCCTACAAAAGGTGCAAACAGAGATCGACAGCGTGGTCGGAGAAGAGCGCCTCCCAGAGCCTAGAGATCGAACGGCGCTGCCATATCTCGAGGCGGTCCTGACGGAAGTGTATCGGTACGTCTAGCCTTTACTCCAGAGCAATCATCAGCTCTAGCTGACTTCGAATAGATGGGTGGCCCCTGCACCGCTTGGTGAGACAGTCTGCGTGATCTGTGGCTTAATGATGACGGATGGTTGTACAGGCACACCCCACTGCTCACTGAATCAGACGAGTATGCTGGATATGATATGCCCAAAGGGTCTGTCGTGATTGGAAACGTATGGTATGTATCGACCGTTCTGCTCTCATGTCTTAGATGGCGTGATCTGTGTATTGTTCACTAGGGCTATGTCGCGTGATGAAGATTCTACCCGGATCCCGACAGATTCGACCCGACAGATTCTGAATGTCAGCGCGGAAACAGCAGAGACGAGGGACCCACGCAACTTCGTGTTCGGATTCGGCAGACGGTGCGCGCCTCGTAGAGTCCTCCGTGTCACAGATGCTGATTCTGAGGAATAGCATGTGTCCCGGACGAGTGCTCGCAGACTCGAGCATCTTCCATGCGGCATCCAATCTCGCCGCCGTCTTCAATATTCGACAGGCGTCGGGACCAGACGGGAAACCGATTCCAGTGGCGGTCGCGTTCACGTCTGGCGCAGTGAGGTGAGCATGTTGCACAACTCGGGAGTGATTGTCCTCGCTGACCTTCGACAAAGGCACCCAGAACCGTTTACATGCAGAATCTCACCGAGATCGAGCAAGAGGACGATCTCATATTAGGGGCAGGAATCTCAGGCAAAGAACAGTCGTGAGCGAGTACAAGAGCGATAGTCCCTAATAACTCGAGTCACACGATCGCCAGCCTCTTCCTCCCGTATTTTTTGGGCGGTCAGCCGGTCGTAGTCCGGTAAATTGGACAACTGGCATGCAGGGAACACCATATGCTGAGTAATATTGGGCCTCCTGACGATACACTTATCAATGTGAACCGATCCACGATTCGGATTGACGTGCGAGTGGAGCCATAGCTGCCAGTCCACGTCGCCAGCACCGGGTGTCATACAATCATCCAGTCAGATCACTTCAATGAAAGCCGGCGTCGGAGGGAATGAACCGTCCGTACACGAAGAGCTCAAGATGTTGTACGCTGATCGCACTTTTAAGTTGTTTGCATGAGCCTCGACCGTACATCAACAGGTGCCACCTACTACCGTAGTACTACGACCTATCAGATTTCGGCTTCGCTGACAAGTGAGTATAGTGTCCGACATCCGCCATTCACTCCCCACCGTGTCCACCTCCTCTGCTTCGCCCTCTTCCTCCCGTCGAACCACCCATCCCGCACACCTCAGACCCGAAGTGCGCGTTTATTCTTGCTACATCTCGGCAATATTCTTGCAGGCAGTATGTCTAGCTCGTTGTCGTGCTCTTGATCATTCGCGACATTGGTTTCGAGCGGTATCGCTTCGTGCAAGGTGGCAATTGTTAGGCACCGTCCATGATTTGAAGTTTTATGCATTCTAATGAAATTTATGTTATGGACACAACTAGTCTATGGTTGTGCTATCGTCACATCGAGTCTTGGATCTGCTGTTGTTTCTCGTCGTACGTCAATGTTGTACTCTGCTCCACTGTCGTCACCGGGCCCTTGAACCACTTGCGCGCAGAAACGATCCAGGAGATGCTAGCGAAGATGAAGACAGCCATAATGATAACGACGGCGTAGTCTGGACAAGCAAGGCGTCAGTATCGCTGCGACGCTCGCCGTAGATGCACGTACTCATGCTGTCGCCGTAGGGTTCGATTCAGGCGGGAAGAGGAGAAGGATGACGATGAACGCGACCCACGAGCACGCAATGGCACCGATGGGCAAGTACCACTTGCCGAGCGAGAATGGCCCGGGGACGAGCCGATTCCTGCCAGACGTGATGCGCAGGAAGATGGGGGTGACGTACGAGGTGTACAAACCTATCACGGACGCGCTGCAGCCCGGCGTTCAGTACGTGTCAGCGAACGCTTCGGACGACGCACCCAGCCAGCGACGACAGCGCCGTCTCTGAGAAGCCCAGGAGGCCACAGATTCCGGCGAGGACCATGACCAGCCACACCGCGTTGACAGGCGTCTGGGTGTGGCCGTTCATCATCTTCCACCACCTGCTCCCGGGCAGCGCGTTATCCCTTGCGAACGCGAACACGACGCGGCTCGCGTCGACGCCCTGCGCGGCGCCGGTGACGAACTGGACGACGATGATGAAGCTCCAATAGCCAGCATGCCGTGCTTGCCGAGCACGTTGAGGAAGAGCTGGGCCATCGGCAGCGGGAGGGTCGTGCTGAGGAGATCGGAGACGGAGGTCGTCGCGAAGGAGGCGGCGATGTAGATGATCCAGCCGAGAGAGGCGTCGCACCGACCCGACGAAGATCGCTATTGGCGCTGCACGAGCTGCGCCGGCGGTCTCCTCTGCAATATGGGCCGCCGAGTCATCTGGTACGGGATTCAGTGATCGTTGAACGTTCAGCTGCGTGAGTCACTACATCCGGTTAGTGTCCACATCGGTGCGGTGAACGCGAGCAGGAATGCCCATCCGCCTGCAAAACATCAGCTCGAACGCCGTGCGTCTATCTGACACGACACACTGTTCGACCACCCGGTGTTGTTCTCGTACATCGTGAAAGCATCCTTGGTCGACACCTTATTGTCGCCGGAGCACACGAGTAATGCGATGATCGCCGCGACGCTCGTCCCGACTAGAGGCGCGCCTCACACTAGGATCAATGCTCTTGCGGGGCAGAAGACATACCACTCGCCATTGACAATGACATAGAATAGGTTGAGCCGGGCGAGGACGTTCGTCGCGGCGGAGCACACCACGCCGTGGACGAAGAGGATGGCGAGGAGGATGCCGTAGGTCGGCCTGTGCCGAGGACGATCGCACCGTCGGACCCGACCGCGAGCGCGCTCGTAATCATCTGCGCGCTGTTGCGCCACCGTTAGCTCTGGGAGACGACAGACGGAAGTGGTGCGTCGGGCGTACCAGGTGAAGTCAATGGAACAGACGAGCGTCACTTGGCCGGTGATGTTCGCCCAGCCGGTGATCCAGCTCGCAAGCGCAGAATACTTTGGGGGCGCCAGCTTCGCGGAGAAGTAGTACAGCCCGGCGCTCGTCCTAGAAGCATGGTGGATTCAATTGAGTGTGGGCGGCTTCGGGGAGGAGGGAGAAGACGCGATCGGACGAGACGTACGGCATGGAAGAGGCGAGCTCGGCCATCGAGGCAGCGACGGTCATGACGAAGAGCGAGGGAATGAGCCACCCAAATACCATCCCTACGTGCCCGCCTACGATTCTGCCCGTTAGACGTCGCACGAACGAAACCGCTGGTACACACCGGACTCTAGAGGGAAGGAGAACGTGGAGGAGACAGACGCGATGACGCCCATGATTGAGAAGGCAAACGCAATCGTCTCGATCAACTGCGTATGGGTCCTTCTCAGCATACCGTCGCAGAGCACAGTCGCGCAGAAGTGGCTCACCGAGAACTCGCGCTTGAACTCGGACTTGTAGCCGAGTTTGGCGAGGAGCTCGTCGTCCGCATGGCGGAGCTCGGAGAGGCCGGGGTGTGGTGGTCAGTGTGAGAGTCGACCGGGACGGCCATGGCGGTCGCGGCGGACCTCTTCTCGCTCTTTGTAGACTCGGTCGACATGGCGGGCGGGACGTCGGGAGGAAGTGTCGCCGGCGGGCAGTGAGCGCAGAAGGCGACGAGGCGAAAGGCGACCCGAGGAAGTTCGTGTAGCGATGGGCCACATATTTGACGGGTACCAAATGGGGCTGTTGGCCAGGAGAGGAGCAGGGCGCCCGGGGTGTTGATCATAACATCCTTGCAGCGCGTATGACCACGGTGTTCGTTATCAGCCGCCAGACTTGGCTCGTTCGCAGCGCTCCTGCGTGCGATCCTAGCACCTACTATGTATTAAACGCCGGGCCGCCGCTGTCACGCACCAGGTCGTCGTTGGCAACTACAAACCCTCCGCGCGATCCGAGGTTCGACGAGTCCCGCCGCCTGAGACCGACGTGCCAGACTACGACAAGTCTATGTGACTGAAGCCTGAACGCAGGCCGTTATCTTCGCAGCGGGGGACTGCTTCCGGTCTGGACTGCAGCGTCCGGGTTTTCCGCTTTGCCAGGCTGTCTGTAGGATGCGATATCTGGTAAGAACGTACAAGAGGGCTTATCTCTGCGCTGGGGCACGGCTCAACCGTTTTCTCACAGTATCAGTACCTTTGGTGTATCTCGGGGCGCGGGCCTGGTTGTGCTGTCCGTGGCTTAATCAGGCCACGCGCAAGACAGGAGCCTGAGGAGGAGTTCGTCGAGAGTTGGGTAGTGATGAGAGGTTCACGTTCCAGGAGGTGGCGGACGGCACACGCGAGTATGATTATGCGGAGTGGATCGATCGCTGGCCTGCCTCGGAATCTGATGTTCTTCAACAGTTGTTCAGCCGGCGGCATCATCCTTGCGCGGGGCAGGTGTGGCCACTGTATGGTCGGTCGCGCAATCCACGACTATGTATATGACAACAGTGGCAGTGGTGGGTGCCCTCGCAGGTTTCACACTACGTCTTCAAGTGTATCCTAATCTCGTCGTTAGCATTCCGAGTGCAACGCTCTGCTGTGTAAGGACTCGATCCAAGACCCTTCCCTCTCACGTCCACATGCGGGGTTTGTGTCGAGTCTACTGCTGAATAGGCAAATTTGAAACGGAATGCTCGGACGGTTACTAATACAGCAAGACTTTGAATGTCTCACTCATCCTCAAGACATAGAGTGCGATCAACTATAAATCATCCATGCTCCTACTCACCTGAACAGGGAGCTACCGTCGTGCGTCCCGATGGGCCAGTGGGCAAGCCGGCTCCGCAGGAAGACAGACTGTACACGACCTATTGTGAGTGATCGCGAGACCTTGGTGTGAGCGGATCGTTGTCCGGTTGGCAAATCACGGCGGCTTCATCCTACTGCAGTACACGTCAGAACGTAGATGGGCGTATATAGGTGCGTACTCACGTCGCGTATGGGTAGCTTCTCGCCCACGATGGCAGCATACTACTCGGATTGACAACTCGGCGTCCATGAGACGGTAGGGCGACGGGAACAGTACGAATGCTACATCGCGGTGATGTGGTTTAATGTTACTCGGCGCATGGTGTTCCCTCGGGCTGCATACCAGTTGTTCGATTTATCGAACTACAATCGGCTGGCCGCCAAAACAAAATACAAAGATCTTCAAGAGGGAGAAGCTAGCGATGGTGTGGTGCGAATTAGGGACTGTCGTTCTTGTGCTCGCTCATAACTGTACTCTGCCTGTGACTCCTGCCGTTAGAATGAGATCCGCCCTCTTGCTCGATCTTGGGGAGAGTGTGCATGTAAACGGTTCTGGGTCGAAGGTCAGAGAGGTCAATCGCATCCGATTTGATACCGGTTGCAACATGCTCACCTCACTGTCCCAGACGTGAACACGACCGCCACTGGAATCGGTTTCCCGTCTGGTCCCGACGCCTGTCGAATATCGAAGACGGCGGCGAGATTGGATGCCGCGTGGAAGATGCTGGAGTCTGCGAGCACTCGTCCGGGACAGATGCTATTCCTCCGAGTCATGAATCAATATCTGTGACACGGAGGACTCTACGAGGCACGCACCGTCTGCCGAATCCAAACACGAAGTTGCGTGGGTCCCTCGTCTCTGCTGTTTCTGCACAGATGTTCAGGAATCTCTCCGGATCAAACCTGTCGGGATCCGGGTAGAGATCTTCATCACGCGACATAGCCCTAGTAAATACAATACACAGATCACGCCAGTCCAAGACACGAGAACAAGGTCGGTACATACCATATGTTTCCAATCACAATAGACCCTTTGGGCATATCATATCCAGCATACTCGTCCGATTCAGTGAGCTGGTGGGGTGTGCCTGTACAACCATCCGTTATCGTTACGCCACGGATCACGCGTCTCAGACTGTCTCACCGAGCGGTGTGGGGCCACCCATCTGTTCGAACAGAGCGTTGAGCTACAGTTTGTTCTGGGCGAAAGCTAGACGTACCGATATACTTCCGTCAGGACCGCCTCGAGATATGGCAGCGCCGTTCGATCTCTAGGCTTGGGAGGCGCTCTTCCCGACCACGCTGTCGATCTCTGTCTGCACCTTTTGTAGGACTTCGGGATGTAGGATCATCGCGAGAAGGAACCCGGCGAGTATCGCTGACGTCTACAGAGGCTATATCAATGCATGTCGGTTCACCGCAGGAATGATCGTCATACAGTATCGTCCCGGCTAGAGCGACGCAGATGTAGAGCTTGTGTGAGGAAAGCAGAAAAGCCTCACCGACGTATAAGATCCCCAATGCCATCGATATTCTTTCTCGTCGGCTTCACTGAGGTTCCGCCCTTCATTGCTTCCTCCAGCAGTGCTGTCGCGACGCACGGCGTAGCCGTTCCGCAGCCTGTCGCACATCAGCATCAACAGCACACCGCGCGAGTCGGCTTGCGCCATGCAGATGACAGAACGCACCACGTCGCGCTTCACGCGCTCAGCGGGATGCGTTCCATATCTCTGACCATCCCCCGCGCACGTATGCCCCTGCGCTTGAACTCCATGCCTGGCATCCACGCAGGTAGATGCCGCACTATGCAGAAGCAGCGCTCGTCAACAGGTTCAGACCGTAGTTCATGAGTAGGACGTACGAGCGGAAAGAAGTCGACGAGGCCGAGCCCGGCCCGCCTCCGCCGAGGACGAGGCGGATCGCCTGTTCAGACGTCCTGATGTACGCGTCGTCCAAGGAGGATGGAGAGTAGCCGTACCCGATACCGAGCATCAGCGCTGCAGTGTACCTAGTACCAGACACCAATACGGATGTCAGTCGTCATTCGCGCCATGGAGTGTCAGATGGTTGTGACGGACCTCTTGACATGGGCCAACGCGTCCCCAGGGTCGCGAATGAGGTCGCGAAGTAGCTTCTGTATCTCCTGACGCTGGAGAGGTTCGTAGGAGGTGAGCGCGTCGCGCGCGAGGAGCGCGACTGCATCCACCGGCGGTGGCGCCTCCATTGCTCCGTGTGCGACATCAGGATGACGTTGTTCCACCCGACTCTGTGCAGCAAGGGTCTGTAAGCCCTCGAAACAGTCATGGACATGAAGATCATCTTACATTTCGTTCATGTACGTAAACCGCGGCCGTCCTGAGTACTTCGCGCCTCGCTTGCTGAGGAGCGCGTGCGCGGTCTCCGCACGGCTGAGAATTATCACGGGTGTATTGAAGAATTGCGCATATACGACTTCCCCTGCAGTCGGAATGAGTACTATGTCTTTCAGAGTACAATCTGGCAACGCACCAAACCGTTTGCCCCACTCTGCGAAGGCGCGTTCTTGATAGGTCGCCGGGAGCTGCTGTATATTTCCAAGAAATGGGATCCGCCGAGGTCCAGGGGGCAGACGCAGACGAGATCGGTTCGTGTAGAACAAGGCAACAACCAGTATCATCACCGTACATAATATACAGACGAGCGCGCCTCGTGAAGCACAGAGATATAGCATGATGTTCCCTTCGAGGGCGCGGGTAAATTCTGAGAAAGCCATACAAGTACCGCAGGGTAGGGGCTCCTAGCCTAGCGAAAAAACGCAGCCGTCAGTTTTATACCCAGACGGAATACATAAGTCTTGTCATCTGGAGGCCATTGAGGTGTCCGGATGAACAGCCCGACCACCTCGCAGACGACAAACAGAAACCAACAACCTATCATAGAGTGGTGAGGACTGAATACGATGCATGACGGGATTATTCCAACCTACATTCTCTGCATATCGCTAGGCTGGTGTCAAAATTAGAGACTACGCCGCAATGAGTGTAAGAGACATGCATGGAATGGTGGCGTCGGCTTACCGACAGTGGTATAAATGCTCAGGCTAGTGTTCATTGCACATTACAACGAGTGAGCAAAGACGTCAATCGATCGCGCGATGTAACTGAACGTAGAATTTCATCTTAGTACCTGGAGTGCAAGCAGTACACTTTCAAATTGTGCCACGGGCTAGGTGACCTAGTCTAGCGACCGGTTCTGGATGATTCAAGCGTGAGTGGCGAGCGACTAGCCGTCGCATTTCTGTTCGCCGACTCGAAATGTGCAAAGTAAACGCCCACGAGCAGTGGATAGTTGGTTTAGCTTACTGGCACGGTACAGAGACGCTCTCCGAGATCCGAGCGTCTGAGAATCGGTTCAGAGAGAGGCCTGAGTCGCGGGTCCGATTGGGGTGGGTGACGAGGGAGGCAGGGAAATAGAAAGTGCTATCTGAGGTGCGGAGGGCGGGGCGGGAGAAGGAACAGTCGGTGCCTGATCGAGCGTCGTCTTCTCCGCACAACACGCACCCACACCTCCCACTTCACGACCCACGAACCCAACACACTCGTCGCGCGTGTCTGCGGCGAGTGTCGCGGTCGAGCGGGCGCACCGTTGGTCGTGGGCGGGCAGTGCGGTGGGCGGGCGGGGCAGGGCCACGTGACTGGGGGCGATAAGACGAGGGCGAGGGGCGTCGGTGCCGCGTGTTATCTGCCACCCGTCTCCCCCCAGGCATGCCTCGACATCCGCGCCCGTTTATTATCCGCCTTTCGTCGCCTGTCTTCTCCCCGCATCCTGATCTTCGCTGCTCAGGACGCGTCGCTGCCCGCCATGTCCTCCCACTCGACCTCGCGTGACTCCGTCATCAAGCACCAGCCTACCCCCGTAGCCCCGCCAGAGCCCACCACCGCGACTTCTGGCAGGCGTGCAGCCTTCCGTGCGAGCGCGTCCCACATCTACGACAGGGTCACCACCCGCCATGGCTGGCTCGGCGACTACGACTACGCCTGGCTCTGCTTGCCCACTCTCCCCTTCTCCCTCCCCGGTCGCTTCAAGGGAAAGAAGAGACAAGTCGGCCCGCCCTTCTACGCCCTCGAGAGCGAGCTCCCCATCCTGGTGGCCATGACCACAGGCTTGCAGCACGCTCTCGCCATGTTGGCCGGCCTCATCACCCCGCCCATCATCTTCGCCAGCAGCCTCAGTCTCGACGGCGAGACCAGCGCGTACATGATCTCCGCAAGTCTCATCGGATGTGGTCAGTCTATCCATCCATCCAACTACACATCGTCCTCACCCCACGCACAGGCATCCTCAGTCTCGTCCAGATGTCGCGCATCCACCTCTGGCGCAACTTCTACCTCGGCACCGGTCTCCTCTCCGTCGTCGGTACCAGCTTTTCCACCCTCAGCACCGCTTCCTCCGTACGTCGCTACCCTCTCCTCGTCTCTCCTGTCTTCTCACGTCCCACAGGTGTTCGACAATATGTACGCCGACGGCACATGCCCCACCACCACTGCCGCTGACGGCACCGTAACGCGTCTCGCCTGCCCCGACGCCTACGGTTACATCCTCGGTGCGTCTGTCCCACGACGTTCTCTCACCCCATCTGACCGTCTCTCACAGGCACCTCGCTCATCTGCTCCTTCCTCGAGATATTCATGGCCTTCGTCCCCCCGCGCACCCTCAAGCGCATCTTCCCCCCTATGGTCACCGGCACCGTCATCCTCCTCATCGGCGCGTCCCTCATCGGCTCCTCCGGCATCCCCAACTGGGGCGGCGGCTCCAACTGCGAGGGCCGCCCCACCACCGGCGACTACGTCTACTGCCCGTCCAACTCCGCGCCCCGGCCCGCTCTGTGCGTACCCTCCGCCGCATCCCCTTACTCGTACTGACGGATCGCGCTACAGGTGGGGCAGCCCCGAGATGATCGGCCTCGGCTTCCTCTCGTTCGTCTCGATCATCCTCACCGAGCTCTTCGGCTCGCCCTTCCTCAAGAACATCTCCATCATCGTCGGCCTCGCCATTGGCTGCATCGTCGCCGGCGCCACGGGCTACATCGACGGCTCCTCGATCACATCCGCGCCTGGGATCACGTTCTTGTGGGTGAAGACGTTCAGGATCCGGGTGTACCCGCCCGCGATTCTGCCCATGCTGGCGGTGTACAGTGAGTGTTCTATGGCTTTTGCAGCGCGTGTGCTGACCTCTCATCAGTCTCCGTGGCTATGGAGGCGATTGGAGACGTGACGGCCTCTGCAGAGTATCCCGTGTCGCCGTCGACGGCGAGGAGTTCGACTCTCGGATCCAAGGCGGTGTCCTGGTGCGTCCCGTCTCGCTTCGCAACTCCCGCACACTCACTGACCGCCGCGCACAGAGCGACGGCCTCGGCGGGTTCATGTCCGCGCTGTTCACCGTCGCGCCGCTCTCGCTCTTCGCGCAGAACAACGGCGTCATCGCCGTCACGCGCTGCGCAAACAGGAACGCGGGCGGTGGTGCTGCTTCTTCCTCATCCTCTTCGGCGTCCTCGGCAAGATCTCCGGCGTCTTCCTCGCGAGTACGTCCCCTCACCGCTCCACCCACGCATCCTACTGACCACCGCGCGTATGCAGTCCCGAACCCCGTCCTCGGCGGCGTGACGACGTTCCTGTTCGCGTCCGTCGCGGTCTCGGGGGTGCGCGTGCTCGCGTACAACCGCTTCACGCGGCGGGACCGCTTCGTGCTCGCCGCGGCGCTCTCCTTCGGGCTCGGGGACATCCTCGTGGCCGACTTCCTCACGTACCTCTTCGCGGGCGTGCGCACGAACAACAAGGGCCTGCAGGGCTTCCTCGACAGCATCACGATCGTGATCAGCACGCCTTGTGAGTCTCTCGTCTCCATCCTCCTACGCCGCCTCGCTGAGCCGTCCTCGCTGCGTGCAGTCCTGATTGCAGGCCTGATCGCGGTGCTCCTCAACTTGATCCTCCCGCAGGAGGATGATCAGAACGGGGACGACGACGACGTCATCGAGCGCGGCATCGAGCGCGAGGTCGTGCACGTCGAGGCGGCGGAGCGCGGGCACGACGAGAAGAAGATGTAGTGGATGGAGGTGTACGCAAAAATCTAATGGGATATCGGGAATGTAATGACGCGGAAAGGGGTGTAGCGTACATGGCTGGAAGAAATGCTCAGCCTAATGGAATGGTTCGCAGTCCTCTGGAGCGGTAGGACAGATAACAGGCTGGTGATCGGTTCGTGCTGGCGATGCCATTGGCTGCGCGATCTACATGCATACTTTTTGTGGGCCTTGATCGAGCCTGGATGACGTCCTTATCTCGCACTCGAAGCATCTGCTGGCTCTCCGCCATGCCCAGGGGCGAAGGAAGGGTATCTAGTCGATCGTCGGTTCGCTCACCGACTCGGACAGTCTTACGTTCTGACCATCGCCATGCCTCGCAGGGTTCTCATCGGGTTTGGCGTCGACGTCGACGCGGTGGCAGGGTGGTAAGTCCGGCATACCCCTCTGGTGTTGGTCGCGAGGACAATCCGACGACGCAGGCTCGGGTCGTACGGGGGCGAAGATTCGGTGTCGGACATATCCAGGGTATGTACATGCCTTTGAGCTGGTGCGCACCGGGGCGCTGGCAGGTCTGACTCGCGGATGCGTGGAAGGGCCTGTACTCGGGCGAGGTCGGCGTACCGCGCCTGCTGAAGCTGTTCAGGAAATCCGGGATCAAGACGACATGGTTCATCCCCGGTGGGTTCCAGTTGCTCAACCGAAGTGTGTCAGGGTAGCTCCGACTCACGGACGCACAGGACACAGTCTGGAGACGTTCCCGGAGCAGATGGCTGCCGTCAGAGACGCGGGGCACGAGATGTATGTAGCTTTGCGTCATCCGTGACAACAGCCTTTTGGATCCTCACCGACACGGACCTACAGGGGCTACACGGGTACTCGCATGAGGTACGTGCATCAGGAAAGAGGTGATCAGCGGGAACCGCGGATGGCTGACGGCGGACGGCGCAGAACCCTGTCTCGATGACGCCCGAGCAGCAGAAGGACATCCTCGAGTACACGTACGACCTCCTGACGGTGTTCAACAACGGCATCCCGCCGAAGGGGAGCGTCGCGCCGTGGTGGGAGACGAGCGCGGAGGGCACGATGCTGCTGCTCGACAAGGGGATCGAATACGGTATGGGCTGTCCTTGAGAGTACCCGTGCTGGCTCGTTGACATAGTCCTCCCAGATCATTCGCACATGGCTCACGAGTGAGCAGCAGCACGGACGTAAAAGTGCTGGCCAATGCTTACTCGGATCATGTGTAGCTCGCAGGCGTACTACCTGCGTGACCAGGATACGTGGACGAAGATCAACTATACGGCCAAGGCTGAGGCGTGGATGAAGCCGCTGCAACGAGGGAACGTCACCGGATTGGTGGAGCTACCTGCTAACTGGTTGAACCATTCTAATGGACGATCTCGACTTGTGCTCACCAATGCGCGTCTGGGACAGGTATTTGGACGATCTTCCGCCCATGATGTGAGTATGTTCCAAACGTATACATCAAGGCAGTCTCACATCGGTCGGGTAGGTTTATCAAGGGAAGCGCAAACTCACACGGTTGGGTCAACTGCCGAGACGTCGAGCAACTCTGGAAGGACACCTTCACCTACCTCTACCGGGAGGAAGAGGATTTCATCTTCCCTATCACAATCCATCCCGACGTCAGCGGGTACGTGTCTGTATGTTGAACGTCACCAGGACTGATCGCGACCGCTACCACGCACGCAGTCGCCCGCATGTCTTGCTCATGCTGGAACGCTTCATCGAGTGGGTCAACACCCACGAGAACGTACACTGGGTGTGCATGCATGAGATGGCGAACGAGTTCAGAGCGAATAATATCCCTCCGGCGGGGGCGCGCATGCCGCGTGGTTTGGACAGCGGTAACACACGATAGGCGACATCCTCTCCAAGCACTAGCAATGTCGAAGGCATGCAAAGTACTCAAGTAATGCCCGTGTTCATCTCATAGCCGGGGATAACGATGCAATGCACCGTGTATGATTTGGTAGGACACTTCCGAGAGATGATACCCGTTCGAGTGTTCGGCGTTCACGAGTCTGAAGCTTTGCAAACTCAATCCATTCATGATGCATTTGACGCGATCTAACCAAGGATGTGATACAATGGGATACACGCACTGTTGGCGAGGGCTTCTCAATAGAGGATGACTCATCGTACACGGAACTGCATCTTCGTATCCTTGTCTTCTGAGTAAAAACTTAGAAGATCAGTCACCGGGTATGTTCAGACGGGCCAGACATACCCAAACCTCGGAACTACAGCTTGAGGCCGCGCGGCATCCGCGCACCAGCGGGCGGCGCATTGTTGTCACGGAACTCCTTTGACATGTCATACATGCACACCCAGTGCACGTTGTCGTGAGTGTTGATCCATTCGATGAAACGTTCAAGCATGAGCAGAACATGGGGTCGTCTGTGTAATTATTGTGAGCACAAGGACTACGCCTAGACGTCCCTACTCACCCGCTAACATCGGGATGTATGGTGATGGGGAAAATGAAGTTCTCTTCCTCTCGGTAGAGGTAGGTGAACGTATCCTTCCATATTTGCTCAACATCTCTGGTGTTAACCTACACCATTTTGTGAATATCTGTCGCGTCGAACAATGAGAACAAACGCAATCACCCATCCGTGCGAGTTGGGGCTGCTCTTGATAAACCTGTGTACGCCATAAGCCACGCTCGGACGGGAAAGATACGGACGTACATCATAGGCGGCAAGTCGTCTAGGTACCTATCCAGCATTCAAGGCATTACTACGTCACTCGCTTGCGCCGCGAAGTGGTTCTCGCGTACCAATTGCCCGGCAATTCAACTAGACCTGTAGTCTTTCCCCTTTGTAAGGGTCTCATCCAAGACTCCGCTTGGGCGGTGTAGTTGATCTTGGTCCACGTATCCTCGTCGCGTAGATAGTATGCCTGTGAGCTGGAGCCAGTCTCAATCTTGAATCTGCTCGTGAGGAATATCGACTCACTCGTGGGCCATGTGAGAATGGTCTACCGCAAATGGACAAGGTGAGCTAGACCTGACTTCGGAATCTCCAATGGTGCCATACCGTATTCTATGCCTTTATCGAGTAATAATATTGTGCCTTCGGCGCTGGTCTCCCACCAAGGTGCTACACTACCCTTCGGAGAAACACCCTTGTTGAACTTCGTCAATAAGTCATATGTGTAATTGAGGATGTCCTTCTGCTGCTCGAAGGTCATCGAGCGAGGATTCTGCGAAAGTATGTGGTCAGCGTACTGTCAGGCCTCTTCGCCCCTGACGTTCATACTTCATGTGAATAACCGTGTAGTCCTCTGCGGGTGCGGTGCCGTCAATCGCATGTCTGCAAAAGCACAACGATCGCTTACATCTCATGTCCGGCGTCTCTGACCGCAGCCATTTCTTCGGGGAACGTTTCGAGACTATGGCCTGAGAATGGTCAAGCGGCCATTCATCACAAGAGAAACGAAGTTGCCCTACCTGGTATGAACCAAGTCGTCTTGATATTGTACTTCTTGAACAGCTTCAGGAGCCGAGGGGTACCAACCTCGCCTGCATAGATTCCCTGCGCTTGCGTTAGTCTGTATGGAAGATTGGATACAGCTGGGGCATACCCTCGAGATATCCGATACGGAGTCCTCGCCACCGTACGATCCCAGCCTAGCGTGATGGGTCGCCGTTCACAACGTGAGTACTCAGGTTTGGAGACAGACTCACCACCCGGATACCGCATCTACGTCGACACCAAAACCGATGAGGATCCTTCGGGGCATGCTAGTTCAGTCTCACAGTGCGGTCAAAGTAATGGCAGTGAGTCCGCGGCAGAGGGCCCTATAACCTACTCATGACATAGCTTCGCGGGAGTAATGGAGAGGTCACGACCTCTCGAAGCAAACCGCAGGTCACGACCGCAAGGAAACAGAAGATTGTGCCTGTAAGATGGAGGTCGAGCCCACCATAGAAAGACTTCCGACGGGGAGCCTATGATAGTATGATGTCGGCATATCGGTCGCATGACGTCGCGAGTACACGATCGTGTAGACAGACATAAGATAACGCTGTGTGAATGGTCGTCGAAGCACCACGCAGATACACTCTGCGTAAGACAGGTAGATGAGTCATCCAGAGTTCGATTCGGAAGCACGTTTCCTGTCAAATGACTGAGCATTGTAAATGTACTATACGGCTGAATCGTGAAGGTGCAATCTGCTCTCGACCTAAAGCAAAGATTAATGGTCTATCAACGCTCGAATTTAGAACATACTACAGGCTGTGATGGCTATGAAGGCCGCCCTTCGCCTTTCCGCGTACATACGGGGCACCCCTGGTTAATCCTCGCGCGAACCATGGCAGCACTGTCCGCCGTAGCAATGAGCATCATACCTCAGCCACAGTGGACACAGCACTCACAGAGCGATCTTGCCGCCGATTCGTTGGGTACCACCCGCACTGTGATCGATCCACTCGCGCAAAGTCTCGTCGGGAGCAACACAACTTGCGTGGACAACATGCCGGCACAAGTACAACAACGTGAGGCTGTGCGGACGCTGCTCCAGGCTCTGGGAGCATATTGGACAGTGCGTTTGCGCTGTTTCAGACTTGTGAGTTATCATTCAACATCGTTTCGTGGTATATTGACGCACGATTGAGGAAGAAACCATTGGTCTGATTCCTGTACAGTGTTCGCGCCAACTCTCCACAGTCACCGTCCAAGATGGTCTGACAGCCTTCGAGTAAGGACACTTGCAGGTTGAAGTCGTGCAGGATCTTGATCAACGCGCCCCTGAGACCCGGTATCTCAAGCCCATTCTTTATGCGTCGGATGAGCCGAATAGGATTGATCTCTGCGCCAACGTTCTCGAGGAGACCTCGAATGAATACTTTCCGACATAAAACTCAGCTCAGTAACCTTTTGCAAAGCGCGAGGACATACATGGTCGTGTCTCCGAGTACTTCAATAGGTCTTCCCATAGGTCGTCGTCATGTTGTTCTCGAGCGAAGTCAATAGCCTTCGGTCAATAGCGAGCACGATTAGAATGAGGAGCACGCTGAGAAAATTTGACGTACCCTATTGACATCGCCCAGCCGCTCGATAATCAAGGTCAGCGCCTGCTTGTTATTCCCCATCCGACCCAGCAGGAACACCATCTCTGGGACCATATCTCGGTCGTTACATACGCGGTATGCCTATTTGTCTGTCAGTATTGGAACAGCCCCGTACAGCCCAGTGCATTACCTGTTCGAGACTGTAGTAGTTACTCGAACGCAGGAAGTTCATGAGCCGGTCTGGTGCATGTTCTGCGCATAGTTTGACCTGTGATATCCTTGGTTCAAACGCAATATAAATAAAAGAGTAAATCAGGACGTACCTGCATGTCTGCGAAGTCGGATGTTAAGTGAGGGTCCTTGTGGAACAAGGCATCCAAGTAGAGGTTAGATAGTCGGGTCGTCCTTGGAGCTGCTGGACAACTCGCCCGATCTACGCAGTCAAGAGGATGCGTTAGCAACGCAATCGGGACGACACTGCTGAACAGCCTACGGGTATAGAATGAATATGATCCACAAGCAATGCAATCGCTCTACTGTCTTCCCGACGCACGTCTTCGCCTTCTCTCCTCTGCTTCTCCATGAGCTCGTGGTCAAACTCAACCAGGAGGAGGGCCTGATCTTGCACCGCGGTGAATAGGTTGTTCTCGCGAATGAGGTCAAAGACGTTCGGCCGTCGCAAGCGCAAGAAGTAGGGAAGGGCCTTGCCAGGCTGTCGATTCATGGTATACCTGAATACGTGAGCGTCAGAATGGACACCCAGAAGACGCAGTGTCGGCTAACTCACAACTCGGCGAGACATTCCATGAGAAGCACTGTCTCAGGCGCTGTTGTCTTCATCGCCGATGATGAGGGAGCACGGTCTAGCTCAGCTTGCACGGCTACTATGACGGCGGGCACATCGTAGATCTCCTTCGGCCAGCTCTTGATCATCCGCAATAGCGCCTATATCCGAGCACAACTATTGAGAACGATCAACTTGGTATGTGTGGGGCGATACGTACGTGACGATCGTGCGCAAGAAAGTACGCAAGAATCATCTCGTATACGAGATGACCTAGTGTGGGCGATTCTGTCGGGACGAATGGAATGATCGCCTACGAAGCCAAGACATGTCAGCCAGGTAGCGTCGCTTTCCGGTGCATCCAAGACATACCTGGAGCTGGTGCTTCTGCGCAAACAGGAATATCCAGTCCTCCCATCGCTTCAGATCCTGTCCACAGACTTTCGGACAGAGGCGCGCGGCCTTCGCCCAGTTGCCTATGTGCGGTTCGGATCGGTACGGTGTAAGACGCGTTGAGATTTTGACATACCTTGGCTGACCAGATGCTCGATGTACCGCTGACCGACGTGCACGGCGTCCACAGCGTCCTGCCCCGGCGCGGCAGTCACGCCCATTGCAGCCTGCCTCTCAATCACCTCTAGCGCCTCCTCGTATCTCTGTCGCTCTACCAGCCAAGCAACGTGATCCCGCCAATCCCTAGGGCGCACAACGACGATGTCCCTCGGACTGAGCACGACGTAATACCTCTCCGCCAACGTCGCGTCCACCTCTATCAACACATAATCATTGCATCCCCACCGCTCGAAGCCTGCGATCCCAAGTGCGTCTGCGGCAAGCTCCTCCCCTCCGCGCGAGACAATACGGAGCTCGGGGCGTTCAGCCGCCTTGCGCATCTGCTCCGCACGGTCGGCTGCGGCCTCGTTGCCCGTGAGGAGCGACGTGTCCGGTGGTGTGTACGCGACGATGAGGAAGGCGGTCAGGCTCGGGGCCGCCGCGGTCTTCTGCACGGCGGAGCCTCCCGAAGTAACACTAGCGGCGTCGCTCGGGATAGGGAACATGCCCGTGCCGGCGGTGGAGGGGGAGTTGCCGAGCGGGTGTGGAACGATGCCCGAGACCATGCAGTCAAGCTGGAAGACGGCGGTAATGTCGACGAGGAACGGAGGCAGGTTGGCGGAGGCGGAGACGGTGGGTGTGCGCGGCCTGGCGCGGACGCGAGCAACCTTGATCTGGTCGGCCCAGGCGACGAGGAGTGTGGAGTCATCCTGCCAGTGGAGGGTGCATTTGAAAAGATCGGCGCGAGGGCTGTCAGGCGGGCGGTCGATGTAGGTGATGCGAGTTTGGGAGACGGTGTCGTAGATCTTGACACCCTGATGATGGGACAAGACCGTGTAAGATCGAACAATACGTACTTGGATTGCAGAAGCAAGGTGCTTGCTGAGGTAGAGCTGGAACTAACGCGACTGTCGCAGTTCCAGCCACAGCCCCTCCAAATATGCTACTGCGGGACGTGGCATGTACTCACCAAGTCATTTGCCCAAGCGATGAGTTTGCCTCGCCATCGTACCTCCCAGACCGGCCCCTCTCCCGTATGCAAGACTGTTTCCTTGTAGCCTAACCAGCCCTTCTCATGCAAGACCAGCGACCCTGCCATGCCTCCACATGCAAGTGAACGCGTTCCACTCTTAGCGAAGTTGGGCTCCAGAGCAACTGTACGCAGGGAGCGTTTCATGTCAAAGGTATGGGACTCGGGAGTCGAGACGGAGTGTAGTACGACCTGCCCTGGGAGGAACGCGTGAGACGGAGTGGGTCAGGGCACGACCGGTCTCACCGTCGATAGAAGCAGTTGCGACCCAGTCTCCAGTGATGTCGATGGAGATATCCGCAATGGAGGCGGAATGAGGCTGGAAGGACTTGATGAGCTCGCCGGTAAGGGATAGGATGTGTAGCATGCCGCCATGCGTGCCAAGGGCCTAAGACTAATCAACGATGTACGGTGTAGTCGCATACGGAACAGCTTACTATTCGCTGATTTGCATACGCAATGGCGGAGGCAGAGTCCTTCTGAAGGAGCTGGTGAGTGATGCCCCCAAATCGCTCGTACTTGAGTGCAGGCTCCTCGTCCTCGTCCTCGTCGTCTTCACTGTCGTCGTCATCGTCTTCGCTCCCAGTCTGCTCGCCGTCCCCGTCAGAGCCCACCAGCTCTCCATCCGAGTGGGGGTCGTGATGATGCAGACCCGCGATGCTATGACCGTTTCCGTCGGGATGGGCGTCTTGCCTTACCGACTGCGCGCTGGTGGTCGAGCGGTCGTCGTCACCTGCGTCGCTCATGACCTCGGGGCTGCCAGCGAGCGGTTGCTTTTCGTTGCCGAGGCCGTTTCCGTTCGGTTCTGAGGACATGGCGGCATGAGTGACGAGGAGGGGCGAGAGAAGGGATGGAGTGTGCGAAACACGCGCTCAGCTGGCTGCGAGACGCGTCCGGGACGCGTCTGTAGATGGGCGTCTCTCCATTTTGCCTCGTACCGCGAATGCAGCTTGTCTCTGACGCTGAGCTGAGGCTTGCCCGGTGGCAACATGTAGACTTTGTTACCGTAGACGTACATGCAACCCCATGCAACCCACGTAAGCACATTAATTGGCCTTTCTTCCGCTCACTCGGCTTCCACGTGCACGCTCGTCTGTGAGTACGATACCTCGGTGTACGTCAGATCTCTTCCCCCCTGCGTACAGTCTACATCTCTTTCTCAGTCTCTTACGAATTCCATCAGCCCCCAAAGCTTTTTACAATGCCGCGAATGCGGAAACGCGTACTTACAATGCCAGTATCATATTATCATTAATAGGACCAATACTTACGTTACTAGCTACTATAACTCCTCGCTATACCATCATCACTCCTCGTGTGCTTCCTGTTAAAGTACTATCTGCGTAACGACGGTCGCAGGACACAGAAAGATGGCGAAGGTGACACCCTAATGACCACGTCAAACCGTCGGGGAAACGAGCTGCAGTGTCTTCAGAGCGCGTCAGTTCGTACACGGCGGTCGGTTCAGTCATGGCCGAGATATTGTCAGTTTCCCGAAAGCACTCGTGCAGATGTTCCGCAGCGCCAGACATATGAGCGATCCTGGCACAAGTAGCATGGAGGGCGATGAGACAGGGATGGGGCGGTGGAATGGGTGTGTTGTCAATGATCGCAGTTCTAAAGCTGATTTTGACACCAATCGCGAGGCGTAACTGCTCGCCCCAACGATACTGCACCTCATAGGTATCGGGTATGACTTCTCCTTCCCCGTCCTGTCGACAGATTTATTCATAGACACGAAAGAACAGCGGAAAACGAACGTACTTCTACCGCCGTCAGCCATAGATCGAGTTTGCCATATTTTACATGCGGTGCAGTTGCGGCTGTGAACACAGTCAGGGGCCTGTTAAGAACATTGTCGCCAAGAAAGTCGCGGCAAGAGAAGTTTCCAAGACGCTCAATGATCGCTCCAGCAATCCTCGCCCACTTGAACTGAGGGCAGACGGGGTCAGTAAGCACATGGCAGCTTACGACATGGACGAGATAAATACCTTCGCGCGCACCGCTGGAATGTTTCCAGTAATGTTCTCCGACAGTGGTTGACTAATGATGTGAGCCATCCTTGTCTACGTATCAGCCCTCACTCCAAGAGCGGAAGTTAACGCGTGATCAGAGCGCGCTGAGCCGAGGTGAAGACACACGAGTGGTCGTCGCGAAGCAAAGTCTGGCCCAGCGCATTAGTGAGCCGATAACAAAGTCAGCAAACATACTTACCAGCTGCCGCAAGTCCTCGGCAGTGATGGATGGCTGCGGCGGTGTACGTCGCAAATCCTGTACGGCCTGCTCGAAGGAGTGCCTCGGACTTTCGACACCTGACGCAGAAGACGTGGAACCTTGGGGATTGTAGACTACAGACAAGTCAGATGGGCCGCAACAGTAGGTCAAACACTTGACAAGAACGCACACGGACGGATCAGCCCATAGACGTACAGATAGGCAAGCCCCGCGAATAAGTCGGGATGGCTGTTACACCCGACGATCTCACGAACTAACGTATCTCGGCCTTCGTCGCTAGGTGCAAGGTGCAAAGCTCAGCCTAAAACGCGTGCAGCGACCATCGGACTGAGGTCAGCCGCTATGCGGATCCGTCCTTCTGGAGTTGCGCAGCTCGGAATGTGTCCCATCCCTCGTATCGCTCATATGCCGTCCATATATCGTCGCCTTGTTGGTACGAGTTGTTGGGTAGAGGGGTAGGGCCGACTTGACTCGCCGAGGCATGGTGGTATACTTAGACAGTGGATCCGAGGCATCATAGGCACCGTTGGGTCCCGCCTCGCTAGCCCTGATCGATGTGGACCGTGCCCGAGCGTCGGTGACAGGTAATGGACAACGCGGGTTGAGGGCTGAACAGCTCGCCGCCATGGTATTGTGACTCGCAGCGCTGGAATGAGCGAGAGCCTGTATGGTACACAGGAAAGTGTTGACAGCGAGGGCGGCTGAGGTGATGTAAGCGCATCGCTTGAAGGGTGCGAAAGATACGCGCGCTCGACTCGTAGTACTATCCCGAGGGCGCGTTCCCCACGACAAGCGGGCATGTCCTGAAAGAAGGCCAGCGAGCTCGGCGTATGGCTCAAGTCTGCGGCAAGTCGGAAAGAGGACGAATTACACAAGAATTACAGGCTAATGATTTCAGGACATTCAGCAGTAATTGTTCCGATTTCTCGAGATATCGACTACTCAGACAATTGAACGCAATATCGTTCTACCTGTAGTGAGTGGTGCGCTTGGTAGTCGCTCGCCAAAGACCACATCGCCGAGACTTACAGTATGAACGACAGGTGTGCAGTGATATGTTTCCCCCGATAAGTGAGCCGTAAAGCTAAGTTGACAGGGGGGCACTGGGCGATGCCGAAGACGCGCAGATTTAGTACTGATTACTGGCGCGAACGACGTGCTTACCCCGAAGATAGCCTGCCGCCACCACAAACGCACTGTCGTCTCGTTGCATCCATCGTCAAGATCTGAGTCGGCCCCGCGGTACGTACGACGAGAACTCCGCTCTGTGGAAGACCGTAACCTCAGTGTCAACCCAACTTATGCCAAAAGCTACACGTACTTATGTTGTGGCCAGTGCCATGCGCAGTTCGAACCGTAATATTGGCAAGCGGTTTGTCATTCGCGGCCACTGGTAGAAATGCAGGTGATGGATCTGACAAGGTTGGATTGCACCGTAGCCTATGGCACCGCATTAGTACGAGCGAGGAGCACCAATAAACATCAGGCAGATACAACTTCCGCCTGCGATTTGCTTGTCTATGTGCATGTTGTGCTTGGCATGTCTTGGGTCTGTAGTCGGACGGCGTGTCAAAATGACTGGCAGATTGTCACCTTACAATAGTATGAATGGCAGTGTCGGGCTTCCGGTGCGCCACTGCCTCCACTAGTAAGGTAAGGTAGGCCGCGTAAGACAACCGGTCACGTAAAAGTCTGCTTCACATCGAGAAGGAGAGGCAGGCGTGCTCCGCAGCGCACTTGCATCAACGTCAGACCTCTGCCGGCGGCCATGCGCCACCAAACCTTGCCCGTAACCAGCCGTCTGCGAAACCTTACCGTGTTATCGCCGCTTCTGGAACTGAATACGACTAGAATTGAGTACGACTAGAAGACTGTGTCGCTCGAGTGAGCATGAAAGCGGTATTCCTTGAGTCATTGCTGACCCACCGGGAGCCTTCTACCAGTACCGTTGAACGTTCTTCTCAGCGCTCCGATGAGCGGAATGGCAGAGTCGTTACCGTAACAACTTGTCAAGATCGGAATCTGACAACATCGCTGTAAATTGTATTGGTGTTCATGTCCGAGAGACGCACAGTGGACTCACACATCTGATTATATTCCAGCTGACTCGCTGACTCGGATGCAGTCGGCAAAGACCTATGTGTAATGGTCCCCAGATTGCATACATTCGCCGCAGCTTAACCTTGGTAGGCTCAATTGAAATGAGCGAACCTGTCATCGTTGTTGAGCGACCTCTGAAATTAGTTCACGAGTTGCATCAGAAGCTGGCAGCTATAACGGCGTGTGGTGCTTACCATTCTGTGGCATGACCTTGTTGAGAATGTCCCGTCATTGGGATTGCGTATAACACCATAGTTTTCATCGTAGAAGACCAGGACCCGAATAAATCAGACACAGCGACTCGCCGCTGAGCTGTGCGGATGTTCTGCGCGCTACCTTTCACACAAGTAGAGATATGAACGATACCACTGAGTGAATAAGTGTCACTCAACACCCTTGATTGACATGATTCGGCTCGTTCCTCTAGAATCACTGGCAGCTGTTACCAGATTCGATAACAGTGGCACCGAGAACCGCAGAAGCTGCGCTACTTTAAGATCCAGAGAATCAGCGACTTGATGCGACCACGGCCGGAAGCACAACGTCCGGAGGCATTTTGGCTATTGATCACTGTCGCGCTGCCAGTAGTCGGTCAAGCTTGTCATGTACAACACCAGAAGAATTAGAATCTCACCGACGTAAAATGACATCTCTAGGTGGCCATGAAATGCGCGCTGGGAACATTCATTTCTCGAGTATATCTGCGGCAATAGCGTCCCAGCACCACGGGGAGCTACAAAGCCACAGCGAGCTCTCCGCGCCAAGTGACCGTCGCGTGCACACCGTGTTTCTATATCTGTACGCAGATCGCATGTTAATCAGTACCCCGGCACGAGCTTCAATCCCGCTCAGCGTCGGAGAGACGACAGGGCAAACCGGGTGGAAGAATGTTTGCACGGTTCCGGGCCTGCAGCTCAGGCTGGCTTCCATGCACTGTACGTATGTACTCGCGCGGCCGCATCGCAGGCGCCCACCCGGTCGGACATGCTAATGGCAAGTTGCATCCGTCCTGTGGTCCGCTGTGGGGTAGTCTAGATTCCAGGTATACTCGAATCTTGTGGATCACTTCGTTCGAGATGTCGGATCGATCGTTCAAATGAAATCAGCGAAATGCGGTCGGGCTTTCCCTCGATGCCCAGGATGATGCCTTACCGAATGTATGGCGCCGGAAGCGACAGGGAATAACAAAGGACTCTCACTCAGAAGAATGAACGAGGTCGCATCCAGGTCCGTTACTGGAAGTAAAGTCATCGGACAACTTTAGTTCCGCGCACAACCTGCCCAAAGTGGACATAAGCGTTAAGTTCTCCTCACTGTACTTAGCTGCATCTGATCTAGAACTACTCCGCTGACGAGGATCCTACACCATGTGCTCATTCATAACGACGACGACGACACCAGATTCGTGGCCTCGTGTGCCCGGGCCCAGTGCCGATCTGTGAGAAAAGACACGAGCGATCGATGAGTGAACGGTTCGCACAGACTATTTGCGCGCCGCCGCAACATACCACGCAGATTCTGTCATCCACATCCTATGCATATCTGCGACTTCTCCTTGAGTGAGAATGAACCCCGACCGAGCTCAGCACAAACCACTCACCGACCGATTCCGCGGCGCAAACCCGTCCGCGCTGCCTCGGAGACCGCTGAGGCGCAAGTACCGCCACACAGGAGGAGCAGCAGGGCGGGTAGTCAAGGCCACGATCACGCCGTCACCTTGTGATTGACAGTGAGCCAGGCCTCAGCGAGCCAAACCCTCCGCTCGCAGATCGCCATCATCAGCGGGTACCACAGCCTGTTCGTCAGTCAAATTCGAGCGAAGTGCAATGCTGATATGAATGCTATACTACGATATGGGCGGGACAGGTTGATCCGGCTGGCCCGGGCAAGTCGGAGCTGGGGAGAGGCCACTGAAGAGTGGACCGGGAGACTGAATGTTGATGTCCTCGATTATCAGTCGGCGTGGACATTGATTTGTCGCCGCTGCTCGAATGCGGGAACTCGTACGATGACTGCACCTTGGAACATGCCTCTGCCGCAGCCACTGCGCATGAAGGCTCCGCAGGTGTCTGTAAGCTGTGTAAGTTGTCGCGCAGCCAACTTGAACCCCGGATGAACGCAATGACGACGTGTGGCACTCGCATGCAATCGGAGGCCTGGTCCGAGTCGTCCAGTCTGACTAGAAGACGTACACCGTGCCGCAATCCACCCCGTGAGATGGCCGTCCTTGCCAATGGCAATGGCGGCCGAGCGGTCATTACACGCGTGGGTACGAACCGCGGGTACAGGGCACAACTACATAGCGGACATGGTGCGGGCGGTTCGTACCAGACTTGCAGCAGTAGGCCATCCCACGATGAGATGGAAACGATGCAACTAGTAGATGCTGATGGGTCTTCGCGCCGCATCGGGGTGTTACAATTGCGCTCGGTGCATCACGCCATTGCGGGGCGCAATCAGAATCTAGGAGGGATTGTGCACTGGCAAGATTCGGACATGAGGGAGCCGTTCACTCGCGAGCGGCCGACCCGGCCGGAAGCGCAGAAGGTCCCGAGGACGTCATGGCCGTCACCACGACGAATGACATTACTACGGACAATCGGGAGTATGGCTATGTGGGGTTGGACAGCCTGACGTCCAACGCTGACTGATGTACGCAGCTTCAGCTCGACAGGAGGGAGTCAGCCTACTTTAGTCATTCTACACAGAGGGCCAAGGCGCACCAACGGTACGCTCTGCTGCTGATGCTAGAGCGACGGCGGTGCGCGCGAACCTTTGCGGTGGGACCCGTCTGCAGTTCACCGACGCAGGTCGGACAATGCACAGTCCGCTCGGACACTGCGCCTGTCCCAGCAATAGCCAGCGTGCGATCGCTGCATGTCGGTGGCGAATACGGTGCGCTCGATTGGCGGCTGCGAATAGGTCGCCATGCTGGCACCGGCCATTCTGATCGGGGCGGGCGCTGGACCCGTGGATCGAAGAGGCAGAAGCACGCGAAGGGGGGGCAGAGAAGATCGCGTCTGCGCGTGCCGCTCGGCGCCTGGGCGCGGGCGTGGGGATGGGGAGCAGTGGGATCTAGAGCGGCGATACAGAAGCCTGCGCCCCGCTCCCCTCGTTCGGCCTTCTCGCCGCAACGGGGCCCCACCTGCCCGCTGCGGAGTGAATGGCTGCCCGGTATGGCTTCATTGGCCACCGCGGCGGGACGTGCGTGCCGCTCGCGGCGAGGGGGCGTGGACGTCGAACGGCGCGAAGGCAGGGGGCGACGTCGAGAAGCGGAGGCAGGCGAGGCTGACAGGCGAGACAGGTTGAGGCGGACAGCGTCCGACGGGTCGGGAGAACCGCGCTGGCAGAGGCTCGTACGTGCGCACGGTGCGTCTGCCCCGCTGCATCCACAGGCGGCGTAGTACGTACTGCGACCCCCTGCGCGTATCCGTGATCGATCCCCTCGTTCAGCGGCCGCTCTCCGTCGCGTCCCCCAAGAAATACTTGTACGAGAAGACGCGGCGCGGATGCGGATGACCTCATGGAAGAGCCGCACCGTCCAGCCTCGCGCACGCCGCGATCGCAAATGGGTGCGTGCATCTGCAAGCACCCCCAATCGATCGCCGCAGGGTCGTCGTCCGGTGCACCCTGATCCTCGCCCGCACTGCAGATACGCGAGGCTTCATTAAGCAACAGACCGGCCAGGCACACGATCGCTTCCTTCCTACCAACCTTCCAGTGCGGCGCCATAGCGGGGGGCTCGCCCGGGCCTCGAACGCGCGGTGCGTCCTGGTCACCGAAACCTTGGACGTGCAGGCCCTCGCCGCCGGCACCCGCGCACCGTATGGCTTGTCGTTCGTGCGTCGCGCGTTGTGTCTCCCGCCCACGAGCGCGCGTCCGAAGCCATCTCGTAATGGTGGCGGTCGGCGGCATGCCACGGCATCGCGGCGAGTGAATGGCACCAAAGCGGGGTGCGGTTTGCCTGACAATAACCCTCGGACGGAGGACCTGCAGTTCGTGATCTCGCGTTCGGGCGTCGGGGCCTTGCTTCAGAGACGCCTGCGCCTGCTTCAAGAACGTCCGCTCGTTCGCCACCCTCGTTGCACACGAGCTTAACAGTCTTCCGACGCCACCAACAGAACGCTGCAGAAATCGAGCAGCATGCCGGCCGGTGAGGAAGCTGGTCTGATCGCGCTCATGAGTTCGGGCTGGACATGCCTCATGCGCATAACCCTGTCTGGACAGGCTGCTGGCCGGGCATACGGTGTTCTGCCAGCAGCAGTGGCGGCCGGCACGCGCCCGGGATCCGGTACGTTGATGTTTCCGCCCGGGGCGTTCACCTCAGTGAGAGCTCAGCGCGGAGTGCGGAGCCTACCGCAGTGTATATGCTAGCTGTCGAGCCGCGGGAACTCGAGCTGGAAGCCCGATGGTATGTACCAACCGGATTCGGATTCGGGGAACCCGACGGGAGGTAGCCAAGGGGATCGCAACGCGTGCTTATGGCCGTGCGGTCTGGGCGCGAGTTAGACTTTGGGTGGGCTTTGATGAGATTCGGGGAGCAGTGCGAAGGTAGAGCGAAGATCGCTATCCAGAGCACTGACGTCGCTCTGTTGAGCAGTGGCGAGTGCAGCCTGCGCGTGCAGTTCGCTGGGCGGGCAGGTTCATGCACGCAAGGAGCCGTTTCACCAGCGCAGACAAATAGCGGCTCCACCAGTATGAAGAGTGGGTCCGCGGGACGAGCACCCGTGCCTTGCCAACGCTCGTTCGGTATTCTGTACTGCCTTTCCAGTGCAGCGTTCGTGGCGAACCGCCTATCGCTTTCTAGCTCCGTGAAGGATTCTCTGGTGTCAGCGAAGAGCTCTGATGCCCACGCCAGAGGCGCTCGCGGAAGCTGTGGCGCGTCTGCCTCTCACCGAGATCTGAGTGGAAGGCGCAGAACGCTGGCGTCGTCCCACGGGCAGTCGCGTTGATATCAGCAGCGTCGGCGCGTAGGCACGGCATCTCGTCAGCGAGGGCGACGCGGGCGGCCGTGGCGGCGAAGATCGAGCTTCGAAGGCGCAGAGTGCTGAGTCTGAGGAGGCGTGTATGTGAGCCAAGATGGGGTTCGATCGATGCGGCGTACTATTGTCAATGATAGTGTATGTGGCGTGGGTTGGACGCCCGTGTCCGTGTCAGCTGGTGTGCGCTCACGACTAGAGACATACGCAAGGACAGAGAACAAGGTCGCGGGCGGGGTTGCGACTGGCCACGCTAATCGGGACACGGGAGAGGCACCGAGCTTGTTGTTTGGAACGCGAAGTGGGGCGAGGAATAAGCTCTGGGTGCGCGCATTCGCCGGTGGCTAGAAGCGCACGGACAAGCTTTCGTTCGCAAGTGTGTCGCGACAGAGATAGCCCGCAGCGGGACACGTCACGTCAGCTCTGGCAGAGGGCTTCTTCTGTTCTGCTCGCTTCTGCGATCTCCTGGCAACGTCGGGGCGTTGGCGGCGCACCGGGCGGGCGGGGGCGGGGGCGGGCTGGGAGCGGCCGGGCGTCAAGATGCGGCGATCGAGTATGTGCTGTTCGCTGGGAGGGCGCTGCATTCAATATGATTGACCCGCGCAGACGTCAAACTGTCGGCGACAGAGATGTGACAGAGGCTTCCCAGCGAAGACGCGACGAGATGCTTCTCGGACGCGTTTGGTCGTCGACCTGCCCCCGCCCGTGGACGTCCACCGAGGGCGTGATCCGGGCCGTCCGGACTCGCTCTGTTTCGCGCGTCGGTAGTGGGCCCGTTCGAGGCGGGGATGGTCCGAGCTGTCTAGAATGCGAACGCGGGCTGGTGAGGACGGCCGTCGTGCAGCATGGGGGTCCGTCTCGCAACGAGGTGATGCACGCCGCGCGCAGGCCGAGACCGCGCGATGCGTGCGCCACCGCTCATTGGTGCGTCCCATTCTATGAGAACCGTCGATTGCCGAGCACGGCGTATCTGCACCACATTCATATAGGCAATCATGCTCCGCGTCTCCCGTCGCGCAGATGCGCTCGGGCGGGCGTGATGGACGTTCGAGGACGATGCCGGCGGGAGCCCCGGGGACAGAGCTGATCTGACGGGCGTGTGCAGGGAGCATGCGGCGTCGAGAGAGAGGCTGCCGGTCAGAAGTGGTCAGAAGCCTCACAAGTGTGCGAGCGTCTGGGAGGGCGCCTAGATTTGGTTCCGAGGGAGGGAAGATGGCGTGCGTCCAGATCGGGCAGGCAGCCGCCAGCGCAGAGGGCCGGAGGCATTTCGCAGATCAACTCCGCCCGAAACTGTGGGCGGGGAGCCACCGTGCCGCCACCGGGCGTGGGGAGGAGGGCGAGCAGCCACCGTCCGAGTCTGGCCAGACGCGAGACGGGCTCTTGCAGAGTTATAATATTCGCCGCCGCACCCTCCGCCGCCGCCTCTTCCTCCAGCCAGCCCTCCCGCTTTAATGCTCTCTTCCCCGCACCTTCTCCATGTCCTACCCGACCCTGCCAGCTTCCTGATGCCCCGCGACCACCACCACCACCACCCACCACGTCTCCAGCCTGCCCTCACCCGCGACCCCTACACCCCCTCACCCCTACCCACAACCCCTCGCCCCCGCCCCCCAGCACCCGGCTCACTTCCTCGCCCCGTCCTCCAGCCAGTCCAAGCTCACCCGCAAGCACGTCTGCCCCACATGCGAGCGCAGCTTCTCCACCAGCGGCCACCTCGCCCGCCACATCCGCGTCCACACCGGTGAGCGCAACCACAAGTGCCCCTTCCCCGGCTGCGAGACGCGCTGCTCCCGCCAGGACAACCTCCAGCAGCAGTGAGTCTGTCCGCCTCCCCCCTTCTCTCTCTCGCCCTCGCGCTTCCTGCGCCCCCGTATGCCACTCTGGGCAGTCACGCGTGCCCACGCTCGCGACATGACGCGCAGGACAGCGCTTCTCGCGCGGGTGATGCTACTGCTTCCGTCTTCTGATCGGCACCCGTATCCACGAACCGCCACAGCCGAGGCAGTACGTCGGGGCCCGCTGCCCAGCAAAGAACCCGCGACAGAGCGCCATCACGCTCTCGCACCAGTCATTTCGCGCCTGAACCTGCGCGGTCAAATTTCACTGGATTTCTTTTGGATTGCGAAAGATTGGCGACTCGCAGCGCATCATCGACCACGCTCGTTGATACTCGTGCGCTGTGCTTAACCTGCACAGCAGCTCATGCTCGCCAGAAGCCGATCCTCGCGGAATTCGAGCTGCCAATACAATGATGGACTCGCCCGCTGATTCTTCCTTTCCGCAGCTACCGCATCCACTTGTCGCCAGGCTCGCGACGGGGCTCCGGCTCAGCTACCCGGGCCGCCATGACCAAGGCGAAGACCTCAGCAGAGCATCTCGTACAGGACAGGCCCGACCCCTCGACGCGCTCCGCCAAGCTCATCAGCATCGGCGGGAACGCCAGCAAAAACGGTAACAGCTCGACGAACGCGGCTTTCACGCCTTCGCCCTCGAGCTCGCCGTCAGACCTCCGCGCGCAGACGCTCCCTGGATCCACCTACGCGTCGCCGTACCCTGAGCCGCCGGACACCCCGCCGCCACTCGCACCCGCGATCGTCCCAGCGGGCTACGCGTACCCCGTCCCACCCGGTACGTCGAGCAGCTGCTCGTCGACGCCGTCCATCCCCGAGCTGCAGTACCCGTCCGCGCAGGGCCCCGCCCGCCCGCACGCGCAGGTCGACTTCACGAGCGCGCGCTCGAGCCACTCTCACTCGCCGGAGCAGAGCTACGCGCCAGCACAGGCCCATGGCGGAGGGAGTGGGTACCCGTCCCCGACGGAGATGCAGAGCCAGACCGCGGCGTGGGTGTACGGCGGCCACGCTCAGCCGTACCACAGCAGTATCCCCGCACCAGCAGCACCAGCGGGCGAAGTCCATGTCGCCGAGTGAGCGGCCGCAGACGGCGCATCCGCACGCGATGGGCGCGCAGTATGGCTATGACTATCCGGAGAGCTATCCCTTGCAGTACCCCGACACGCCCCCCGGGCAGACCGTCGAGTATGCGCAGCCTGTCCAGGCGCCGCGCGGCAGGCCGCCGCGCAGATATCCCCGTCGCGTCCGCCGATGGCGATGCTGGGGGGCGAAGACGCGTATGCGGGTGCGGGTGCAAGGTATGATGGCTCACAAATACGCTGATGTCGCGCTACATGGCGAGCGGCGCGGGTAATCAGGCTGATTGTCCGTCTGCCCATCCCGGGCATGCCGTCCAGGAGTCGCTGATTGAATCGTACGCCCCTGCGCCGTCGGGCGCGGTGGTCGAGCCACGTGCTATCTATGCGGGCTACGGTAATGCGCAGAGGTACGCAGAGCACGACGGTGCCGCTGCGTATTACGCCGCTGGGTACGGCACCAGTGCGGGAACGGGGCGGTCGCCACCGCCGACACTGCCGCCCATCCAGACCGCGCGAATCGTCCGGGACGATCTCGCCGTCGATACGCGGCACCCGCAGCTACAGCAACAACATCACGCACAGCCCCACTCTGCGGTCGACGCGACGCAGGCGCAGGCGTCGTTCTCGTACTCGTATCAGCAGGCGCATCATCAGTCGGCACACCAGCAACAGCAACAGATGTCCGGAGCATCCCCACCAGCAACAGCACTCACAACATCCACATCCACAGGCACACCACCAGGCACAGGCACACGCGCAGGTGCACGACCGGCCGCCGAACGGCCAGCATGCACTGGACGTCCCGCTGCACCAGCCGCGCCCGCACTACGGGCCCCAGCAGTACGTCGCGCTCTATGCGCCGACGGCGGGCGCGGGCGGCGGTGTGCCGTCGCAGGCGTACTATCGCCGAGACAGTCATGGCCATGCCAACGCGCGATGAGTGCCATCTGCAGGCCAGAGACAGCGGGTGTGATGCTGTACGTCCCTCGTCCTTTGCCAAATGTTTCTGCGACGATGCCAACCGCAAGTCAAAACCTTGCCGGCGCTCCGACCATGCTTGTCACTCTGCCAGAGACCGGCTTGGCTTGGCCTGCGACTCTACACCATTTCATTTCATCTCACCCTATCTGAGTCACGACATCTTGGTTTTGGCATCGCCGCACTGCATCTGTCTGCTTGGATATCTGAATCTAACCACTACTCCGCTGCCTGGCACGCTCGCGCAGCGGTACAGACCTGATCCACACGGATGATCCTACCTCCGATGTTCTACTTTGTGTCTCTGTCGGCCGCTGTTCCGCCCGGACCGTCGCTTCTTTTCTATTCATCACGCATGTCATATTTTCATATCCGTCGCTGCTCTCCCTCTCACGCTTCCTGTTCCTTTTGCGGGTCCTGTTCTGCCTTCCGTCTTCCTTGGTCTCTCATCTCTCGCCTCTCATCTCTACGTCGTACCCTCGTCTCGTTCGCTCTGCACGGAAGCTATCTTGTTCGCTGTACACTCATCCTACACCTCACATCCCTCACACATCCTCCACATCGGATTTTCTAATGCTGTAGTATAGACGTGGCCCCGCCGTACCATAACCCCATCCCCATACCTTAGTCGCGCACATCCTCACTAGTCACTGACCACTGACGACGGTCGTCTGCTGTATCGTACACTTTCCCTCGCTATTTGTTGATAGATGCGCACACACCGAACATTGAATCCAATGTGTAGATTCCGTCCGTGAACTTGCTTCCCGTCGACGAGAACACCGCGACACATAAATGCAAGACAGGGCGCGTTAGAGAGGTTGAAACCGACGAATGTCGGACTCGGATGTCAACGCGTTGTCGGTTGCCTTTTAATCTTTGGGCTTCTCCCGCCTCGAGGACGTCCCACTCAGGGTTGCGCCGCATCTGCGCTTGGCAGGCCAGACCGCGTCCGAGTCTGGCGCTCCCGAACTCCGGAGTCGGAGAGCCCTGAATTTGAACGATCATTGCATCATCCTCGAGCCCACAACGCCAGCCACCGCCACCGCCACGCCCGATCGTGCGGCAGATGCCGGTGGGCGCATACGGTCCCGTGACCCGCGTCGCACTGTGCTTGCCTCCTCCGCCCATCCTCCTCTCGCGTCGCGCGATCTAACCCGGTCGCCCCTCCCGCCAGCTGCACGCACAGAACTGCGGAGAGAGCACATAATGCCTAGTGACCTTGACAGGTGAGCGGTCCACCCGTGTCACACCACTCGAGGGCTGTGCAGAACGTGGAGCGAGCCGTCCGTCCTAATCCCCTCGCGCTCTCACACCGCGCGCCTGCCGGGGACGCGGACGCGGGCCTCGCTGCTCGCCTGGTGCCCCGCCCTCTCGTGTGCCCCGCGGTTCTGGCTGCCTGACCTCCGCGCGGCCCACAGACAGATCGAACAGCTGTATCGCTGCGAGCCTGTCTCGGAAGAGGACGTCAAGCGCCTGTGCATCAAGGCGCGCGAGATTCTCATCGAAGAGGCCAACGTGCAGGTCGTCGACTCGCCCGTTACGGTGCGTGTTATTTTGCTTGTGCATCGCGCACGGTCCTGTCCACCGGGGTGTTGCCTCGCCACGCGATACCGGCGGATGCCTGAGATGATCGCGGTACGTGCTCTGGAACATGGCTGCGCAAGAAGTTTCGCAACGTGTGTCCGGTTCAACGGTAAGCTTCTCATTGGAGTGTTTGACTGTGGTGTCTGATTGAGAGAAGATTCAATTTCACTTCAAAACGTGAGTGATCGGTCGACTGGTGATAGGTTCCAGGAGGGCACTGAGAGTCATATCAAACTATGGCGATTTAAGTTACGTTTCTGTTCCTGTGCCCAGCGGACTCGGCCAGAGTGAGAAAGACACGGTCGTTACCATGACCGGACGAGCGAACATCTCCGTGGACAGGATTCTGATGCGACATGCGACATCCCATACCAGGGTAGTGATTATTGTCTGGTCGCCGTGTAGATATGCGGAGACATTCACGGTCAATTTTGGGACATGATGGAGCTCTTCAAGGTTGGCGGCTCATGTCCAGAAACCAACTATTTGTTTATGGGTACGTCTCCTCTTCATTCTCATCGATCATGGTCTAGCTGCATTCGCTCACTTGCCCATCCGCCCCACATCAGGCGATTTCGTCGACCGAGGCTTCTACAGCGTCGAACCTTCCTCCTCCTGCTCGCACTCAAAGTGCGCTTTCCTGAGCGAATCACGCTTATTCGCGGCAACCACGAGTCGCGGCAGATCACGCAAGTGTACGGCTTCTACGACGAGTGCCAGCGCAAGTACGGCTCGTCCAATGTCTGGCGCTGGTGCTGCGAAGTCTTTGATTATCTGGCCCTCGGCGCCATCGTCGACGGCCGGTGTTCTGCGTGCACGGCGGCCTCAGTCCGAATTTGCAGGGAATTGATCAGGTACGCGCGGCTGCTGGCCCAGGAGACGCGGGGAGCTAACCAGTGACGCGCGGCAGATTCGCGCCATTGATAGGAAGCAAGAGGTACCCCACGACGGGCCTATGTGCGACCTTCTCTGGTCAGATCCAGACGGTACGCCGCATCTTCTCGCCGTCCATCCGCGTCTCGCGTCTCGCGTCTGACGGATGCCGTCGCAGACATCACCGGCTGGGGCCTGTCCCCGCGGGGCGCGGGCTTTCTCTTTGGCGCGGACATTACCAAAATCTTCGCGCACAATAACGCGATTGACCTCATCGCGCGCGCGCACCAGCTCGCGATGGAGGGCTACAAGCTCATGTTCGACAAGACGATCGTGACCGTCTGGAGCGCGCCGAATTACTGCTATCGGTACGTCCTCCTTGCCCTTGCCGTCCATCTCCGGCCGCACACGCACTCTCGCTACACACGATGGTTTGCTTTCTTCATGAGCGATTCGACCCGTGCGTGCGCCTGTACGATCGACTTCTGGAACAAACCGTTCTGCAACGTGCTCTGATTGTGGCGTCGCGCGTGTTCAATCTTGTTGTGGTTCTCGTTCTCACCGACTCACTGACTCATTACCTCTCCGCTCTGGCGTTCTCAGGTGCGGGAACGTGGCGTCCATCCTGGAGCTGGACGACAATCTTGGACAAGAATACAAAGTTTTCGCACACGCCCCCTCGGTGCGTCCTTCCATTCCTTAGCTATGTCTCCTGTTTCCCCCCTCGCTATTGCATCCAGAAGCGGGAAGGACCCAATTTCTCCCCGCAAGATCTGACCACCCATCGTCATCCGTGGCCCAGACTCCCTGACTGTCTGTTGCGCTAAAATGGCATGCTGACGCCTCCCCTACTATTTCTGTAGGACGTCCGCTCGATACCGGCAAAACGACCACCCGCAGATTATTTCTTGTAATGGGTGCAGATCGGCCGCAGACGACTTGAGAACCCAGAGGCTGCGAGGCGCACTAGTAGCGCTGCCAGTCTGGCCACCCGGCTTCCCTTCCCTTCCTCGTCTTCCCTGCCAAACGCCATCATACAAATTGAGCCTTCTTGCTCCCATTTGTCGCTGACAGCGTCGTAGGAACGATGATGGACGCATACAGAACAAGGCTGTATTCTGACTGTACTTTGACTCACGATTATGTGTAGCGCCGTGATCTCTGGAAAGACCGACACACTGACAGATGACGTTCAGACAATTTTTACTTGGCATGCTGCATCTTGGGTGCTGCGTATACATTGTGAATGCCATCGCTCGTCTACTACATGATTGTACTGACTGATACAGCGGGGGAAGATGTGTAACGAAACAAGAAATCAAAGAGACAATGTGGTATAAGGCGAATGAACCACTGTGGACAGATTACTACTAATCGTGATTGTTGGCACAAGTTGCGGCTACAAATATGCATGCGTATGCGTATGCGTGTCGTCAATGACTGTCTAAGGTCAGGCGGCGAGAGCGACGGGGACGATGCCGGCAGGCCGGGCGAGACGCTCTACGCCTTCGTCTTCTGAGTCGTCTTGCTGAACAACTTCGCCTTCTCCAGTGCGGAGTAACCTGCCAAGTGTATGTGAACACCCGCAAGCCTAACAAAAGCATCCCGGTGCGGGCGCAGACGGGTCTGGGTCTGGAGAAGTACGTACTGGCTTTCACGAGAAGGTTCTTGTAGTCGACGATGGTAAGGCCTTCCTTGGTGAGGTTCTTGATCTTGCGATCCTTCACCTCCCAAAGCTCTTCGGCGACTTGAGAGATAAGACCTGGCAAGAGAGGAAGATGCATTGCCATGAGTGATCAAATTCGAACGACGGCCGCCTCGCGGGAACTTACGGAAGTCGTGCGATACGATCACCACACCTCCCTCGTAATCTTTGATCGCAAGTGCCAGCGCGTCGATCGAGGCCATGTCCAAGTGATTCGTCGGCTCATCGAGCAGCAATATGTGCGGATGCTCCATGGCCAGCTGCGCGAAGACAACACGATTCCGGAGACCGTCCGAAAGCTGCTTGATCGGCGAGGTCTGGTGTGCGCCTGACAGACCAAACCGACCGAGCTGAGCGCGCCAAGCCTAGAGGCAATGATACAACCAAGTCAAAAGCTAGTCCATGGGGATCTGAAGAGAGTAAGTCGCACCTGCAAGTCCTTATCCGGGTACTTCTCGGCGTAAAGCGACTGGAAGTGCTCGATCGGCGCCTTGTTGTACGGCAGTTGGTCCGCAGAGTGCTGTGAATACTTGGCGAGCTTGAGGTTCACATGCCGCGAGACCGTGCCCGAGGTCGGCTGGAGCGAGCTGGTGATCAGGTTGAGCAGCGTCGACTTGCCCGTACCGTTCTGTCCCACGATCGCAACGCGGGACTCCATGCTACGAGAATCGATCAGCGGCTTGTTCATCGCGGGATAATCAGCCAGAGGTCTACGTACTCGATACCGAAGGAGAGATTCTGGTAGAGATAGTCTTCTTCTTGCCGGAATACGAGAAGGCGACGTCGTTGAATGCGAGGATGGGCGGGGGCAGCTTCGAGACATCCTCGAAGTGGAAGCGGAGCGGTCTCGGTACCTCTATCTTCTCAATCAGCCCAGCCGCCTCCATCTTGTCAATGATTTTCTGCTTTGACTTGGCTTGCTTGACCAAGTTGGCGTACGTTCCCGCAGAGGCAATGAACCTAAATACAATCGCGAGATTGGTCAACGAATGGGTACGATGACAGAGCCGACTCACTTTTTGATGTGTGCAATTTCCTCCTGCTGCTTGCTGTACGCTTCATCTGGTTGACCTCGTTCTCCTGCTTCGTCCGCACGTACGTCGAGTAGTTACCGCCGTAGTACACGAGCGTCTTCTTCGTCGTCAGGTCCATGATGTTCGTGCATACCGTGTCCATGAAATCCTGTGAGTGCGACGTGATCACCAGAATGTGGTTGTACATCGACAGGTACGCCTCGAGCCAGACGACCGCCTCAAGATCAAGGTGGTTCGTGGGCTCGTCGAGAAGCAGCAGGTGCGGCTTGACAAGAGCGCACGCGCGAGCGCGACACGCATCCGCCAACCACCGGACATGTCCTTCGTCGGCCGCGCCATCATCTGCTGGCTGAAGCCGAGACCGTGCAGGATGCTGGAGGCCTTCGCCTCGAACGTGCTCGGGTCCATCTCCTCGAGCTCCTCGTACGCCATCTCGAGCGCGACGTCGTCGACCTCATCTGCGACGGACAGATCCTCAATCCGCTGCTCGAGCTTGGCACCTTTTCTCTCGCGGAGGCGACGATGTAGTCCACGCGTTGATGTCGGAGGGTCTGCCTCGCCGCTGACGAGGTAGATGTCGATGTGCTCCGGGATTTCGATATCCCGCTCGGCGATGGATTGCAAAATGTCGACTGGATAGAATTCGTGAACTGACATGGTAGGCCGTGATATTTTCGAACGCACCTTTCCAGAGCCGTTCTCTCCCAGCAGACCGTACCGTTGCCCGTAGTTCAGCGACACCTCCGCACCCTCGATAAGCAACCGTCCATGGAAAGACAGCGTGTACGAGTCATCTTGATATCACGGCCCTTCGGGTCGGACACCAGCACGCCCGCCGCACTCCTGCAGGTCGTCGCCCGAGCATGGCACCGTAAGCGATCCTCCGCCATCCGTGCAATCCGCACCGAGCACGCACCTATCCGTGGCGATCTGTAGCTTCGCCATGCTCGTGAGGTCCTCCTGGCTGCCGGAGGCGGACACGCTCGTGAGGGGGGTGTTCACGGAGCTGCCTGGCTTACTGCCGGTTACGGAGCCATTGGGAGTGTCCGTCGATCCCGATGTTGTGGTGCCCTTGGAGGCTGCTTTGCGGCCTTTTCTGCGAGACGCTTTTGTTTTGAGGCTGAGGGGGCCATGATGGTCGCGGAGAGAGAGAGAGAGAGAGAGGCGTGCACGGACGGATGCTGCCCCGCTGCACTGCTTGCATATCGATCGCGTCTCAAATTTCGGCTTAGCTGAGCGTCATACTTGCCTTTCCCGGTATGTCTAGGAAAACATATAGAAAACCCGTACCCCAGCGCTCAGCCAGGCTCAGCCCGGCCGACAATTGCTCGCTCAGAGCGAACGGTGATGTACATTCACAGTATTACTGTGGATGGCATGGCTGCATTGTCATAAGGATACAAGCAATATATGGTCATGTATGTAATGCGGAGGGCGTGTAAGAAACAATCGTGAGCGAGGTTATACAGCTGCATCGGCTCCCAATCGGCGCTGCCACTGCAGACCGTTGGTATAAGCGTGCGGGCTTCATGTGGTGCATTACAGCTAACAACCTCGATGATCGGCCTCGGACTCGTCCCCGTTCCTCGTAGCAGCACGCCGCTTAGAAGAGACGAATGGGCTTGCCCATCGTAGTCTTGATGTGGAGCGACTTAACGTTCTGCCAGTTTTTCTTGAGCAGTGACACGAGGAAGTTGATGCCTGCGTGTGAGAGTGAGAGAAAGTCGAAGTCAAAGGCTAGTGCCAACGCACTCAACATGACGTTGCCAAGGACCTGGTCATCGGTCATCTGAATGTGGCCAACGGCGACACCCAAACACAAGACCTTCTTGAGCTGGAACTTGATGGTCGAGCGGACCTCGGTCAGCTTGTTCGAGAGATCCTCAGCGTGGGCCACGGGAGTCGGGAACTTGCCGGCTAAGCACTAGTTAGTTTCATCCACTCATGCTGAACAGACTGCATGGCGCACCCTTGGAGAGACCGGGCCCGAGAAGACGAGGGATCTGCTTGATGAGAGTCTCGGAGGCCAAGAAGCATCGTACTTCTTGGCGAGCTTCTTGACAAGCTTCTTGTTCTTGTTAAGCCTGCACACGTCCGCATGAATATATCCGTCAAAATAAATACCTCGGCATGCATACGCACTTTTTGAGATCGTCCACAGACATGTACTCGAGGTCAATCTGCTTCGCACGGTCGATGTCGCCGCATCAGCCAGGATGCAGATGGACATGCGAGGACGGGGGACGTTCGGGAGTCTGGCGCCGTCAATACACAATATAACCGCATGCACGCAGACCACTCACTTTACAGTGCCCGAGAAACGCTTGTCGCGCTGGGGGTCGTAGTTTTTGAGACCAATTTGGAGCTCAATCGTCTCAACGAAGTTGCGCTTCTTGTCGCCGTTGGCCTCAGCCAAAAGCTCCTTGACGGAGCCCCGCACGCTTGCAACCGAGAGCTTGGAACCGCTGGGAGTGCATGAGCAGACCGTTCATGCTGGCAGGGTCGATGGTGAGGACGCACCTCATGCTGATAAACCGCTGTGAATGGTCAGTACAGTACACACAACTCTCACCCGAGCCCGATTGTGGACCTCTCGGCAAATTCCGAGGTACTGTATAGGTATATGTTGGTGGCTACCACAAGCGCCCGTTGACCGAGCTGCGTCTTGCTACTCACCGCCCGTCGACTTTACCAGCGACGCCAACCGTCATCTACCTGGCTTTCGGGTTTGTTTGTGTGCGCCATGGTTTAAACATTCATTCTGCACGACTCCCGTCCCGACTTACTTTCCTACAACGACATCTCGCACCTGGCCAAGTGCCGACGAACTGGTTTGCAATTTTGAACGGTCGCTCGTCATGTCGTTTAGTTCGTGTATATTAGTGCGCCGCGCCGCATATCCACCAGATCAGGGCGACAACGAACCACCGTCTGCTAATCGACTCGGTGGAGAACTATCGTCGCCGTAAGAGTGTCCTTTGTCACTTGGGATGCACCTTTGGCCGTCCAGCGCGGTGCCCAGGACTGTGAAGTACGTGCCATTCTCGTTTATCATTGGTCTTGATGACATATGCTCTATGCCTAGGTTCGACACAAACCCCGCATGCGTCGCGGTCACGGTTTGATTCATGGTATGCAACCGAGGCACATTTGTAGGACCTTGTCTCGGCGCTCGACATCTCATTCTTCTCCCCGGCTGCTCACAACCTATCTGCTTCTCGGGTGTATAAGGACGTCTATTGCATGAGGCAGTTATTGACCAGATCCGCAATTCTGCGAACATTCGTGATGCAGAATTAAGTACGGCATGTGTTACGACTTGCCCCTAACGAACTATTAGACTGTTCACTATCCGACGTACCTCCATCGATCTTCTGAGCTCAGAAGGCGTACACAAGCACGTATGCCATGCAGAGCGTATGTAATAGGGCGTGTTGTCTGTAGCCGCATCAGTGTCAAGCGAGGCTCGGATGTACGAACGACCTGATGCATGCTGGAGTGCATAGCTCAAATACACCAGACGTGGTCTTAGCCGGGCTTGTCTAGGGACCCCTCTCCTGCACCAGTCTATCGAACGAATGAGCAATCGAGGCCAAGATCAGCCCGTGAGCCAGGTATGTGACTAGCTGCTGAAATCTTCGTCGCATGGGTACTAACGAGCTAGCAACACCTTGTCCATCCACCCGCCAGCATACCCATGGCGCTGCGGACGTCGGTCAGGTCCCCAGGAACGACGTTATCAGGTTGCTCATGGAGAGGTTCCCCGACAGCCCCCAGTTGCCACAGCTGTTGGCCAGCATGACGGACGAGGCGCTGGACGAAGAATTCGAGGGCGACAGAGCAGAGCTCCTCGCTATGCGTGCCGACTTTGACGATGCATGCAACAAGATGGTGGAGTTGGGCGGTGGCAAGTTGCATTTCCTCGGGGTAAGCGCACTGCCATTCGTCCCAGTAACAAGTGGTTCCTGTCTCACGTTGTTTTCCAGGAAAAGCCAGCGCCGGGCGACAATGTCTACCTCATAGACCTCCCCGACTCAAGTGTTATCATCCGCCTTTCCGACGGCGGACTTGAGAGAGGACATCAATTCCTCCTCGACTTCGTCGACCGCGACTCACGGAAACCCGACCATATGCCACAAAGCTACGCTATCTGGCGACTCTACAATGGCCCCTGCTCACCGGCGATGCACCAACTCATGTCGTGGGAAGCTGCTATGGGCATGCCCGAAGACCAGATCGCGCCCGGCGAGCAAAGGTTCAGCGTGATCGAGGGCGTCACTTACAGAGTTGAGTATCTCGGTGCTACGCCTGTGGAGTTCACGGTCCCGGAGCGGCCGAGGGCCGGCCCTGCTGTACATATTGTCCCTCTGGCCACGACAGCCAAGTAGCCCGTGCAAGATATGAATAGCGGAGAGTCATCGGCACGTGGCCTGGCTGCGAGGATGGATTGGAGGATTCGCAAAGAGAGTCGTCCACTGCTGCCAAGAACACCACCGTGAGCGACCGAATCATTGGCCAGCCATCCGCCGACCAGGTATAATATGATAAGTAGCTGAATCGCAGTGTATCGCCTCAACGTTTGGCACGAACCTTGCGTGAGCATACCTAGCGTATGTGCCCTGGTTGGCCCTGGTGGCACGGAGAGCGTCTTAGAGGCATATATAGCCTCCTGCACAAGCGATTTCGATTGGTCTTTCCAATGAGGAATCTCGCAATCACCTCGTCCGACTACACTGGCGTGGATTGGCCACGTCTGTCGATTGTTCAGAATGGTCCTCCACCCAATATGTAATTTTTGCGCTTCGACCCGCTGGTTGAGACCTTCGCGTCTGCGGAACGCCGATGGTCAGTCTCGTACAAATATCCGGGAAGTTCAGAGATCATACGGTAGGCGCCCATAGGCTTCCGTTGCGCTACTGCCGCCGTTGTACTCGTCTTCGGACGATAGAACCTATTTTGAGCTTCCCGTGTTACGACAGTCCAATTAATTCAATCCCACCGAATGGCTCTCCGTCGGAGTCGGTACCAGGTCATGCGCCTTGCATGCGGAAGTCAAGTCCGCGAGTACCTGCTCCTACTACCTCAACGGCAGGCTTTACCATTGCACTGATGGTTCGTAGGGTACTCATTGGGTTTGGCGTGGACATCGATGCTGTGGCTGGATGGTGAGCTGCTTTCATTTCAATACCCAGCGGTCGAGAAGCTTAGACTGATACCGATGAGGCTGGGATCGTACGGCGGCGAGGACTCTGTGACAGACATATCACGAGTGTGTGCTTTACCGTGGCTGGACTCGGATGTGCTGAGCGACGAGATACGCTTAGGGCTTGTACGCGGGCGAAGTCGGTGTCCCTCGCCTGCTCACGCTGTTCAAAAAGTACGACATGAAGCAGACATTCAACATACCAGGTGTATATTGACGCATCGGGTTCGTGAAGCTTATTGGGATCTGATGTTAGTTTTTTTAGGGCATAGCTTGGAGACCTTTCCCGAGCAAGTGGCAATGATCAGAGACGCAGGACATGAAATGTCGGCTACTTAGCATTGTGTTTTCGTGTGCCGGTTCTGATGCTTGTTGGTCAGAGGGCTCCACGGTTATTCGCATGAGGTATACCCTGCATCGCACATGCCAGAGATCACGAGTTGCATCAGTCAAAACCGGCTTTCAGAATCCTACCGCGCTCACTCTCGAGCAGCAAAAGGACATCCTCGACCACACATTCGAGCTACTCACAAAGTTCAATAATGATATCCCTCCGAAAGGCTATGTCGCTCCATGGTGTGAGATGACTGCAGCTGTCACCGAGCTATTGCTCGAGAAGGGCGTCGAATGGGGTAAGCATGCTACTCTCCGCCGCAATATTCGGGCTGACTGAAGTCCTCTCACTAGATCACTCACATATGGCGCGCGAGTGCGTTCCCGCAAGGAACCAAGTGTGATCCGTACTAATGTGAATCACACAGTTCGCAGGCGTATTATCTGCGTGACGAAGACACCTGGACTAAGATCAATCACAGCGCAAAGGCGGAGACGTGGATGAAGCCTTTGATACGGGGCAAGCCTACCGGGATGGTGGAGCTGCCAGCAAACTGGTGTGTCTTGCACAACGTCCCCCGATGAGTTATTTACGACTTTTACCTCGAAGGTACCTTGATGATATGGAACCCTTGATGTACGTGTTCTTCGGCTAAGTGTTGCCTCTCTTGAACTCGTCCTGTGCCTAGGTTCGTCAAATCCATGCCAAACATGCATGGCTGGGTAAGTGACATTCACGCTTGCATAGCGCGACGTCTCGTCTCACCGTCTGGATAGCAGGACCCCCGGGATGTTGAGAATATCTGGAAGGACATGTTCACATACCTATATCGCGAGGAAGAGGAGTTCATCTTCCCGATCACCATCCACCCAGACGTTAGCGGGTGAGCAGAATGTCTTTCCCGAGCCCAACCTGACTGATACCATAATGCTCGACCATACTCAGTCATCCGCACATCTTGCTCATGATCGAACGCTTCATCGAATGGGTGAACACGCACGACAACGTTCTTTGGGTGCCTTGGCATGAGATGGCGAAAGAGTTCCGAACCAAAAACCCACCACCGGCAGGTGCTCGCATGCCCCGTGACATGGGTGCGGCGCAGACGCAAGCAGTGTGACTTCACAACAAGGTAGCCATAGCAATATGTCATACATTTATCTCCTGAATGAGAGCCGTAGTCAGTGTCAATCTCATCGTATCTTTAAAGGTACGTTCGGAGCCGTCTGAACGTTTGCTGCACGCCCTTGGCATCCTTCTCGACTAGTTCCCTTAGCTCCTGTTCTGCAGCCTCCTTACGAATCTGTCGACTCTCGCCCAGACCCCATACAACATCCATATCGAGGTCAACCTCGTCCGACAATACGAAACGCCTGCGCCCGAGGAGCCAGAGCAGTCCGCCGTACGGCGCGGACCGACATAAGTCGCCACCACATTCTACGCAGCGAGTCTTGTCAAAGTAACACTATATGACTTTCGGACTCACATTAGTCCAGGTACTGTCAGCCCCGTGATCCACCCGGACACACGAGGAGCATGCCCGTTGCGAGCAAGTGAGATTAGCATGCGTGAGCTCGCGTAGAAGTAGCTGCTCGTTACAGTGCGGGCGCCGGTAAGGAGTACGGTGTTGACAACGTGTACGGCCGCACCGAATCCCGCACGATGGAAGGCCACTGCCAGCAGGGACGCAGTTACGTTCAAGGCTGCAGAGCAATTGGAGTTCAGCATCGACGCGCGTACATTCACATGAAACGGTATCATACGCATACATTGCATTCAGCAAACTCTCGTCCGCCCAGTTGATGGACAACTCGATCACCAAGACGGCCAATACGTAGAACATGAGTACCCACACGAACCACCCTCAGTACGCCCACGTGCGGGTACGCCCGCTGCGGGCTCGACCGCTGTACGAAGAGAACGTTGGCGAACGTCCGGTGCGCAAACGCGGGGAAGCCGTCAATGAACGTTCATGAACGCTCAAGCTTTGGAGTGACTCGTCAGATGACAGTGACAACGGCCAAATTCCAATTCAACGTGATACCTAGCGTGAGTACCAAAGGCCGGAGAGACGAAGCGAGCGCCAGTCACGACAAAGCTGCCCGACACCGGTATGTACAAGGCCATCTCGCTTCTGTAGTGCAACAATTCGGACTTCAAGAGCAATAATTTCAGTATGCGGCAGCGCTCCAGCTGCGATCGCATAGAAACGACGAGATGATCACACCATAACAGAAGAGCCCGACACTGAAACATGAGATACGGGTACTGCCAGGCCCTGCGGTAGCAATCGCATGCCAGTGTAGAGAGGCAATCACATCCAACGCGCACCGGCACAATGGAGGGTCTCACCTCGCCAGCAGTGCGAAAGATGACCGTACCGGTTGTACATACCGCCAATCGCTACGGTTCCCCTCCGTCATTTGAGTGTATATGACCTCCAAGTACTACTCAGTCACGCACCTATGATCATAAGATGTCGGCTGCCCATTCCTCTCTTGGCCTCGTGAACCCGTTTTGTGTAGTATCTTTGTCGACGCAATGACCTCGACCGAGTGTACCTCATTATGAGCGAAATCATAGAGCATGTACACGTCAAAGAGGAACCCGAGTCCAGATCCACAACAGCGACGCGCACACGTGACCATCGGACACACGTCGCAGACACTGCGGACAACCCGGATTGTGCGAGGCGCTTACATAGGCCTAACATTGCAAGGGCGTGTATATTAGTAAGCCATCAAGTGAACTTCCCTAACATGGGAAGTACATTCCTAGAACATGGCACGATTTCGGAACATAGGAAGAACATAACACTTACATTCCCGATTCTAGGAACATTCAAAATGTTAGGCCGAACAAAGGAATCCCATTCTCTATGTTAGGAGCTCCGACTTAGAGCCGTAAAAATATACACGCCCTTACAATGTAAGTACCATGTGAGCGCTTCGCACAACGCGGTTTGTCCGCAGTGAGACGCGTCGGGTGACTCGGGTCGCCCCATCACAGCCAACTTCTGCAGATGGTAGCTTACAGTATAGCGGCCTCTGTTGGCTAGCCATTTCGATGATCTTCTCGGATAGCAAAGACCAACCTTGATAAGAAGGTAGCGAAGATAGGTATACATCGAAGCGACCACTAGCTGAGCGGCATGACCCACATAGTTTGAGTTCAGTTTATCAGCAGCGCCTTGCCTCACATGCGGCAGGCAACTTCTACGGTGTTTCGCTCGATGCCAAAGTATGATCGCGAGAGCAACTTGACACACCTGTACCTAGACTATTCCGTCAAGCGTAGTACTTACTGAGGCTAGTCCGTGCAGCCGGTAACCTGCGCTGGGTCTTGGGACGCAGCGACTGCGGGGAGCTGTATGTTGCTTATCAGATTGAGAAGCCTGGGATGGTGTGAGAACTCAGAAGGCGATGTAAAGATCAGCATCGGACGGACAGGGCGATGTGCGCTAGTCCACGAGATATAAAGACGGGCTAGTACCTGTTATGAAGCTCCCCAAGTCGCCACCAGCCCTCCTTCACGACACCGCTCAAACGGCACATCGACTGAGCCTCATTATTGGCGAGCGGCATTGGACGTTGTCACACAGACATAACAACATCAGTCCATTGGCGAGACAACTGGAGATAAGTACGCGCTGCATCGACACTGGGTTCGATTAGTGAGTAGTTCACCCGGCGCGCTTAACTTGGGCTGTAGTACTGATGACGTGGGCTAGGAAGTCCAAATCTACTGGAATTGGTGAAGGATCATGTCGTCTACATCGGGGCCAAGTACTCACCGTCCATGTCTATACCAGATACAGGCACCGTCTCACGACATGGACCAATATCTGCAGCAAGGAGTTCCGGTCCTGCTTCCTGAGTCTCGTCATCTCAAGAGCGCCGGCAGTAACTATACCAGCTGGAGGATGCACGTCGGTGCCCTACTGCGTCTCCACAAGCTGTGGGACCAGGTTGACGGCAGCAGATCCAGAATACTATCTCATTCGGACAGGGCCGTTCACAACTTGAATCGATATCGCGGCAAAGGCCATCCTCCTCCTCAATATAGAGGAGCACAATACGGTGCTCAATCCGATAGCTTACATTGCTACGAAGCAGGATGTAGTAAAGCTTGAAGGCATGACTGCACAGGAGATCTGGAACCATCTCGAGCAAAGGTATCTTCCGGCGAATTCGAGCTCCTCCACGCCTGGCAGCTTCCATAGGAGTGGCTGGGGTGTAATAGTTGGTTACGTTGAATGCGATGGAATGGACTCAATGTTCTAGGATGCAAAGACGCAGTTGACCTCGAGCAATGATTAACGTTGACTCACTCATGCGCATGCGGCAATGTCTATGCCGCCATGTCCCAGTTGGCAGTGTATGCTCTGACATTTTGTAGTCACTCGTCGGCCAAGTCGTCCCAATAGCTTATATAGGCGGACGTCACCCTACGTCACCACACAGTCAGTTGATCGTGTGACTGTGATTGAGTTCAGCATGTGTTGCGGAGTCGCTGAGAGTCGCTGGCGAGCTGCAGTCGAGCGGCCCCCTGCTCAGGTTCACTTGGCAGCCTCTGTCAGGCTAAAGTACTAGTGCTTGAAAAGTACAGCCCCTGTGAGTGTCACATTAAGTACTCGGTTGGGTGACTGACCTTGAAGTACAGGTATTCCGTCTGCATTCAGGTTAGTAGTTGTATTGACCCGCACGTTCCTGGAAACGCCAGCACAGTGAAGTGAGTCTGCTCGGGTATCAACTGAGTACAACGAGCAACTTACCAAACGAGATGCGTAGCCCGACACAGGATGGGCAACAGCGCATCTACATACAGGAAGCGAGGTTGGAGTCCGAACGTGCCCATGATTCTCCCTGAGTCTCAGCGACTCAACGCAACAGGGTCAAACTACCTGGAGTGGCGGGCCCGCATCAGCGCCATTATGAAAGCATACACAGTCTACGATTTCGATGGACCGTGCGACGAAGAACACGAAGGGCACGACGTGGCGAGGACCATACTCATTCTCAACATGGAGAGAATAACGCAGACGGTGTTTCCTATTTGTGCGGATGGGCTGGAGATAGAACGCATGAACGCGAGGGAGATTTGGCGCAGGCTCGAGAGTCAAGGATACCGCGGACGCTGAACCGGTGATGCAATCTGGTACAGTAATGCAAATTGCCGTGTCTCTTGTTGCGCGTACTTACGACCACTGCTCACAGGAAACTTTGCATTATTTCGCGACATGCCACCATTCTCTTAAACGCACTAAGTAAGCTCCCTCTCTCTAAGGGAGGACATACAGTGCCTCGTGACTTCCATGGGACAGCCATGGTATTGAAGGCTGCAGGCATCATCAATGCCACCAGTAGATTCCGGCGGAGAACAGGGGACGCGTAAGAATATCGATACTCACAGCGTCGCTGTATCATCTTTGGAACGTGTAGATGGTTGAACGTAGAATCGTCGGGTCATATGACACGACCTGGGTCCTATGCGATACACATTGGTCGAACGGCGCCCTGCCAATTCTGTCAACGAATCAGCCCACTCCTGCTAAACAACCCTCCGCACCTAACTCTGGCGCTTTGCAATCGCGATCTTCAGCTGCTTGTTTGCCAGAGGTCAGTTGTGGCGACCCACTCGCAGTGCTAGGAAGCAATGCCTAACGACGCCGTGACCGTCAGACAACCACAGTATGAGATCGATTCATATACCTATCATACCGGAGTCGCAGCAGCTCAAAAAGACATGTCAAACGTCCGCGAGTGGAAAGTCCGCATGCGTGCCATCCTGGTTGCGCTCAAGCTGTACGGTCATATCGACGGCACAGCCGACGAACACGACAGGGAGACCATCGACGACGCGCACGTCGCCAAAGCAATCCTGATCTCCAACATGCACACACTCGACGCTTTCCTCACGCACGGGTGGGATGAAGCTGCGATGGCAAAAGCCACCGCGGCAGATTTGTGGGCAGCTGTGGACGTGGCGCGGTCACCCCAATCTTCTTCTTGATACATGGGATAGGAGGGAAACTTGCTAGCAGGGTTAGCGGATGACGATATTGCAAGGAGAACATCATGACAATTGATAGCAATCCGTGGACCTAACGTCATCAGTTACAGAGATATTCGTCGAACTTGGATATACGTCGCCCACGGCGACAGGTCCATAGGTTTTGTTTCGTCTGCTCTACCTAACGTGAAGCAACGACCCAATCAGCTCCGCGGTCCACAACGCGAAACACGCTCTATACGCACTGAGACACATCATTTCAACCGCCTCAACTTCTGCAGCACCGTCCCATAGTCCTCCTCGACCCACCGCCTCCCACTCTTCTCCCTGATCCACTTGCAGCTGTACCGCTTCAACTTCTTCGACAGGTCCGACGCGATACGAGCGTGGCTGCACTTCCGCGGCGGGCTGGGCGGGCCCTCATCCGCCTCGTTCGACGGGCGACGCGAGCGATTGCTGCCGACCTGCCTGAGCACAACGGGGGCTTCGTCATAGTATTTTTCTATAGGAGAGAGGACAGCGTGGTGCGCGGTGCAATGCGCTGAGGGAACGACTTTGTCCGGGAGTGGCCTTTGCCCCTTCGCGTTGGTATCGGTATCAATACGCGGGAGTGTGGGTCGTTGAGATGTCGATTGTCAAGTGGCTCGTACGCAACCATCCACCTCCTGTCTCGTCTACGCACGGGGAATCCGTCCCGACAGTTCTGCTAAGCGACGGCCCGGACAGGTCTGATGATGTGTCCGTGAGAGGTGAGACGATAATAAGCCCCAGCTCAGGCGAGTCGGGGATAGCAAGCCGGAGGACGTGCTTCTGCGACAGACGCAGTTCGTGCTCGAAGCCCCTGTCGACCTGAAGGACCGGACTTGGGGGCGGAGGGGCGGGTGGGCTTGGTGGCCGCGGGAGTGGACGATACGTGCACCGGCGTGTGGAAGTGGACGGGCATGGCGGAGGTGCAGGCAGAGGGCGAACCACAGTGGACAGAACGCGGCTGTAGCTACACGGCCGCTGATTCTCGTTGGAGACCACGCGTGAACGGCACGGTGCGCGGGGCCCGCGCAATGCAGATGGACATGACGCACGGGCATTTTGAGGACGCGTGGGCAGACGAGGTAGAGGAGCAGCAGCGCGACACGCTGACTCTGATTCTTGACAGTCAGGCGTGGCCCATGGCAAACCGACGAGGGATTTGCACAGCGGCGAGATGGGCGACAGTGGTTCTAGATAGGACGGCATGAGTGGTGCAGATTAGCGGTGTGTAGAAACGGAATAATGAAGAGAGGGACGAAGGTTGGATGCAGTAGAGCTGTTCAGTAGAGTAGCGGATTAAAGGGTGCCAGTACGATAGCAGGAGTCGGCTTTTGGGTGTGCGCGGGCTTAACGAGGAATGACCATCTGTCCAGCAGAGAAGGTACGCGTCCGGCGGTGTGTTGTCTTGAGGGCTGTTGGTGTGCGGCCGTTATATGTAAGACCTGTTGGGGCATGATGGGGGGTGACACAAGTGGTTAGCGTCGCAGCAACGGCCATCATCGTCTCGATCGAGATCGTCGGCATCCGACGCGAGAGCTCCATCGTCACATTGTGGCACCAAATGGATGCCCTCCTCCTCCTCTTCAGACTTTCAGAGTCTGTCTCGGTCCACCGCCCCCTGACGGCACTCTTCCAGACGCACATACAACAACCAATGTGCCCTCAGCGTGCCCCTTTGCTACAAACAGACGTCTACCCGACCGTTGCAGTCGTCTCAGAAGGTTGATGCGGACTGTCGATACACAGCAAAATGATCGATCCAATAGTCCAATGCGCATCCCGAGCCGATCTGCTCTAGATTGCTAACTTGTACAAGACAGAGAGTCTCACAGGACGCATAGAGAGCTCGGGACGCAGTCCTGTGGAGCACCTTCATCAAGCGCATGCGCAAAGTGTCGGAAAGATGCCAACATCCCGGCCCTCAGGCTAAAGTCAGGGCTAAGTAGTCCCCTGTTGCATTCGCAGGGATTGCACGTCTCATACCTTTCGTTCACGAGCTACGGGAAGCCCTCCCCACAACATCACTGTGCCACCGTCCCAGTTCCAACTCACCTAAGAATCACCCAAGCTAGGTCGCCATCGGCTCACTGCTGCAGACAGGCCCGTCGTCGCATACACAGCCTCATCAAAGTGCTTCGGGGCATCACGGATGGGCCTCATGCGACAGGAGACCCTACCTCCTTTACACCCTTCTAAGAGTTCGACTTCTACCGCATCTCCTGATGTGACGGTCGAGGCGTGTTTACAATAATATAACTTACCTGGGGGCGCAGCGTCGGGTCGTCACGGCGAACACTGCGTAGTCCAAGCGTAGTCTCCCATCAGCTCTGGAGACGAAGAGAAATTGTCCGTCATATTGATCACCATGCATCTAACACCAGCGTGCACGCGTAGAGTACGACTTTGGTACGACCACACGACCTGGTTGGATCGATCTACGCCTCGACGGTGCGTTGCAGCTATGCCTGTTGTTGCGAATCGAGCTTCGCCAGAGTGCCCATCATCCGCAAGAACGTAGCCGGCGCAGCAGAGGCACCCTTCCCGGCGGTCCCAAGGAACGCCTTCAGCTGGCCTTGTTCCAGTCCCCATCGGTACTCTGCTAGGTAGTTCCTAGCCGTCTGCACCTTCAGACCGGTCAGACGCGCGACCTCCTCAATGATCTCGTCGTCGTCATCGAACTGCGGCTGAGCAGTACACTGCAAATATACACCCAGGAACGTCTGGCCGCGACCGTTGGCCGTCAGAAGATGCGGATGGACGAAGTACCGATAGTGCTTCGCGACGAATTGGACTCTGGAGTGGTAATGAGGATTCTCCTTCGGAATATCAGGGTTCGAGAGATCAAGGCCAATCCGTGGCGACTGGAAGATACGCGGTTTGAAGCGGCCCCGATTAGGTTGAATGCGCATCAGCCGTAGATGAGCATTCGTAGCAGCGGGAACCGTGACGGGGGGTGCGCTGCCCACAGCCCCTCCAACCGAGATGGAGAACGCTGATATATCCCCACGCAACCTAGCGGTGACCAGTTCCGCGACAGACTTGGCGCGACTTGCGCGCAGGATCTCGTCAACGAGGAGAGACGGACCAGAGAAGACCTTCTGGTCTGATACGCGTCGTAACGTCCGCAGCAGAATGCCTCCCCGCGTTTGCGTGCTCTCCGTACGCGTCGCGTCGCGTTCCGCACTACCTTCAGGTAGGTTTCTTAATGGGCCGTCAGGGGACACGCCAATCGTGAGGTCGAGTCCTTTCCGCGTCCCTCCTCTGTAGCCGCTGCCCTGCGCCTGTGAAGGCTGTTCATTTCCCGATCGTCGCGGTGCACGGTGGAAGTACCTATGGCATAATCGGTTAGACAATGCAGGCCGATTTACAGAGCATCTACCATTGCCCAGCATATTGCTGTTCGTGCGATCGGTGCGTGAATGGGTCTGCATGGCAGCCAGGTCGGTAGAGGTAGAACTCGATCTCCATGAAGTCGTACTCGGTCTTGCCGTGTTCAGTAGCCACCGAGAGCCGGTAGTCGTTTAGTAGAGCAGATGCAATCGTGCTAAATCTAGTTTCGATGTCTTCTGGCGAATTCAGTTGCGCGAGGTCCAGCATACTGAATAGCTGGGGCACGCTCTCGTCCGTGGATTCAGAGTCGTTCTCGACTCCCATACTAAGATTCACGATGGTTAGTGGACACGTCAACTCAGACGAGGATTTTTCACCACTCACCAGCCTGAGCTGTCGACACGCCTCCTCTTCAAACTACTTTTCCTGTCGACATCACTATGTGTGCGCGTCGCGTCGATGTGGTGGAATACCAGTCCTCACGAAGATGACTTACCTACCGTCAATGGTGGAGGGACTTTGGTGTCGTCGTTTGAGCACATTAGAAGTGGTTGAGACACCAGTCACCTTCGACATATCTTGCTCTCGAAGCGCATGCGACAAGTCGAGGTTAACAGGCAAGCGCTTGCGACGCGTGATGGAGGCCATGGGCTGTGACGCGGTCACGTGCTGGTGACAGCCCGCGACAAGTACCCGTCTGCAGTGCTGAGGATGGTTGCTCGCGCGCTATCTGACAGCGTAGAAACACTCCAGGAGGAATGCAGGGTTATGGCACATATTTAGATGCACTTATAAAGTTGAACAGTAGAACCTGAGGCACATACAGAAGTTGTATTACAACGTGAAGGACGCAGAGAGTCCCAGGACAGACGACCGACTACATACAGAGCAGATAATAAGCAAATAAGATATATGGCATGACGGACTTTATTGACGAGGGATTGAGGCACCAATTTACGCAGGCACGCGTCGCGTCGACTGCATTCGAGACGGTTACATGTTATGGTCCGTCTGCACCGGTGTCCATTGACACGTCAGTGCGTCTGGATGTTTGCGCATGGGTAGAGGGAGTCGAGCCAACGTCGATGGGTTCAATCTGTCGAGTCCTCGTCGACATCGTCGGAGTTGTCCCCGACGGCGTTGGGATTGAGACTGGGTGCTGCAGAGCGCCTGGCTGTGTTCGTTCCTCCGTTGCCTCGGTATGCCCCTTCGCAGCTTCGACATCTGCCGCCACGACGTCGTCATCTCGCTGCCTTCTGCGTCCGCGTCTGCATCAATGTCCGCGTCCACGTCTCCCTCAGCATCTGCATCACTGACGCCTTCCTCCTCTTCAGGCCCAGGGTCTTCCGGTTCCTCCACCGCCAACGTCTCGCCCGTCTGCATCTTCGACATCGCGGACGGTCCAGGGCCCGCCCGCCGCCTCTCCTTGTCCCGGTCCGGCTCCGCGCTCTGTCTCCGACTTCCCGGTCTGCTCGTCGGCATCTGAGCTGCCTGATCTGCGAGCACGTCCAACGCGCTCCTGACTCTCGTGATAGGCGCGGGTGTAGGGGCTAGCTGGGTGAGTTGGGCACTTCGCCATTGGCGGTCGCTTTCCCCTTACCCTTTGTCTGCGCTGGCGGTGGAAGTACCGGATTTTCGCGTTGTTTACCCTTGCCTTTCCGGTCAGGCGGCGGACGGGGCAGCGTCTGCTCCTGTGGCTCCTGGCTTGTTGCGCGAGTGCGGCTCTGGTTTGCCTCCTCGTCCTTCCCGTGGTACCTCGCGTCGAGGCAGTGCTGCCCGCCGAACCCGACGCACCTACTTTCCGTTTCTTCGGTACCGGCCTGTCTAAGGCAGAGGCAGAAGCAGCGGACCGTCTCCTCGGCGACCTCTTCACGCTCGGCAGCTCCTCCTCTTCCTTCTCGTCTCATCGCCAGCCCCACCCCCAACTCCATCCCCGTCCCCATCGTAGTCTTCGTCCACCATCAAAGTCCGCGCAGCAGTCGCAGCGCTCAACAACGAATCCAACGGCGTAGCCGGTGGCCCTGCGCACGCCCGTTCTTTACTGGCGATCTCCCCTGCGTCTGGGCGTGGCCTCCACGCCCCTGGGGAGGACCCGGCGCTTGAGACTGCTGCCTCCCGCGGGCGGCGTCCCGGCATCGGCCACACTGGCACCATCATGGCTGTTCCCTGCGGCACCTGTGCGGCACCGCTCGTCCACCCGGCGGACTAGGTACTGCCTGCATATACACGAATCCCGGCATGGGGTACGGATGCGCAGGCACAGATCCAGGAGCGACACGCATCTGCGGCGGAGTCGCCGTGAGCTGGTATGGCCCCGACGGGTGCATATGCTGAACACCCACGCCCCTAGCCTGTGTCGCAGTCGTACTGGTACCGGCACTCGGACCCGCCACAGCGCTCTGGTAGTTCGATGGCCCCGCCTCTCCCTCACTGGGGACCCACGTACCCTGCCAGTCAGGGTGGTTCCCGAGCACGACGCCCGAAGTACGTTGTGCCTCCTCCGTGCCTTCTTCGCTGCTTCTGCCCGCCGCTCCTCGCGCTCACGCCCCCTCACCAGGCCAGCGGCAATGCCCGCACGGACGCGCCCGATCTTGCGCGCCGCCGTGAGGATACACTCGGCCCGCGCGTCGGTGAGTAAGGGTGCGCGCGGGCCGGGAGCCTTGAACCGCGCCCGCTTGTCCTTGCTCTTCTTCGCGTGCTTCTCTACGTGCTTGGAACTTGACGCTTTCAGCGCAGATGGCATGCTCGGCTGGGACGGAGGCACAAATACGTCGCCCGTAGAATCGAGTCGTCGTCGCGAAGGACCTGCGCCTTGTGTGTCTTCCGGGGCAATGGTCAGGTCTTGCGGCCTCACGCCCGTCTCGCCAGTCGATTGTCCATCCACACGGGCACTTGGAGTAATCATGTCTGGAACGATGTCTATCGCATCCCGCCCGACAACTAGCTCAGCATTCGCATCTAGTCCTTGAGTCTGCGGAGCTGCAGCAAGGACATCCTCCTTCTTGACGCGGTGAGTGGACTTTCTAGCCTTCTTGGGATCGGAGTTGTCATTTGGCGCTGTGAAGTCCAACAGGGTAGCATGCTGAAGGACGTCTGGGTCCCGGAGGAACTCAGACTGTACCGCAAGCAAGGGGCGCAGACGAGAAAGCTCGGATTCCAGCGCGGACAGGCGGGTGTTGGTATCAGAAAGCTATACCCAGAGACCAGCCGAGGGCAAAACAGCAGTCACAAAGCACGTCGAAGGAGTTGAGATTTCAGGAAAAGACATGTCCATCAGCTCAATAGATATGACAACATTCTAGCAACATACCTTATGACGCAGAGCAGAGTTCTCATCTCGTAGTCGGGCGAGTGAACGCTCAGCTTCCTATGACGATGAAGTTAGTACAGGTTGACAGAACATGGTCTGTGGTGTCCGGTGGAACAGAGTGATCGCGTTCAGCACAACTGGGAGCCACGGAAGTGCAAGAAGTTGCTAATTCTACGAAGAGGACATGTGCCTTCGGCAACTTCTTCAGTCTTCCCGGGGGCGCCTTGTACAACAACCTTTGCATAGCAGTTCTACGCGCATAGGAGATGCAGAACACATTCACAAAGGGCTTCCGCGTGAGTAGCCGGGTTGCGAATGTGATCACCGGTAGAGACCTGTCTGTGATAGCTACATAGGAACCCGAGGACGAGAAAATGAGGATATACACACAGACCTGCAAGCCATCGACATATGCACTATGCACTCACGTGGTCCTTTTCCGCGACGCCCTTGGTATCGCGCCGCTGGCGGAGGAGGGCCTCCGCGGTGCGATCCCAGCCTTGACGCTCGACATCCCACAGCGCGCGCTCTTCCTCTCGACCGTGAAGCAGTAAATGGCGCTGGAGGTTAAGAGTAGCTATAGTCTCAGCTTGGGAGGCTAACTGCGAGGGGGATGGTTGGAGGACGGCATCGGAGGTCAAGCGCAAGACCTAAGGCACCAGGATACAGTTAAGTCAGAGCGAAGCGTATCGCAGCGTACGACACGTACCATGGTTGCGAGTTCTCTCTCCAGTGGTGTCGCATCTCGACTCGGACTAGGCCCTGTAAGTCCGAGGTGCTGTACACGCTGTCTCATGGCGTCCAGCTCAGGCCGATCCAGCGGTTCCGGAGTTGAGGGTACGCCTTGTGCATCGTAGACATGTATGACAGCTGCCCCACCCTGTTCGAGTGCGAACACGCCGTTGCCATGAGGAGGTTGTAGTTGCGCATCAGGTAGAGGCACCTGCGTTTCGGAGGGAAGTGCGGCGGTCTGGGGGCGGGCGAGGGAGACATGGTGTGCATGATGTCTGAGAGGTCGAGGGCGGGGCCATCGGCGGCCTGCATGGTGCACAGCGCGCCGTGGGCAGGGAGGACAGTTCTCGTAAGCCGTGCGGCGCGGTGGCGAGGAAGAAAGCACCCCGGGAGACAAACAGCCAACAACAACGCCGTCGCCCTCCTTCACGCGAAGCGACCACGTGATGGGACCATTTCCGTGCGACCGGCGTCTACAGACAGACTTCCTTTTGGGAACACTAGAGGTCGTTGGCTCAGATGGCTGTTCGCCCGAGTGTACCAAAATGTATATCTGGGAAGTTCTGTAAGCATTATCCGCTCAGAGGATTTTCGCAAGGAAAGCTTACCCTCTGATAGTAGCCTGAGTAAGCTGATGTCCGTGCGTTTGCGCGCCACACCGCTCGCTGACTGAAACACTTGTCAATATTATACCTGTACAGACGTGCAGTCGGCGGTGCAGATGCCTTCGATACGTCGTTCGCGCAGACCTACCGCTTTGTTGTAGACTTTTGGGAGGCAGTCGTCGTGGTACAAGAAGCAAAGCTGGGATGGGAGTGTCTACTACGCCGGGGAAGCCTAGACTGGGCTTACGCGAGGGACGATCGAGGCCGTCACGTGGGACGCGTCCGGCGCGCGACGAACGCGCTGGAGGAGCGAGCGGCGAATGGCCTGTTTCGTGTCTCCCAGCCGCCTCCTACACATGCGATCGTCCGCCCCCGCTTCATCTCCCCCGCCCTGATCTCCATGCCCCCGTCCTCTGCGTTCCAGTGGTTCCTGCTCGTCCTCCCCGCAGCCGTCTTTCTCGGCTACCTCCTCACTGCGTTCCCACTCGCCACAACCACCCCGGCAGTCCACCCATCGCTCGCCACCCTTCCGAAAGAGTCGCCGAGCTGGCAGATATATCCGGAGACTTTCTATGACGGTGGCGCATATGTCCACTTTCCGCAGGGCGCGGTGAGCCGACCGATCGAGGGTCGTGCGATCTAAGCTCATGCGCTTCGATAGGTCCGCTATTGGCTCACAGGGCCAGAGAAGGGACAACGAGTGAGTGCTCTCCACCTTGCGCGCCCTAGCAAAGCATGACATGCACCCAGGTTGTTCTCATTCATGGCCTTTCCGTGCCGTCTATCATCTGGAAAGACGTTGCACCTCAATTGGCCCAAAATGGGTTCCGCGTACTGCTCTACGGTCAATATCTCGCCCCGCCACTAGTATCCTCTCTGACTGCTCACACTTCTGTCTCGCAGATCTTTACGGCCGCGGCTACTCCGACGCGCCGCAGACAACGTACGATAATGGCCTATACACGACGCAGCTCGCGCTGCTCATGCAACACGTCGGGTGGGATAAGGCGCACATTGCGGGCGTCTCCATGGTACGCATGCTCCCTCAAGCACGCATTCCGCTATCTCACTCAATTTGATTAGGGTGGAGGGGTCGCTGCAGCGTTCAGCGCCCAGTTCCCCCACCTCGTGTCTGACAAGGTCGCGCTCGTCGCGCCGACAGGGCTGCTCAACCCGACCGACCTCTCGCGGACAACCCGATTCCTCTCCTCGCCGCTTATGCAGCTGTTCACGGCAAGCTGGCCCGTCCGCGTACGTCCCTTCCTTCTTCCCTCCTCCTAAGTCTTCCTTACCTTCGACGCAGCTGTACATCAGGTACCTTGCAAACAGCCACCCAACCGATGATCCCATCGCAGAGCTTGTAAGACTCCAGTCGGCGTACCTCCCTGGGTTCAACGCCGCCGTGGCCTCTTCCCTCCGGGATGGGCCCGTGCGGAGCCTCGCGCCCGCATACGCAGCGCTCGGGCGGCGAGCTGACAAATATAAAACGCCGAGCGTCCTCCTTGTCTGGGTGAGTGGTCATTATCTTTCCCCTCTCCCGCGATCGCCTATGGGCATCTGCTGATATATGTGCGGCTGCAGGGCACGTCAGACACGGTCGTCCCCTACCGCACGTCGAAGCGCGTGCGGACCCTCGTCCCGAGCGCACAGCTGCTCACGATCGAAGGTGGTGGGCACGACATCACGATCACGCACGCGAAAGAGGTCGGCGCTGCGCTGGTGAGGTTCTTCAAGGGCCAGCCGCTTCCATGACCCCTCGGTGAAAGAGGACGACGGAGATGGATGCCGCAGAGGCATCATGATGGTGATATGATAGGTTAGGTTACGATCGCGCTTCCCTGTGTCGATGGACGGTTCGCGCTCTTTTAGTTCTATTTTATTGGCTTCGTTTCGTTCGCTTTGTACTCTCGCTCGCCGTTCGGTCCTCTTTGTTCCACGGCGGCTCTCCTGTTACACTCGTCTTCCCCCGTTCCACGACCCTATCGAGGACCTTTACACACGTACGCACTACTATACATTTGTTTGTCGGCACCCCCTCGAGTCACAAAAGTACACTTGATAGGTTAATGTTGTTCGCGATAGATGTTGTACACCGCTCATACGTTCATGTATCCGCTGTTGTATGCCATCTCTCCCGTCTCCTGCGCACCCTGTGAAATCGCGGAGAGCGACTCGGCAGACTCGTATCGTGGCGACGTCGCCGTGCACAGAAAGCGCCGGGTCTGCGGCCGCGGCGCGTTCAATGATCATCACATGGGCGCGGTGCCTACGACTCGAATTCGAGGGCATTCATGATCGTCTTCGCCGGTACATGTACTTATATCACTAGGCTTCTTCTCATATGTATGTATATCCTGTTGTATCATCGTTCATTTCAACGCCGGACCCGCAGCCAAAATGGGATTGATGCGGATCTCCTCCTTGACCCACTAGTAATATCAAACAGCACCCGTCAGCAGTCCACTCGCAATATAGCATATTGGCAGCACTCACGATGTCCTCGGTGTAGAACAGGTCAGACTCGACGATCTCCCTGACCTTCTCGATGCTCTCCGCGCGGAAGATGATGAATGAGGAGATCGCTTTCAGGTCCGAGGGCGGTCCAGCCGGGTTCGAGTCCGAGCTGAGCATAGGCCCTCCAAGTTCTGGTGCATCCAGTACACTTCCTGTCAGCGGGAATGCGTCCCGAGCAAGTGCGCTACGTTACTCACGGACCGTCCCGTCGTCCCACATCCCCGTGAGCCTCTGGACGTGCGCCGGGCGGTGCTGGGCGCGGCGCTTCATCGCCTCTGGGTCTTCCGTCTTGTAGGGTGCGGTGAAAACGTACAGGTGGCGGGTCGCGGACATCGCTCTTCTGTGGTGATGAGGGTGGACTTTCGGCAATGGGAATCTGCCTGGTGAACCTAGTGGTTCTGAGACTATATATGCATGCGGTCGGCGCTTGTACTTAGGTTATGTCAGATGGTCTACCACCTCAGGCTTCCGTACACACGGGGGAACTGAGTCAGCCCCGGACTCGGAGACGGTTGGGGAGTCCGGAGAACCGTTCGTAGCAGAGGTGACCGGTTGACCGGTGAAACCTGCGCAGCGGACGCGGACGAATCGACGACTTGAACTCGCGTCATTTAAATGAACGTCACGTGGGCGCGTTCCAGCCATCTCGTCCGAGTCGTCGAGTTGATTCTCCTCGTACATTAATTGCGCAGACGGTAGACCATATGCGATGCACGAATATGGCAACGCGCCTGCAGTCCTGGTCGCGTGCCATCGTCATCGCATGTACATATGTACTTACTACTTCCTACATTCGAATTTCTCTTTTCTCTCGCCACAGAGCGCGCATATCCCGTTAAACGGTACTTCATATCAACGCCGGACCCGCGGCAAGCACAGGGTTGATGCGGATCTCCTCCTTCAACCACTGTCAAAGCGGTTCGCTCTCGTCAGCAACCAATCCACAGGACAGTTCGCAGCACACTTACAATAACCTCCGTGTAGAACAAGTCCGTTTCGACGATCTCCCTGACCTGCTCGATGCTCTCCGCGCGGAACAGGACGAACACGCCAACCCGTTTCTGCTCCGAGGGCGGCCCGGCGGGGTTCGAGTCCGAGCTGAGCATAGGCCCGCCGGTCTCTGACGACGCCAATGCCATCTCATTAGCGAGAGCACATCACAGGCAGGCAGCAGACGATATACTCACGGACTGTCCCCTCTTTCAACAAGCCCATGAGGCTCTGGATGTGCGCCGGGTGGTGCACATCCTGGCGCTTCATCGCCTCTGGGTCGCTCGTCTTGTACGGCGCAGTGAAGACATACAGGTGGCGGGTCGCAGACATCCGTGCTCGTTCCGCGATGATGGTCGTGGACTTCGTGGGTCTCGCTTGCTGAACCTATTTTGTGTCACGGTCAGCGCGTGTGTGTCGGCGCCTGTACGCCGGTTGTAACAGATGGACTGCTCGGGTTTCGTTGTTGCTGCAAACGGTCGCGTCCCCTCCGAGCCCGAAGCTCACTTAGCTCCGCAACGTGCACCAAAACTTGGTGGTGAAGCGGACGAATGACGCGGGAGCAACACATGTTGTTGCCAAGTTGTTACTGAAGCTGAATGGCATGCGGTATACACGGATGAGGCTATCCCGCCGTAACGCGACTTGTGTAGCCCTACGCTACGTTCACCATCGGGTGCAGCTGAAGTCTGTCCCTATCCCACTGGAGCAAGGACGCGAAAGTCAGTCGTCAGCACTTCCGCGCGTACCACCGAGGTGGAAGACACGACTCACCACCCCCTCAGTATAGAACGGGTCCGTCTCCACGAGCTTGCGCACGCTCTCGAGAGTCTCGCCCTGGTAGACGAGCACGGTGCCGAACTTTTCCAGCTCTACGTGCGGCTTGGAGAGGTCTGCCTCGGGGCTGAGCACTGGGCCGGCGAGTTCTGCGGGGAGCGTCAGCACTGGCCGGGCGTCGCAGATCGTGGGTCATCGACAACGCACTAATGGTGCCAGACGCGATGAGGGGGTCCAGAGTAGCTCTGTGTGCGGAGCGGGAGGAAGCCCATCGCCCTGTAGTACCTGGGGATCTCGAAAACGGGGCCCATAAGATGAAGAGATGCCGAGTCAACGTCGACATCGTTGGAAGTTGATTGGGAATTCAATCGTGGTTCGGTTTGGGCGATCTCATGCTGTATAAGTATGGGATGGACGAGGGGGTGCCTTGGAGGACATGTATGTCATCCGAAGCTCGGGATGGGACCGAGGATGGTATCGGGCAAGCACCGGACGGCAGCCGCAGCGAGCTGAAGTATCAAGATAATTGCGACTGCTTCGAATACTATAGTCTGTCAGAAAATCATCGCTTCTGTCCTGATCAGCATTGACAGGACAGTTTGGCAATACGGTAGCCAGAGCCATCATCTTCGCGTTCGAAAGAAAAATATGGGCTACTTACCTGTTCGCCTTACAGGCCTGCCTTCATGCATAAGCTGGCAAGTCGGGCAGCTTTACTCACGCCGCTGCTTGCCCGGCGCCCGGTATGCGGAGTGTTATTTAACCTACAAACATGACCAACGGTCTCGAAGGCTCGTATACATACATACACCTTGCATACACTCATGAAGGTCCGCTACGACGCGTCCTGCTGAGGAAGAGCCAAAGTACTGCTCCGGTACTGCTGCCGCCTCTGCTACCGGGTCTTCCGAGTCGGGGAAGGCGAGAGGACGTTATGTGGGTGTCTCGCCAAGCTGGTTAGATGGCTGGTGTCGACCGCACAAGCATGACGACCCGTGTGCGAGCAGAGGTGAGCCAGACCGCGCACATGGTGGTCAACTACATAGAAAACGGTCTGAGGATCGCGTCGCTGCCAAGGACCGGGTATCACATGCCCACGCAACAGAAGTGTGGGGTAGCGCCCGGCAGATTCCTCCCCACCGCAAAGTGCTGTCGCCATGCATTGATCCCACTACGCCCCCTGGGCCATGTCTCCTCCCTAACTCCCCTCATCTCCTTCCTCCCCTTCAGCCGCGTCACGACGTGTAATTTTTGAACAAGGATGTCTCTTTCCGCCCCCGCTGCGGGGCAGGCTTCCTCGCGCCCGCAGCCTGAGCGACCTGACATACCCCGCAACCCTTCTTTCATACAGTTTACGCCCAAACGCGCCATGGCATCTTTCGAGAATTTGGTCGCGCTTGCAAACTATGAGGAACGCCTGAGAGAGGCGCGGAAGATCGTGTGGCGGGACAGAGGTGAAAAGCCGGTCGAGCTGCATGACTTGTGGGAGTGTGCCGAACATGCTGGCAGAGGAGGCATAAGTGCGTAAACCCCTTCTATCGAAATACAGCCTCAATTTTATCTGTTGACGCGTATATCAGGGGCTGGAGGTCTTGCATTTGCCATCCGAGCAGGAGTGAATCTCATCCTACTGATGACAAGAATCAAGCGGATCCCTGCGTAAGTTATCCATTTCCAACGTGCGGATCGAGTTCATTCTTTCACGTACATCTACCACCGATGACACTCTGGTGGTTTCGCCGTCATCCTGAATTTCAGCGACCTGGCTAAGTTCCCTAACCCACAACCTCGTCATCTTACTGTGTTGACCCTTGCCAGTGAAAGGGCTCCTGGCGCGTAATATACTGACAACTTTTGGTCACAGCCAATATCGTCTTACCCTCATCCGCCATGCTGCGTTTGGCGAGGACTCCTTCCGCTTCGCCACAATGCTGGGTACGTCCTCTGTTCCGTGCATGCCGCCTCACCTCCACCGTCTTCCGAGCCCTAACCTCACGACTCTCCTTGCAGGCTCGTTCGTCGCGATCTACAAGTTCATCCTGAATGCGCTGCCAATCCTCCTCTCCCCGCCGTCAACTTCACCCATTCTTCCCTCCCACACATCTGCGCATAATCACTCGGGGTTCTACGCCTCCGGGCCGGCCGACTCGCCCTTCGACGATGTCGAAGAGGTCGATCTCGAGTTGCAGCCCCGCCGCCGCCTGCCGCGCCAAGCGCGTCTCTCCATGAGCGCACAGGCGCACCAAGTATGGGTGCGCAAGCGGACACGACGGTGGTACTCGGTGCTGGCGGGCTCCGCCGCGGGTGCTATTTCTGTGTGCTTCGAGAAGAAGTCTCGGAGGGTCGCAATTGCGCAGCAGATGTTTGTTCGAGGCCTGCAAGGCTCTTTCAACGCTTTCTCGCAGACGCACGGTGTGAGCATCCCACATGGTGACGTGCTTATGTTCGGTCTGTGGTACGTATCACGAGACCTCGTAACATGGAAGTGTGCTGAAGCCCCATAGCTGCGGCCAGATCATGTATGCATGGCTTGTACGGCCCGAGACGCTTGACAGAGGATATGATATGTGGTAGGCACACACGCCTCTTGCAACTGGACAACTGACGAGGATTATCAGGATCGCAACTGCGAGTAAATGTCTCTCAGAGACTGTTGCAATCGCGCGAGATCTCCTCAGAGATGGCGTGTTCAAGGTCTCAGACATGCAAAAGCTCGCTGCTAGACCTGTCAGTCCCTCTCCCCGTCCTAGCTGACTTCCTTGACTCACAGCCATTGCTCAGGACACCACCCCGGCAAACCGCACCAAACTCCTCGCGTACATCGCGCGAGCCACGGCGCCCCCGCCCGAGCAATCCTTCGGCCCGCGATACGTGCCATGCGCCGCGCTGCATCCATGGAGTGACTCACACGCGCTCACGCAGATCGAGCGCTTCGTAGACGTCTTCCGGTGGATGCTCCCGATATACGGGGCGCTGCACCTCATGCCCATGCTACTCTTCCGGCGGAATCGGGTGCTGAGTGACCCAGTGAACATGCTCCTGAGAGCGGGGTGGGGGACGGCCAGGAGCTCCGCCTTCCTCGGGGCGTTCGTGTTCATCTATCAATGTACGTCGCTCCCGCCGTGTTCCATTCACCGCTCGCACGGCGACTGACGGCTAACGTGTGCACCCGCCAGCGATGTTCTGCGTCAAACACAACCTCTGGGACGTGCTCACTGCGCTGCGCACCTCGTCCTCCACCTCCCTCCTCGCGTACCTCGCGCGCCTCCTCCCGCAGCGCTTCATCGACGCGCTCATCGCGAAGAAGAGCTACTACGCGCTTGGGATACTCACGGGCCTGAGCTTGTTCGTGGAGGAGAAGAAGCGCAGGGAGGAGCTGGCGATGTACGTGATGCCGAAGGGCATGGAGAGCGCGTGGTTGATGGCGAGGGGACGCGGATGGGTTGGGAGGACGGGGCAGTGGGGCGAGGTATTGGTGAGTGACCGTACTCGATGTTTCATTTGGTGGACGCATGCTGAGTTGATCGGCGCTGTCTAGCTGACGGCGGTGGGAATGGGGATGGTCATGGTAAGACAACAGTCCCGTGTTCGCGAATAGAGGCTAATAAGGCATCCTTCTCGCAGAGTATCTACCAAGTGAGTATGGTTTTCTTTCTCTGCTGTAGCGGTACTGATCAATTCGACCCCAGAACGATCCTCAACATTTATCGGGTCTCGTTCGCAAGATTTTGTACCAATTTGTTGGTCCCAATTAGGCCCGGAGAGCACATACCCGGTCCTCGCAGTTCGTAAATATTGTATTTGTCGTCACCCAGCCAGCAGTGCTTCCTTTATGCTCCTTCGATTATGCGCCATCCGCTGTAATTCATGCGTGTTTTGTGTCTGGAAGCCGCCGCTGCTGCCGCACGATGGTCATCGAGAGGACCTTTGTAGTCGGCGACGACGATCGAAGGTAGGGTGGACATAGGGCAAATGCCTGACAGGGTTTCTTCTTCTCGCCCGCAGGAGGTTTCTCGCCGCCGAGGCATGCATCGTTACGCTCTCAGAACCTTCCTCCTCGTGTCTTCTGGCTCTGCTACTTATCACTCAGTGAGTGTCATCATGCTTCGAAAGTATCGTCAGGATCATCTGATCTTTTTTCTTTGTTCGGAGGGCTCTTTCTAAAGGGGCAGTGGCACGAAACAATTGGTCTCGCCCACCCGCCCAGCCAACAAGCGGGTCACCCCCGCTAACGTATAAGGATCATCTGATCGGTTTCACAGGCATAGCTATGTCTCGCTACATCCCGCCCTAGCCTCTCATTGCCGTCAACCACGGGAACGACAAGTGACACCGACATTGTATTTATCAAGCTCGCAGCGTCCCTACCTTGCCTACGGTTTCAGGTGCATCTACACCCTAGTCTCACCGATGACGTCGCCTGCGAGCCAGTTCACCCTCTATTCGTCTGTCATCGCCCCGAACGGCTGGTGAGTGTACACACGCTTGAAGACGGCTCACCTAAGTGGGCACCACAGGAAGGTCGCGATCGTGCTCGAGGAGCTGAGCCTTACGTATGAGACGGTCTACCTGAACTTCCAACAGGGCGAGCACAAGGCACCAGAACACACGAAGTACAACCCGAACGGGCGGATTCCGACCCTGATTGACCATGGGAGTGGTGATTTCGTCATATGGTGGGCGATCCTGTTCGAAGGATGCCTGGCTGGTTTGCTGAACCGAGGCGCATACTTAGGGAATCGGATGCGATCCTGACCTACCTCGCCGAGAAGTACGATCCAGGCCACAAAATCTCCGTCAGTGAATGTGGCGACAGAATCCACCAGCTGCAGTGGCTCTTCTTCCAAGCTTCCGGTCAAGGGTGCGTGCACGTCTCTACTATGCCTATACGCATAAGTACACTCTGGTGCGCATCTGATGTGACTCTTGGTAGTCCATACTTTGGGCAGTCAACCTGGTTTTTGTACCTGCACCACGAGAAGCTTCCCAGCGCGATCGAGCGATACCAGAAAGAGGTTCTTCGTGTCTTCGGCGTCCTCGAAAGCGTGCTCTCTCGCCAAGACTGGCTTGCCGGTGGGAAGTGTACCATCGCAGACCTGTCGTTCATCCCGTATGTCCCCGGCCGTTGTTTCTCTGACAAGCGCATATGAACCTTGGTCACAGATGGAACGATATCGTGTTGGATCTGGCCCTGAAGGATTACAACGACTTCAACTTCGAGAGTGACTTCCCCGCGTTGCACAAGTAAGTGTAGAGGTTCTTCAAGTGCTTCGAAACTGAGGCAAAGATGTCTTGCAGATGGCACACGGCCATGATGGCCCGTCCGAGTGTCCAAAAGGTCTGGGTGGCCAAGGCATTGATTCAGGACAGTTAGGGCGTAAGCGTGTGGGCGTGATACACCGTAGGCCAATAGACCTCGGGCAGCTCATCATACCATGCTACTCGGTGAGTTGACATTCACCCGCCGAGCCTAACAGAGTCCGTGGACTCATCTGGACTGCGTGCGGATTCCAGTAGCCCTTCTACAACTACATGGTTCAATATTCAATTCTTATCTCATCATACTCTGCCTGCCGTACTGCGTACTTCAACGTGTCGCACGCTGCCTACAATCTTCAATCACGGATCTTTTGACTCCAGCTTTCTCCGTTCGCTCGACCAGTATGAAGCAGATCGCACGCACGGTCTCAGACAGTCATTGCTTGATTGTATGTATCAAAGACGACGTTGAACGTTTATAGGCTAGACTACGAACTTTATACCTGCGCCGCCACAAGAGAGTCTCTCAGCTGTATCTGCTCGGCAATCACCTTCCTTGTCACCACAGCGTTATGCCACCTCAACCAGTTCTTAGTCTCCGACAATTTGGTACAAACTGGCAAGTACTCACCTGTTGACGGCAGGGAAGTCTCGCTCGAGGTTGAAGTCAGCTCTGTCGCCCATATACATGCTGAGAGCTGAGTGCCAACTGGTGTAGGATACGGAGCCATCACTACCAGTCAACGATCTCGCCCGATCAAGAGTGCTGCAAACTTACGGGACGAAGGACATGTCGGCGATGGTACACTTCCCACCGACAAGCCAATCCTGCTTGGAGAGGACACCCTCCAGTACGCCGAGGACACGGATGACTTCCTGCTGGTAGCGTTCAACGGCACTGGGTAGTTTCTCGGGATGCCACAATTTGAACCAGGCTGCCTGTCCGTAGTAGGGGCTGCGACAAAACTTAGCAAGCATTCGAGCCGTGAAAACCATTCGAGCAATTACCCCTGGCCGGATGCTTGGAAGAAGAGCCACTGGAGTTGCTGGGCTTTCTCGTCGGCGTCCGAGACTGAGATCTTGTGCTCAGTGTCGTACTTCTCAACGAGGTACACCATGATCGCGTTCGATTCCCTGAGGAGCAGCATGAGCTTATGACGATGCTCGCGAAACACATGAACTCGACGAGCGCACCATACGACGAAGTCGTTGTTCCCATGGTCTATCAGCGTCGGGGTGCGTCCGTTCGGGTTGTATTTCACGTGCTCAGGGCCCTTCTGCTCCAGTTTGCTGAAATCGAGGTATTTCGACTCGTAGTCCAAGCCCAGCTCGGCGAGGACATATGCGACCTTCCTATGAACAACGGAAGTCAGTCATTGTCATCGCGCAGGTGCGCCGCCGTGGGCATGACTCACCAGCCGTTGGGACCACTGGTTTGCGTGAACAACGTGAACTGTTTTCCATGCGACATGGTGGTTCGACTCGTGTCTGGGTTCGATAGAAGCGATTGTGCTGCTGCAACTGGGATTCGGGGGGCTCATGTTGCCTTTATATACACACGCACTCCCAGCGGTTTGCGGAATATCTGTAAGCAGCTCCAGAGAACAGTGATTCGTCAGCTAGGATCATGGGCATCATCATATACATTAACTACCTCCAAAGGGCCGCTACGGATCCAAGGGCAACATGTAACCTGTCCGCGGGATGTCATACATACAGATTCTTCGTAACATTGAGAGTGGTCGAGCAGGGATACGTGTCGTGGCCAACGGCCACGAACCTGAATAACCTCGGGTAGCTACCAAGGATGCATGCACCTCACTGGACGGTATATCCCACACGAGGTGAAGGGATGGAGAAAGCCATGCATCTCGGCGAATCGAACTTAGTGTCCGACACGATCGCAGTTCTGTGTACTTACTCATCAATGTCCTTGCACTGGCTTACCAATGCCATGTTGTACATGCGTCCCAGCATTGAAGTGTGCACAGCGACGATGGTGATTTCTCGCGCATCGTATCCCGTAACCGGTCGGCGATGTCTTAGTCATCTCCGCCGAATAAGTCGCAATCCTCGATAAAGCTAACCTGTCCATCCCCAAGCTACGAATTGGCTTTAAGCTGGGTTATTCACGACGCGTAGAATGAATTCGCGATGGGCCTAATTTTGGTCCGTTAGCATCGGTCCGTGCTGGTCTCCACAGGCCAACATCCACGCCGGCAACGCCAGGCTTGAGTGCGTCGTCCACGCACAGGACATGGCAGAGGCAGAGGCGTATTTGTGGTATTATAAGTGCTAGCGCCATGGGCGGACCAGTTGCGCGAGTACTTACCGAACGACACAGGAGACCCCCTGCCGCTCATCGGGGTGTGGTGCGTTTCGACTCTGCACGCTCGGCAGGGTTACACTCCTCGCCCGCCTGCTGCTCCACCGCCTTCGCGTCATTGTTCTGCCTTCCCACCTCGACTCGTTCGTATGCTGGTTCTTCAGCTTTTCGATGGCCACTAAAGCGACTTGACACGGTCGTCGGCTTCAGGTCCCTGGTTTTTGACGTCCCAAGCGGCTTATGCCACGACCCACACAAAGCCCTCTAGATCGTGGCGATAGAGTGGCTCGGCTTCACCCTTCCAGTATTCGGGCCTTAACAGATCAAGTGCCATGAACGGGAATGTGCCCGTCCTCTCCGTGCCTTGAGGCGTACTATCCTGCTCGACGATTACAACGCGAACAAGATCAAAATCACGTAGCACGCCGTGCAGCGTGTCTGGGTTGACGGCCAAGTTGCCCAAAGTGATGTTGCTGTGTTTCTGGTCACCGATCTGCGTGCCCTATGTATATAACACTGAATAGACCAACCAAAGAGAGATCGAGCAGGCGCTTACAGCAAATGCACGCGACGACCTTCCGCACTAAATCCAGGTCAGACGGACCGCCGTGGTTCGACTCTGGTAGCTCAGTGCAGCATTCGAGAGTATGGTATGTCCTAGTTCCATACAAAGCCTGTACGCCTCACTTTCGCCGCCACCGACCACGGTGTCCTTGCTGTGACATGAATCGGGTCATGCCGGTGTGCGTGCAGATAACTTCTACAGGCTACTCACAGGGCCTCCAACCAATTGACGACAGCGGGACGAGCGAAATATCATTGGCCTTTTTCAACTTGAGCTGACGTGCTTTGAGGATGGCATCGAGGTCCTCTCCGTCGGTTTCAATACGTTTGCTCGTCAGGATGCATTGCTGGTTATTCAGGACGGCCTGGGCGGCCGCCGCACCCTTCACCGTGGCTGTGCGGTGTCCAGCACTGGAACATAGACGTTGACATACCTGGGCCATCGTCGTAAGGAGGCCGTAGATCTGCTGCTCGAGGCAGCTCGACATTGACTGGAATTTGGACCCTGGCCGGGACGGTCCGGTGGCGACGTCACAGGAGGATCTGAGATTTGAGATCGTACGGCATCAATAAGCGCCCATGTAGATCTGCCATTTCGAGACGGACACTGACAGACCTTCGTCGCTACGCATTTCTGACGCGTTTGTCGGAGTGCGGACATCATGGTGCTCTGCTGATTTGTTTCGCAATTTCAGAGTGAGAAACGAGCGGCCCGGACACGGGGAAGTTGAGACGTTGCTGGGCCCTCGGGAAACACATTCACTCCCACCTCTAATCGTATTTTAGCACAATGCATGATCATTACATAGAGATTGAATCAGTAGACGGACGTCGGTGCAGTGGATCCGGTACGTTCAAGACAGGCATCTAATCGTTAGAGAACGGTCATCCAGTCGCAGTCGAGCACTACTGTGTCCACTTCAATCATGGATCTTCGCTCTGTTCGCTCGGCCAGTATGAAGCAGATCGTACGCACGGTCTCAAACAATCATTGCTTGACTGCTTGTGTCAAAGACGACGTTTAAAATATGGGCCGGAGTTGATGTTCATCATACGCTAAGTTACGACCTCTTTTACGGCGTCACCAGGGACTCTCTCAGCTGTATCTGCTCGGCAATCGCCTTTCTTGTCACCATAGCATTATGCCACCTCAACCAGTCCTTAGCCTCCGACGGTTTGGGACGATCTGGCACTCACCTGTTGACGGCAGGGAAGTCTCGCTCGAGGTTGAAGTCAGTTTTGTTGCCCAAAAGCAGGCTCAGGGTGAGACCTGCGTTCCAACTGGGGTAGAATACGGAGCCCGTCAACGACATAGCCTGATGAAGAGTGCTGCAAGCTTACGGGACGAAGGATATGTCGGCGATGGTACACTTGCCACCGACAAGCCAATCCTGCTTGGAGAGGACGCTCTCCAGCACGCCGAGGACACGGATGACTTCCTGTTGGTAGCGTTCAATGGCGCTGGGTATTTTCTCGGGATGCCGCCGATTGAACCAGGCTGCCTGTCCGTAGTAGGGGCTACGACAAAATTTAGTAAGTATTCGAGCCGTGAAAACCGTTCGAACAATTACCCCTGGCCGGAAGCTTGGAAGAAGAGCCACTGGAGTTGCTGGGCTTTCTCGTCGGCATCCGAAACTGAAATCTTGCGCTCAATGTCGTACTTCTCAACGAGGTACACCATGATCGCGTTGGATTCCCTGAAGGAGCAGCGTGAGCTTATGATGACGCTTGCGGAATACATGAACTCGACGAGCGCACCATATGACGAAGTCGTCGTTCCCATGGTCTATCAACGTCGGGATGCGTCCGTTCGGGTTGTATTTCAAGTGCTCAGGGCTCTTTTGCTCCTGCTTGTCGAATTCGAGGTATCTCGGCTCGTAGTCCAAGCCCAGCTCGGCGAGGACATATGCGACCTTCCTATGAACAACGGAAGTCAGTCATTATCATCGCTTGGTGCGCCACCGTGGGCATGACTCACCAGCCGTTGGGACCCATGGCATGCGTGAACAACGTGAACTGTTTTCCATGCGACATGGTGGTCCCGACCCGTGTCTTGGTTCGGTAGAGGCGACTGCCGGTGTGCTGCTGCAACTGGGATTCGGGGGCTCATGTTGCCTTTATATACAGGCGCACTCTCAGCGGCCGGCTTAAACGGATATCTGCCAGTGCCTAAGCAGCTCCAGAACACAGTTATTCGTCAGCAAGGATCGTGGGGATCATCATATAGATGAACTACCTTCCAAGGCCCGATAAGTACGGAGCGCAGATCACGCATCCGCGATGGATCGTACATACAGATTCTTCGTGACGTTGGAAGTGGTCGAGCAAGGGTAAGTGTCGTGGCCAACGGCCGCGAACCCTGGCCTAGTTACCAAGGGTTCAAGTGTACATCACTAGACGAAATCTCCCGCGCGACTCGGAGGTGAGTGGACGGAGAAAGTGTTACTCGATCTGAGTCTAGGGGGACTCCGATATGATCGCAGCTCTGTGTACCAGTGACTCATCACAGCAAATTTCAGACGACGTGCACAAGTCGATGTGATGTGTGGTGTTCGCAGTACTCACTTGTCTGCCAGTAAGCGGCGGTGCAGGGGTGCAGAAGGGTCGGACGGGTGATATATAATGCATAATGACTGGCGATCTAAGCCAGCCGACGGTGCTATGGGCCTGGCACAGTCAGCGATGCCTTAGTCATCCCCGTATAAGTCCTCCTCCTCGACAAAACTCACCTGTCCATCCCTAAGCAAAAAATTGGCTTCAAGCTGGGCCATTCACGGCGGATACAATGAACTTGCGATGGGTCGAATTTGGCCCGTTAGCTTCGGTTCCTGTCATGCTGGTCTCCACGGGCCACAAATTCACGCCGGCAACCTCGCCAAGGCACATTGCTGGTAGCACCCTTCGAGGTTATTCAGGATGATATGAGCGGCCACCGCATCCTCCGCGTCCTTTACCCTGGTGTGCGGTGTTCAGCGTCCGGATCCGGCCACCAGTAGATATAGTGCGGCCGTACCTCTCATGATTCAAGTTGTCGTGGGCCGCAAGGTAAGTATGCGCTTTGAGTGCCGATGCGGTGCCGTTGAGCGGCGTGACTCATCTGGAAAGTATGGCGCATCGTATGTAGACCCCTACAAGTTGCACGCAGGTGTGTTAGACTGTCGCCTTGAAAGGTGCACTCTCAGTCTGGCTGCTGCTTGACATTCAATTGGACCTTGTCACGGTCCGGTGGCGCGCCACCAAGAGGATCTGAGATCGTACGGTACCGTCACTAAGCGCCCATATAGACCTGCCTTTTCGAGTCGGACCGGGGTAGAGCATGGCCTGCGAGCCTCGTCGCTGCGCGGTTGTAGTACTGCCCTCACTTTCTGCACATGCGACATGGATCCAAGGGCACCGCATTTTCGACGACAAGGCCTTCGTGAACCCGACTAATAGCAGAGGATCTGGAAGTTGCCGACAGAGGACAGGAGTCTATCGAGAAACGTGTGTAGAGCGGTGTTCATATCCGAGTTTCGAATTCCCAGAGCGTGCGCTACCAGCGAGCAGTCTCTTCTGTGACCGACGCTACGTATACGCTGCCTGCGTCTGCCGTGGACGCCCTCCGTCCTGCCCATGTCCAAGTCCAAGCGCAACTCCCTTGGCACTGGCAACGGCTTCCTCCCGGCCCCCGCAACAGCTGTCCACCCAGGCCACTACCACAAGCACCTCCGCTTCGCACAACATGCGGCTCCCTGCAGACCCATCCAGGTGCCCCGCATCCCTCGCCCGAGGATGACCACGCTCTTTCTCGTTGCACTCGCTTTCTATGCGATCTGTGGCTATGTCACCCTGGGCAGACCGTCTGCACCTGAAGCCGCACACGTCGAAGCTGAGAACACGGAGAGCAACCTGACGTCGGATAGATCGATATTCGGGGCAGATAGCATGAGATGGGCGCAGTACGCTCCGTACTTTCCTGTGCAGCCCTATGTCGCGCCGCCGAAGGGCTGTGATGTGGACCAGGTAAGTCCACGGCCCACTCAGGGCCGACGACCGCAAGCCGTCACTCGACTTCGTACGATGAAGCCACGTACACTGACGCTCTCCTAACTATGCTCAGGTTCATATCGTACGTCCACCGCTTCCGAATAATACATGATCACTACATAGCTGATATGCGCCTGGATAGTTACAGCGTCACGGTGCTCGCTACCCGACCACCGGAGCCGCGGCGCGCATACAAGCTGCCCTCGCCAAGCTTCACGCCGTAACGGTGTTGAGCAACTCCCCGCTCGCCTTCGTCTCGAACTACACGTATACGCTCGGGCAGAACTCGCTCGTATCCCTCGGCGCGCAAGAGTGAGCATCTCGTTCGGGGCTTATTCGGGTGTCCGGCAGGGTCGTCATCGATTTCCTACTGACCGTGTTTTGAGCCTACAGGTCCTATGACTCTGGCAAGGAGGTCTACACGCGATATGCTCCGCTTGTGGATGCGGAGAATCTGCCGTTCGTGCGTGCATCTGGGAGCGAGCGCGTTGAGCAGAGCGCGACGAACTGGACGGCAGGTGCGCCATAGAGCGACGACTCCCTTCTGAACGCTCGTATTGATCGCGACGCGCTATAGGCTTCGCAGCAGCGAGTAGCGGTGTGTATGCGCCCACACTCTCCGTCGTCATTTCCGAAGAGGTAACCACTTCACCCAATCTGCTCACTTCGTCCGATCTAACTCACGATCCCAACAGAGCAACGACACCCTCGACGATTCCTCCTGCCCTCGCCACAAGAGCTCCTCCCTCCCCGATGCCTACATTGACATCTACGCTGCGAACTTTACCGCCGCGCTCAACGCCGGTGCGCCCGGCGCGAACCTACACAACGCGGACACACATGCGCTCGTGACGCTCTGCATGTTCGAGAGCGTCGCTCGGGAGGAGCGGAGCGCGTGGTGCGACCTGTTCGCGGAGCTCGGCGCGTGGGACGGGTTTGAGTACTGGGCTGACTTGGACAAGTACTACGGGACCGGGTGCGTTCCCGCTTCCCGTCCGCACTGATCGAGCGACCACTGACCCTCACCTCCGCAGATACGGCAACCCGCTCGGGCCCGTGCAAGGCGTCGGCTACGTGAACGAGCTCCTCGCGCGCCTCACCTCGACGCCCGTCTCCGACAGCACCTCCACGAACCGCACGCTCGACGCCGCGCCCGCGACCTTCCCGCTGAACCGCACGGTGTACGCCGACTTCTCGCACGACAACCTGATGGTCCCCGTCTTCGCCGCGCTGGGGCTCTTCCCGACGGACCCGCTGGACCCGGCGAGCGGCGCGGGGGGCGTGTGGAACGTGAGCAGGATGGTGCCGTTTGCGGGGAGGATGGTCGTGGAGCGGTTGACGTGCGGGGAGGGGGATGCGAGTGATGATGAGGAGGGGCGGTATGTGAGGGTGCTGGTGAACGAGGCAGTGCAGCCGCTCGCGTTCTGCGGGGCGCGCGGCGATGGGGTGTGTGGGTTGGACGCGTTCGTGGAGAGTCAGGCGTTTGCGAGGAGTGGGGGGAATGGGACGTGGGGGGCGTGCTTCGAGTCGGACTCATAGCATGTCCTACCCGCGCTTGTCATAGACCAGGCTAGGTTAGAGCATATAGAACGGATCGCCTGGACGTCAGCGCGTCAGCTCTGGGAGGCGACGCTTTTACAGGAACCATGCCACGTCTCGCTGAGACAATGAGCTTTGAGGTGAGCCTTCGTCTTGTGTCCGCAGCTCCTGGATGCTCATGTCCATCCTTAACAGGTAGTGTGAGGGGCGTCAGAGCGTGTCACTGAGCGCTGAGCGGTCAAGCTTCAAGGCATTATTTGGCCTATACAACTCAGGCTGGACTCGCTGTTGTACGTACACGAGTCCATGCGGGGAAAGAAGCAAAAGAATGATGCTCCTCGGCATCATCGATTCTCCACCACGAGGTCATTCACCGCAAGGGCCACCTCCGCTGTGCAGCCTATGAATAGGCATGTCCACGGCGCCCGTGTCCTATGTATTCGGAAATGAAGGTACGCGGGCAGACTCTGATCATATCAGTGGCTGACGGGTGCCACTATTTTTTTAGGCTTGTGCTCCACTACAATGCGCTCGTCGTCATATTTCGTTGTGTACACGCTGTTCCTAACGAACGTGCATCCAGCCACACTGGCAGTGGCACGTAGGCGCCAGCAGAGGCATCAGGGAAGTTTACGATGGTATACGCGGTATACGTACAATCTCCAGTGAGTCCTCAGGACAACGACCTCCGCACACGCTTCTGCATGTGAACTAACGTCAGAGGAAGCAAGCCCGTGACTGACTCGCATATGCAGAAGAGGGGTTTCCATTCTGTTTACTCACGAGCGTCCGTGGCTTGACAGCCATGGCACGCAGCTTGCGGCCTGACCTGCTCCCGCATGCCGCATCGGTTGGCCCGTAATGCCGTCGAGGAATGTTCACGGCGGTATCCCTCCTGGGGCGCATAAAGCCAGCGAGTCGACGTACTACACCTGACGGCCTCTGTCCCGCCCTCAGCCATCAGCCTGCTCTCGTCGCTGCCTCCGAAATGCTCGCGGGTCCCAGCCTCTTCGCCCTCGCGACTCTGGCGCAACATGTCCTTGCTTTTCCCAGCGCCGCCCAGTCCCCATCCGCAATTACCGTCAGACAATCGACAGCCACGAACACGACTGGGGTGTTCGGGCCTGACAGCAAGATCTGGGCGGAGGACACGCCGTACTTCCCCGTGGCAGACTACGTCTCGCCACCGTCGAGCTGTGAGATCGACCAGGTGAGCCTCAGCAGTGTCTCTCGTCGCAGGGCGTTCAGCCGTCCATGGGCTCTGGCTGCCAAGAAGATGTGAGAGCGCGTCCCACGGTGTCGTCTTCGACCGCGTGCCTTTCATTACCTGCGTCCCAGAGCCAGGTCAAACGTTCGTATTTCCCCACATGGACACGTTCCGTCAGTCTGCCAACAGATCGCCGGCCGGTCCGCTTCTCGAAACTGAGCTGCGGCCCTGTGATCAGCGTCAAGGCGGACATAATGCGCCAGCGCCATGACCGTCGACTCGGAGAATGGCAGTGAGCTGACCGACCCGGTACCGGTGGCTCGTCCCGCAGGTGAACATTGTACGTACCTTCTCGCCCGTCTCTTGGCGCGGAGGAGGCTCACCGCCGAGCAGCTGCAGCGCCATGGAGCGCGCTACCCAAAGAAGAGCCCCGCCAAGAAGATGAAGTCCGCGCTCAAGAAACTGCAGAAGGCCACCATTACGGAGTCGTCCATGCAGTTCATCAGCGACTTCACGTACGATCTGGGCACGGATGACCTGACGGCTTACGGAGCCAATCAGTCAGTGCGCTTGCAGTCTGCGGGAAACTAGGTTTGACGTGCTGTGTCCGGGCCCAGGTCCTATGAAGCGGGCATAGAAGCGTACCAGCGATACAGTTCCTTAGTGAGCGCGGATAACCTGCCTTTTGTCCGCGCATCTAGTAGCCAGCGTGTCGTCGACTCTGCTGGTAACTGGACGGCAGGTGAGTTGTTGCGGAGAAACCTGCTTTATGGCTGTTCAAGCTAGATAGGTTTCGCGGTCGCGAGCGACTCGGCCTACACGCCTGTTCTCTCAGTCATTATCTCGGAAGATGTAAGTCATACATATACGTTATGCCGGGGTTTCGTCTCATGCATCATCCAGGGAAACGATACCTTAGACGACGCATCCTGCGACGCTCTATCTGACTCTAATTCGCCGGGCGACCAAGAAGCCGCGTGGATAGACATCTACACAGTGAATATCACAGACTATCTGAACGCAGGCGCATCCGGGGCGGGCCTCGACAACACGGATACTCAATACCTAATCGAATTCTGTCCCTTCGTAACCGTGGCAGACCAAGTCCGGAGCGAGTGGTGCGACCTGTTCAGCTCGCTCAACGCCTTCCCGGGTTTCGAGTACTATGGCGACCTGGACAAGTATTACGGCACCGGGTACGTCCTCTATCGCGTGAAGGAGACGGCGGTACTGACCAATGTCCGGCAGGTGGGGCCAAGGCGCCCTCGGCCCGGCGCAAGGCATTGGCTATGTCAACGAGCTCCTCGCCCGGCTAACCAACACGGCCGTGAACGACAGCACCTCGACCAACACCACGCTCGACTCCGACCCCGCCACATTCCCGCTCAACCGCACGTTCTACGCGGACTTCACCCACGACGACCTCCTCATCGCCGTCTACTCTGCGATGGGCCTCTTCCCCACCCCCGCGCTGAACTACTCGAGCGTGGACGACCAGGAGACGAGCGCGTGGCGCGTGAGCGAGATGACGCCCTTCGCGGCGAGGATGGTCGTGGAGCGGATGAGCTGCAGCGGCGCGTATAGTAGCGGGGAGGGCGAGTACGTCCGGGTGCTCGTGAACCAGGCTGTGCAGCCCATGTCGTTCTGCGACGCGGACACGAACGACCTGTGCACTCTGGACGCGTTCGTGGAGAGCCAGGCGTTTGCGAGGAACAGTGGGTACGGGGTCTGGGACGAGTGCTCGGATTGAATGCGTGTAATTGACTCCTAGCTGGCGTGTTTACCGCAAAACGAACATATGGTGGGGCCTAGCTCCTGTCACGCGTTCTCCTGGAGTGGCCGGCTCCACGGTAACTGGTCCATATGTTCGCTGTCAAGCACCGAGATGCACCGCACTTATCGGATCCTCCCATGTCCGTTTCCTGTACGATCCATGGCCAGATTCTACAGGCACCCGTTGCGCGCGATGTCACGCGTGGAAAAGTAAGTTCTATACGCTCTTGTTCTACAATGATACCGGTAAGGCACTGGAACCGTACCAGGTACGGACAGACCCAGCCGTGTTTCGTACTCGCACGAAGGCATCGGCCATATGGAGACTGGAGACCTGAAGGCCTAAGGCTTGATCACCGGCTTTGGTACGCACTGATGTCGAAGCACTACATACGCTATCCAGGCCGCCAGCTGAGCAGAGCTGAGGCTACACGAAGCGCCAAGTATATGTTATGACACAACACGGCGTTTCCAGTACTGGTAGCCGCGGTGGCGTCGAATCAGGCTCTTGGTCCCGGACGGCCATGAGCTCGCATTTAATTCAGTCGACGTCTGTCCAAAAGGCTTTTTTGCACATCTCGCACTCTCACTCGCAATGACCCATGAGTCGCGGCGCCATCATGATCCGCTTCTGTCATTGACTTGTTGTGGTGCAGTTTCCCCGAGCGGACGGGCAAGGGCAGAAGTGCTTGCCAGTGACCAACACTCAGGCTGTACTGGGTCGTGAGCTTGTCTCGATGTCTTGCATTCCACGTGTACGTCCCCGTCGACTAAAGAGCTTAGTACTGAGATATCTTTCTGGTTGGGGAAGGCTTCGTTACAGGGAAATGGTCTTTTCTGGACAGTTGGACTGACACCTGCTATCTCTTGAACCCGCAACTTGAACGTATAGACTGCAGTGACAGCCTAGGAGTCGGGGCAGTAGGTCATCAGGACGTAAAGTCCGAATGGGTACTCTCAAACGCTCCACCAACCCCGCAGCTAGGTGCGCCTCTGAAGTTCAAAGGCGGTGCCGTTTTCACGCCGGCACGTAAGTCCATGTTTTTCCTTCATCTGTTCTTTGACGTGGGCATAAATTGTAACACAGTGTAATCAACGTTCCTGAACTCTTTGATGCGTCGCTCATCCCGGATGCCTCACATTCTAATCGCAAGAAGATATCTTGCAAGCGGCAGCTCTACAGCTCTTGACAGAGATCGAGCTCACAAGTGTTCCACTTTACCCGCCGCGCACCTCTGTTGATCTGGCCTTTTCCTCGGTAAACGGAGAATCCTCGCAGGTACGGAGACATCTCTCGTTCTTTTCCGACCACCGGCTGTCAGGAACTGTCTCGAAGCCAGGGCGGTCCAGTGCCCCTCGGCCACAGCAATGCAGGTCGGTGCTGACCGCAATCATGACTCCTTACACCATATGGACTCTGCTCCGCCGAGGACTTGTGGAATCGGCCTCAGTGCTCGTGTCTATGACGGGTAAGCGCATCATGCATCCCTGTCGACCCGAGGGCCCGAGATGTTGGAGGCAACACGGATTTTCTGTTCACATCAGCGTGTTTTACGACGTGCCTGCGCGCTGAACAGCTGTATGAAAGTCACCACAGGTATAAAGAGGCAATCATGTCGGAGAAGACATTGAAACACGCGCTCACAACTCTTTCAGCCAAGACCACTTCATGCTCTTTACCTTATTCTTGGCACTCTGTGCCTTCGCCATGGAAGCTCCGGCGAAGCCCAGCGTCGCTCCTAACCACTCGACGCTCACGAAGCGGCTGGCGGGCCAGTCCGTCGCCTTCGCTTGCTATGGCGGCGGAGGCGACTGCGACTGCCCGATTGACGTGACGGGCGACAACGGCGGTGTGCTCATCAACGTCTATCCCGGGTACCAATGCGCCTATGCTGGTGGTGCATGCACTTGGGACGACAAGGTCAGTGTGATGTCTCCCTTTTGTCGCGTGTGAGCTCACATATACTTTATGGTGTCTCGTAGACTGGCGCGCTCCAGAACACGATGCAGACGAACTGCCCGACCGTGGCGCCCTGCAGTGCTAGTAGTGGTTGCGAGTGTCCGGCCGACCTTAACGGTGACACCGGTGTCTTGATCAACCAGTTTACTGGCTACCAATGCGCGTACGTTCACGGCGCTTGTACTTGGGACTATGTAAGTTTGCATGCACTCTTCATGTCCTCGGCTCATGTCTCGATCGTCTAGTCGGGGAACCTCCAGAACACGGACCAGACCAACTGCCCAACAGACGTGCCTTGTGCACAGTCGGCTGGGGATGGCTAGGCCCGACCATCGGGAAAGTCCTGTTCAGTGTTGAAGTGTAGAGTCTATGTCGGATATTCTGGTGTTATGTGTTCAGGGGATTGATGATATTCTCGGTAGTGTTATTTATGGCTCTCGAAGCCCGGGAATCGATGAGGCATGGTGTCCAGTGAGTTGTCCTGCGCTACTTAGCTTCGATACTCATGCCTAATCAGGGGGTCGCGCACTATTACGCCGGCAAATGCCGCCGCACTACGTTTGTCCCGAAACAAGATCTGTGACGATCCTCCCGTCTGTCGTTCAGTCACCGTAGTTGGCTGACTTGAATGCCTTCGACTCCAGTCCTCTGCTGTTGAGCTTGTGTTTCAGAGGTACTGTCGTATCCACTCTCGACGGAATCGACTCAGATTCACCCATATCTCTGTGACGCACTGGCAACGTTCAACGTTTCAAGAACGAGTGCGTTACTTAGACCCGTACAGTATCATCATACTGGTGCTTTCCTCTCAGGCATCAGAGTATACTGGATTCAACGCTGGCCGCGAGAGCCGTTCAGAGGCGGAAATAAACAAGTGCAGTGACCGAAACATGTCGAATGCTTTACTTCCTACCACTCAGATGCCGCTCGGGGACCATCCAGACTCAGGGAAGCCCTTCTCTCTCCGGACTGAGCACAACTTGTCACGTGGCGGTGCACCTGGTGCATTCGAATTGCTTTGCTAGGCGCGTCCAAGACGCCTCTGTCGCTTCCGAGTCGCAGAACGGATGCCCGCGTCAGTACGTAGCTCCTGCCGTGGGTTCGGTGCCCAACATTGTTTCTCTGTCTGTCAATTGACGTACATCTATTCACGCCAGGTCTTAGTCAGCATTACCTTGTGCTGAGTAATGGCGCGGACCCATGTCCACCTGTAACAGTGTAAAAAGAAGGCTTCTGCAGCGGACATGTAAAATCCGCTGGTGTGACGCAATCTGGCACCTGAAGGATGCCTTCAATGCCATGTAGTGTGGGAGATTTGGCGCAGTTGTCATATCGCATGATATTCCCACCGGCACTGAACAGTGATGTGATGCGCTGGCCTGTTTCTAGATGAAAGTACGTGAGCGGCGAAGCAAGGTACGATGGTTCTCGGAGCACACTTACTACCGTTCTCGCTGACCAAAAGTACTGCGATAGCTTACAGAGCGAACGGTATACGATGATTCAGCGACTTGTATTGACGCAGAAGACTGAACGAAACAGCACTTTAGAGGTGGCCACTGTCCAAACAGCTATATCTCGCGCGTCAAAGTGCTCGATACTTCGCAGTCTCCTTCATCCTACAACATGTCTCACGGAAAGCAGTTCACGCTCTTCTCCCATCTCGGCGGCGGTCCTAACGGATGGTGAGTCCTTGGTTCTCTGACGAGACGCGCCTACGCTCATGTCACTTTGCAATCAGGAAAGTGGCGATCGTTCTCGATGAACTAGGCTTGGAGTACGAGCCAAAGTACCTAGACTTCGGCAAGGATGAGCATAGAGCCCAGAGCATACGCAGTACAACCCGAATGGACGGATACCAACGCTCATCGATCATGCGAATAATGACTTCGCCATCTGGTCTGTCTCCCCTCCTCCGCGCTGTAACGTACTAACAATACTCGCCTACAGGGAGTCAGCCGCCATAATTGCCTATCTAGTTGACAAGTACGATCCGGAGCACAAGGTTTCTGTCGGGGACCCTAGCGAGAAGTGGCAACAGTTGCAATGGCTCATTTTCCAGGCATCCGGACAAGGGTGGGTGGCAGTCGGTGCGCATTTCCCGTTGACGCTGACAGGCACGTAGCCCGTATTTTGGACAAGCTTACTGGTTTATGAAATACCACCATGAGATCATCCCAAGCGCCATTGACCGCTATCGCAAGGAGACGGTCCGCGTCCTCGGTGTACTTGAGAAGGTCCTGTCGAAACAAGAGTGGCTTGTCGGTGGAAAGTGTACCGTTGCCGATCTCTCGTTTGTGCCGTACGTGCTGTGACCAACCTCGCTGTCGTATATTGATCGGTTTGGCATGCACAGGTGGAATGTCGTGGCTCTTGACATCATGCGACAGTGGAATGTGGTGGACTTCAAGGTCATTCTGGCAGAGTATCCCGGGTTCGATCTCGAGAAGACTATCCAGCCGTCCACAGGTCAGCTATACTATCTGCGCGAAGCTAGTTGAGAAAACCTGACAGTCGACTCTCGGACAGATGGCACAATGCGCTGCTGGCAAGGCAGTCTGTGGCAGAAATCCTTGCGAAGCGGCGAACTATGGTGACACAGGCCGCCGCACGCGCAGGGGCCTAGACGGAACAGCGCTGTTGATCTGGTTCCGAGCTGGACAGGCGATGACGCCGGCACATGCGCCCCGCAATGTCCTCGATCAGAATGTCCATCTATGCTAACGTGTACAAGTACAGAGAGGTCTAGAGAATGCGATAGTAGGTACGAGTTCGATTGTCCGACGGAGAACCTGTCAGTATGGCTATGGGGCCAATGAGAAGGTATGGATGTCTTGCGTGGTTGATACGCGAGTGTTGCTAGAACGCATGGAAGCCGCCTGAAGGTAGAGGAGAGGACGGATCAAACCGATGTATTCCACTCTCCATATCAATGATAGACGGTTTGACGGACGCTCTGATAGTCATCGGTCGAACCACTGACGGGAGCGGGATATCTGTCTGACACCGGGGGAGGCCGGGGGAGGCCTGCACGATATTCAGGTCATTGCCCGGGTCATTGAGAAGAAGAAAGTTAACATACAGGACTCAGAACAGAACCATCGCTGAGCGACTTCGCAAGGACCGATGTCTTGGGCTGAACTCAGCCGGCAGCCGAGAGGGCGCCGTCACCTGTGTCGAACTTTTGAAATTTTCTCGCACTTCGCGCAACGCTGAACGACTATTCAGAGTAGCCAAGAGAGCGTTAAATAGTACTACGCAACTGTGAGCCGGATGTCCCCTTCAGGCAACAATACTCACTCACGTTTTGGGAGGATGAAGAAAAGAGCGAGAAATATGAGATTATGAGGCATGGTAGCATACTGTGCACAGTGAGATGGGTTATGGAGCGAACAGGAGACACTCACAGTCACAAGACACGATATTTCACATAGGCTGCATCACCGTCATCCTAGAATCAGACACAATACATCGCACGGGAGATATGTCTAACCTTGTGAGCAGACCGGTGTTGATTCCGTAGACGATGATTGTCCGTGCCATTGTTCGATTGCACCTTGTCAAGGTAAGAAGGTTAGCACTGTAACATCCTGCGACAACGAACGTACAAATCTGGTCCTGTATAGGAATGTCGCAAGAGAAGACAGAGAGATGAAGCGATGGTGGCGTCTGCACCGATGCCAGCGCCGAGGCTTGCATATAGGAGCCACTGACAATTGAAATGTCACCTCATCGCGCGATGATCGACGGGTGTATTCCACATACAGAGACAGAAGACAAATGGAACGCGTCGCCGGACAAGGCGAAGCTGCTCAACGCGTGAAGTCAGTGTCAATAATCAGACGAGCAAGAGTGCATACATCTGGATAGAGAACTCTGCGCATCTAATGAGATCAGCAGATTACATACCATCCGGTATGCCGCACCTATGCTACCAGCTAGCAGACAAGTGAGCGCGGAGTTACACGAAAGTGTCTGGTAGGACCACTCACCAAGCGCAACTGTCGTCCCTGCAGCCTGAAGCAAAGGGCGTTAGACCGAACACCGTTTGCGAGTCTTAAGGAAGCGCACAATGAAGATCACAAGGACCCAATTCTTTTGACTGACTACACGCAGACACGTCAGCACACTAAGAACGTATATCATTCTATCTGGCTGCTCACAATGCCAAAGGCGGTGACAGAAGAGACTATGAATGACAGGTCAGTCGCAACCAACGCATGTCTAGCGTTGACCTATAGTTACCCTCGTATAATAGCGTTGCTAACACCCTGCATAGCAATCAGAGAATGCGTACTCCTGAATGTGGCGAGGGACTTACTGCTACAACTACGTGGATCTTCTCGTGCATGAGCAATCTGTATTGGTAACGGACGGCGAATGCAGCTCCTGACCTTCACACTCCTGTTCCATTGCAAAGCCGTCAGATCAGAGCACCGGAGCAAGGAGTACGGGCGGGACCCACCAATTACCCATCGAAAGTGCTGGATCCGATTCCCCGACCGATATCACTGCGCTTGTATATACAGAAACGGTGATGAGGGCAAGTTGTAGGGCATCCAGAATGCTGAAAATCCATGAGCTCAGCGTTCAACATCCGCGTCATCAGCGCTGCCTTGAGTTCCGCGTACCACAACAGAATGACCTGCAACCCTCACTCAGTACTTGATGCTACCCAGAGCTGATACTCACCGTGAATTTGAGTTTTGGGTGGTCGTTCCCAGAAAGCTTGAAGTAGACCGCGGCTTGAGCGCTGGTCACGCCGAAGAGACTGAGACAGGTAAATGCACTGCTTCGCAAATGATATTCGAACTCACATGGCAGCGGCAAGGTTGCCTACATGCTCGTCCAGAAAGTCTCAGCTACGATAGGCAGGGATACGGCGAATTCCTGCGCACCAAGTAAAACTGCTCCGAGGGAGCCATCAAGGGAATGAGTGGAAGGCATGGCTAGCTAATTCTGTGCGGCGAGCGAGGCGGTATGTATGTCGTCGTCGTCTCACCAGCAGCACTGCCTCTAAATATATCTGTTACGGTGGTACAAGCTCGATGCGCGGCGCCGACGCAGTCTCCAGGACAGCAGCGATGAGAGATTCTTTGTGGTCGGTTTCAACCGTAGATAACTGCCCCGCCGTGGGGGCAACCACACTTTGTACGACCGGTCTATCAGGCAGACGTCGACACTGCGGTGCGAGGTGAGATATGACGAGTGGATGCGATGATCCCACCGATGATGCAGCGACGATGAACATTACAGGTGGACTGGGTTTATACGAAATGAGATGCAACCGTAGAACTGTTCGTCGTAATGGAAGTCAGTATGCCTCCGACATAATCATACGACGCCCGACGTACCAACACTGGTTGATCACGATGGAATCCGACCGTTCACAGACGAAGGGACATACATAGCAAACATAGATACACGACTGCGTTATTGTGTACAACAGCAAAATGCGGTGATTCTACAGCAGTGCGGAGGATGTACAGGTTAGCAGTGCGTGAATTGACAATTGCAGAACAAGACACATAGCGAATATAGTACAGACCAGACAACAAACCGTTCAACCGATTGACCTAGGCGAGCTCTGCAAAGAAAGTCTAGAGGTCGGGCGTCCGACGACCGACGCTTCCCCAGCTGGAGCCTTCACTCCCGTGCACAGACATCACGTCGAACGCGAGCTCCTCCTGACGACTTGACATACTGGGACTGAACATCCCAGAGCGCAACGACATGACGTCGTCCTCGCTGTCCGACGGCAGGTCAAAGTCGGACTCCGGCTCCGACATATGGGTGAAGGGCGACATTACGCCCGACCGCGCGCTCAACGTTGGGCTGCGTGCTACAGCAGCGTGAATGTCAGAAAACGGAGATTGGATGCGGGAAGCCGGTAAGGACGGCACTGGAGCTGCGAGATGGTAGTCGGACAAGGGAGATTGGACGCGAGATGTCGGGACAAACGGCTCGGTGCGCGGGCTGGCACTTGCCCGTTCGGACAAGTTGCCGATTGATCCCATGAGGGCGGTATTATACATTGCCGGGGCGTCCGGGCTTGACGATCGCGAAGACATAGCGTCCATCATGTTGGGCGACTGTATGCGTGACGAGGCCGCTGAGCGGATGGAGACAGGTGTGGGCGGGATGTGAGCTGCATTGCGTGATGTGACCGACGATAGCCGAGATCTAGGGGAGGAACCGTGTAGGACCGGCGTAGTCGCACCGCGGGGACTCTGCAGTCTCGAACCGCTGGATGATGGCGAGGTCGGAGTGGAGGTTACTGATGAGTCGAATATGACATGGGTAGGAGACATAGGCCGGTAGGGAATGAATACGTTACTCTGCGTTGTTGGGTCAGCTTGTGCCAGAGATGATCAGAAGAGCGCGAATTGAAGTAGAGCTGCACCGACTGAACACAACAAGTATGCTCTCAAATGGTTTTAGGCCCTGACCATAAAGGCCCTCATTGCTAGTCACTTCCGACTCACCTCATCCATCGTGCCCGCAGTCTTGCGGTGCCTAAGGCCGTTCTGCCTACCATCTTCGCTCCATGCACTACCCTCCCGTGCAACGAGTTGCTCGAGCTCAACGGACATGCTGTTGTCGTCGTCTTCGTCATCGTCGCCACGCTTCTTGTCACTTCCAGACCCGAACGGTGGATGAGGGCGATTGTCATCGTTGCGCGATCTGGTCGATCGACGGGTTGTGTTCTCGTCGCCGTGCTCGTGGACCGGCTGTGCAGAGATGGGACCTTGTCGCCGTGCTCGCTGACGACGGCGATTGTCAACGAACGACTCTGCCCATGCCTCTAGTTTCGGAGCAATGTGAGGCTCGTACACAAACTGCAATACACGATCGGCATAAGCATTTTGATAGGGGCTTCAGACCCCACTGATGTCATGCTCACCTCCTTAAACGCGACCACACTAGCTACAACAGCGATGGCGCCGACGACGTAGACAGCAGTGACTGCTGGGCCTGGCATTCCGACGACGAGGCGATGTCCTCGGGCAGATGAGATGGGAGTACGAAGCAACCACAGCTCCCGCTCAAATAACACGGCGGCGGAACGAGGTGCCGTTATACGCTACCCACCACGTGATTGTGGGCTGCACGGCATTGGGCAAACGCAAGTACTAGTACTAGTGTCACCTCGTTCTCGATACTTTCACACTCGACTATCATCGAAAAGGACTATCGTAAGGGCTACATACCAGCAAGCAAGCCAGCATATATTGTCAAGAGGACTATAGAGTTCAATGGAATTACATTGCTATAGTGTTCATGATGTGAGAGATGGTAGATGTCCGTGCAATGCAAACATGATAACTCGACAGAAAGTCCGGTAATGTAATGTCCCAACGTCAGTCCGCGTCCAAGGTAAAGACCGAAAGTGCAAGGGGCGAGTGTTCGTAGAAGGTTCGTGAGATTGTCTATGCCTGTGAGAGGATCTGGTCGATTGAGTCGTTCAGGAACTGTTTACGCCCAGACAGGTCGGCCTTGGGGAACTTCGCCTGGATAGCTTCCCGCGCAGTCCTAAAAGACGAGCATTAGTTAGAGCAGCGCAATCAGGTGCACGGTGGAACTTACTTCTTCGTCACGGTCATCAAGTCTTGTGTGCTAAGATACTGGCGCAACGCAGTCACTAAATCCTCATCCGTGGGATCTGGGTTCATGCTTGGCCCAGCGAAGGGGTTCACCGACGTCGCCATCGAGAAGGTTGACATCGGTCGCTGTGCCGCCGGCATCATCGGAGCTGCCAGCCCATGGCCCGACTGCTGTGACCCGGTTGCAGCCCCGCTGCCGCCAAACATGTTAGGTTTGTCATGACGGTGTTGCGTGGCGCTGTCGGCATCATGCCATACATGCTACCCGTGTTCTGGTAGCCCATCGGCATTCCCATGGACATGTGCCCACTGTGCCCACCGTAATCAGAGCCTGCCACAGAGCCAGGTCCACCGGCCATGGGCATGAACGGCAACTGCGGGAGACTGTACTGCGACATGACCGGCTGTCCGCCGTACTGCGACAGGTTCGTCTGTGAAGGCCGTCCGCGCAACTGGGATTCGAACCCTTGTGGCCAAGCGCATTCGTATCGCGCCAGTAGTCGCCGCCTTCCACTTGAGACCCTGGATGATGGCTACGGGGCGATTGTGATCCAGACACGGAACCACGGACACGGGAGTGTGGTTTGCTACTGTAGCCAGTCTCGTCGGAGTGACGTGTGCCAGTCTCCCATGCTTCCGCCTCGTACTCTGCACAAAGATGAGCGAATGGAAGTACCAGGAACGCGATAAGACATACCGCTGAACTTTTTGAGAGGAATCATGGACTCGTCGAACTTCTCCTCGTCGTTCATGATGACCTTCTTGTTGCTGCCTTCACCGATGACCAGACGAGTGTTACCCCAACTGAAGTCGTCCATGCACCAGTATGAGTAGATAGGGAGGAAGAAGCTGTACACCGGATATCTACGAGAAACTTCAGCTGTTGATTGCAACTCACGACGACGACAACACTCACGAAATTATGTAGACAACCATCCAGCCGATAAGCATGAACTCTCGCTTGAGTAGGAAGATGATCATCTAACCACCCGTAAGTTGGTTATTAAACCAGACGAGTTATACGACACTTACTTGCAAGCCATACACAGCTGCAATCATGATGATCGAAATGAGCGGGAAAGCAGCCTGGCGAGTCGAGACGACGATGATCAGGTAGAGCAAATAGACCACTGTCGCCGGAAGGATCTGGATGAACAGTCAGACATGCACGACATTCTGCACATAGATACAGGAACATACCAAGGTACCCAGGAGATCTACGAACACGAAGAAGCGCATGGAGAAACAGCAGAACCCGAACATATCCGGCAGAAGGACCAGCTCGCAAAGATTGTGGACCGTGGAATTGATCCACCGACGGCGCTGAGAGAACAGAACACGCCAGGACTCTGGAGCGATCGTATGCGCAGTGGCTGAGCCCAGGAATTTCGTTCGGAACGTGGGGAAGTGCTTCAACATCAGCGTCGTCAAGAACCGATCTTCACCGAGCGAGAATAGGTTCTTCTTGTGCAGCGTGTCGACGTTGGGCTCCGCGTATTCTTCGATGATACGGTTCGAGATGATCACAGGACGACCCTTGTCCGCCGTTCGGATGCGATACAGTGAGAAGCAACCAGGCAGACAGGACACTGAGCCGAACAAACTTTCGAACGCCTTGGACAGGTGGTGAGAGATGTAGTACTCGTAGACCTGTCCAACATCGTCAATTCTGACGTCCCCGTTGAGCCAATGAAGATGACTATACCTGAATCATCGTCCACCAAGACTTCTCCGGGTTATCCAGCCTTGTTTCCCCGCAAATGCCAATGATACTCGAGTCATCTGCGGTCGCGGCGACCAGACGGTTCAAGGAATCCGGTGTAACGGACTGGTAAGTGCAACAACAGGACGTCAGTCATGAGTCGCGACGAGATTTACAAGTGACCAACCGTGTCGGCATCAATCGTGAAGATGTACTCGTAGAAGGCAGGGTCAATGCCGATAACGTTGCGCATCTGATGGTAGATCTCGAGTTCCAGCGGGGTCATCGGTGCGTCAAAGTGGACACGGTTGAGATACTGCATGACCAAGATTTGACTGTCACGTTTGCCTCGGTTACCAGGCTTGGTGCGTTCAGTAGGCTTGCCAACTTTGACGACGACAATGTACCTGACAAAATCATTCATAAAGGCCGTTCAACACGAGGAGAGATTACTCACGGGACGACGTGGCCTTCGAACTCATACAAACCCGAATACACCTTGCCGTAGTTCAGAGCCTTCGAACCCTCACCGATGGATTTGAACAAGAGAGGCTCGGGATCGAGCTGGGGATCGACACCAAGCAAATCGAGAGCGATCCGGGGCGTTGTACGGTCATTCCCATTACCGATGATGTTACCGTCACAGATGATGAACATCAACTTGCGCTTGTCATCGTAGTTCAGAGCGGCCAATGAGTCGAGCGTTCGGCGCAATGACTCCTCGCCTTCCGTGTAACAGGGGACCTGGCAGATGACGAATTTGTCCAGCATCTCGGGGTTCGACTTCGGTGTCAACTGCAGCGCAGCGAGGACTGAAAATGATGGTTAGCGCATTTTCGCTGGCAGCTCGCGAAGGCACTTACACTTAATCGCCATGGACGACATGATGATGGCCGAGAAGACGATAAGCATGATGTTCTGGACTTGGCATCGAGGCGTCGAGCGGAAGTCCATCTCGCCCCAGTAGAACATGTTCTTGATGCACCTCACGTTATCCTCAGCATATGACGAGTTCATTGTGGCCAGGACGGACGCGATGTCCTTCGAAATATCCTGGCCAGGCGTAGACTGCCAGAGGCCAGATAGATCAGAATCTAGGAACGTAAATGTGTTCGAGTTGTCGTTGTTGGTGAGCGTCTGGAAATACGCGGAGAGGTCGTAAACACTGTTGTCCCATATTGCCCAGTATCTACGTAAAACAATCAACATCAATCCAGTGGTACAGAGTCTGAAAACGTACCGCTGGTCCGATGCGGAATTGTCGCTGCTGCTAGAGGACGCCGCGGACTCCAGCTCACCCTTGCTAAAGACATACGCACCGATCTTGTACTGGTTAATTTTCGGTTGGAAGATCGTCGTGTACCAGTTGTCCTGGTGCAATTTACTCGAGGTAAATGACTGTTGCGAGCCCGACGTATGCATCGCCTGCGGTACCGTCTCCGTCCAGTTGGTCGGTGCGGTCAACGACAAGGCCTCATTGGTGACCAGATTAGGGCATGCAAGGGTAAGCGGTGGTGGGAAGTAGTACGTCAAGTCCTGGCCGGCGAGATAGTCCAGAGTGTCTGCGCCGTTACTTGGTTGGCTGGGAATGTCACTGTGGTCGCCATTGACGAACTTCGAAACGTCATACACAGTGCCTTGGATGGCGACGTAGAAGTCGTTCGTGCCTGTGTGTTGGCCAAGCTGGTTCGTGTTCCATGCCTTGTCGTAATCCGGGCAGAGGAGACGACCGAACTCGATGATGTAGAAGAGGACAACGCCGTTGAAGAAAATGATGAGGAAGAAGATTGTGACCTTCTCTCGCCAGGCAAGCCGGATATCTGGCCGCTTCATCCGCCCAATTCTGCTCAGGCAAAAGTCGAACATCCACCACGTCACCAGCCACACGATGGCGATCCACCAGCGACGAATCCGAGTCGTCGCGATTTCCTCGACGGCTGCCGGAGCCTCTTTGACGACCATACCACCTGCTGGTTCCTTCTCGAGCGCCGGAGAGCCTGCATACCCAGGGTCCTTCTTGTCCCACTCCGATCCCCAGACCTCACCTTCCTGGTCACTGTACGCCGGGGTGTTCTCTACGTTAGGCGTCGACAAGCCCACCTGAGCATAACCACCTTTCGTGTTCGCATCCCGGTACGTCGTCCCGTGGGTTCCTGTACGAGTCAAGAGCAAGTTGTCCTCGCTCGCGCCCGCACCATAGTACGACGCAGCAGGCATCGATGGCGCATCGTGGTGGGTAGCCTCTGTCATATCATCCGGCACGACGCTCTCGTCCTCATCATCTCTCACACCCAAACTCTTCTTCGCGTCTTTCTCCGCCCCACGCAAGACGTCCTCCACCATCTTCCACGCCATGTACGTCAGCCAGATCGACCGATGTCCAACGACGTAGTCCACGCCGTCCTGCCATCCATTCGCATGCGCGCACTGCCTGATGCGCTCTGCCTCCGAGCCGCCCATCGTCGGAACGTAGCGATCACAGAAGGCTCTGTGCTCGAAGTCGGCTACGAAGTCCACCTTCTTTCGCGACACCAAATCCGGAAGGAGCAATGCACGGATCTGCGCCTTCACGCGCCGCTTGTCGAACGAGTTTGACGAGCCCGAATCGTTCGGCCGGATACACGACACGGTCCAGAGACGTGTACGATCCATGCTCGTCATGATCTCGGAAAGGTTGTGGTTAAGCTGCGTCGTCACAGGGTAGGCTTTGGCTGGGTCGAGATGTGAGTGTTCCTCAGCCTCGGCAGGGGCGGCACCATCGCGGGAGAGGATGGGAGTGGGCTGGCGGAGAGGTCGAGAGGAAACCTGCGCTTGCGCGATCATGCTCTCGTCCTTGGCGTGACGCTCGGTAGCGAGACTGGGGCCGGACATGAGCTTCGAGATGAAAGGATCCGTCGAGTTCCGGAGCAGCGACACGAAAGCGGTGTCAAGAATGTCGGTGTCCTTCTCTACGAAACCGTGTACGTCGTAAGAGCACGGCCCTGCGAAGTGGTTGATGCCGAACTCCATGCTCGTCGCGGCCTGCTCCGGCGGGTTTGCAATGAACGATGCGTGCACGCCGAACTTTGCGACGAGATCCTGCAACAGCTCCTCGTCCCGCTTCTCTCCACTCTTGCCAGACTTGAACGACGAGCTGGCCTTGTTTGTCACGCCGAGCAGACCTCCAGGCTTCTTCGACGCCCTCTCACTCAGCTGTGCACCGCGCAACAGCTCGATGCACGCCGAGTTGTCCATCGTGGCGATCGCAGGTAGGGAAACGCCATCCCTCGTCATCTCGCCGTTGTAGCCGACAAAGTCCTCGAAGGCGTTTCGCAGAATGAACGACTGCACCATCTCGTTGGCAAAGTTGATGCAGAACTCGTCGAAGCCGGCCTGGCCATGCGGTGACAGCAGAGGCGCGGGACCACCGATGTACACGGACGCCGAACCGGGTGCGCCCTTCGTCTGAAAGCCAGGCTGATCGAGTAAGACAATCTGCGCTGGAGGTGGAAGCGATTGCGGGGAAGGTGCGATGCGGTGGTTCGCAGTCTCGACAACGAAGGCAAACAGGATGGCGTAGAGATCGCGCATTAGGGAATCCCGCTGCGATGCGGCCTGTTGCGCGTTCAGTAGCACCGTGTATAGCTCCTTCCGGACATAGTTTGTCTTGTTCGTCAAGGTCTCGCTCAGGTCGTCCAACGGTACACCAAGTAGCCGGGCGACCTCCTCAAGAACGAGAGGGTTGGCGATGTAGGCAGAGACGTCTGAACTGTCCGGTTCCGTGAACTGTATGTTACTAAGCGTGAGGATGGCCACTAGCAAGCTGAATATGGACGAGATGTGCTTCTGCTTGAACCCGAGCGTCTTCATCGCCGCACGCAATTCGTCCATCGCTGCATTGTCGTCGCTGTGGGGTCCAGCAGGCAGCCGGTAGCAGCCGAGGACGCCAGAAGTGCGTACTCCGACGGATCCTCCAGGTTGTACGTGTCGCGCTCATCCGGTGTTGCACCCGCGAGGAACTGGTAGAACACATGGTACGTGCGTTCCTCAAACGAGAGGCGGTTCAAGCGCGACTTGTCGAGCCCGTATGTGAGCACCTTTGCGCTACTGATACGACCTCGATCGCCGAAGTGAAGCTCGAGGTAGCGACCGTAGCGAGACGCGTTCGGGCTGATGAGCGTCTTGGCGCTACCGAACGAATCGAGGAGCGGCGAGAGAGCTTTGATCTGCGCTGCCAGCTTCGCCTCCTTTTTAGAGTGTGAAGAAAGCCTCAGCACCTGGTTGACAAGTAGCTGGGAGCTATGTGTCTTTCCAGACGCAGTGATTCCGCTGAACGCGCGTTCGTCAACTCCTTGGAGAAGACGAGACAAAAAGCTACCCACCGGAACACCACCGACTGCGACTCATTCCTCCTCCTCATCAACAGGTACACTCTGGCTGCAAGGTCGTAGATGTGTGGCTGTGGCGGAGGTGGATCGCCAGGGAGAGGGATGCTGGTGTCCTTGTAACACCGCTCCTCGTACTCCTTCGCGCTGGCGTCGCTGACATTATTGAGAGTCTTGTACGGGTTGACGACGACGAGGTTGGACGTGCCAATGCGGGCGTAGGGGAGGTCTGTGCGGAAGCGTGCCTGGAGCACGGAGAGGAGGGTGTCGTCAGAAGGATAGACGGTCGCCGACGAGGAAGAAGAGATGAGGTCGGTGAGCTCTCCCGAATTGATCGCCTGCGAGGGTGAAACGGCCATGGCCGACGCAAAGGAGAGGGGCGGAGAGCGTCGACGACGCTCTGGACGACGAGGACGAGACGGCGGTGGTGGTGAGAAATTGGGTGATGGCCTCTGAGTCTGGCGCGCACGGCTGCAACACTCCGTCGTCGAGGCATCGACGCCGCAGACGCGTGACGTGACCGCCCGTATTCGTCCTTGTCGCACGCATGCCTCAGTCTCAGGCCCTTCTCCATCCTTCCACACCGCATCGGCTGCTCAAACCTCCGTCGTGGCGTCGTGGATTCCGACGTACGAGGCTCAACAGACAAAATAAATAACATTTACACTATCGTCCATCAATAACGAACCCGTCCTGGTTTTGGGATAGCTCGCTCTCTCGCCCCTTGCGGACAATCCGCGACTGACGACCCCTTACCCACATAACGAAATCGCTGAGCTATAATCACTTCACTCCTCCGGCGGTTCCTCTGCCTCCGCTGCTATTCATGGTATCGCCGTGAGACCGTGACAGCCTGCAGGCCAACGAACAGTGATGCTCACTCACCTGAAGTGCCATTGACAAGTGGCTCGGAAGGCTGTTGCGCGTCGCCGCGTTCACGGACAAGCGCGTCCTGCCATCCCTCTTCGAATAGCTGGGGCTCTCACCAGGGTGCGCGACCGCAGCAGCAAGTTTTGTGCGGCCCTTCGTCTTCAACTCTGCCCGCCACGCGTCCACAGCGTCTGGCACTTTGCTTGGCGCATATGCTCGCGCGAACATGGCCGCCTCCGGCGCCCGGTGCGTCTTCACAAGGAGGTCTACGCAAGGCTTCGGATCACCAAGCTGCAACAGCGACGCAAACGCGAGGTTGTTCTGGCCCTTAAGCTCTGTCAAGTCACGTCAGCACCGCTTTCGATGACACGGTGACGTGACACGCACCGGCCGTTGCTGCTAGCTTGGCAAGGCCATCTCTGTCACCGACGGCCAGCAGAAGCAGCATCAAGGCGCTGAGGTCGCCAGCCTTTTCGAAGCTCTCACGCGCGAGATCGAACCGCCAGACAGCAAGTGCTCTGTCGCCAATCTGCTTCCACTTGGCCTCTGCCTCCAGCTCAGGCACTGTCCGTGCGATGTCGACTGCCGCATCCAAGTCATCCAATTGTAGTGAGAGATCGAACTTGTGGTCTGGGTCAGTCGTGACTTGTAGCGCGAGCTCCTTGAGACCTGCAGTGATCATATTAGACACGCAATGCAAGCTGATCGTCGATGCTTCAGACATACCCCGGGCCTCGAGGAACGATGCGACCTTAGTCCGCTGTTCCTTCGGAATGGTTGGCAGGATCTCTGCAGCTGCCTCCATGTCCTCCTGAAGGACAGCAGTCTGATACTCGACCAATGCAAGCGACAGGAGATAATTGAACACATTCATGTCCTTGTCTGCTAGGTATACCCGGTTGTGTGCTGGGAGGTAGCCAAGGATATACAGTGGTCTGCATGTACGTCAAGCCATATTCGCCTGAGTCAGAGAGCACAACATACGTGTCGAAGGGCGTGATTGTGTACGACTCAGTTCCGATGAAGTAGTTCAGTCGGTTGGCTGCTGTTGTGTAGATGAAGCAGTCGCCAATCCATTTCGCGGTTCTCACTCTGTCGAAAGCCCGTCAGTACTGACCGTCACTCTAGTTCGCTGCACTTACACTTCGGATATCTCAGCGACCAGCTCGAATGCCTCCTCGACACCCTCATCGCTGATGACTGCGCCCTCTTCAAGTTTTGCGTTGTATGCATCTCGGTCGTATCGCAGGACGAAGTAGGACTCCTCCGTAGCGATCGTGACCAGATTTCCAGACCCTGACCAGAAGACCTGAAAAACACCTCAGTGGTTGAACCAGATGCTCCGAGACGCTGACGTCTTACGTTTTTGGCATCCACTTCGATTCTCCGCACAACATCGCCCGACTCCCAGTCCCAGAAGACCACGAACCCGCTCCCCCGCGCTGCAAGCAAGGTGCCTCCGTGGAGAGCATCGATGCTCCACGAGCCCGCGCCCTTCATTCCTGCGCCGCCCCTCTCCCTGAAGTTCTTATACACGCGCACCTTCAGGCGCCCCTCGAGTACCGCATACGTGTTCGAGTCGCCCGCCCATGCGAATGAGTTGCCGTTCCCGAACGCCTTGTTCCGCCACGCGAGCGCCGTATACACGATGTACTCGCCGTCGCCGACGACGGTCACGAACCGCCCGTTTGGAGAGTGCATCAACCCCGTAGCGTAGATCTCGGTCGTGCCGAGCTCCTTGATCGAGACTGGGACGCGAGTACCCTCTACGAGCGCGTCGTCCTGTACGGTTTGGAGGTTTGCGGAGAGGACCTCGTTGTTGTGTGTGTAGATGAGCTTGCCGGAGGGGTCCATACTATACGTGGGTTCATCCCGGCCGAGCTACTCCGCTCTCAGACACACAAAATGTGCGTATATGCAAAGCGACGTACCTTCACCACTACGACACCCTCATCATACCCGACGGAGATCTCATTTGACGACTTCCGGACTGCGATACACCATGCTCGCTCGAGTGCGTAGCTGAGTGTGTTCTCCAGCCTGTACGTTCCACTGTTCCAGAGCTTCACCGTGCCATCCTCACCACCGCTGATTACGAGCGGCAAGTTGGGTGGAACACGACGAAGAGGACGTTGTTCGTGTGACTCTCTAGTGTCTGCACACAACTTTTGCTGAGGTAGTCCCAGATCTTGACCGTCCGGTCATCACTCGCCGTGACGAGGTATGGCTTGTCTGCACCAGGGTAGAAGTCGACATAGTTGACGCCCTTGTCGTGCGCCTCGAGGGTGAAGTTGGGGCTGGAGGAGCCTAATGACCACATCTTGACCGTCCGGTCGAGACATGAAGACGCGAAGGTGTTGGGGTCTTTCGGGTTGATCGCAATGTTCATGATATAATGAGTGTGACCCTCGTAGGTCTGCGGCGCGAAGGCGTTCACAACGTTGGCAGTATGGTCAGAGGGCCGACGCACCTGTATACACCTCCACTGCTTGTCCCAGTCCCATGCCCGAATGTCATGTCATCGCTCCCCGTCAATATAATGCTCGCCGTCGGGTGCACAGTCAGACATCTGATATAGTCCGGGTGCGCCTCGAACGCGATGACCTTCTCGTGCGTGTTATAGTTGAAAATGCGCAGCTGGAAGTCATCCGAGCCTGCACGAACCAGTTCTTGCGGGTGATAAACTTGACGCAACGGACGGGAACCTCGAGACCTCGAATGTCTTCACGATCGACCCTGTCTCAAGGTGGTAGATGTTCACGGTGCCATTGTATAGACCGGTCAGCAGCCATGGCTCTGTCGGATGGAAGTCCACGCCCTTGACACGATCGGACCGGCTGAAGAGCTTCCTCTGTAGTTCATAAAGCAGGGTCAAGACGCGTTCTTACAAGGTGTATATACGGCTGCTTGACACTTACATTTACGTCCAACAACATCGCGCCTCAAGCCTTCCGAACAGAGCGTTTAAAGTCGTGAAATGCGCGACACTTGCGACAGCGCAGGCTCTTAGAGTGCGTAAACCGAGTGTAGAATGGTCCACGCAAGTAGCTGCGTTGCGGCAACGAATCTCTGGGTGTCCGGGATACGTGGATGAGGCGTGGGAAAACGTGCAGCCGATGCAGTCAATTCTTGAGGTCCTTCGAAGTTGGAAGCCCAGATGCGACTCTATATTGCAGCCGCATGCATCGACAGTACTACGTATACGATATACAAACAGTGCGTCGAATCGACCGACGGCCGCTGCATCTGCTAACCTGCTTATACATCGAATCCTCCAGTATAAGTATATATCGCGAAATATCGCTGTACGGGATGTTGTGTCGTTACTAACTCACCAATTCTGCACCTTCAGCCAGGACTATCGAAACTAGACCTGCCATCATCCCTGAGGCCTGCACTAGGAACTTTGCGACGAACTGGAATCACAACGATGTCCAGCCTGTCCGAGGCAGAGCTTAGTGTCATCGTACTGCGCCCGTTCCGGTGAGCGCTACACTGTTCATTCAGGCGTGCCATCCACCTGGCAGGGTCTGGCCGTCAACGTGTCTTTGGTGATGCGGAGGAATGGAGAGCTGTGCATGATGCGGTGTAGCCTGGGGAGCTCATGACGCGGGTCTTTCCAAGAAACCGCGATATCTAGGACGTTGCAGCCGAATGCAATGTCTGCGTTGAATGGAAATGACCATGGACTTCTGGTCAATTGTTGCAGTCAGCCTTTCGGACGGAGGTGAGTCCCTCATCGAAGCATAGTATTGGCCCAAGCTATGCTAAGCGTTGGACTACTCGCGTTGAACTGCCCAACACGTGTGCTGCATCGCGAACGACGGCGAGGTTGATAGGCAAGGTAATCTCGAGGACATGGCCAATCTAGTCTTCGCGGCTGCGCTGGACGCGTGTTCGTCCGCTCCCCGCCTCGATGTAACCTCCAGGCGAGCTCCGTAGGTTCTCAGTATATAGCTTACAGTCCGCCAGAGCATGTTCTGCACTCTCAACGACAATCCTCCGCTCATTCGCCATCTTTTCTTCTATCTACTGCTTTGCATCACTGATCTTCGCGGACCATGTCGAGCCCTCCTGCGCCGCCGGCGACCAGTCTGCCGCCTACACCTCCAGCGAACGAGAGCGCCAGTCGACCGACATCGCCTAGTCGGTCACTGCGCTCTCGTATGGGCACCGCGATGCGACGGAAATCCACTGGTTGTTCAATCGTTCTGGTTCTGCAGTGCGCAAGTCAGACTCGAAGAGCGAGCTCAAGGTCGATCCTACTCCGACTCCTTCCGAGAACATGCCCAGTCCTGTCGCCGAGTCTCCTGTTCGAGAAGCAGCTGCGACAGAACAGGACTCTTCTGCACTTGGACCACATGGGCCCTCACCTTTGGCTAACCCTCCGGTTGGACCTCCCAGTGCAGGCACGGAGCCGTCCATTGCTCAGGTTCTTGGACCCGTGCCGGCTACAGAGCCTGTGGCGACTGCCCCCACCTCCCTCCGGAGGCTTTGAAACCTGTAGCTGCAGCTGCTCCCGCCCCGCCCCAGCGCAGACATCAGCACCGGCACCAGCACCGGCACCAGCGTCTGCACCTGCGCCCGTACCTGCACCCGTGCTTGCGCCGGCTCCAATGGCTCAGACTGCGGTGGTCGCAGACAGCCTCGTCGAGAGCCCAGAGAACCAGTCACTTTCGCTCCCGATGCCTCCAGTGCCGAGCGCGCCACCACCGAGAAACAAGGTCCCGACTACTTCGCCTGGGGCGATGACGACGCGCGGAATCCCAACTGGCAGGGAAAAGAACATACCGCTCCTCAGCCACCTGCTCAGCCGACTCCTCCCCCTGAGGCCGTCGTCGCCGTTAACCAAGGACATGCGGAGGCAACGCCCGCTCGCACTACTGATGCTCAAGCGTTTGCGTGGACGGACGACGTGGTGATGCCAACGCGTCGTTCTAACACGAGCCTTGCTACCGGGAGTCTGCGCCTCAGACAATACCGTCCGAGCTCCCTCGTACTGGCGCTTTGTCGAACAAGCCGAGCAAGTCGTCCATGGCGTCGTCGTATGGCCAAGTCATCGTGAACTCGTCCAGGAGACGGGTATCGGTCTCAATGGACCCCAATGACGACGTCAGGCGTGGGCGCAGCCCTGGGCCTAGCGTTCGGTGAGTGTATGCACTTACCTGCCTCCATCATGGGTCAACTAACTGCGACAGCGGTAGGATTGCCATTGAGGACCCCTTCGCAGATCCAGCTGACGAAGACTCGCCGACTACCAACAAGCAGTACATCAAGAGAACGGCACTTTCCCCATTGAGAGCATCAATTCGCCTGCGTACGTTGATTCACACGACTGTTGCGGGATGACTCTGAGAATGTATGCTCTAGTCCTGACATGCCCACGCCTATCACGTTCCCGCTGCCACCGCAGAGAGATGTCATTGCTTCGAGGTACGTGACGGCGTCAGTCATCGTGCATCTCAAAGGGCATTCTGCTCATCTTTCATTCTAACAGTAGAAAACCTCGAGGCAGAACTTCGGGGTACAGTCTTGGCAATGAACGCGCCACGATTGTAGAATCTGAGACACAGCGTGAGGCAAAGTGCGTATGCGCGACACTTCCGAGTATACTTCGGATACTCAACAACTATGCAGCGAACGAATGCCGCTCTTAGGGCGCGGAGCCAGCCCTGGCTCCAGCGGCACCATCAAAGGATACACCGCAGTCAAGTCAAACGCCTCGGTATCCTTCCCCATCCCAGAGGTCGCCCCTACAACTGCCAATACTTCAGTCATCGGGATGTCTGGTTGGACAGAGTACATACTCCCCGACAACTCCTCGTACTACGTCCACGTCGGGAAGCGGATCGTCGCCGACATCGACCTTCACAACCCAGCCAAGCTCCAGGCCGTCACGGAGTACGTCAACCGCAAGCTCCCTGAGGATGCAGCGATGCCTCCAGAGGGCTGGGACTCTGGCTCCGAGACGCGCGTCCGAATGGGCAGGATCTCCAGCTCGTGCAGACGTGGGTGAGCCACAGGGCTCGAGTCTTGTCTAGCGAGCCTCCCGCGACGACTGTACAAGATCGGCTCAGGGATGATGACCGTATGTATCCAAGTGTTTGTGATGATACACTTTCTCACAAGATCTTTTAGGACTCGATATGCAATACCGATACTGGATGTATGTGGAAGCGCACCCAGCACATGTACCTCTTACGGCCGATAGTCGCGCAGAAGCGATGGAAGTCCTCCAGTGGTCGTATACAGGTTTGCTGCTTGTCCACATCGAGCGTTCTTGTGCATACGCTGACATGATCTATAGAACATCTCTTGCCTGGTGTCCGACCTGCACCCCCTCCCTTCGCACCGCAGGAATGTCAAGAGCTGATGGGGTTGCTCCGCTCGTTCAACGAGGAGCCTTCGGATGTGTCCTTGGTTCAGAACCGGATCGTCGCTCGCGTGCTGCTTCACGTTGGTACGTTCGAGTCAGTGTATCAGCCCTGCTAGACGTCCTGACCACATGTGCAGCGCAATGGAAGCAACATCACTTCCGCCCCGATAAGCCTCTGCCACAAGCTCTAGCAAGGGCGGTGCTCACCGATGGCATCGGCGCACGCCTTTGGGCCGGACTGCTGTGGACTTCCTCATCGCCTGCCTCTGTCTTGGCCTCCCCTACCTTTTCACCGACCGCTCTCGCCACCGCCGGATCGACGTCGAAAGCGGAGTACGTAGTGCCGGTCCAATGCTCGTCATCGGTGCCTGCGCCTGCTTGCTGGTGCGTCTCTCTTCAATATCACACGCACCCTCATTGATGACGCCGTAAGGCTGCATTCGTGTTAAGCGCCTCGGTAACGTTCATTTCACTGCCTGGTGTGGACGACACTTGCCGTTTGGCGGGCTTCGTGGCTATAGCGCTCTCGGCATCCAGTATGATTTCGGCCGTAGTCGCGCTGTTCCGGTACAAAGCGGAAGTGGAACATCCGGTGGTTCACGTCGGTGGTGAGGGTCTCTTGGTGATATCTGTACGTGCCATCAAGCTGCGTGCGATTCGGGTTGACGTTGACTTGTGATGCAGAGACGAAGTGTCGTGATGTCTCTTCCGCTCGTGTTCTTGGTGTGGGCCACTGCCGCATTCGTTACGGGCGTTGTGCTGTATCTCACCCACGAGTGCATACAACGACCAGTATCTCCGTGGTATATCCAATCGAGAACCAGACGCATTGGTTGACTGTTGGGATCATTGGAGGTGTAGCGGGTGTCATATGTATGGGAGCAACGCTAGCTCGATGATGGAGAGGCTGCGCGATTAGTATCTATTTATGCGCGTCTTGTATTATACAGAACCTCGTATCTGCTGCCTCGTGAATTTACACGTTGTACAGGTGTGCACTGCGGTGCATCGATCGCATCATGACTGTCTGCGGAAATCGAGGCTCTGGAAGAGAGATGAGAAAGAATGTGAGATACAAACCACATCCACACGGATATATGAGGCAATCGATCGATGGAGTTACTTGACGTTCAGGATTCCTTAGAAGACTTTCACTGCGGCGGCACTGGCAGCGCGTTCAGTAAGATGCGATCACGTGTGCGCGTAACTCAATCACAGCACCTTCCTTTGAAGGAACTGGTTCGCACCCGATCGAGATCGGCCGCCGGGGCCCCACATCCCGTGATTGAATGCATGAGGTTGCCAAAATCCAGGGTGCGCGCCTCATGGGTCTGCTGCGTTCATGACCACAGCAGCCGGAGTCTTTACTTACTCTCCGGACGGACACCATGAGCTCAAGACCAGGCGCAGCGCCCTACTCACTTCCATCGACCCACTTTACATCTGGAGAACGCACCTATACCTGTCTCAAGCCGGAATCTAAACAGTACGTTAGAGGCGTGGTGACATGGGTTGATACGTACTCATCAGCTGAATGTGACTGTCAGATGTCTGCACAACCTGCTCCATTACCGACCACCCAAGCTCCGGGTCAGTATCCGAAGTCTAGGTCGGCGGCGGTACTCGTTGCGTTGTTCGTCGGGAGACATGGCGACCTCTACGTGCTACTGAGTCGGTGAGTCTGGTGGCTACTCGGGAGATGTAAAGCTCAACATGTTTGGTCCTTACTTGACTTGAAGTCGCGCGTCTACGTTGCGAACATATGCTGGCGACACATCGTTACCTGGCGGAAAGTGGGAGCCTCGCGACCGCACCATCGAGCAGACAGCTGTGAGTGCATGATACACCCACCTGTAGACCGAGATTGATGTCTGTTGCAGCGAAGGGAGGCGTATGAAGAGGTAGTCCATCTATCACGCATCCATGATCGTGACTGAACACAACAGATAGGTCTTCCCATAGATCACCGGAAAGTCCCCTGCTATGTATCCTGGAGCCTTTCGTGGCTGGTAGCCCGGGACAATTGATTGTCACTCCGTATGTTATGTTTCCATGGATTTCGCTGCCCAATCCTGATGTAGTGTATCCTAGGGTCGTCGTCCTTGTGCTAGACAAGACTATCAAACCCATACTGAACGCCCCTGAAGTCGCCTCGCTCTTCTCCCATCCTATAGGCTCTCTTTTACACTCCGAACCGCCTTTTGCTACCGAGCACGAGATGCTGGAGCTAAAGTATCACACCTATCATGACATTGACTGGCGGGGCGGAGGCAAAATCCGGATGCACCGATTCCTCACGGGTAGGGAAGCGGGAGGTACCAAGCCGATCTTTGGCTTCACGGCGTACGTGTTGATCAGATCGCAGCCTGCGAAAGATCATGAGAGCTGACGCTCATTTCAGCGGCGTACTGATCCGCGTCGCGACCATAGGCTACGGCAGAGAGCCCGATTTCGATGTCTACGCGCCGGACCAGACGTCGCAAGAGGGGCGCATTGCGTACGAATTGAGGGAAAATCCATTGCTCAGGGAAGCATGTCGGGAAGAGGGTATCGATCCGGACAAGGCGCCCGAACCATCACAGTTGAGGGCGAGGTCAGCCCGGAGGAGCGATGGTCCGAGAGGACATCGGAGGCGAGCTGTCCGGAGTAAGCTCTGATAACGGACTTTCGTTTCCTCATATGACAAGAACTGCACCAATATATGTATCCCTTGCCCGCATGGATTCGTTCGTTCACCGTTCAATCGCCGGGCTTGCAGCGTCGGATTGCATTGCTGTATTCGGTCCATGTCGGCCGTGGCGAAGACGGCTGTCCTCGGATTGGTGGCTCACAGAGGACGTGCATTCTTGTGTGTAAAGGGACGCTTTGCTAGGACTTGTAGACAGCTTGAAGGACCGAGCGTGCGCGTGAGGGAGGATCGCGGAGCCAAATGGACGTTGGGTTGTCCCGAAGTTCACGGATTCATGATGCTGACTCAGCAGTGCGGGGTTAAGGCCTGTCGGCTTGGCCTCGCCTTCTCCACGCCACTACTCTATCCTTTCCGTCACCGCTAACCTACTCTCGCCCGCTCACGACCCACAGCGCAACCTACGCGACCCCTACGAATATCTCTCTGGGTCCTTGCTACCACTACTAGCTGGCTTTCTTGCTACTTCAGTGACATGCCCCAGGTTTACCGCCGGCATTCTGAACGCATCCAGCGCCCGCCTCCCGAGCTCCGACGGCGCAACACTCAGTTAGCTCCTCAGCCTACCGACGCCGACGACTCCATCGTCCTCTCCGACCTAGTCCGTACAGGAGAAGCTTCACGTCTACGCCGACGAGGAGCCATGCGAATCGACCATGGACAAAGCGGTGCTCCTAGGCCATCACCACCGAGTAACGCGTTACCGCCCGCCGTCCGGCCTTCCGGAGGCAGCAGGTTTGTCGTCGAACCAGCGATGTGGGCGCCCTCTCAGGGATGGGGGCCCCCTGACCCATCTGTGGAGGACGAACTATTCAACGGAGGAGAGTGGAGGGAATGGGCGGGTGATGATCGCGCTGAAGGTGTTGGTGCAACGCAGCTAGATGAAGGGCGAGCAGATGGCGCCCAGGATGATGATGAAGAAGGCTTCGTGCTCTTCTGCGGTGGCGAGGACAGCAATGCATCTTCTGTCGCCAGCTCCTCGGGCACCCGTATCGCCCCTCGTTGTTCCCCGTGTCTTCAGCAGGCTCGCCGTCCACACGTGGGGCGGAGCGCACAGAGCGTAGGTCGAACGGATGTGGGGCATTGGTCCACATGCGCGCATTTCCGCAGGGCCCACGCGGCTTGTGGGTGGGCAAGCAGGAGGCTTCGGACATCGTGGTTGGCTTAGAGGCAAACTACTTCGAGAGATCCGTTGTAGCGAAGATGATGAAGAGTGCATGCGGCTGTGTGAGGGAAGGCATCGCGTGTGCGGTATGGTGAGTAGCTCAGGGTTCATTGTCAGGGTCTGATTGAGACTTATCTATATGCACAGCGGAAATACACTGGGTACACGGTACCTCCCTTGCCAAGCAGCATCCGAAGGCCTCTTCTCCCATTCAGCATCCAACCATACGCCAGCACCCCGTCCTCTAGGCCCCACAGGCCCGCAGTACTGGCGTAACCGGAGACCGCCATCCGCATCCTCTTCCAGTACACGCACATCCTCAAGCTTCTACCTCTACACCTTCTTTGCTGACCACGTCTCCTCCTCCCCCGCGTACGCATTCCCAGAAGCGGCGAAGCATACCGCCGGTCACGCCCAGGCGGACCAGACCCCGGTCCCGGGAAGCAGACCAGGCTCGCCGCCACTGACATACGGGTACAGATACACGGCCTCGCCGAGACCTGTCTCGCCGTACCCACTGCCATCTACTATGCCCAGCGCGCCTAACCGTGCCCCGAGTCCTGACGCAGCCCCGACATCGTCGATCATACCTGCGTCGTTATACCCCGTGTGGGCCCCGATGCCACCACGGACTCCGCCACCACAGTCCTTCGTGCGGACACCGCAGCTCGCGCTCAATGTACCAGAGAATGGGACAACGAGCACGGGTACGCTTGTTGAGGGGCCGTCTGGTGTCGACGAGGACGAGACTGTAACGGGAGAGCTGGATGCAGACGGTGTGCTTGTCAGCATGGATGATGTAGACGAGCCGAGCTCGCCTGACAAGACGACAGAGATGGTGTGGCCAGGACGGTGATCCAGGAGGCTACCCGGCCGCTTCTGGGTGGGATATACAACGTCATGACATTATGCTGCATCTACGTCCTTACGAAACTCTTCCATCTCACTATCTATTCTACAGCATATCCTCACTCACGGCCTTCTTCGGGTTCTCGGTCATGACAATATTGTCCTCAACGCATGTCTCCGCTGTTCACTTCTGCACGTAACATACACCGATGGTTACGTTCTTGCATATATCCGGAATTCCGCTTGTACAATATCGCCTGCTTGGCTATAATGTATCCTTTCGAAGCTACGAACTTGGCTGCTTTGCTTGACCTTGACCCAAGTTGAGCTTCGCAGAGTTGAACTTAGCCCTTGCTAGGCTACCTCGGCCAAGCATCGGGCTTTCCATTCCGGTTGTATTACTATATCGGGTTGGGTCGGCCGGGCACCCTCGGCCACCCATGCATTGCTCAAGAACGGCTAGGTATTTTCGGACAAGAGTTATGTCGCTGTGTTCGTTTCGATTGCAGCTATCGACCGGTATAGCTACTACAAGAAACAGACTGGAAATTCGCTGCATAGGCTCGACTGACCGAGTTCCTTGACCTGGCCGAGATCCCGGACCGATATAGTACAGTTGTGGCTGAGCGCTACCGAGCGCCACCGTCGCCGATGTTCAACGTTCAACGTTCAGCAGTGGCAGTTGGATCGCAGCACACTTTGTCTTTACCACCATGCCGCTGACGAGAAAACCCAACCCTACTGCTCTACACCCCAATCCTTATCAACACGGCGATGAAATTTGGGAGGCATATAATCAGTGCCTTTCGCTTGAGCAACACGAAGGATGGAATACGTTCGCCGCGCAGCTGCAGAAGGACGTCTCCGAGGGCATCATGAATGACCTCAGCCCGAGGGTTGCTGCACGCGTGCTAGGATGGGCTTTGCGCGTTGCTCCTAGCGATGAGGGTCGCAATGCGTTAGTGCGCGAAATCGTTGGATGTAACGACGACCCCGAACTGCTGGCTGGGCTCGCCCATCTGTATGTGTATGGACTGATATGTGTTTGTGCGTTTCTCAGAAGCATGTTACCTACCATTACGGCCTCTGACGTACCTCCAGTCTACAATCCCAAAGGCCCCACCCCTTCTGTCTCAGCTACCCAAAGCCCCCGGATTGCCTTCCAGCAGGCTGCACAGGATCTGGAGCATCTACTCCCGAAGCCGTCAATCACTGCCCAGGACTTACGGCAGCTCGTAAGTGTCTGTCGGCCTTCTTGTTGTTGTGCTGAAGTATTGGGCTAGCTCCTGTATCGTGACAACCACTCCTGTGTCTTCACCGGTGCCGTCGACCTCGACTCAGCGCGTTCTGACAACACATTAATCATCGATCTTGGAGTCAGGACCGATACGACGAGAGTGGCTCATATCATAAGCCAGTCTCTGTCGGAGAACATTGCCGGAACCACCCCAGCAGTGTGCGCTAAGGTATTGGTCTCTTCCATGTCGTGATCTCTTTGTGCCTGATAAGTTCGTCTGCCGTCAGTTCGAGTGGGCGAAGACTGCGGGGGCCATCATCGAGCGCTTTGGAGGCTTCTCTTCCCGCGACATCCTTAGCGACAACGTTCTCAACAGTCCCCTGAACGCGTTCACAGCCGCAACTGCACCCCACGAAGAATATGACAAGCTCGACCTATGGTTGACGGCGGTAGATGTATGTTCGTTCACGGCTGCTGTTCATGTCCTTGGATTGATCCATCATTAGGACGGACAAGGAGGCATCATCCCGGATACTTACGATGTGCAGTATTATTGGGGCGAGCGGTTACGCTCCAGCGTTGGCATCAAGCAACGAATCACTTTTAAAACAGCCACTGTTGGCAATACGACCATCCCCCCGCCCCATCCCCGTCTCATTACCCTCCATGCTGCCTGCGCCATGATCGCTCATATGTCTGGCGCTGCGGAACATCTGAAGGAGTGCTTTCGGGATACTGATATGATCTCGGTCATGACTGAACCGAATGCTGCGTATGAACTGACACGCGCTCTGAAGACGCTGCAGCTCGTTTCCCCGACGGTTTGACTTGGTTCTTAGGGTGTCATCTTCGCCATCTTTCTGTGTCCTGCGGCCTTCGTTACGCGGATAGTACTTCAACAGGAAGCATACGAGCAGTGATGATGGTAGCGAGAAGTTGAAGTAGCTAACGTAAGTACTGGTCCTATTAATGATAATGTAATACTGTCATTGTAAGTACGCGTCTCCGCATTCGCAGCATTGTGAAAAGCAGCTTTGAAGTTGATGGGATTCGTTGCTTGTACGTCTAGGCTAACAAAGTCTGCATGCTGCTGCCGGACAAGCCTCAGCTCAGCGTCAGAGACAAGCTGCATTCGCGGAGGCAAGGTGGAGAGACGCCCATCTACAGACGCGTCCCGGACGCGTCTCGCGGCCAACTGAGCGCGTGTTTCGCACACTCCATCCCTTCTCTCGCCCAGGCTCTTCGTCACCCATGCCGCCATGTCCTCAGAATCGGAGGAAGCGGCGCCGACAACGAAAAGCAACCGCTCGCTGGCAGCCCCGAGGCCATGAAGGGTCATGAGCGACGCAGGTGACGACCGCTCGACCACCAGCGCGCAGTCGGTAAGGCAAGACGCCCATCCCGACGAAAACGGCCATACTACATTACGCGTCTGCCAGTGGAGCCTGCACTCAAGTACGAGCAATTTGGGGGCATCACTATTCACCAGCTCCTCCAGAAGGACTCGGCCTCCGCCGGTCGGTGGAACGCGTCGACTCGGACGCGTCGACGCTCAAATCGCACAAATCTCAGTGCGGCGCTCCTTCTTCGCACACGCTCGAGCCCACATGCCGGACGCATTCTCTACTTCTAGTCCGTGCCTGTGCCAACCTGCGGACTCGGGGACTCTTCTGAGCTACTCAGACTGGATCTGTGTTGCATGGTTTGAACCGACTATACTGAATGCACGGACCAGGCTACGAAAAAGGACGCACTCAGCTGTACTTCTCATGATGGATCTACAAGCCACCGTCTGCCCAGGTCCCTGAGAAGGCATCGCCCACACTGCGTTCCAGGCAGGATGCATCATCTCTTGTACGACTTGCACCCCAGGATCACACAGCCCTCGTGAGTCCCGGCCCCGAAATGCGACGAGACGTGTCCTTGTGGGATGGCGGGGCGCCGCTGATTGACGTCGAAAGAGAATACGCGGCGACGTGCAGTGGAGACCTGTTGATCCTCTTCCATTTGTTATAGCTTATTTCTGAAAGTATTGCGCGATCTCATGGCCCGCTGCCTGACGTGGCAATGCGTTGCGTTACAGAACCCGGCGTCGGCCAGAGCTGCCGACTGTCCTCGAGGCGCTTCCGTCTGGCATCGGCGGTTCTCGAAATGTATTGGTCTACGTCCTCCGTCGTTGCCACAGCGTGTCCTCTTTCGCTCTGTGAGTACTCGTTGATATAGTTGGACTGATCCCAGTGATGCCACGTCTTGGGCACCTTCTTCATATACCACTGGTAAGTGGAATTTGACCTGCATCCAAGAAAACTATGCTGAACAAGATTATTTGCATGTACGACTCATAGGTGACACGCCACACAAACCTGGTGACCGTCGACGCCACTAGACTGAGCGCAGCGAACTTGGTCTGGGATGTCAGTACTTGGCTCGGGACCCAACTTAGCATGACAAGGCCAGTTCGGTTCTCAGGTCTTGGATGATGACACAGATGCTAACGCATAATCGGGTGCTACTGCAAGGCTCCAGATATGCGTGCAGCAGCACCACTGTAGCCTCATGCAACTTGGACATCGCGACTCTCGCCTCCTCTGTAGCATGCCACATCTGCCAGCAATGAGTCCAACACAGCAATGACCGACGTCACCGGTCACCCTCATGGCTTCAGTTCATCGCTGAGCGCTGAACGATGAACGTGCAGCTCCGTGCTTCTTGCGACGGATCTGCAAGCAGTCGATTGATAGGTGCACGCGAAGACGCTGGGCACTGGCAAGACGCAACCGCCCATGGGCCCGAGTCTGTCGGCTCGCATCGACGACCGTCGCCTCTCAGCAGCCGCGCACACCGTCGTCCGGGAGCCCCAAAAGCTTCGACTTCGCCGCCTCGCCTTGACTGTCTGGCTGTGCATGCGAACAGTATGGAATGGGAACCACGGGCCGTGGCGGCGTGCCTGTGCGCGCGGATATGGGCTACGGCTGACGGCCGGCCGCTGGAAGCACTGCGAGCATCTGTCCTGATCCAGCATTTTAAGACGTATCCGCCAGAGCTGGAACGGTTGCCTCCAGGCCAGCGTCCCCGAAAGGGCGTGACGAATCGTTCCGCGATCCCCATTGTTGACCGGATTCGCCGGAACCCCCGACTCGAGCCCGTCTTAATCCCAGCGAATCGATATGAGACGAAGCCTCTTCTTCCTCTGATGCATCCGCGGACCTGGGCATTCTCCTGAGCAGGTCTCGGTTTTCCCAATCGCTCACTGTTATCCTGATCAGACAGTCAAAACGTCGAACGTTCAAGGGGACCAGCTCGGTCCTCTTGTCAGCTCGTGCAGAAGCTGCCCCGGGTCCCGGCTGTCGGAGCTATGTTCATCTGCCTCACTGGTACGTTTCGGATGCTGCTAGGTACGTAGGCGGGGTGCAGCTGAAGGCCGACGTGATCGACAGGATATCGTGCTTCTGTTCAATATTCAATATTCAATACCAACGCCCGAAATACGACGCAGTGGGTGTGAGTGATGAATTATCGGCATCCTCAGTCTGTGCATTTGACTCACGTCGAAGTGTAGGTAGTTCTGATACGAACATACCATGGGCCGATGGCCGACCATTCAAAGCTTCAGTATTGTATTGTGCCAGTGCATCGGCCTTCTTCGTGTGGCGGCTCATCGGATTGGTCTACGATGCACCCCGCACCCAAGCATGCAGCATATATCCGGTGTCTCATAGCGGTGTCCAGGTCTTTGCCGTTCCAGCCTGACCGTTTCGACCAGCGACAGCGTCAGCAGACCGCTCGAGCCAGGCTTGCTAAGCGTGCACAGCACTCCAGATGATACAACGGTCCTTCCGGGCGGATCCGGTGTACATATGATTGTAAGTGACGTCAAGACGGTACATACAAGACCGTATGCATTCAAGTTGTACTGACATACGGCTCTTTGAGCCGTGCGCTTACAGGCCAGCTCCCAATCCGCAACGGACATTCCGCCACGCTGCTGTTCAGCGAGGTACGTGGTTTGTCAGAGCCGGGTATGATGTTAGCCTGTCTGGAGCTGTCTGACAAGTCTCTCCTGACGCTGCCAGAAGTGGTGCGATAAGATGGTGATGCTTTAGTTACAAGCGCAAGACACGTCTCCTACTAACGCATTCTCGTCTCCGCTCAGCCGCATCTCGGTTGTTCGTTCCGTTTCGTCAATGTTCAGTGACCTTGACGTCCGCGCCACGCTCGGTATCACCTCGTGTTGTTCCCGTACGCCTGACGTCGGCTTCGATGTCGTGTCGGCCTGACCCATTGGCATGCTACGTCTGAGGCGAAGCGTCTGCGGGCATGCGTGGACTCATTGGCGCGTCCCGCCAGGCCTGTCGATGTGGAGAATGGAGGTGCGTGCTCTAACATCGTAGAGTGCCGATCCTTCACAAGTCCGTAGCTCCGGAACACAGACGGACAGGCAGCTCGATGGAGCGCCAGCTGCATTCCGCTCGCGGGGCCACCGATCGATCACGGCAGGTGCGACTGGTTGTCTCGCCGTCAGCTCCGAGCCAACCACCCACGACTCGGGCGAATTAGATCCGCGTTTCACGACTCGACCACGCCCTGGATGGGCCTCGCGGGGCGGCGCTGATATGTCGCCTGGTGCCTGGCCTGCCAGGCGGGAACAGCGGCATTCATGCTCGGTCCGCGGTGGCGAACAGCGGCGTAGTGACCGGAGATGTCGCGGACGACGCCGCAGTGGTTGCCGTGGCGGCGGGGCAGCGTTGGCAGCGTCGCGAGCGGGTGTCGGGGAGAAGACACGAAGGACGCTGCCGCTGTCGTGTCGCGCCACAAAACAGACAGTCGAACGTCCGGATTGGAAGGCTGCTGTCCCGATCGGGTGATCTCCTCGTCCTTCACGAATCCCACGCTACGGTCCGCATCCCCACCGCGGCGGTCTAGAATCCAAGCCGCAACTCCGACCATGTCAGGCCGTGGCCCATATAAAAGCCAGCGACGAGACGGTGACTCGCTGCGCGCCCCTTTCCCTCCTTCCCCCACCACCCACCCCGCCGCGTAAAGCAGGGTCTCTTGGTTACCCTTCTTGTATCTCCTTAATAGCAGTCTTCGCCCCCCATCCGCCAACGACCCCCACGCGACCATCACCCACCACAAGCCGTCCGCCATCTCATACCAATACCACAACATCGCCATGGACTCCGCCAAGACCTTCGAACTCGTGACACCGCTCTCCGTCTCGCGCGCCCTCCTCAACACCAGCATCTCGTCCCTCCTCTTCCTCGCGCTATCCTTCGCCCTGCTCTACTCCGTCGCTCACGCAGTCTATCATTATTCCTGTCGCCCCTCGCTGCGCTCCCCGGCCCCTGGTACGCCGCCATCTCTGACTTCTGGCTCACCACCCATGTCGTCCGCCTGCGACAATGCCGAGCCGTTCAAGATCTCTTCGAACAGTACGGACCCGTGGTCCGCGTCGGTCCCAACAAGGTCGCTTCTGCGATGCCACCACCATGCGCAGCGTCTACTGCGTGCACAAATTCGACAAGAGCTCGTACTACAAGAGCGTTATGACGTGAGTCAATGCTCTCGAGTCCATGGGTCATACCTTGAACTCATCAACTATCGTGTACAGAAACAACAACGATCATGCGTAGGTTCCTCTCGAACCCGCAGTTTTGCCGTTCCCTGACAGAATCTCGTGATAACTAGAATGACCACCCTTCCCCACGCGGAACACGCCGTCCGTCGCAAGGCCTATTCGCCCCACTACATACCCTCCAACCTCGCCCTGTTTCAGACTGACTTGCAGGATCTTTGCCTGAAATTGGTTGACGTACGTATTGACTCTTGACCACGGGAAGCTCTTAGGCTTATCGGTGGTTTCCCCTAGATCCTCGGCGGTGCATCCGGCAGCGCATCCGTCGACTGCTTGGATTTGTTGCGTCACCTCATGGTGGACATCATTGGGACTACCGTCTTTGGGCGTTTGCCTGGTTCCCTGGACAATTGGGCAAAGGACATCCAGGACCCCCTTGCGACCGCTGTGTACGACTTTCCCAAGCGGGGTATTCTTGTGAGCTCCTTCAATGCATCTGTCTGTCAGCGCGAGATTGTTGACTGTCGACGATAGCGCAGCGCCGTGCCGACTTGGGCATGGAACCTTGTGTGTCGCATCCCGAATGACCGCTTGCGCCAGGTCTGCGACTCCGACAGGATTATGGCACAGGTATGTCTCCCGTGCTGAACTCAGGCATTCACCCTCCTGAGTAAGCGCAGTTCGTAGCTGGTCGTCTCTACGAGATGCGCACCAAGTTGCAGGCAGGACCTGTAGACGGAGAGACCGATGCGAGAAGTTGCCTCTTCTTCAACGCATGCTGCTCCACCGGGTCTTCGCTACCAACGAGTGCATGCCAGACAAGGACATCATATCCGAGGCTATGGGCCACCTGTGAGCATTCCGTTATCGCCGATGTCAAATAACGACCGATCATTGATCGCAGGGTCGCCGGCGTTGACACGTCTTCCACAACGCTCTCGTACCTACTTTGGGAGCTGAGCCGCCGCACTGACATCGCGAAGCGCCTTCAAACCGAGCTCGACGATGCCATGCCCGATCGCGCTGTAATCCCCGATGCCGTCACGCTCACCAAGCTGCCGTACCTCAACGCTTTCATCAAGGAAGGTCCGTGAATAACGTTGTGCCCATGCGCTACAGTCGCTGACTACCAATGCCAGGCCTTCGTGTCTACGGTGCCGCGCCCTCGCTTCTGGAGCGTGTCGTCCCATCGACCGCTCCTTCCGGTCTGGATGACTCCTTTGATCTCATGGGTACGCGGTCCCTCCTGGAACCATTGTCTCTACCCAGGCATGGAGCATGCACCGCGACGCCGGCGTGTTCCCCAGCCCTGAGACCTTCCTACCTGAAAGGTGGCTGGCCGTCGAGGGTGTTGAAGGCGAGGAGGAAAGGCTTGCCATGTGAGTAGTTGCAAGGCGCCCCCAACGTTCGAAATCTGACAATTTTCCTCTCAGGATGACCCAGCACATGATGCCATTCGGTGTAGGTAGCAGGATATGCGGCGGCCAGAACCTGGCGCAGCTTGTCATGCGTATGGCCGTGGCTGCAGTTGCGAGGAACCTGAATGTCGCCGCGGACGCTGCTCAGACGAACGAAAGGAGCATGGAGATGCGCGACGCTTTCGTGAGTTCTTCGTTCGGCCCCGATACCTCGTACTGATCGGCGAATCACAGGTGCTCTTCCCCGCTGCGAAGGAATGCAAGCTCACCTTTAACGCGCGCAAGAACTGAGCACAGACGAACTCGACGACGCGAAGACCTTTCCAATTCACCCTTTGTACGCTATTCCCGTTTAATTCCCGGCGCGCCTCGGACTGTGAGATGTTTTCGTGGTGTTTGTTTATCGACCTGCTGTCCATTCGCTCTGTATGCAGCTTTCGGTTCATTTGTTGTCGTTGGTTCTTTGCACGGTGTCTTCGTGTACAACAGTGACGAGCGGAGTAGAAGCCTATCCGGACCCTCGAGGAGGATGAGCCTAGATACCTACGAGGTGAACGAGAAACCAGTATGATACATCACGCATAAGTTAGTATAATCATCAGTTAAGTAGGCCCTTAGCCATTTGATCGGTGTGCTGCGTGTCTGGCTCAAGACATGGATCTCGAGCGAGTTGAGCGGAGGGTCGCTGCGGCGCCTAGGAGTAGAGATCCATGCGATTAATACGATACATCTGAGTATTCTATGCACAAGTTGACCACCATTCATCGCGAGAGCGTCCGGTCAGTATACATGTGTCATGCCTAGGCTTGGTGGGGATTCCGCGATTCTCGGCGCGTAGGTCCCGACGATTTCGAGTTCGAGAACAGTATCACGCCAGAGCGGATACCCGTGCTCGGCGGGGGGCGGGCGAGGTGCGCATACTCCCACGTCCTGCAGTCCTCGGGGATGCCGAGCGTGTCGAGGAGGGCCGTGGCCTTGGCGGGCATGAACGGCTGGAGGAAGACGCCGCAGATGCGGAGGCAGTCGAGGACGACCTGGGAGACGGCTTGGACCTCGGAGGCGGGCGTGGCCTTCGCCCAGGGGCGGGTGTCGGTCATGAGGATGTTTGCCTGCGGCGGGGGTTAGTTCAGCGCTGGGCTAGGGTTAGGTTTTAGGGGGGACGTACGGTGTTGAGGGCGACACGGATGTACGCGAGCGCGTCGGCGATGCGCAGCTCCGACATGGCTGCGTCGACGTCGCAGGGCAGCGTCCTGAGGATGGCGACGAGGGGGCGGTCGGAGAGGGAGGGGTCCCGCCCGTAGACGAGCCGCTTCGAGAGGTCGATGCGCGCGAGGAGCGCTTTTGAGGTGGAGCGCGCGAGGAGGTTGCCTAGCATCGACGTGATCTCCGTCCGACGCGCGTTGACGAGGTGGGGGGACCAGTCTTGCGTATCGCTTGAGTCAGCATGTCGGGGTAGCGGGACGCGCGGCTCACCAACGTCATCCTTGAACCGGCCCCCAACCTCGGCGAGGTAGTACCTGACGACGTCGATGCCGTACTCGTCGATCGCGGCGATGGGGTCGACGACGTTCCCGACGGACTTGGACATCTTCCGGTGGTCCATCGTCCAGTGCGAGTGCGCGAGGAGCTTTTGCGGGAAGGGCAGGTCGAGCGCGGCGAGCATCGCGGGGAAGTAGAGCGCGTGGAACCTGCGATAGCTCGTAAGACTGCTGTGCTTTTTGAGTGCGGAACGGGTAGGATACGGACCGAAGGATGTCTTTGCCAATGACTTGTATGTCGGACGGCCAACCGCTGCTCAAGCCCTTACCGTCATCCGTCCATGGGAAGCCAATTGAGGAGAGATACACGGTCAGCGCGTCGATCCAGACGTATATCGTGTGCTCATCGTCGTTCGGGACAGGTACACCCCACGTGAGCCGCGACCGAGGCCGGGACACCGACAGGTCCTGGAGGGTAACTGTCCGGAGATGGTGCAGAATGGCCTCGTGGTGCTGTGGGGGATGGATCGCCTCTCTGTAGTTGCATAGTGCGCCTCCAGGACGTCCTGGAAAGACGACAAGCGGAATTGTAGTTTTCTCCTCCATCCATTCCACGGCCGACCCCTCTCTGTGAGACGTGCTGCTCGTTCCCTGCGGCATCGACTACTTTCGTGACCTGCAGTTCGGGGTAGAAGCACTCGTCCGAGACGGAGTACCAGCCGGAATGGATGTCTTTGTAGAGGAGGCCTTTCGCGTCTAGTCGACGCTAGGGGGCACGAGTCACCTCAGCAGCTGAGATGAGAAGAGACGGAGATGCCTACCCACAAGTACTGCACTGCGTCACAATGCCCGCGCTCGGTCGTGCGGGAGAACCGGGTCGAGCTGATGTCCGCCTTCTGGACGAGACCCTGTGGGGTTGTGAGCACCGGGACTGTCAAGAGGCTCGCCTCGTGTGACGAACCTTGAAGTGTTCGCTGAGCGTGTCGCAGAAGGGGAGTGGCTCCATGCCCTGCGCCTGTGCTGCCTTTTTGATTTTCAGGCCGTGCTCGTCCGTGCCTGTAGTAAAGTGCACGGGTCTGTTTGGATGTCGGAGACGCGCATAGCGAGCAAAGATATCGGCGACGACCAAGGAGTATAGGTGACCTATGTGGGGTACTAGTATAGAAGCATGTGTCAGTACAATGACCAAATGGTGTGGAACGAAGAAGGGTGTGAGTGCGTTCCAGTGTTCAGCTCGCCCCGCATGCTATGCGGTTGAATGTAGTTGTGTCGGGTGCAACGTACCTGAGTTAGGGTAGAATATTGGGGTGGTAATGTAGTATGGTTTGACATCGCTGCTAGCGGCGGAGGAGGAAAGACGACATGGCTGCCTGAGGAGTGGCGGGACACGTCTGAGCGAGCGAAAGAGATGCCCGCTTTGCATGCGGTACCCAATTGAGCCAGAATGTGGGAGCCTAGCACAAGTACCGTTTTCTACGCACCACGAGAGCGTGGAGGGTCGTCAGCCTAGTCGGTGACAAGAACCAGGAGTGTAGGTAAACGACAAGTACTATTTACATATTAGCACCCGGCGGGGACACTCGTGTCGCCAAATGATAATTTCTGTGCTAACCCCATATCGGGAGCGGCCTGGACTCGATCGGGACTTGGATGCAGAATGTTCCCCGAAACACGATCGGACCGCTGCGCCAGCAGCCCGGGCGAGGCCTCGTCTGCCCTACTGCACATTTCCCATCTTGCCCTGGGTGGACATTCTCGTCTCTGTATACGGCCTAGAGCCCCATACGGGCCACTAATCACCTGCCTCGCCATCATCACGACGCACACGACTTCACCGTTCATCTGTAGCTGGCCTACCCGAGCGCCATGTCCGACTCATTCGCTGACCTCTGGAACTCGACCGGCGTAAGCAAACCAGCAGAACAGCCACGCAAGCTGGGATCTCTGGCCCCAGTAATACCCCCCTCTCGGAACGCGAAGAACGATGTGTTCTCCATGCTTGCATCGCCGGCAGCTTCGTCCCTGCCTCGCGCTCGGGCACGCCAGGGGCCGCTGGGCCGATCCAGTCTACGCGATCACTGGGAACGAGCAGTATGTCTCCATCTATGGGCGCGAAACCGGTGCAAAAGTCTCCTAGCTCAGGCAGCGATGCGTTCAGCGGTCTCTTCTCTGGCTCACTTGCACCCGGCTCCACTGCGAATCGCGCGAACATGACCATAGCCGAGCGCGCAGCTCAGGCAGAGCGGGAGAGGAGGGAACAGTCGCAACAACAGCACGCCGCTGCGAAGCAGTCCGCAAATGCATGGGCGGGACTTGACTCGCTTGGGAACCTCGTGCCCGCCGCCAAACCATCTACGCCCGCTCAGGTGAGCGCACCCCAAGACGACGACTGGTTATTTGGCTCGGATGCCGCAAAGTCGTCTACATCCACCACGAAGCCATCTACCACCAAGTCACCGCCCCACAGGATGACTGGGGACTGGACGATTTCATCTCTCAGCCCGCTGCCCGGAAACGTACGTCTGCACCACCACGAGGAGAGTCGTTATTAGACCTAGACGAATTCAACCCTATTCCCTCCGCCCAATCAACGCGGACTTCCCCTCACCCTCCTCAAAGCCGCTCGGATACACCAGGCGATTTCGACTTCGGTGATCGTGAGGACGGGCTGCTCGGTGACCAGTCAGACGAGGACGACATACTTGGAGAACTTAGTAAACCAGTCTCGCAGCGTTCACCACCGTCATCTGTACGTACATACATCCGCACAGGGTTTCCTTGCGCTCATGGACATTGCCTGCAGAGCCAATCTAATCGAGCAATTTCGTCGTCTCAGACTGTGCCTTCGCGTTCGAGACCACAGTCTCGGGCGGTTTCTCCGCCTCCCCACATCCTCGGGAAGATCGTAGAAATGGGCTTCTCTGTGGAACAGGCGCGTGTCGCGCTTGCCTCCACCGACACAGGGTTAGATGTAGAGGCAGCCCTCGAGACATTGCTCGCCAACGCTAGCGCGTCAGAGCCCGCAAGTACAGACAACCATAGAACGCAGCGCGAGCCTGGGTACGAGCGCTACTACGAGTCCGACGAGGAACAGTCTGCGCCCCCGCGGCGACGTCCAGCTCCGACGTCTCGCCCGAGCGCCTCCGGGCGCGCGCGCGAGGCGCCACCGCGGAATGGCCCGTCGCCCGGGTCTGTGGAGGCACAGCGGAACCTGCAGGAGCAGGCGGACAAGCTCATTGCGCAGGCGAGCGAGATCGGGCTGACCATGTTCAACCGCGCAAACGCGTTCTGGAAGGAGGGCAAGGAGAAGGCGCTGAAGGCGTACGAGGAGCGTGCTGCGACCTCGCGCCAGGGGAGCTCAGGCTCGCCGAACGCGAACGGGCGGCCGAAATGGATGCAGGAGGCGCCGGAAGGGGAGCTTGGGGACGGGGAGCAGAGGGAGGGGTTAGTGGGTTCAAGGATGGCGATGAGGTCCTCCCGCAGAGGCCTGCTCCTCAAGCGCGGCGTAAGCAGGCGGAAGCGCGCCAGAGGCCTGAGGCACAGTCTGCTGCGTCGAGAGTCAAGACGGGCGACCTTTTGTCGGATGACGCGCCAGCTGTGTATACCTCGCCGTGGCGGCGGAAGACACCGTCGCGGAGTCAAGCACCGACACCGTCCACACAACATGCAGCATCGACTTCGAGAGCGCAGCCTCCGCCCCGCGTACCCTCCCCGATCCGGCTAACACAGCGGAAGACAGTATCAGCATCGTCGGCTGCGATGGCCGCATCGGCGAAGCACAAAGCTGCAGGTACTGAGATGTTCAAGCTCGGACGGTACGCGGAGGCAGAGACTTCCTACACCTCCGCCATCGCCACCCTCCCCGACTCTCACCTGCTCCTCGTCCCACTCTACAACAACCGCGCACTCGCACGCATCAAGACTGGTGACCACACTGGTGCGATCGACGATGCTACCACGGTGATCACGCTCATCGGGCCGTCGTATCACCCTACGCGTGAGGCCAAAGTGACGCAGGAGGACGAGGGCGCGGGGGTTGACCTCGCAGACGCGCTCGTGAAGGCGTTCTGGCGCCGCGCGGAGGCGTACGAAGGCAAGGAGAAGTGGGAGACGGCTCGCCAGGACTGGGAGACGATCGCGGGTGCGGACTTTGCGGGCAAGGCGCGCATGGAGGCCGTCAAGGGCGTCGGGCGTTGTCGCAAGATGCTCTCCGCGGGGACAGACGTCCCCCTTCCTGCTGCTGCCTCTGCGTCCGCGCCCTCTGTGAGGTCGGCGCCCAAGCCGAGGCCGCGTCCTGCTCCTGCAGTCGTTGTGCCCACTGAGGCTGTTGACCGCGTGCGCGAGGCGAACCAGGCGGCGGAAGCGGAGGCGCAGGCGAAGCACGAGCTGAAGGACGTCGTAGACGCAAAGCTGGCGGGGTGGAAGAACGGGAAAGAGACGAACATCCGCGCGTTGATTGCGAGCCTTGACACGGTGCTCTGGCCTGAGCTCGGCTGGCAGAAGGTGGGCATGCACGAGCTCGTAACGCCGAGCCAGGTGAAGATCAGGTACACGAAGGCGATTGCGAAGCTGCATCCCGACAAGGTGTGTGGCTCTTCATTTGTGTTCTAGGCATGTGAGGGGGCAATGGTGCTAATGGATGATATAGCTGAACGCGAAGAACACGACACTGGAGCAGAGGATGATTGCGAACGGTGTCTTCGGGTCGCTGAATGATGCTTGGAACGCGTTCAAGCAATAGACACTAATTTATCGCGGCTTCTGTTGTATTGCCCGGATCCTAATCTCAGTGAGTTGTTGTACACTGTTGCAAGTGTTGTTTCGAAAGGGGCCTTGCTCCTATATTCAACATACTCGTTCGATTGATTGTTGAATGCGACATATCGGTCACGTGGGTTCTCTGCGAGTGGCCGGCCTGTCAGGCCACTTCAGTTTCGCGGACTTGGAAGTTCCACTCATGTACAATGCATGCTCGATGCGGCTCACAATGATTAACATGGTCTTGGCGTGGTTTTTCCAGACACATGCTGAAGACATTTTGAAAGTAACAGATGAAACTTGAATGGCTCGATCGTCTTCGTAGAGCGGTATCGTTGTTCATGAAGCTTCAATGTTGAATAATGCTTACGCGGTTAGCTTGTGTGACACTGTAGATCTTTGTCTTCCATAAACCGAAGGACCCGATGATAGGCGCGTAAACGGTGCCGCTGAAGTCTTTCTGTCTACCTCGTGTCGTCATTGTACCACCCCCTCCAGCATCCGTTCAATACCGGTGTTTCATGCGCAATCAGCGCGTTCTCGCGTGGCTTTGTGGTCGATCCATCTATTGTTGAACGAAAACGTTGCACAAGACAAGGCAGGTTCCAAGCTGATCATTGGTTCCCCTTCGCCACTCGTTGCGACCACCACTGGTATCCAGGAAGAATGCGATGTAAGTAAGGCAATTTTGGCTGAGGCAAGACGACGAAACCTGGGGTAAGTCTCGAGTTGCTAAGGGTCTTTGTAGATTGCTAATGGTATGCCCCACGTGTGTATTGTTCCCCGCCCCCCTGTACCGTCCCCCCACGCGAGCGAGCCCATTGACCTCGTCGAGTACGCTCTCGTTATGGTGCGTCGCGATCGAGGGACGCGCTTTGTTGGATATATCTGGTAATGGGCGGACGGTCGCGCGACGAGTATAAATTCTGTGTCCCGGAATGGTGCGTCCCCTCTATCCATCCGTTCTGTTCACCCTGTTCTGACCGCACGACGTTGATTCGTTCGTCCGGCTTGCTCTCTATTGCTGTTTAATCTTGTTCTCTATTTGCACTGTTTACGAATCGCCCAACGTCCCGCCCTGCGAAAAAATGTCCAACAAATCCCTCCACCCCACCCTCCACCCCGAGAACGTCTCATCGTACTCTTCACTTGTATCCGCACTGGAAGACCACCGTGTTCGGGGGTCATTCGTTGAAGACACCTTCCGCGTTCCGCGCACTTCCAGCGGGAGTCTGCTAAGACCGCTGCCAGCATGGGCTGGTCAAATTACCATCACGTTTGACACCGTGCAGGGCCTCTTTGGTGGACGAGGACTCCCGCTCGCGTTCCTACAGAGCGGGATGGCACCTGGCGGTATTCTTCGGCATGCCTCTGACCATGTCTTCGCGAATCGATCCCCAGGCAGCGTGTTCAACATACGGCTGAGTGTACGTACAACCGCCTCTGCTGCCTTCTGCTCTCCCCCTGACATGGGTGCTCAGTGGCCAGGCTACTCGCAAGTTGAGTGCGTGACTGGAGTACCGATCCCCTCGCCAGCGACGCGAGTCGACGTCGCGGTGGCCGTGATTGGTCAGTACAGTCAACTCATTGCGGTGAGTACGCGTTGCATCTAAGGCACGTGACCGCGTTTGACATCGTGGCCGATCACAGAGAGCCGAGCTCGAAGGTCCCAGAGAGAAGGGACGCGAGGGTTGGAAGCTGGGCAGGGGTGCTATCACCATCGAGAACCTCATCCTGGTCTCCGTGTCGAACGGCCAGGATGGTGTTTTCGAGGCGGAGATACACGTTGTGCTCACCCGCAACGATCCGATGGCCATGTTGGCAGCATTGAGGCGCTGAGGTTTGGCGATCTTCACTCCATGTGCTGGACGCATCTGACCGGACATGGACACTATTATGACTCGCTACCGGCCGCGAGATACTTACGCTTTACGACTTGCATGATTTGCATCACGACGTTATTTTAGTTGTCGGGCCACACCCATATTTATCGGCTCTCGTTGCTGTCTTAGTACGCCGCAGTTCACTAGCAGTCTGTATTTCATGTATGTCTGCACCCATGTATCGCGTAGTACATTTCCCTCCCTCATCACGTAGTAGTAGTAGCAATACATTCAACGCAGTCCGTGTATTCCAGGCTGCGTTTAGCAGCCAACAATGTATCGACAGCCTGTGCGCCGCGGCGTGAGCCAGTGTCAGTGTCCTGTTGCCATATATACCCCACCGAGACGAACTACTCCTATTAGTCTCCTATATGAAGTGTGTACGTCGGCGCCTCACAAGGATCCACGGACGACCACCGTGATCTGGTCCCGGGACCCCTCGGGCATGCTTCGGCCAATCGACCGTCTACAGCCACCTCTCGATCGCCAGGAGTCGTTCACCACCACCATCTCGTCCATCGCCTCCACAACTGCAATATCTCCCAGTGCCCTGAAGTTACAGGGAGGATCGACTCAACTGCGATTCGGCTCGTTGATTTTTGCTCGAGCAAGAGACCATGGCAGAGCCGGAAACACCACAGGCTGAGCAGCCAGTACAGCCCGTGCAAGTTTTGTATTGTGGAGGTGCGATCTTCCCTGCAGTGAAACTCGCCGTGCTTGAAGCTCAAAGCTATTGAAGTCTGCACATTCCCAGTGGAGTACTGCGAGTTTGGCTCGCATCTGACAAAGTGTAAGGAATGGCTGCACGAGAACGACTCAGACTTGTACGACAAGTACTACTCAGAAGGCACGTCCGTCCTTCTTGCCCTTCCGTGCTGCTATATATGTTAATCGCTGGTACAGGGGCACTTCAAGCCAAGCTGGGCACACTCAGTTTGGAGGCGCAGGAGAAGCTAGAGAAGGATACTGCGAAGAAAGAGGCGAAGGCAGAGGCGAAAGCAGAGGCGGCGCAAAAGAAGAAGATGGTGCGCACGGACCGTCCTCCCTTCCATCGCCATAAATTGACGTGTGTTATTGTAGGCGTCTCAGGTGACGATCAAGCGAATAGAGCGGAACAAGCGCAAGTTCGTTACCGCCGTGCATGGGCTCGAAGCTTTCGGTACGTATCTGTTCACTTCCCCATCGATTCGCATTACCCGCGCCTTCGCTTCCCTCTGACTACTATGGCGCATTGCAGACGTCGACCTGAAGAAAGCCGCCAAGTTTTTCGCACAAAAGTTCGCAACAGGCGCGTCTGTGACGAAGAACCCACAGGGGAACGACGAGATTGTCGTTCAAGGCGACGTCTCTGGAGATATCGTGGAGATGATCGAGGAAGGCGTGGGCCTACTGAAGGGCGTTCCGAAGGACAACATCGTTGAAGTAGAAGAAAAGAAGAAGAAAGGCGGCGAATGATCTGCGCGGGGTAGCGCTGGAATCGGATGTAAGGTGAGGAGTGGATGCTCGCGTGTTGGCTCCTCCCGTGGCTGATGTCCTCTCTTCTCCCCCTCTAGTTTGGAGGAGTCCTCTCAAGTTGTATCGAACAGTCTACCGCACGACATCACCGTTGTACACTAGCATGAAATGACATCGCTGTAGCGTTCACGAGGAAGCGCCTATGTAGCGAGATTTTGTGGTGAGTACACTTCGTTTCCAAAACCACATTACAAGTCCGTTTGTTTCTGACAGCGATTGAGCGAACGGCGAGGTTGACCTCGGCACACCTATGCTGCCTTCCTGCCGCCAAGCTCGGAGTAGAGTACGTCGCCTTCTGCGCGTTTTCCGGCCGCGCGTCCGCGTGCTTTCTTGAAGTGATTCGAGAGCAAGAACGCGACGTCTGAAGCAAACTCATGTCAGTCAAGCCAAAGGCCAAAGAGCAGAGTAACGGGCCACATACCCAGCGACTGCTCGAAGTTCAACCTCGGATCGCAGAACGACTGTCAAGCATCGCGCATCAACCCACTAATCCTGCGCCGCGTATTAAAGGATAACTTACCTGGTACCTCAGCCCCAGCTCTTCCTCCGCCAGCTCCATACTACCGCCCAGGCACTCGGTCACGCTGAATCCGTCCTCGCTCAGCTCGCCCGTGAACTCGAGGCTGACGCCGTTGAGCGTCGAGCCGCACTCGGCGTGGATCCGGAGGCACGCGGTCAGCTCGGAGATGATCGTCCCGAAGTGCCGCGTCTTGAGCCCCGTCGAGGACGTGAGCGTATTGCCGTGCATCGGGTCGCAGATCCAGGCGACGGGGTGCCCTGACGCCTGGACGGCGGTGATGTGCGATGCGAGGTGTTGCTCGACCTGTGCGGGGAGATGAGCGTAATGTAAGCGGACGGGCTGAGGACATGCAGAACCTTCCCGGCGCCGTAGCGCGTGATGAGGGTGACTTTTCCTGGCTCGCGGTCTGGGTTCACGACTGTTCACAAGGAGTCAATGGCGGAACGGACATTCCTACGGCAGCGAAGCACTCACTGTCTAGCAGTTGAACGACTTCTTCAGCCTGCATCGTAGGCCCGACCTTGACCCCAATCGGGTTCCTCACGCCACGGAAGTACTCCACATGCGCGCCCGTCAGCTGCCTCGTCCTATCTCCAATCCACAGAAGTGCGCAGACGTGTTGTAGTACTCTTTCCTGGGCCTCGCCCTTGCCCTCCGCTTCCGCGGATGGCGAGCGGGATGCATTGTGATGGCGGAGCGCGACGTAGACGCGATGGACGACGGCACGGGGAACGTTGCGTCATCGCCTCCTCGAAGTCGAGCATGAGGCCCTCGTGGCTCGTGTAGAAGTCGACCTCGCCGAGGACGCCCCGCCCACCGCCCTGCTCGTACGAGGCGCGCTCGCCGCCATCTGCGCCGAGCCCGATCGTGCGCGTGAAGTCGAGCGCATCGGAGAGGCCCTCGGTGATGCGCTCGAATTCCTCCCTGCGGGGTGTAAGTTACTGTGTGGGTGTGGAGGGAGGCGGGGAGCCTACCGGAGTGCGGGGGAGCGGACGTGCGAGAGTGACCAGTCCCTTGGATGGTGAAGAGATGCAAAGCCGGACGTGAGCAGCCCGCGGACGTAGTTGAGCGTCGCGGTTGAGTGGAAGTACGCGCTCAGAAGGCGCTCGGGGTCTGGTGTTCGGTCATTTGGGTCCAGTCTGTGCAACGTCAGTAGGCTGTAGGATGCGCATAGCGAGGGAGACATTACCCATTCACGTTATCTCCTCTTCATACGCGACAAGGTGAGTTGAATGCAAGAGCCTCGCACAGGCTAGCGTACCGGAAACTGAACACCTCGCGGTCTCCGATCTTCTCCGTGGCGCTACTCCTCGGCTTTGCGTACTGGCCGGCGATACGCCCTATTCGTACGACGGGCTTGCGGGATCCCCAGATGAGGATGAGGGAGAACGACAGGATGAGGCCGATCTTCGCAGAGATGTTTTCCTACTTCGCGTGAGCTTGTGGGAGAATGAGGAAAGGACGGGAAGGGGCGTACATGCGTGCAGGCGTCGAAGCTCTCCGCGCAGTCTCCAGCATGCAGGAGGAAGGCTTCGTTGCGTTGGACCTGGCTCAGTTGTTGGCGAAGCCTCTCGATCTGAGAGAACGCTGAGAATGATAAGCACAAGGAACTGAGAAGCACTGCGCACCTCGGAGGGAGTGACTAACGGAGGCAGCGTCCGGATCTTATTGAGCACTCTGAAAGCAACCTGGTTAGAGCCGTAGCCTGAGAGTCAAACAGCGGGTTACGCACTTGTCGAGCTTCTCTCTGTCCGGATAGACTACATCCTACGTAGCGAGTCAGCGTCCTTCCCCGCACTTTGGTAGTCGTAGAGCACGCACCTGTGCTGCTGGCTTGTTCCTCCAGGAATTCGGTGACCAGGATTCAGTGGTCCCGCTCATCGTTCTGCTTGCTGGAAGTTGTAGACGGATACTAGTTGGGTACTAGGAGAAATACTGTCCTCGTGAGCTGGCGGTGAGGGAGAAGGACGGGTGCAACGATGGGACTTGAGTTGACTCGATCATCCAATTTGTCGATCGCCACGAAAATCGGACAGATCTCGGCTCCCCGCATCTTATCTCCTTCGGTCCGGCATCCGGTCACCTACATTTGCCTTCGCGAGGACTTCGTCTCACTGCCACTCTTGCTCCCGACTTCATTCACCTCTCTGGTAATGCCACACAGACCATCACTGCATGTGTACAAGCACAGGGAGGGCATCAACACCCGTGCATCGTACTCATGTTTCTGTATATGGAGGCTCAACATCCCTCACTTGCTCTTCCAACCACTCCCACAGCATCCTCCCCAGCTCAGGGTCGTCTGTCTCTTTCTTCGCTTGCCCGACGCGCGCATACGGGATGCAATACTGCCGCCAAACACGTAAGCAGTTGAGATAGTCAGCATACGAGTCGGTGCTCGCCTTCCCGCCAAAGTTTCCGCCCTCGGGCATCGTCCCTGCCCATAGCTGCGTGAGTGCGCCCATCTTCGGTCCAGGGATTAGTGGGTTCTAATGTCGACCTCGGTCAGTGCGCTCAACTAATTATGCATGAGCAGAGCCGGCATACTAGTATCCCTAACAGCTTGATCGGCCAAGACGGATGTCGTTTGGTGTCAAACTTCAGGTTCCCCGGATGCAGCGAGAAGGAAACCAGGCCCTGGTCAGCGTATCTTCTGTGGAACTCGTTGGCTACGACGACGTTTCCCTACAACATTTTTGGATCAGGGAGCGACGTTCCTCGCACGAGATCGACAATACACACAAACTTGCTCTGGAAATACAGCTTCGTCGTATGCCACCGCCTCCTCTTCGGGCCGTCCTTCAACGTCTCGAAGTCGATCCCGTTCACGAACTCGTGTCCCACCGATGCGACGTGTACAATCCGCGCCTTTCCGTCTGCAGATACTCGAGCAGTCTTCAGGAGGACGGGAATGAGGAGCTTGGTGAAGTAGTAGTGCCCTGGCATAGACCATTAGGCAGGCAGCAAGAGCGCGGAGAACGCCTACTGCGGACCGAGGACATTGGTGCCGAATTGCAGGTCGTACCCTTCCTCAGTGACGTCTTCCACAGGTGGGTATATTGACCCCGCATTGTTGATCAGGACGTGCAGCCCCGTCTCCTTGCTATACGCGACCACCCTCAATCCTCTGCCGATCGTACACATCAGCGAGAGCAACACACCCCAAAAACTCCTGCGCTGCAGCCTTCACGGATTGCAGGCTCGCCAGGTCAAGCCGCAGGAAGATCGCCTCCCGCCCGGTCTCCCGCTTGAGCTCGTCGATCGCCACCTGTGCTTTGATCTGGTTCCGCGAAGCCATGTACACCTTCGCGTTGTGCGCGAGCAGCGCCTACGTGCATGCCCCGTGAGTGTCGGAGGTACAGTCGGGCGGTCTGCTCCCGGGTTCAGACAGCGAGCTCGGACACTGACCTTCACCGTCTCCTTCCCAATCCCGTCATTCCCTCCGGTCACGACCACGACCTTCCCGCTGAGGTCCGGCATTTCCTCGGCCGACCACTTGGGCGGCGGGGGGAACATGGAGGACCAGCCTGAAGGTGAGACGTGCAGTACCGAGGACGCGAGCGCGGGTATCGCGTATGATTGCATCTTCCTGGGCTGAGTGGACCCGGAGAGGAGCTGGGGGCGAGAGGAGTTGTAACTTGTGGTACTTATTTCTGGGCGGATGAAGGGAACGGTGCTATACTTGGGTACGTGGGTGAGAATGCCAAGAGGTATGACGCTGCATAGGGATCGGGAGGGAACCTCGGAGGGTGGTTTGGCTGCTTCGTTGTGGGAACGCAGGTGAAGCATGGAGACCGCGGTCACCCTCTGGTGAGGGAACATGCGATCCTATTTTGTGGCGAAATAAGCTGTGAGTACTTGACGCGGACGTCGACCACTGGAACGTGTTCACGGCTTCCAGCGATATGTCGTCACTGGCTTTGTGTTCAAGTGCGCAAGCTGTGCTCTCGATGTTGCGTTCGTCACAACGGGCTTGCCATACCGGTCGCTGCAAGCGAGCAGTAGTCCGGCGGGCAGTAATGGAGGAGGCAATGTTGCGGTGAATATTATGGGGTTGCAACCACCTGCGGTGAACCGACTTCCCAGCTCGGACAGCTCATCCATTACACCACTTTCGGTGAGTGATACAGCATATGAACGATTCACCCCTTGATCGAGCTACGTTCCTCCTTGGCCTATGGATTTAGTGGACAAATGGACATAGCTTCTCGGCGTACTTTACATCGTACACGAATATAGCTGAGGCCAGTTTGCCTTGCCGTAGTACAGACGGGCAGCATGCGCCGTGCCGTAGGGCTTCTACGTCAGGAGGATTCACCGGGCATACTCTCAATGCGGTGTTTCATCTTCCTGCACCGCTGGCGTGCATCCGGCTGGAGGTACGTGACCCCCGGGTGAGTTTCTGCCTCTATTACGTCTTTCGATCGTTGCAGGTATAAATACAGGTCAGCGAGATCCCTTTACTCCCCATCACCAACGATCTTCCGCAACTTCACCTCGACCAAAGCCTCTTCCAACCCTTTCAAGACTTTGGCCAACATGTTCGCATTCATCGCCCTCTCTGTCGCCCTCGCCATGCCTGCCGCGCTGTCGGCTCGTCAGGACGCCTGCACCGCCCTCGGTGCCGGTGCTTCCAACTCCTTGACCTACAACTTTTAGCTGGAGGTTGTCGATCCCTCTGCGGCGGATGACGCCACCGGCGCTGTGCTCGCTCTCGTCAACGGTGACCAGAACGGTAACTGGTGGCTCGAGGTCAGTCCACAACTGTTGCGACTGGTATCGGTGGATACTAATCGTTGCTCGTGTCTGTAGGAGATCCACCAGAACTACACCGGCGAATTCTCTGGCTGGTCGCTCAACGGCGGCGCTCTCACGCCGATTGCTAGCTCGACCAACAGTGGCACGGTCGGAAGCGACTGTCCGTCACGGCGGGCTCGATCGTCGAGTTTGCGGTGACCAACAACGGTTCCGCCAACGCCGCGGGGGCCAGACGCCCTACTGCGCCGTGGTAAGTCTCCGGTTGCGCGTACGCATAGGACGGATGAGCTGACGGTGGGCTCGGGGATCGCAGAGAGATGCGGACGGCCATGCCACACTCGCGGTCAACGGCGTCTCGAACTCGTTCGCCGTGTGCCAGAGCGGCAACACGAATGTCCTGGTGTACAGCGCCTCGGCCGACAACAACGGCGCATACACCTTCGACAGCTGCACCGTGCAGAACGTGCACCTCGTCCAAGCCTAGCGTGGCCTCGAGGTCTTCGTGGACTTTCGGATCCACCATTTAGTAATTTACTCCATCCTCGCGTACGCTCTGATTGTCGTGTTTGCTGTGTATGCAGTGTCGCTCCTTACCCACAATCCTAGTCATTGTCGCATTGCTCTGATACCTTACAGGTTATGCTGTGCGTTGAGTCATGAGTCTGAGCCTCTAAGCCGACAATAGACCTACTCCTTGTCACTCCTTGAGATGTTGGGGCACCGCTCAAGTTGTCTGTCAATGCTGGCATACGCATACACGGAAATGTGTTTAGCAGCGCACAATGAAATTGCAGTGAGAAGTATGATTGAGAATATGATACATGAATGCGAACTCGGAACGACTCCCAGCGGGTATATCGATGCCCAAACAAAGAAAACATTACTAGAGTATGAATGCAGCGAACGGAGGAAGACGAACTGGGAGGGAGTGTGTAGTACGGTTGTTTGTACGTCTTCATGGGGCCCTGCCCTCAGCGACGTTGAATGGAACCAACAAACAACCCAACAAGAGTATGAATGCGGTAAGGACAGAACAACCACATACACCGCAGTGTTCGGCATGCGGAACTCAATAGAGTCACAGCCCCAAACCGGAGCGAATGGCATTTTGCAGAGCATAATTGTAATCCTAGACATCGCCGTCATGAGTCTTTGCACGCACCAAGGACGTCGTCCCTGACTCACCTGATCAAGGACCAAGTGAAAGCGCCGCCTAGCCCAGAGTTCTTCGCGTATTGGCTTTGTCGGTGAGCGACGATGGGTCGTCGTAAGTACTACAGTCTTGCGCGAGGTATCGTAGATGAACTAGCCGACGCGTGAGCTTTAATATGGCCGTAAGTCAATCATGTAGACATTACCGGTGTATCGCTGCAGTTATCCAATGCTACGACCAAAGTGTCAGTTTGCCGAAGATTTGTGACGCCCACTGCGATGCGTACCGTAGGTGTAGCCGTTCGCGGCCGAGAACGTCCCAGACGCCTCCTTCAGGACTCCCGAAGATATGAGGTCGCTGAACGCGATCTGCTGGCCATAGTACGAGCTCAAATCACCAGAAGCCATGTAGACAGGTTCGCCGGCTTCTGCGTGACAAAGGGTGCGACCCGTTCAGCGCGTTGAGCTGAGCCCACTGTCTGCCTCATCGAGATCAGCCGGCGCCTGCGCTGCGGCGTAGCTCTTTCCAGCCAGGCCGAGCACTTCCTCGCGGTAGGCTTCCAGGTCGCTGCCGTTGGTGTGTTGGAGCGTCCCGTCCGTGAGCGACGTCTTCGTGCTCTTGGACACGTACCCATACAGGGGAAGACCGAGCATGAGCTGGTTGGCAGGAAACCGGCGGCGGTCCATTGCTTCACGGCGGCGTGAGCGTTGAACTGTGGCTGGGACGAGGTGCCCAAAGATCGCCGAGAGGTGCATTGGGGCCCGGGGCGGAGTCCGACGCACCGAAGATGTCGTAGTTCCTATACGGAACGACCTTGAGTATGGAACAATGAAACTGAAAAAGGAACGACATACATGATATTTGCGTAGGTCATCTGGTCGGCATACGCGGAGACATCCTTGAGGGGATTGCCATCTGAGCCAGTCCAGGGCAGATCAGTGACCGCGGCAGAGATAATCTTGTCAGACCCAATGGCCGACCGAAGGGATGTGAAGAAGCTGAGGAGGTTCGCCGCATCGGACGACGAGTGCGGGTTCCCTGCACCGTCCTCGTTAGGGTATTCCTATTTTTGTCAGATGGTATGTCAGCACGGCATGAGTGTAGACATTGGATACGTCACCAACCCAGTCGATGTCAATCCCTGTCCGTCATCGCTCGTCAGATGGTAGACGTAGACATAGGTAGTGGGACTAACCATCGAGATATATTTGTTGACAGCATCAACACATGCCTTCACGAAGGTGCCCCGGTTGGCGTCCTTCATGACCTGAGAAAAGGATTGGCTGCCACTCCAGCCACCTAAAGTGCTCGTGAGACATGGCACACGGCGCGTGAGTAAATGTGCCCTACCGATGGAGAGAACGACCTTCGTGCCATGGCCGCTATTGTGAGCGGCGCTGACGAGCGACTTCAAGGTCGAGGTCGAGCCGTCATCCCAGCTGATCCCATTCGAGGAATTCGGCGTCGCAAACGCTAGGGGGAATATACCCTTCAATTCCGCTGCAGACTGCATCGGCCCAAGTCAGACATACCAAACAACAAGACGTCGAACTTCGAGAAGTCGAGGCTGGAAGGCGGGACGCTGTCGCTCGACCAGTCGGGGTAGTACGCCGCCGCGATGGGCGTCGTGGCCCTCTTCTGCTTCGGCGCCGCCTTTCGAGAGCCAGTCGACTTGCGGTCGCTGCTGGTCAGGAACGGGATACGCATCGCGGGCAGGGCAAGCTAGAGCAAGCTGAGCATGGCACGCAGTCACGACACGACATTTATATGCTGGCTCAGCGCAAGCACCATGCGAACGTCCAGGGAACCGCGGGAGAAGACCTATACGAGCGAGCTGTGTGGGTAGCAATGCAACGACAGTCCGCATGGTCCGCTAAATCTCCTGGCGAGACTGCTTCGACCTAGCCTCGACGGTCTCTGTTCTGGAGGCAGATGGCGCACCGGCCGCTGTGCGCGAAGACCGGAGCTCGCATTGCACGGAAGACAGTCCTGGTCTCGGGTAAAGCTGGCTGTGTGCATGTGGTGGTTTCTATGCACATCGTGTAGAGCGCGTTGTGCTTGCTATAGCACGCTGGACCGCGCGGCCGCGCGTGAGCGCACTTGCAGAGTTGCTGAGAATGCTAGGGGCGATAGAAGAGTCGGGCGCACTTCCGCGAAGCTGGCGATAACAAACCAAGTCCCCCACGAGAGCGGTGTGAGACTCATCGGGACAACTTCAGGCTTATGTTTAGTATACAATACACGAGATTAATGCTACCAATAGCTCACCTTTGAGAGTAACAGTCCGTCTACGTCGCTGACGTGATAACCTCCTATGTTTGAGAATCCTCGATGATCGTGATCGGACCGCGCGGAGTGGGAGCCACGATCGCGTGGAACCTTGCGAGGACATCTTGTCATATCATCCACGAGCGCACCTAGCCGAATTCGAAGAAGACTACATATCATAATGTTGTTTCACGGCGCTCAGCGCTCAGACTGGTCATCATCTAGCGCTGAACGCCGTGCTCGATGAATTGGTAGTGGGCAGCATACCGAGGGGCTAAGAGAGAAGCAATCCCAGGATTGACGAGGTCCTAGACACCTCGATACTGTTACATTCAGCATTGCATGGTCCATAGCTCACCTCCCAAGTCTAGGCACGGCTCAACAGGAGGACATGCAGCGTACTCAAAGCGGTCTCTGATCGGCAGCAGGAGTGCCGCGGACGAGCGTGCCCAAAGCACACCGTCCCCATCCCTCATCCATATGCACCGTGCGCGCCCAGAGTGGAAGCATCTGGGAGCACATGTATGAGAACACCAGTCGGCATCACGGGCACCGGCGCATCATAGCGCCGGGTGTTATCAGTCTACCTTGAGGTACGGCCTGCAGGGCAACCAGGGCAGATTATGGCAGCTTCAAGAGTAGTGACATGAATGTAGCCCGCGAGGCAACGATACGGCAGAGCCACACGACGCGGCAAGGCTCCGGGAAAGGAGAGAGAATGGTACCTGCCGCTTTCCGACCTGGCGAGACGAAGAGCAGATGGCGAGTCCACTCGAAGATTCGAGGGATGAAGACGACATCCCTCCGATGATGGCGAAGAGAATTCTCATGGAGCACAAGCCGCAGATGGCGTGGGGCCCTCTCGTCATTTGTTAGATGCCAGGTCTGTGCCATAGGGGAAGTGGGAGAGACGCACGGTAGGAGGTTAGAATGGACAAGAACGCCAAGGTGCGAGGCGACGTACCATACTACAGTAGTAGGCCGACGACTGCTTCGCGAGCGACTCATGTCGAGTGGCTTGATGGAGGCGATAGTCTGAGGTCAGAGATGAAGAGGCCGGAGGACCATCACACTCCTCTATGGTCTTCCATGATCAAACTTTGAGCTTGCCTCGAGCCGACAGTCCGACGGACTGCACAGACACCTATCAGAGGGCGGGCTAAGTCGGGAATAGCACCTGTCAAAGAATGAAAGCATCCGTCATGTCTGATAAGGTGTCGAGGACGGCGGTACGGCAAGCGGAGGGCTCCTAGGAGAGAAGGTAGGATCGCATTCGTTCTCGCGGAGACGAGTGTCCTGCGCACTGAACTCGGCCATTGTAAAGTTACACAGCACATGCGTACTTGAGTGTCTGCCCAGGCCCAGGACGTCTTCTATCCTGACGTCCAATATGACGTACTCAGAGTTCCAAGTACTCCGGGGACGGGTCAATCGATGTATCCTTTTACTCCCCTCGCGAAGGCCGAGCCCTATGTAGACAAAGCTTGTGCGATAAGGTAGTATGTGCAGGGGGTCGCGCTTACAGGTTCGGGCTGAGCATGCACTCTTCATTCGTTGGGTCCGTCGCCCAGGGCAATGGCTGGGTCAATCGATACGTCTTCATTGGGTCCAAGGCAGCGGCTGGGACAGGTCAATGTTGCCGCCACTAACGATGATACCGATAGGACCTGTAATACCCAACGCCTGGAACGCCTCGCTCCGGACGGCCGCGAACGCAGTCGCGCCACTCGGTTCGACGACGAGCTTCAGGCGTTCCCACATCAGGCGCATCGCTTCCACGATCTCCTGTAAGTTACAAGGCCCCAGCAATTGAGAGACTCGGACCAGATGAGTAACGGAAGCACCAACGCACCTCATCGGAAACCACGATGACGCGCTCGACCTTCTCCTGGATGATCGGGAAGTTAAGCACCCCCACCGGCGTACGCAGCCCATCCGCGATCGTCTCCGCCTTCACGTCCTCCCTCCGCCGTCCCTCCATCAGCCCCTGCGCACAGTCATCCGCCCCCGCCGGCTCCGCGCCGAACACCCTCACGCCCGTGCCCTCCGCAGCGAGCGCCGTGCCCGCGAGGAGGCCTCCCCCGCCCACGGGCGCGACGACCGCAGCGAGCGGCTCCGGCGCCTGCTCGAGGAGCTCGAGGAGGGCGGTGCCCTGGCCGAGGATGGTGTTCGCAGCGTCGTAGGGCGGCACGAACGTCGCGCCCGTGCGGGCCTGGACCTCCGCAAGCGTCGCCGCGCGGGCGCGGGCGTTGGGCGCGCAGAAGGTTATCTCTGCGCCGTACGCGCGGACAGCGTCCATCTTGGGCTTGGCGGAGTTGTCTGGCTGGGGCATGGTGGGTGAGCGGGGACGGGTGGGAGAGGGCGGAGGTCGGCGTACCATCACGACGTAGCACTTCGCTCCGCGTTCTCTGGCTGCGAGGGCCAGCGCGCCGGCATGATTTCCTGTGCGATTGTCAGGTCAACAGTCATATTCCTCGCTCCGCTCTTCGGCGCGCGGGCGACTGTACCTGAGCTGTGTGTGCACACGCCCTTGGCGAGCTCTTCCTGCGTCAGTCGTGTCAGACTGAAGCTCGCCCCGCGGAACTTGAAGGCGCCGCCTTTCTGGAGATTCTCCGCTTTGAAATAGAGCGTGTTTTTGTTCGGGAGGGAGGCAGATAGCGTTGACGAGCTGAAGATGGGCGTGCGATGGATAACGGGCTTGATAGCCTCGTGGGCTGAGACGACCGAGGCTCTGGAGAGAGGAAGCGCAGCGGGATTGGATGAGCCCTCCATTCCAGCTAACTTAGATTGCAGGCACCCGGAATGTAGTGCCTCAAGAATGGAATAGCTTTGAACGAGAGTTGGGGAGACCACAGTCCCGAGTGAGGCCCGTCGAACGGCATCGCGGCATGTTCCGGAGGCAGCAATAGCAGAGGTCAGCACGGAGGCCAGCAGAGATACAAGAGCCGAGCCTAGCCACGCACTATGAACACACAGTGTTCCGACCAAGGTTCCGACATTGAAAACTCCCTTCCCGCCATGTATGCCTTGTCCGATGCGGCCGTTTCAGTGCGTTGGGATAGGGCGACACTAACGCACTCCCTGCTATTGAGCGCGATTGAATGTACAAGACGCGTGTCGGCTTGTATGGTCTGCAACGGAGACTACGCTATGTAATGTGTCCAACGTCGGACAGCCGAAGACCGGCCCAGAGGTCGCAGCCTGAGACTCGTAGTGAAGCCGGCGACCAGTAGCGTTGGAGTGGCTGGCGCACAGGACCAGATTTGCAATTCGGAAGAGGGCGAACCACAACAGATAAACCTAGGAACGCCGACGTTCCACCCGCCAAGCAATAGAGAATGCGTCAGAGAAAGACCACGCAGAGTCTGCTGTGTCGCGGATGGTGGTGACGGTCTCGGTCGGCGCAGTAACGCGTCGTGTCACGGAAGCAACAGAGTGACGCGCGTGACATGGGAGGGACTGCGGGAGGGCTGGTGCGTCTGTCGCGTCTGTCTCCCTCTCCTTGGCCCACAGCCCGGGCCAGGCTCGATGCAAGCCGCCTCTCCAGAGCTCCAGCCCCTGCCCGCGCACGGCCCCCGTTGCGCGAGTGCGCCCACTAACCCGCCAGCCATCGACGCTGGCATTCGCCGAGCAGTCCAGCTGAACGCGCTCGACCGTTTGGGCAGTCCGCGTCACCCTCTGCAGCAGCCCGCAGCCCATGCCCCCACCGTCTCTCTGGGACCGAGCAAAGCAGCTCTACAGTTCTCCCCCAGCCCTGATGTCCGCCCACTCGCCCCAGGACGGCCCTGCGCGGCCCCCCGTCTCCCTCCGCTCCCCGACTGCGGTCATACACCTCGAGTACGCGAGCACCAGCCCGCCCCCGGTGCCCTCCCCGGAATGGACGCGCTTCGTCTGCATCAGCGACACCCACTCCCGCATGGTCCACGTCCCCCCGGCGACGTCCTGCTGCACAGCGGCGATTTGACGGCCATGGGCACCTACGCCGACTTCCAGCGGACGATGGAGTGGATAGGCGACCTCCCGCATCGGACGAAGATGTGAGTCCCCGCCGCGCCCACCCCCACTCCGCTGTCGCCAGAGCACGCCGTTCTAACACCGGGTCGCGCTCGCGCCCGTATTGAGTATCATCGCAGGCAACCACGACCTCCCGCTCGACTACCACGACGACTGGTACGACAAGAACTACACCCGCTGGCACGGCATGTCCAAGCAGGTGCGCGATCCCCACCGCCTCGCACCGCTAGCGTGCCGACCGCCTTCCCCCTCTAGAACATCGGCCTGATCCAGGATCTCATACAAGGCCGCAGGGCGACCAAGTCCGGCATCGTATACCTCGAAGACGAGTCTTATGAGTTCCGCGCCAAGCCGGACGGGCGGAAATGGACCGTGTACGGCTCGCCGGTCAGTCCACGACATCGTCGTACCAGTTCCCCGGAATCCTGACCCCGGTCCTGTCTCGCCCGTGCGCCTCCCGCAGTGGTCCCCTACTTCCACAACTGGGCGTTCAACTACCAGCGCGGAGAGGAGGCCGAGAGTACGCCCCTGTCGTTGAAACTCACCGCGATCCCGTCTCACGCTGCCCCCGACAGAGCTTATGGCCGCGGTCCCCAAGACGGACATACTGTCAGGACCCATTTGCATTCAGACGCGATGCCGTGGATGACGAGCCAGTTCCCTTCACACAGGTTGACGCATACACCGCCCCACGACATCATGGACAAGACAGTCGGGGACGAGCACGTCGGGTGCGAGGCGCTCGCCGCCCGCCTCCCCGCCATCCGGCCGCGCCTCCATGTCTTCGGGCACATCCACGAGGACCACGGCGCGCTCGTCCACGAGTGGCCCGCCGCCGACGCCGAGCCAGAGCCACAGCCCGAGGGCGATGCCGAGGGCGCGGAGGGCGCTGACTCGGGCCAGAAGGCTGAGCAAACCATCTTCGTGAACGCCGCGAACTGGCCCATGGGCCCGAAGGCATACCGCCCGGGGAGCCGGGTCAACTTCGGGGAGGCACGAGCCGTTGCAGGGAAGCCGGGTACTATTCAACGAGTATTTACTCATCGACGAGTATTATCTTCACGAGCTTATAGATGAGTGCATGGCATGAGTACTCGTGAACAGCATCCATAGAATGAGTACTTGTAATGTCAGTGGCACCACAAATACTCACGATCACATAAGTACTCACCGACGAGGCTCACTCCCTGAGTACTCACGGGCAGGGGTTGCTCCCTGAGTACTCGCCAGCGAGGCTCACTCCCTGAGTACTCGCGGACGATGGTTGCTCGTCAAGTACTCACGGACCATGTTCAGTCTGAGTACTCGCAGATCCACATCACCACCCGAGTATTCACTCGCAACCGGGTGGTGCTGAGTACTCAATGAGATGACTCACTGTATATATACTTACAATTAATACATGCCCTGAGTATTCGGCATCAACAAACTTCGGGAACAAACTTTTCTATATGAAACTGGTGGAATGGATTGATACTGAATACAGATCATAAATGTACAGTTGCACAATATCTAACAATCGCGCTGTCTATGTTCCTCAGATAGTCACGGTGGCGAGCTCTTCACGAGCGCCACTGTTTGTCGTACTCTTCGATTGACTCAGTTCGGGCTTGCCATATGCTTTCGGCGTCCGGCCACTTGGGAGCAACGAGTTTCATATCATCTACAGACTCGTCAATGAAGTTCTTCACAAAACAACGCGGAGACTTACTCGCGACGACGTCGAGCATGGGAAGATCCCGCAGTCCCCACTTCACCCATATGATGAAATCGTCTTCGCGCATGCAGAAGGGAATGTCGGCGAGATTCTCCACGTGCATGAATCTCCAGGCATGTTCCGGGCTCATCCATACTGCAATAGGATCAGTAAGTTTGAGGCCCCAGTTAGTGCAGATCGATGTGAAGGAGTCCCGGTCTGTTTTGTCGAACACAACGCCCTCAGGGAGCTCTCCATTCTACGCAATAGATGGTCAGTATTAGGAGACTGTTGGCAAGACGAGCCGTGACATACCTCCGTGTATTGCCAGACCCACAAGATATCCGATTCATTTGGAAGGGGTGCTTTGTGCAATGAATGTTGTCGCTCAGGCTGTGGCGGTGGTGACGGTCGACTCCCCAGACGGCGTCGTGAGGCCACATGTGACGAGGCGCGTTGCTCGTCCGCATCGCTGTCAGAATCCAGGGTGAGGTCGATCACGTCCGAGTCGTCCGACTGAGTATGACCGCGTTTGATGCCACGAGGCTAAGAGACGACATCAATATGAGATGGTGCTATGCCCAAGAGAAACATTGTGACGTACCTTCTGAGAAGTTGTCGGCGAAGACGAGGTCTGCGTCGCCACAGGTGCATTGTGCGCAGCTATCGCGCGAGGGAGACGACCAAGACGGGCGACAGTCCGAGATGGTGACGAAGACACCAGACTGACAGGCGAAGATGGTGGGATGGGGATCGGACGGTTGTCGGGCGACATGCTGGATAGAAGCGAAGGCAATCGGTCGTCCGTGGCCTTCCAGTAGGATTCTGAACCATCCGAATTGCTGTCAGCATCGCCCAAGACCTCCGTCTGTCCGACATCGTGCGTCCGAGTCGGCGCAGGGGCCCGGGGTGGATGTAACTGGTGAGAGGCAGAAGGCAGTGGCGGAGCATGAGAGAGATTGTTGACACCGGTGTCGCGTGTGGGTTGCCTAGTGGCCGCAGCGGATGGGGAGAGAGTGTGGTGCGGCAGCCTGCGCACTTGTCCATCCGGTTTCGGAGGGCCCTCGAGTGATTTTTCCTCCCGTTGTTGACGGAACACGCGACTTTCCTCGTCTAAGCCTGTCCTCTCGGCTTGAAGTGCACGTACGACGTCTGCTGCACGCTCCAAATCCTGGTCGATCTTTGAGTCAGGCTTACCCCGGGCCAAAGCTCGACTCTGCCTGTTCTGCAGAGCCTCTGAAGCTTTCTCCGCCTTGCGAAGGTCGGTGGTGATGCGGCTCATGCGACGGATGAGGTCGCGCTCACGGGGGCCCACACGGCCACTGAGATAGCGAAATTTCGCCTTGTTAGGGGGTCCACACCGTGTACACTGTGCCCCAGATTAGGGCTCTGTCCGCGAGATCGTTACACACTACTCACCCTTGTGTAAATCCGTGCAACGTTGTCATCATCGGTTAAGTATTGAAGTTGCTTCCTTGGGTCATGTTGACAACCCGCAGTGTCTTCTTCGAGGGACAGTGCGCGAACGAACTCCTTGAAGTGCGCGAGAAAGGGGTCGTTCGTGTCTTGGGTCTTCGAGGGTGTGTGAGGTGAGAAGAGAGTGTTCATCCTCCCTACCCTGCGCCCGACAGGGCCATTGGGCGGGGGAGATGACATGAGGCGGGAGTCAGGACGAAGACGGGGACTCGTGTGTCAGGGAAATGCTCACCTTTATACAGCATTTGCGCTATTGTTCTGGGTCCGAGTGGCCAGCAAAACTGTCGGTGGCACATTGTACGAAAGAGGGATAGGCCAAAGTGAGGGACAGAAACAAAGCCGGGCCACACGACAAGTGCCCCGCGCAGCCGCTCGGTCATGCAGGGCCGGCACATCATAATGGCAAGCTCGAGTGTTACCTATGGTCCTCCGCACCGTGTCACTATCACGCGACGAATTCCATTAATCACAAGCTGTGTAGCTAATGGTACTACCTAGACACGACACCAACATGAACATGCGAGACTATCATACAAGCTCCCTCCCCTCAGATTGCATACTATCTACCTTTACTTTCCTTTGGAGTTCAGCGTGGCATAGTTCGCTACGGTTCTGGCGGGCCAAGTCAGTTGCAGCAGACGAGACCGCGCATAGTACTCACCTCGTCCGCTTCGAACGAAGTGAGGTCGCTGGTGGCGCCTCGCTGTCAGGAGGATCATCGCCATCGCGTGCCTTCCTCTTGCTGGCTTTCTTAGAGGCTTCACGAGGTTTCGCAGAGGCCTTCTTCTGAGCCGTCTTGGACTTCTTGCGAGCTGTCGGAGGTGCGTGTTCGTCCTCACTCGACCGAGGGCCAGAATTGTTGTCTTCGGCCGGGACCTCGGGAGCCTGGTAAACATTGGCGGGGGGCACATCTGACCCGTTGCTCACGGCTGCGAGCGACACGTCGTCTGGGTCTCCGCCTGTCGCCGCAGACCCCTCGGGAGTCCCGCTGATGTTGGCAGCGGAGGCGTCCAACCCGCCGCTCACCGCTGGTAGTGCGATGCAGTCTGAGTCTCCGCCTCTCGCGGAAGAGGCCTCGATAGCCTCGCTGCCGCTGGCAACAGGGCCAGCTCTCACGTCGCTCACCGCTGGTGGAATGGCGGCTTCTGTGGTTCCGTCTGCTACTACAGAGCGGTCAAAGCGGCGTGGTGCAGAGATCGCAGAGCCGGGTGGTGCGTCAATGAACGCAGAGTCCTTCGCGGACGCCACTGAGACCGAACCGGGGGTGCTCTCAAGCGCATTGAAAAGCGGGGGTTCCTCAGGAACACCGCTCGAGGTGCCAGAGCGAGAAGGGGCCTCGGCAGGTGCTGGCAGCTCTGCGTCCTGTCCGTGTGTGGCGACGGCTTCGCCGGCCACTTCAGGTGCCACACCCTCGTCGTGGGTCTCTTCAGCTGCGACAGCCTGCGGCCCAGGCGCATCGCGCTGCCTCTTGCGCTCGAGGACAAGGTCGTCCAGCTCGTCGAGCACCGAATTAGTCTTCATCTGCGCGACGAGACTATCCGGGGACAACGCATTGTTGCCGATGCTAAGTACATAGTGAGCACACCGCGATCGTCGTTCAAAAGCAGATGAACATACAGATACTTGACACACTGACCCTCCTCGATGACACCGACGTACAGGAAGAAGTCGGCATCAATCTCGTTCGCCCAGGTATCCACCGATCGCTTGGCTGTAAAGAGGACGCGCTTCAAGGAGCTGTCATATGTTAGATAGACGAGGGCAGAACAACGACGGTGCCAACGTACTCGGCTTTGTTGTCCTTGTTCCCAGGTGGCGCGCCCCCCGAGCTGGGGCCTGCGGTCGGTTGCAAGGCCAGTGCGCGATCCATGCTCGCCTGTTCCTTCGACCGCTTCGACTCCTCCACGTACTCCTGGTGCTTTTCCGGGTCTGTGGTCGCCAATTCGAGCAAGGCAGCTGTGTATGCCTTGTTGACTATGCCTAGCCAGTGGTCTCCCGAGGTCAAGCCTTCCTTCTCCGCCGCTTGTCGTGCCATCTGACCGATCTCGGGGCGGTCACGCTTGTAAAGATCCACGATGCTCTTTGCTCGCGGTGCGGCGACCGGCTCAGATTCCGTTGGCAGCTCAAGGAGCTTCGGCGTGCCCTTCTTCAAATTCTCGAAGTAGGCGCGGTTGTTCTCGATCCAGTTGAAGATTTTCTGGTGAGTATGGTGTTAATACCGAGCATATTCAAGCGGCTTGTGGCACGTACGCCAACTCTCCCTGCGCATCTCCCATCGCGCTCGGCGTCCGTCTCGAACCGTACGACTTTGCCATCCTTTTTCAGCCCGTATATGCTCGCAGCGTGAAAAGCGTCGAACTCTTTCGCGATGCGGCCCGCCATCGCTTTGTAACTCTCCGGCTTACCAGGTCGTTCCCAGGCAGCCCGCACGGTGTTAACCAACCATGCGTGTTGGTCAATCTTGCGTTTCGGGTCCACGATGCATGCACGGCAGAGAGGAGCGTCCATGGTTAGAAGGTCGGGGCGCCGAGTAGAGAGAGGGTCGAAGCGAGGTACAACTGCTGCCCCCCTTTATGCAGCCGCGGGTCAGGGGCACCAGTGAAACGTTGTGCGATCGCTGAACAAAAGGCTCGTTAGGGCAAACCATCGAGCCGTGAAATGTCAAAGCCACTTAGCCACATCAAGCGTTGCCTCGTCCCGCTTTGGGACAAAGTCAAAGCCACTTAGCGACAGGTTCCATGGGCTCGTGTTTCATTGGGACAGGTTCGTTGCGGAGCTCAATGCCTAGTTTATCTATGTACACATACAGCTAGAATTACATGCTAGAAAACTCGAATCACGGGCGGGCAGGGAAGACGGTGGAAACGAGCAGTGAAGGTCGTGACATAGAACCGGATCGCAGCGGCCTCGGTTTGCGAGAACTCGTAGGTGTTCTCGCAATTGGCGATGTCCGTCATGGTTCCTCGGAGCGAAAGAGGGAAGTCGGGCCACACACTCATGAGGGACACGAACGCGCGCAGGTTGGTGCGCCGCTCTCGCCAGTGAGCTTCGCCGGCGGGTGTCCAGCAGGGGAATGAATCGGCAACTACGACTGCTGAGAAGCCGGATTGTATCGTCGGGCCACGCCACACGTCCGCGATGAGTTGCTCGCGCTCCCACTTCAAGAACGCGTCCTGGCTATGGTCAACGAGACATCGGTCGAGTGCGCGCAATTCGCAGCGCCAATTGACCTCGTACAACTCCCAGGTGATCCACCGCAAGACATCCCGCTTCAGACTTGCCGCTACCATGTCGACTGCCATGCCACGATACTGGACGACGGCGGCCTCATCATATGGCAACAAGCCACCGATTTTGCCACACAGGGCACCGACAGCTGCCCGTCTCTCTGCACGCAGGATCTGAAGGCCATTACGTGGCGCAGAGTCAGTGGTGCTCTCCTTGGAGCCTTCAGGGGCACGGGCGGGCGGCGTCGCTCGCGGCTCTACCACAGGATAATCGCCGTAGAGGACATGTCGCCACTCTGAGATCCGCAAGGGCGCACCCGAAACGTGCGCGTCGACCAACCGGTGACTTAGAAAGTCACGAATCCGCACGAAGTTGTGAATGTAACGTGGCTTGTGCTGGTCGGCTTCGAGGATGAGGTAGGGAGGGGGAAGTAGTACTGAGCAGCCACGAGGGGAGGAAACGTCAGAGGTGAAGCGGCGACTAGGGCAGCGCGCCAATTTGGTGGGATGACGGCGACGTCGCTCGGCGGTGGTTTAAAGTGGGTGGCAGGATGGGACGAGACGACGGCTTTCGGCCCCGCACGCGTTCCGCGAGAGCGTTTCCCGCGCTTCTTCGGGTTGTGCTTCGGGATGGGAGCAGATGGCAGGCAGGATTGGGCTGGTGGGAAGAGCGGAGTGTCATCGTCACGTTTGGCGCGTTTCGCTTCTCGCTCGGCCGCCTCTGGTCGAACAATCATCTGCAGTTGGGGCAACGACGACGAGCACAGAGTGTTGCAAACATAGACGAGGGATGCGTGAGTCCACCGAGCGGGATCTTGATGTGTACCGTCCGGATCGTACCAGCTCTTCGGGATGCGCGGAGAAGCGGGCTGGTCGTTCAGCTCACGGGCCCAGGAGCGAAATGACACGACCTCTCGGATTGAGAGACCCTCTCTCCAGGGCTGAATGAACCAGAAGGGGATGCCGAGACGAAAAAGAGCTGAGCCGTCGCGCTGTTGCGTAAGAAGGCCCGAGCACGCCGAGGGGCTCACGCGACCAGCACCGCAGGTCGTGCATGCGCCCGACGACGACAATGTAGTACACTGTAAGTCCGGAGAGTTCGAGAATGATGCGATGGGCCAAGCGGCCGGTCACGAGAGCGTGTCGCTCCGTAGTGGGCACCTGACGCAGTCGGTCAACTGCATTTCGCAGCAGCAACCCCAGCATGCGTCCGAGGGTGAGATCGGGAGCAGTGTGCTCGACGCTGGCGACGTTCGTACTGGCAGATCCGGCGGCGACATCGTAACGTCGTAGTACGTCGCAGGCGATCCTGAAAAGCTCATCTAGAAGCTCGGGCTTTAGAAATCCAAACCCGGGACCCCACACGACTTTGATTCTAGCCAAGGGCGGTACCCAAAGCCCTCGTAGACCTGGGCACTGGGCGCGTACCGAGAACCGGCCTTGGGGATGCACGCGTGATGAAAGGCCTTCTCGTTGAAGAGCTGGGGCCAACGCGTGTATTCCTGAGGACCCACAAGCCGTCTTCATAGGTGACGACTTCGCGGCCTGCGATCCTCGGGAATTCCGGCACCCAATGAAGGAATGGCGTCGTGATGATATTGCAATGGTCGTCAGCATCCGCTGCACATCTCCCGTCGAAGGGACAAATCGGGTGTCGCCATTCTGTTCACGCGTCAAGTGAGCGAATGCAGAGTCAGACTGAGGCTGCTTACCAGACGAAGGGTGGCAGTCAATGTGAAGGAGGTCGTCTGCACCTCCCTATGTAGATTAGCATCAGCCATGGGCTACGCCCGGGTGCACGAGTTAACACCGAGACGACGATGCGGCGATGTGGGTCCGTACGCGATATCAGGGGCTGAGCAGTACTTGAGAACCACACGGGCGACGTGACAGTGAGACTACTATAAATCAATTAATGGACGCGGACGGCCAACACTTTGACGAAGAACTTACTCCGACGAGGCACAGCGTTGTAAGGACGGAATCTGTGGGCACGTTTGATGACACAGCGTAGACCGAGGTCGACAGGCGTAGCGATAGACAAGTAGAAACCGACGATTAGCCACGAAGCGAAAGAGCACCGAGAGCCAGATTAAGCAAAGCAGCCGCTTGACAGGCCAGGACGACTGAACACAACCTCACGGTCTTGACGTTAGTTGCTGGCGCCTCGGCAGCAGATATACTGCGCCGCAGCAGGTTCGCGCAGGAAGACCGAAATCTACCCTGGATCGCAGAACCGTGTGGTGAGCGGAGAGCAGTCGGACAGGCTATTAGATGGCTAGAGGATGGAAGGCGACACGCTCCCACTTGAGAGCGCCGAGGACAGACCGCTCGCCTGCGAGGGACTTACCATACCCAGCAGTTTGGGCGCTCAACGTCAACCACGCGCGCCCATCTCCGACCCATCTCATCCTCCCAGTTGCTACTCACCCTCTCCGCCATTCGCCTCCACCCTTCTCCAAGTACCCTCCACGCCTCCCTCTCAACGGCCTGGACGTCCGTGTTGGTTTCGGCCATGCGTTGATGTCCAGGTCCGGGAACCTCCTGTTCACGATTGAGCAGTCGAGTGACCCTCCTGGCGACCCTCAAGCGTCCGACTTCGCTCCTGCTTTCCCCAAACTGTGTCGCGTACCCTCGGATATGCTCGCCCGCCGCTCAGGCTCGCCCACCGATTGTCAAGCCTCAGACAAGCCACTGGTCGCCTTCGGAACTCGGCGACGCGCGCGTGTGTATATGACGGCCGCAACCGCGGTGCGCATCAGTCCGGTCTGGAGTCCGTGAAGGCACGACTGGGGCAGGCCGATGTAGAGGGAGAGGGATGCGGTGCAGGGGATCAAGGAGACTGGGAAGCAAAGGCTTGTCTGTAGCCTGCACATACCATCCGAAGGTCAGTTGCATTTGGACGGCTTTCCAATCCCTGTTACACGCTCGTCCCGGTGTTCGTGCGAAGTAGACCCTGGCGGCACGTCTCAGGATGCGCCCGCATTCGTCTAACTGCAGTCCCGCGTTGATGTGCGCGTTGGGGAGAGGCCCGGGTGAAGTATCCGCGGACTGCGGGGGCGATGTGTGCTGTTCTCTACGCGCCGTCGTCACTTCCAATTTTCAGAGCCTCTCTCAGTTGTATCTTACCGTCCCCAAACCCTGTCTGACTGTTCTCGGAGTCCCAGGTTGATCTGCGAGCCCACAGTCATCAAATTTGGGCCTGGCTGGCGTTGCTCGGACGCCTACGGACTCTAACCAGGGCACGATCAAGAGACGACCTGGGCGATGGCGCGCACGTTCGTCCTCATCATTTAACGATGCAAGTGGACGACCTCGCAGAACCGCGGACGGTATAGCTTTATACCGGGGTTGCACGGATACACGCCACTGCAGTAAGTCCTCGCAGTTTGCTCACTCTCGCCTGTATTCATGCCCGCTATGGCTTCCAGCGACTAGCAACCAGCATCCATTCCGACGCTCATCGCCACTTTGAACCCCAACATTCCTGGATGACGCCAAGGAGTCGCAGACTGTTCCGATCGTTGTCGTAGATGTAGAGTAATGATTACCCATACTACTTTGCTAGGATACCAAACAAGGATGACGTTAGCGGCGCAAGGGCTCAAACACGCGCTCGAGGACACGGCCACATGTGCCAACTGCTTGTTCATCTACGCGTCGCGCGTGAGTGGCGCCGCGCCTCCCGAATCCGTTAGGGTTGTAGCCCGCCTTCACCTCCACCTGTGACACTCGGATCTGTCACTTTCGCGATGGGCAGACGCAAGCCGAAGCGAGTCGAGGAGGACTTTTTGCCTCAGCCGATCGTCATTCCCGACGGACCACCCACCGTCACGTTCGATGCGAACGGCGAACAAGTCATAGAGTATCTCTCGCCTGGGCGGCGCAAAGAGAAGCGCGCCCGACCCACACCCCCTGCTGCTCCCTTGCCATCGATGGGTGGATTGCTTGAGGAGGCGAGTCCGAGTAGCAATACCTGGGGCACTGCCACACATACATCCACCCACCTCGACGCCGCTCCAGAGGCAGTTGGCTCACAGGCGACCAGTGCAACTAATCCTGCGTCTGTGGATCAATTCACGGAGGGAGAGGCGGTTGGACAGGACGCCCCGCCTAAGAAAGGGCATGGCGAGGTACGTCGCACCATGTAAATGCCACCATAACTATCTAATCATTCTCGAAGCCCTTGCATGTCGTGATGACCACATTCCTCGACCAATGGGCTCAAAAGCTTCTCAACGTGTTCCGAAGGCGGGAGATTGACCCCAACCTCGGCAAACCGTGTTACGACTGCCGCGACGGCGCCGCCACTTACCGGTGTACCGAGTGTTTCAACGGTCCACTACTGTGTAAGCGGTGCATTGTGGTGACACACCAACGGAACCCCCTTCATCGAATTGAATGGTGGAACGGCAAGTACTTCCAGCGCGAGTATCTCAGCGACGCTGGACTAGTCTTCTCGGTTGGTCACCATGGCCGCCCATGTCCTCGCGCCGTCAGCAATCAGCCAACGCAACTCACGGTGGTGCACACCACTGGGATCCAGACGATGAACGTCCATTATTGCGACTGCCACAACGGCTGCGACGCCCCGCTGGAACGCCCGATCCAACTCTGGAGGGCCGGGCTGTGGCCCGCATCGTTCTCCCGCCCTCAGACGGTGTTCACCATCCACACCTTTGGATTCTTCACTCAGCTCACGTTCCAAGCCAAAACAACAGCCCACGATTTCTACGGCACTTTGCGAAGGCTAACCTCCAACGCGTTCTTCGACGATGTGAAGGTACGTCGACTGGTCATGCGGCCTTGTATGTGCCTAGACTCATGTAGTTGATAGGACAGGTATCGGGAGTTCCTCATGTCGCACCGGCAGTACACCTACCTGGAGACATTGAAGAGGTTCGCGGCCGAAGTGAAGAGGAAACCCGATCCCGGTAGTCTCGCCCTGCGCTGCCCAGCTTGTCCTCAACCTGATATCAACATGGACCCGCATTGGAAGGACCGACCACAGCAGGATCGGTACAAGGACGCGCTGCATTACGGGAAAGATGGCAACTTCACCCTGCACCAACACGATAAGAAGATGGATCCACTGGATTTCCCGTTGATGAACGGTGGAGCTTACTACGTCGACAGTGAGAAGTACCAGGAGTACCTCGAGAAGATGAAGGTCTACGAGGACGCGCAAGACGAGACGGCAAACTGCAGCAACTTCAATGCGCTTTCCGATCGTTACAAGGGCAAGATCAAAACCGGTCAGGTCAGCCTGTCTTGCACGCGCCATGGATATGTCCTCCCCTGCGGAACTGTCGACTTACACATCGGCGAACGCTATGCCAACGTCGATTACGCGACATTATGTGGCCTTCAATGGTTCACGTCGCTTTCGCTGTGGATAAGCTCTTACGACGTCAATTGCAAATACGGCATAAATTGGTGGCACCGCATCAAGCAGATCGCTTCCACCTTACCGTCGGTGCCAGGTGTAACACTCGCGAAGGAGCTGTGGCCTGTGATCCGCCGCTGCGTCCCGAAGTTCCACATGCCCTCGCACACAGGCATCTGCAAGTACCTGTTTTCGTTTTACTATATGCCTGGGGTAGGCAACACCGATGGCGAGGCCGTTGAACGGAGATGGGCTGCCCAGAATGCCATCGGGCGATCGGTGCGCGAGATGGGACCCGGGCACAGGCAAGACGTCCTCGACGCACACAACTCCGATTTCAACGCACAAAAGATGTTCAAGATCGGTGAGTGACTGCTTAACAGGGCGAGCGACTGTTGCCTGATGCGAAACAGGGCGATCTCTACAGGGGAAGTTGAAACTCGCAGACAAATACTATGGCAAGAATCGGGCTCAGCTGGATGGCTTGGAGAAGACCTTGACGACGAATCGGCGCCCATTAGACGAGTGGCGCAGGGACGAAGCCGCGTACATTGCTCAAATGACGGACCCCAATTTCGACGGAACCAAGGTGAAGAACCCGTACCAACCTGCAGTTGATGAAGGTATATAGTGCTTGGTGATATCTTCACAGACCTTCGTGCTGAACATTAGTAGTTCCGACGATCCAGGACATCTTGGCTAGGTTGAAGCGAGAAGAGACATCGGCGCGCCAGAAGCCGATGCCGAATGCCGGTACGAAGCGCAAAGCATCAGCGCTAGATACGACTGGCATCGAGGAGACGGTGAGAGGAGGTCTGGGGGACATGCTGGTGGCTGGCTTTGAGCTGGAACAGGAACAGTTAGTACATTCATTCACAATTGACACGTCATATGACTGGCCGACAGGGAAGCCTTCAAAGCCAAAGTTGTCGCGTACGAAAAGGAGCCGTCGTCCGACAAGTACAACAGCATCGCCAAAGAACGATCGAAACTCGAGAGGCGGCTTGTGGACTGGCTTCTGTGGCAACAGAGGGTCATGGGCCCGAGTCTCCTCATGGTTGAGGCGGATGTTCAGGCCGAGTGGCCGTCAATAGACTCAGTCGCTGCTGAACAAGCCACGGTACTCGTCCCCTCTGCGTATTCGCAAGAGATACGCAGGCATGCATCTCTTGAGCGGTTCGTTGTTGCTGAGCAGGAGCTGCGCGTGGCTCACGCCAACGATACTCTAAAGAAGATCCGGCAGAAGCTTCACTTCGAAGCATATTACCGCGGACAGAATGCGGGGTCGTTCGGGCAGCAGGCGCAAACCAGATATAGTAAGCTGAAGACGGGCGAGCGCGAGAAGATAGAGGCATTGCGAAAGGAATACGAGCGAGCGCGACTCAAGGTGGATCGGCTGGCAACGAGAGACAGACCGAATACGTTGAGACCCCTCCTCGTGGAACAGTGCCGGCCTCCAGTCGTCGCGAAAGAGAACGTCGGTAGGCAAAAGGAGTCAGTGTCTTGGATCTGGCGGGATGGTACGTACCATGACACTGCACTCGACAAGTGGGCGCTGGAAGGTGAGTGAGCCGAATGATCAAGTGGGTAGTGCACTGACAGTGGCTGAAGCCTGTCGACTTGAATGGTTCCGGGCAAGTGCTCGCACAACGAGATGGAATGAGGAGGTGGAGATTGTGAAGGAAGAGATGAGGCGCGTGCAGCGATTCTTCCACTACTGCATGAAGAAGTGGGAGGAGCGTGCCGAAGTTGTGTGCACAAATCTTGACGAGCAAGGAGCGGCTGCTTTCGCGGCAAGGTATGTAGTGATGCCATGCATATCAAAGGCACGAGGGCTGACATCTGCTGCAGGCAGTCGTCAATGTACTCACGTCTGCTGACGGATGCGCAGAAGTGTTTCCCGCTGTCGTTGCAGATCATTTTTGACGACATGGTCGCACCACTAGAGGTTAGTATGATTGATGGTGAGGATGGCGATACTGCTGCTGTAGAGCTGGCAGAGCTGAATGCAGGTGAAGTTGACGATGAGGAGAGCATGTACGAGTAGTGCACGAAGAAATATTTCATTTGCAGAGATGATTAATGCGAGTACTTGGGGGGATAAATGTCGTCGGCGAGTACTCGGGGAGCAACCATCGTCCGTGAGTACTCAGAGTGAACATGCCAGTCCGTGAGTACTTGGAGAGCAACCAACATCCGCGAGTACTCAGGGAGTGAACCTCGCCGCCGAGTACTCAGGGAGCAACCCCTGCCCGTGAGTACTCAGCGAGCGAGCCTTGTCAGCGAGTACTTATGTGATCGCGAGTATTCGTGGTTTATATGGGTGTAATACAGTCATTTTTTTCTCGTCAGAATAGTATAACAAAATGAGTAAATACTCATTGAATAGTATTTGGGTTCCCCCCAACTATTGGAGGCACCGTTTCAGCCCGTCATTGTGGACTTGCTGGACAGTGCTTGACGACCTCCCGCCGGGCTGGCGCCACTCACGCTGGCATCTGCGGGGAGGATACCGTACAGCGTGTTCGTAAGTGCGCCGTGTGGCGGGAGGCGCGGCGTCGCGCGTGCGTGCTCGAAGCCACCATATCTCGTACCTTGGGTCTTGTATATCCCGCGTCTCTTCCTCCCGAGTTTACTGTATTAGAGCCTCCACGGACGTTTCGGTCTGACCCACACAGCAAGGTTCAGTGTTCTGAACGCCTGCGCCAGCCACTGATCCGCGGTGCGAAACGTGGTGTCTATATACTACCCGCGATCGCGAGCTCGACTCGGCATCTTGTTTTACGCTGACGCAATTGCGCGGAAGGCGTCTGCGGACGCTGATCGCCCCCAGCGGTTTGGGCGTGGTGGCTGTGTGGCGGGAGCGCGAGCACGCGGCGACCGCAGGGGGAGGACGGTTTGACGTCGCGTTTAGGAAGTGTACTGCCCCGGTCGCCGCACGGAGCGGGCGCAGTTATAGCGGGCAGCGACGTCGTGAATATCGGCCTGTCGAGCGTGAAGGATTTCCCGCAGCCGCTGGTCATGCATTCGACATTGACTTGCGGGGGATGAGCCAGGACGTGTCCGCTCGTTCGTTGTATGTGGCTTAGTGGCCTCTGCGCAAGGTTGGTGTGCTATTTCTGTATGCACGAGATAGTGGCGTACATAGCTTGCATATGCAATCTTCTGCAGTGATCCTAAGGTGGGTTCTCATGCGATCAGCTATCCTGGCGCTACTCATACTTCTATCTAGTACATCTACGAGGTGCCATTCGTTACCAGGATAGGACACGCACCGCGGACCAGAACGAGCCTCTTGTCATTCAAAGTCATCCCAAAACATACGCAGACGCAGTTACTCGCACGACCTGCCCCGGTCCCGCTGCTCCGGAGCGCCCGCACAGCCCTGCACGGGTTCGACTTGGAAGGGCAGCGGACGCGCTGAGCAGAGCCGCCGCGTATCATACCGCACGCCCCAAGGCCTGGCCAGGCTGCCCGCATCCAACCAACCCATCCTTGTAACCCGTTCTGATCCCATCGGTTCAGAACGCGCGATCGGGCCCTGGCACGGGTAAGATCCGGGCGGCGAGATAAGTACCGCGGCACCTCTTCTCTGAGTCTTGCATAGCGCTGGGCTGTCAATTCACAGATGCGCTGTTGCTTTGGATTGTAGATTTCCGATCAGCAGAAATGACTGGCTGGCTGACGTCTGTCGGTGTCTCCCCGTCTGGATGGTACTTAAGGCTGGGCGTGATGCTTGCGACTCCCCACTCACCTCCGTCTAGACGACCTCGTACCCCCAGGACCACAGCGTCCGCAGGCAGCCTACGCAGAACCCACACACCCAGTTCGGCCCTTCAGCAGTCTCCTACAGACACCGCACCGCCCCCTCCGTGCAGCCCTACATCCCCAACAGCCACAGTTCAACCGACACCAGCCTTTCATTCGCCAAGATGAGAAACACCATGGAAGTCAACCGCAAGGTCTGGTTCATCACCGGTACGTCGTGGGCTTCGCGAAGAGGGACGCGTTCGATGCAGACGCCCCCGTCATCGTCATCGCCTCGCGCGCCATCCGCTGACGTTGCTCGTCTTCCTCAGGCACCTCCTCAGGATTCGGCAAGCGCCTCGTATCGACTGTGCTGGCGCGGGGCGACTACGTTATCGCCACCGTGCGCAACCTCGAGAGCTTCACCCTCCCCGTCGGCGACCGCACCCGGCTGCGGATCATCGTGCTCGACGTGTGCGACAGCCCGGAGAACATCCAAAAGACCGTCGACGAGGCGCTCTCCATCTGGGGCCACATCGACGTCGTCGTCAACAACGCCGGGTACGGCCTCAAGTCCTTGATCGAAGAGGGAGGGTACGTAACGCCTGCGACAGATCGGTCGCTTTGAGACGCGAGCCCTTGGCTGATCATATCCGTGTTCCACAGCGCGTTGGCCGCCACGAAGCAGTTCCAGACGAACGTCATGGGCGTCATCAACGTCACAAACGCCATCCTGCCGCACATGCGCGAACGGCGGTCGGGCACCATCGTGATGATTGGCAGCCGGTCCGCATGGCGTACCAGTCCAGTGAGTCCGGACTCAGTTACGGGCAGCACTCGATGGCCGCTGAACATCGCAATCTTCTCCAGATCATTGGCTTCTACGCTGCATCAAAGGCCGCAGTGCACGGTCAGTTGCTTCGCAGTCCGGTCTGGGAGCGCACGCTGACGTCCCGTTCCCACAGCCCTCGCCGAGACGTACGCGACCGAGCTCGCACAATGGAGCATCAGGGTCACCGTCTGCGCACCCGGCGCTTTCCGGACGGAGAACGTCCACAACGTCCCGTACACGTCGAACCACCACATCGCCGAATACGACGCGCTCCGCGAGAAGTGCGTCGGCGGGTTCAAGGCCGTCGCCGCGCAGGCCATGGGCGACCCCGACAAGGCGATGAACCTCCTCGTCGACGCTGTGCGCGGCGAGGGCAAGGCCAAGGGCCGCGAGCTGCCGCTGTACCTCATGCTCGGCAATGTCACGTACGACCACGTCCGCGAGCACTGCGCACGGCTCCTCGAAGACATGGACAAGTGGGAGGACATTGCGAAAGACCTCGACTTTGACCCGGAGCACTAGGCTGTATGCGTGTGGGTAGACTGGATAAGTTATGGCCGCCCTATGGACTGCAATGCAATCACTACTGTTACCCTAGATTATCGTAGACACTCCTAATCCGCGCACTCGCGTAGCTGGCCTGGTAGCCAACAGAACCTCCCGTGTTTCATTAGTCTTCCTGGGACCCATCAGGATTTCCTTCATGTGTTATTAGCCGCAGTCATTCTCTGGACAACGCTCTATATGTATGTTCTGATCGCTCTAATGACATTCGACGACCCTACACGCTCTGAACCTGCATACCCGTATGCGTTAGCCGAGTGCATTACAAGCCCTGAATTGCAGTACCAATACCTCGGGCGATGGATCTTCAATATGCAATCTGGTGGCACTTCCGAACCGTACTCATGCTGTATGTATGTAACCATCAGTCTGATCGCGAGAATATCGGGAACTGCTCACGGAGAGTTGCAGTGTTTGTTACCTTGGTGTTACCGGCCGGGTATATACGCGCAAAGAGTTTCTCGCTGTTCCCCGTCTGTTTCTAGGCAACAAAATTAACAGTATCATACAGCCAGTTAAGCTACACATCCGACATGCCGGAGAGAGTAATGATCGGGAGAGGACGTATAAGGTATGGGTGCTGCGATACGAGTAGCGAATAACGCAATACTGCGCGCATGCTCTAGGGTGTCAGTCAGTCTATCGCCGCCATGCCAAGTTCCATCAAAGGCGTGCGGTGGTGCACGCGGAGTCGTCTGACAAGAGTCGTCAAAGAAGCAGCAACGCGACCGCGGTCAGTGCTCTGCGGATGCCACAAAGTCAATGTTGATGCAAAGGAAGCGTGAGTCCTGGGAAAGATCAACGCACGCGGAGGAGAAGAACATGACGATGTCTTGATGCAAGATGGGAGACGTCAGCCACGAAGCTCTTAACAGAATGCGGAGCCTCCGGTTACGGCGGGACTTACACTGGACGAGGAGGAAGGCCTGGCATATGGGGTAAGCGACAGGCACCGTCGGCGATAGTACACAGTCTATCACTCACAGAAAGCGTGTCGACGTCGCCCGTGGTGGAGTACAGGGAAGATACGATCAGCTGGCTATGGAATGGCGAAGCACAGTGTCACCTCGGTATCCACGCAACACAGCCGGAGCGGGCACGCACTTCACCGCTGCGGGCGTTCCGCTGAGGAACATCGCCACAAACCTCTCCGCCAGCGCCTCGCGCGGGATCAGACCTCCCTTGGCCATGCCCTGCACCACGAAGACCCCGATAACGGGTAGCAGCGCCATTTTGGCGAGGGCCGCAGCCAGCATGGCCATGATGGGCAGCCGTGAGAGGGGCCTTGGGATCTCCATGCGCGCGAAGGATGCGCCGAGAAGGATGAGCGACAGGGGCACAGCGATGTCCCCGAGGAACTGGGCTGCATTGACGGTATAGGTGAGATGAACGCTCGCATAGACGAACACGGTGGAAGCACTTACCACTGACGTAAATAAGTTCAGAGGCGGATTGCCATCGGGCCCATGCCAGCTCGGACCTCCCTGATCGGTCGTGTCGACGAACAGCGCCTTGAGGTCCGTAATGAGCGCGATAGGCAGAGAAATGGAGAGGGACACCGTGATGGGTGTGACCGCAGCCGAGAGGGGCCTGAGCGTCTTCTTCAGGCGTGCGAAGTACGACGAAGGATGTTGTTCATGGATGCTCGCGCGTTCCGAGTGCAGCACTGATGAGGGTGGAGTCGCAGGCGGCCGGGGGAGGGACGGCGATACGCCTGCACGCACAGAAGGTCGGCGGGATTTTGGGATGTGATGGACAGATGGGACGTCCGCCGTGCGAGCTGGATATCGGGATCAGTCTCGTACGTGTGGTCCTCCTCAACCATCCCGAGCTCTGGCTGCCCCGTGTGGAGCTCTGCAGTCATGTTCGCTTCCAGGTCGTCTATCGTTTCCTTCTCCTTCTCTTTCTCCTTCCCGCCTTTCTCTGAGACGGATGCAGCATCGGCCTTCTCGGTGTAAGCAGGCGCAGGGCGTGCCTTTTTCATACGCAAGACGTGGCGAGCAATGAAGCCTCCAATGGGCTTCTCGTACCAATGACAACGTCGTTCCGCCTCCGCCCCCTGCGGTACCCCGGAAGATAGTCCCAAGCGAGCGAGCGTGCGGCACCGCCCACCCAGAAGACCAGGTGGTATGACACGATGAATACAGAGACAAACGAGACCCCCACTACCCATGTTGCATGCATGCGTCAGTCAGTAGCATGTTGCAGTTGTAACTCGACTAAGTCACGCACGAGCGGGGTCTGTATCAGGGTTGAATGGTGCCTCCTGCATCACGGCCTGTACAATTGCATTCGCTACAGAGCACACGACACGTGAATACATGCACAATGCGCATACAAATCTTGGTAGGGTACTGACGGAGGTTCCCCCAGTTGCTCATACCACACAGCACGACGATCCCCTGCCAAAAGTTGCGCGGCACGTAGCATATCTCGCGTATGATGAGCCCGAAGATGAACCCAAACCCAGGTAGGAGAATGCAGTCAGGAACAGCGGGCCGAGGGCCGATACGTTTTTTGAGGTGAACGCGGGTACGACGTTCGCAAAGATCAGGGCGGGCAGCGAGACGTTCATAGACACCTGCGAGGCGCCTTTGGACGCCTCTGCGCTGAAAAGCCCCTTCTTGCCGAGGAAGTATCCGACGAAAATGGCGATGAAGCTGCACGCAAGCGTCAGCGAAACGATCTACATGACGAGCACGACCCCGATCAGACGTACGTTTTCAACAGCGGCATTACGCCGCAGTAGATCAGGTATCCTGCAGACGCCATTGCAATCTTCCTCGTAGTGTCCGACAAAACCAGGTGTTTGGGTGTCCAGGGAAGAGTCCACTACCTGTACCGCGAGCCAGGCGTTATATGCGAATCGTCCGAGAGCGTCACGTCGTGCCGGGAATCCAGAGCGTGTGTCCATGGAACAGAAGAAGACACCTTAGTCGCCTCGAGCATCACTCATGGTATGCGCGCTCTGAGCCTGGGGCCCTTTCAGACGCGACAGCTACACCATGAGTGATCGCTCATGGTTTTTAAGTGACTCACCCGGACCGGGAAGGCCTCATGCGCATGTGTTCGCGACGGCTTTTCGGGCGATGAAGATTGAACGCAGGCGCCCGGAGGTCGGGATAATGAGCGAACGGGAGCCCGATCCGGGCGAGGCGGCCCCGGCGGGAGAATGTTGTCGCCTCCATTACCCCGCCTCAGACGAGATTGTCTGTTGATTGCCTGCAGCAGCGAGATCGCGTATGATCGCAAATAGCTTGGCAATTGCAGCGCAAGCCACGGAAAGGTTGACGAATGTCGGCCGCGGATGATCTACATCATCGTCAACCACAATGCTGCTGTATAGGAGTGCAAAGCATACGCTGAGGTTGCGCCGAAATGGAAACCTGCCGACTGGAATTCGGAATTAATGTGCGATAGAGAACACAAGCCGCACCATAGCTGCCGGTCATGCATGATGCGGCCGTGCGTCGTACGTCAAGTTGAGCTTTGCGAACTCGGGGATTGGTCCCTGAATGTGACATTGGAGAGCTGGCGGTAGAGAGAACACGGTCAGAAATCACACAACCATGAGCGCGAGCTTCTGTACGAACGGGTCCAGCGAGCTTCCTCACCGGACGAGTGATTGAGCTATTTTTGAAATCACCGATATGAACCACTGTTATAGAGTGATCCACGAGATCACCACTTCGTACTAAAGTGTACCGAGGTCCTGAAAGAAGTGGTCACCGGTCTACCAGTTGAGCTCAAGGTGAAGGCTATACTGCGCGATGATTGCGCGACCAAATGTGGGTTCGATGGTCATGATCATGATCATGTATGCCATCGTCTATGCAGGTAGTGAGTTACTTAGGGTCTAGGGACGTGATTGAAGCATGAGGGCCGCAAGCGGCTGTAGAGCGGGCATAGCATATCACTGTGGGCTTTCGATGTGCATGTCGCATGTGATGTAGACAGGAATGGCCAGACTCGACGGACACTGTGACACCGTCATGAGTGGATAACACTGTCGCGTTGATGCATAATGAGACTGACACATCTGTATTAGAGGATGTAGTCAAGTTTGAATGTGAGTGATGTTAGGAGGTGGGGGTATACTTCAACTCGAAGGTGGATCGGCGTCGTCTCCCGAGTCAAATTCGTACGGGCTGTCTGGGCTTGTTACAAGTGTCACGTCGCTGGCAAGGGAGGGGTGTGGACTCGGGGAAGGAGACAAGATGCGATACAGGCGGGTATGGTGGACGCGGTCGCGTCGTCCCAGTCTGCACCACGACGTTGGCATCCGTACGTCGCATTGGTCGGGGCCTCCATGTATAGACCACGTGATCCAATGGCGTCTAAGCTCGGCGACTCCCTGGATCTGGCCGATGCCTGACCGGAGATTCCCGGTGGTGAGCACGATTGGCTGCCCTTGGCCAATCTGGCAAGCTGGGCGTTTGCTGGCGGTCCATGTCCAGCTTGCACCTCTCCTCTCGGGGCGACTCTCCACTTCAATCATTACTGCTGGCGGGGTTTCATCGGGGAGTAGGAGGATGGGGAGTAGGAGGATGGGGAGGGAGGGAGGTGTTGGCAGTGGCGACGGCGTTTGCGTCTGCGGTTCGTCGAATTTGAGAATTGTGCCGGTCCATGGCTTGAGCGACCTGGGACGCCTGCCGTGCCCGGGCCTGAAGCTGGCGTGGTTAAAGGGAGCGACGGTGGGTTGCATTGAGTTCACCGCGGGTGGTGGTCTCAGGCTGAGGGTCATTTAATCAAGGAGCACTGGGCGTTTACCCTGGCAGGGCTGTTGAGTAAGTTCCAGATGGGCGTTGATGCGTGTCTTTCGGCAATGTTACAGTCTATCACCGTCAAACGAGACACCCAAACATGATGATTTTATAGATTATTCTTGAGCCACTTGTGAGAGTAGAGACTTTACGACGGAGTATAAATGCATTATTAGGACCCTATGTAAATGTCACAGCTCGAGAACCAACGTGTTAAAAGATATAGTAGAGTAAGTTGTACTGTTCCGTCGTGCGCCAAATCACCGTCGAACGAGACACCCATATCCGGCGATGTCGTGTCTGATCACGGTGTTATCGCATCTTATCAGGCCAGATAAGATCTCTAATCATCATCAGAGTGCTCCGCCGCATCGCCCTCCGAATCCGACGAGTCTTGCCCAACACCGCTCTCGCCATCTTCATCGTCGTCCGTGTCAAGGATCTCATCGGCGTCGATGGTCCCGTTCGCGGCTGCAACGAAATCGGAAAGCTTTGGCCGCGGGATTGCTGGATCAAGATCTTTCGTGGGTCGCTTCGGCTTGGTCCACCTTGGACGCCGCTTTGCAACCTTCGCGGTGTCCCACTTCGTGACCTGCTCCTTCCACGCTGCCAATCTCGCCTCATTAGTGTGTTCTCAAGCACAACCTGCGTGCCGCAAAGAAGGACAGAAGGAATAAAAGCTTAATGAGAGAAGACAGTCCAGACAACTGCATTCAACTTCTACGATGAGTGCACGTGCCATTACTGTAGTATTCAATACAGTCCGGCGGTCACGCGTCACAAGGCCCCTCGCCACACCGGTAAAGGACCCTTGTCACGGGTCACTGGGGGGCCCGCCGGTTGTGACAAATGCACAAAAATTTGGCCGCCTCCGGCGGCGGCCTCAGCACTCGTTTCGACGACGTTTATAGCCCATCGACGCTCCGCCGCACCGTCTGCACCGTCTTTGTCACACGTCACCGTCGCTCGCGCCGCGCCGCCTGGCGGCGGCGCGGCTGTCACAGTCACAACCTGCGCCGGATTGAATTGAATACATCTGGAAAAGTTTCATTTGAGAATGACAACAAAATATCAACAATGATCAGCATTTCTAGGTAAAGATCTGCAATACCACCTGTTCTATTCTTTCCCAAATTAGCGGGTTTTCTGTAACCCCCCAGCACTTCCTGGGCGAATTTGTGGCAATTACATGCAATACGAACCACTTCTGCGCACTCGCTGCGCATTATATCGGGTACTATGCTTTCTTTGTTTCGCTTTTTGGTTATGCAGTGTCATATGAGGATAAAACGCATAGTCATTATTATAGAACGGTGACCGTGACAATGATTCGGACAAAGTACTACAAACTACAAACTAGCTCTCGTATCACTACCACATCCAATCATATTCTAAGTCATGTTATTCTCGCCACCGCATCTGCTCGTAGCAGAGCATTCAGTACATTATGGTTAGCACTGAAGAGCTACGAGTCAGAGAATTGCAACCACAAAAAGACGAAGTGATCGCACTGCGGGTACAACAGGTCCACGGCTCCACAGGTGGGCAAAGGTAAGTTACTAGGCAACAATGGGCTAGGACACAGCCAGGTGAAGAGCTAAGCTGCCGAGGAGCCGGGTAAGCAGGCAGGTGGGCGCGCATGTGTCCGTGCAGGAAGTTGGATGGATGGAGGATTGTGTGAGCAAGCATACGTGCGGGCGGACAAGGGGTAATTGCGCAAGTGAGTGGCCGAGAAGCGAGTGGGCGAGAAGCAAGTGAGCGGGCAACAGAGCCAGTAGGCGAGCAACAGAGCCAGTAAGTGGGCAAGTGGACAGGTCAGCAAGAACTCAGCAGGCAGGCCTTCACGTTTAGCATGGGTGCAGACGCAGTGTTCTCTGTACGTCACGAGGTCTGGGGTCGGGCAGTTGCGAGATGCACCCGGGACAGGTTGCGCTACCTCGCAGTTGACTTCAGGGGCTGCGGCGGGGAACTGGCCGGCAGGTGTACAAGTAGGCAAGTGGGTGACAGGGCGAGCCAGCGAGTAGACATACGAGCAAGTGAGAGCAGACGAGGCGATAGGGCGGGTGGGTATGCGTATGTACGGGCGATCATGCGGGTGGGTGTGCATGTGTGCGTGGGCGGGCAGTTGCAGGCCGGCGCAGCGATGCTTGTTCGTTGCGACTGTGGAAGCCGGGCGGCTGCAAGACGCATGGAGGGGTCGCACCCCCTCGCGGTCGGTTTGAGATGCAGATGCGGCGGGGCTTGACACGTCCAGAGGTTGCCCAAGCGCGAAAAACATTAAAGTCAGCGGATGGGCGCGAGAGTGAAGGTGCAGAGAGCCGTGCGCTCTATACGCTCAGTGAAAGGCGAGCCTATGAGCAGGTCAGAGCTATAGCACATTAGCTGAATAGTGGGTCGACGGGCTTGGATGATCGCAGCGAGAGGACGACTCGAGGATGCAGGGAGTCTACGCAGGTGCGACGTGGCATGTCGGAGTTCGAAGCCGTCACGCGCTCACTGGGCGTCTCTCGCCTTTTGCTGTTTTGTACAAGTCCTTCGTTGGGCCTTCTCCTCCTCGTCACCTCTCCAACTCGCCTGCGTGTCCAGACTTAAGTACGACAAGTCACAAGACACTTCCGCCGCCATAACGGACAGCGTAGCCCGACCGACATGCAAACTGAACGCGCGTGAACCTAGACTCGCACGACAACAGATGTGCACGCAAATCCTGCCCTGAGCGACAGGGGCACGCAAGCGAAGGGCAGGAGAGGTGAGTACAAACATACGCGAGCAGGTATGCTTATAGCGAGCACAGGGTGCAGCGACGTGCTGCTGCACGACGCGCACGACGACGGTGAGCACGCGGGGCCAATGCCCTGCGTGTAGACACGGCCGACGAGCGGGCGTGGTGCGGAAGAGCGAAGAGACTGCATACGACCGGGCGGCCGGGCGGGCGAGCAGGCGGGTAAATGGGCGGGCGAGTGGGCGGGAAAGCTGGCAAGCAGGGCTGCGAGCGGACAAGCAGGTGAGTATTACGAATGCCGGTGGGTGTCGACCACCAAACGATGACTATCCTGACCCCGTGCTTGTCCATCCCGCAGTCATTTGCCCTGCGCCCCTTCCGACACACTTCACCGTGCCCCTCGCCCCTCTCCCTCTCCCTCGCTCATGCACCCTCGCTCTCGTCGGATCCGCCAATTCGACGCGCAGAACGCGTAGTCTAGCAAGGGCAGTACGACCTTCCCTCGTCTCCGTTTCCGTCCTCCCTCACTGACTGCCACCCGCCCCGCCCGTTCCCCCGCAGATGCCCATGAGCGGGCAATCGGATGCGAGGGCAAACGAGCGGGCACAGGGCGCAGGCCAACACCACATGCACGCGAACCGCGAGTGCGCTGGGCGTTTGCCCAGTGCACAGACACGGCCGACGAACGCGTGGGTAGGTAGGCAAACAGGCGGAAGAGCGGGAACACAAGTAAGCGGGCGGAGACACTGAGTGGGGTGTACAAGCGGGCGTTGATATGCGCGGCAATAGCGAGCGTGTAGGACGAATGCCGGGCCACAAACACAATCGACGAATGGACCGCACGCCTGAGGACGCGACACACATGACAACAGCGAGCACGCAGGGCGAATGCCCTGCGCGCAAGCGCAGCCGACGGGCGGATCGTGGGCGCGGGCGCAAGTGTGGACGGGCAAGCAGGCGGACGGGCAGGCGGACGGGCAGGCGAGGCGGACGGGCGGGCGAGGCGGGCGCGTGAGCAAAGCGGGTGATCGCGATGGTGGGCAGGGCATGCCGCGCTGCTAGTATTCGGGCGAGTTCCACCCGCCCACCGAGGGCGGCTGGGACAAGTTTACCTGCTCGATGAGGCCTTGAGGACGTACGGTGGAAGCTCGTTATGGTGTAATCTTTCCTGCGTACTGTAGTCTCTATTCCCGATTTGCGCTGTGTGAGTCGAGCCACCTGAGAATATACATGCATTACTTCGACATTATCAGGTTTAGTGTAGCATGAATGACTGAAGTCTCACAATTCTTGTAGATATTCACGATACCGCGGAATGTTCAGACATTAGCAACTTTCTGTGTATTCGTTCGAATCGGTTCGATTGCTGGTCACTTATCACGAATTCCCAAATGGGGGTTTTCCCGATGTACTACAGTATCTTGTGGCTCCTTGGGCGAACTGCACAATGTTGACGCTCACCTTCACGTCCACATCTCTCGTGCTCGATATCATTCATTGTCTGACCGATCTCTCCAGAACTTTCAGATAAGCTAGATGTACATTCGTTTTGTGTATTCCGCACTTTTTTGTAACAAAAACGGTCTCTCGACGGTATTGATATAGTCACAAGTATTCGGGACAGTTCTGGAAGGGTGTAACGGTGCAACATTTACTCAAATAACACAGCCAACACTGCATCTCACGCGCGATGCTTTTTGTGGGTGTACGAGAGCACAAGGAACTTAATTTACATTTAGTTTGTATGGGCGTAAGTGCGGTGATACACATCTCAGAGCCGCGTGTCTCGTTTGACGGTCGTGTCTCGTTTGACGGTGATAGACTGTATGTTTATGTTGTTACCGACGCTCAACTCTGATTGGCGTAGGGAATGTCGTAAAGCTGCATTAGCAGGTGCATGTTGACATTGCAGGAGCACACGACGCGAGCAGCAACACATTAAGCTGGCGTTGCCGTATGGGTTGCGAGGGAAAACGTATGGAAGTACGAGTCGTCAGGCTGCAACGTTGTCGAGGAGTGTTATCAGTAGGTGAAGGTTGTTCAGTTGGGCGTGCAATTTGAACATCACTGATACTGACGACTTATTACCGTCAGTACGGCCTTGTTACGGCCCTCTATGCACTGGGATACGATGACCGGCGTGGCGGATATGACGGTCACGTGTGAAGCGAGGCGTACCAGCAGCCCGCCTCATTATTACTGAGTGAGCTTGGATGGTCAGTTGCAAGAGAGCGAGAGGGGAATGATTGGCGGTGTGGGGCGCAGCCCGCAGGGCTGCCCGACTCGAAGAGTGTGCCTGGACCTGAGGGGCAACGGGTGAGCCGCGATACCCAATATGAAGACGTCGAGTACGGCGGCGCGTTGCGGCGAAGCCGTTACCCCCAGTCCAGAAGCCGACGAGCCTCGTCGTACATGCTCTGTGAGTCAGTGTCCAACACTGACGACGCCAATGACCCGTATTGCTGATCAACCGGTTCGCAGAGTCCCGCCGGATGGGCGCCGCGAAGCAAACATCGCTCCGCTGACCCTAGGAGGAGCAGTGCCGTGTCGTGCTCATCGAACCCGGTGTGTCCAGCCTGACTCGTGTGCAGTGGATGACACGAGTTCGTTACGCTCGTGCCGACACGAGCCAGTGCCAGTGTAAGCATGCTGCTGCTGCATGCTCCTGACTCGTGTGCAGTGAATGACACGAGCGTGTTATGCTCGTGCCGACACGAGCCAGTGTAAGCGTGCTGCGTCCAGCCCGACCCGTGTGTGACACTCGCTGGCTATGAGCTCGTGCTGACACGAGCCGGTGTAAGCATACTGCGTCCAGCCTGACCCGGTGTGACACTCGCTGGCTATGAGCTCGTGCTGACGCGAGCCAGTATAAGCCTGCTGCGTCCAGCCTGACTCGTGTGTGACACTCGCTGGCTATGAGCTCGTGCTGACACGAGCCAGTGAAGCATACTGCGTCCAGTGTAAGCATGTTGCCTCCAGCCTGACTCGCGTGTGCATGACACGAGCTAGCGATGCTCGTGCCGACGCGAGCCAGTGTAAGCGTGTTGCGTGCAGCATGAAAGAAACTCAGCGGGTTGGTCCCGCCCGGCGACCAGTGAGCGAGAGCGCTGGTGACGGAGCACTGGGCGGCGGTCGAAGGACTCGGAGTCGGACAGTCCACAATGGCAACCGCTGCTCGCTCAGCTGGATGCTCATGTCGGACAAGCTTGCGAGACAGAGACTACGACTCTGTGTTGACCATCCTCCACGCATTTGTGAGTGGTACAATCATTTGGTCGTTGCTCACATAATCCGGCTCTTCGTCGCCATCGGGATTGATGAGCGAAGGTTGTACCATAGTCCCCTTCCTGTAAGCTACAAGTGGTGTAGTCTTAGTGGAAGAAAACGAGAGCTATTCGAAGGGTGTAGCGGCCGCGGAGCCTTCGAGAGCGGTCGTCCGAGTGGGCGCGCAGAGGAGAGCGATGCGCGCCTAAATCTCCTCCTGCATGCGTAGACTCACTTCTACGCGACGCTCGTGCCTCGCTTCGCTTAGAATACCAACCATGTTGCATCGCCGTCTGTAGTTGGCGAGGTACTGTTGGCAGTACTTGGCGGACTAAGGCTGACGTGACAGAAACGGCCAGACGAGGGATTGACGGCATACAGTCACTACAGGGATCATCGTTGCACTACCCTAAGTCCTTCGCATGCTTGATCAAATAATAGCTCATAATGTACAACCTTAGGCCAGGTGCCACATGTCTTGACGAAACATCCACATCCACTCAACCCCTATTGATTCCATCGCGACCATCATTCATGTACGTCTCTGAAAGCTTTCAGTTGCGCTCTGGACGGTGGCCCCCAGCAGTGTCTCCCTGGGGCCCGGATCCCGGCTTGCTGATGGTGTTCCCTTCACCTGCATGCGGCTTCTCCCTGCTCGTGCCGCCATACTTCAGCTTCTGCTCCTCGTTCTTGCCCGGAACGTCATACGGCTCGTCCTTGTCGGCCTATACCAAGAGCATAAGTGTTAGCACACTCAGCAACTCCGGAAATGCAGCCAGAGCGCAAGACAAGGCTACCCCAGGACGGCACTCACAGTTTGGTACTCCTTGGTCTGCGAACCTTTATCGGAGGACTCGCCCGGCTCCAGTTCGTTCGGCGTCACCAGTTTGTTGTCGCTCGAGTCGACTTGGTGCGTTTTGGATGATTGCGGGGGCGAGTCGTCCACGTCTTTGAAGTACGACTCGGCCGTATGCTTCTGTTCGGGACGACGCGCGGAGGTATGGAAGGAGCGTTGCTGGCTCGAGGACACCTTGTCATCAAACTGCTTCCAAGTAAGTTCTACAACATGGGCCATAGCATGTATGGAACGCACTTTGTGAGATGGCAAGCTGGGCTTCTCCGCAGCATTCCCCTTGCCTTTCGATTCCCGGGACGAATCAGCCTCCCGGTGTTTCAAGTGTTCATTTTGCTCAGCGTACGTACGGTCCTTCGGCTGCCTGCTCGCGTCGGGCGCCTGGCCCGCCGTGGTCGTATCCGCCGCCATCGCCGTCCGCGCACTGGTGTGGAAACCCCTTCCGCCGTGCTTGTTCTGTTTCTGCTCGCCCTTCAGCCCAGCAAACGTCCCTGTCCCCGTGACTCCTTCTCCGCCATCACGGTTCTGCTTCACCTCCCCGCTCGTCGTCTTAAAGCCGAGCGTACTCTTCACGGCATCGAGGAACCCCGGTGGCGTTGCCTCCTCCTTCCCGCCGGCGCCCTCCCCTGCGTTCCGCTGACCACTAGAGCTCGCGCCGCCGACCTGCTCGGCAAACCCGACACCCTCTTGGTTGCCAGAGAAACCCTCCTGGCTTGCTTTCTTTCCCTTCGCTCCAGACGCGGCGTCGAGCGGGGACTTGTTCGCGCTCGATTGGCCCGAACGGGCGGCCTGGTCTTGGACGTCGCCGGGGTGGAGGTTCTCCTCCTTCCTCACTGTCCCTTGCGACAGCTGCGGGTCCCTTCCGGGTGCTTCTGTGCCGCCTATACGCGCGATGGTCGTGCTGTGGAGGTAGCGCGCGGACGTGCCTGCGTATGGGCGGGCGGCGAGGGCGCGGTTGGCGGAGAGGCGGACGATGCGAGGGGAGATCATGGCGGGTGGTTTCTGGTAGTTGGAGAACGGCCGGTTGTTGTTGAAGACGGTGGCATGGGGGCAGCGGGCGGAAGGTTATATAAGGAGGACGTCGCGGCGGGGGCTCCGCGTGCGTCACTACGCGCCCTGTGGTGACGTCACGTTCCGTACCCTCTCCAAAAGGCATCTCACGCGCCATATATGGTGTACATACGGTCGCTGCCGGTGCCAGATCGTAGCCACGATACTAATAAATATGGGAGCGATCTACCTAAGTATCATAAGCCATGCCTCCGCGTGCTTACTGTAGAGTTACTATATAACGATGGTAAGCAGTGTACGCGTATATCCGATTATCCTTCAGTGCAGACAAAACTGCGCACCACCGCTCGGACGACAGCGTGCGTGCGACCTCCAGGGCATCCTCGCTAACACTAATAGCGGGAAACAGTGATCTCATGACCCCCGCAAACGTTCCAGGATCTCGGATGTCATCATCCTTGACCACGACCCCTTTAGGTAGAGTTTTGACCGATGGACAGTATAACACCTCCCCGTTGATGGCTACGGCCGGGAGCTTGAGGACCGTGAGACGAGGACAGTCCCGCAGAAGGTCAACAACTCTGCGAAAGGAAGGGGCACAGTCTGGCGTGTACGGATTGAGCTGGCAGGAGACTATGAAAATCTGAAGGAGTGGCCACGCTTCTCGGATGGAGTGTAGGTCGTCGTCCGTGAATGATACGTTGCCCGAAGGTATGCAGATCTCGCATAACTGCAGATGACGGAGCTGCATCAGAGGTGGCAGAAGGTTGGATGCTGGCATGGGGGCACTGCCTTGACCGGGGCCCGCAGCTCTGCCCGGCCCCAATTCGACTCTGAGCGTGCTTAATGTCCCGGCACATGCGGTGACGAGGTCTTCGAATGCGCTGTAGTCCTCCGCAAAGCTGTTGAGGACGGCACGGGTATTTCAAGGTATTCCAGCCGAGCAGGTGGCATGTTCGATGCCATCGACCCAATGCACAGCGCGCCTTTGTACCATAGACCGTCAAGCTTCAGCCTCCGCAGCTGGGGGAAGCTATCGGTAATCGGTGTCTCGGTCGTGTTCGCGTCCCAGTGGTCAAGGGGAAGAACCAGATCACGTAGATGCTCCAGCTTGGCCAGCACGGACATGAGTGGTGCGAACCACGATGCCTCCGACCATGATTTTATGCGTAGTGTGCGGAGTCCGCGGAGTTGGCCGATCGACGAAATTGGCGAGACATCGCGGATGCGGTGGTATATGCGAAGATCTTGCAGCGCAGGAGCTTTGGAGGGTAGTCCGCAGAGTATTCGCCTGACCGCGTGGGCCTCGACGGCGGTCTCGAGTAGCCTTGGCTCTTCAAATATTATCAATTGTCGAAGTGCGGGCCCTACAAGGGAAAGAATAGTTGTGTCGAAGAACGGTGAGACTGTGCACGAGCATCTAATCTCTCTGAGCATCGGGAGGAGCGGCTCGCCTGCGCTAGCTTCAGAGAGGATAAGAAAGAGTGTAGGGTCTATGCACTCCGGATGCGGGATGCTAATACGTTCCACGAACATCGCAAAGTGGGCGAAGCGCCTCAGCACTTGCTGCGTTGGGGAATCGTTGGACCTCTATTGCAACACCATGTCAGCATCGCACTATACCATCTGCAGCAGCTGCAATCGAGCGCACCCATAAAGCTTCAGCACATCGTGTTTCGTATTCGTGATTTCCGGGGTTCTCCGTCGTCGTGAGGGTGAAGACGAGGGAGAGCAAAGGGGTCATCGGGAAAACCTCCATTTGAGAATTCTGACAAATTCCGAGAAGCAGCACAACAATGCAGAGAAGCGCCATAATTTTCGTTAATTCTGACGATACAGAGAATCAAGTTGCATTGCACAGAATACCGTGTATCGTAAGGATGCTAGTACAGATTATAGAAACTATGAGGATCCTTGTACTGATTAAGGTAGAACGTTGTGCATTCATCTAATACGGTATCAGTCGTCCAGTGTCTCGGAGCGACTTTACCACCAGATGCTGGCAGAATCATGTATGAATCCCTGTGCTTAGCACAAATGGATCATACATAAACTCCAGAACTCACAGCAAGCCTTCATGTATAAAGGTGCTGTAATAACTGGAGCCGGCGTCTCGCTCACTACCCGAAAGGGCGACTGCCCTTTAGGGACAGCCCGGGTGATCCACTGTCAGCGGCAGCTTGCGGTGGCGGCGGCAGCCCTAAATAGGAGCTGTTGCGCGCTGCGAGGGCATCGGGCGCGTGCAATCGCGATTTGCGATCTGCTTGATCTGACACGTCCTAGTATTAGAGCTAGGTACGGCACCGTAAATAGCCGCGACTCATTATGTAAGCACAGTGCCTGAATAGTCAGTATATCGGGATCCGAATAAATACAGCGCGTATTACGGCACGTATGTTGTGCTGCACGACATATGCACTGCACATGTCGCGCCCCATGACACATATTGTGGCCTTTTATTCATTTGTTTGCTTATCAATTCAAGTCTCAGTGCTGTGATTTGCGCCGAAAATGAAGTCATGAAGTGGCCATCCCGATTTGGTATGTTTGAAGCGCCAACAAATGCTGCGATTCAACACAAATTCTGTAGTACTCAGTTAAGATATCGACTACGTATGGTACATCTGGAACAAGTGGACGAGGATCTCTACAACGCAACATTGTCTATGCCCTCAGCACTACCATGTCTCCGTCCGTCGCCCACCTGTTCATCGCCGCCGCCGTCCCACCAATCGCTGCCCCGCATGTTGCTGCCCCACCCGCACCCATCGCCCACAGGAGTCCCTGCAATTCTCCAAGTGTCGTCCTCGGTCACCCACAGCCTCCCGCGCATCGCCTGCCCTATTCAAGGGCTCGCTCGCAGTGCGAAGTGCCTTGTTGACGGCCGGCCAACGCCCTGTTCACACCAGTCAATGTGTGGTTCACAATCATCGACGCGCCACCATACGTACCCGTCGACGCGCCATTCGTACTGCTCGACGCACCGTCATTCGTGCTGGTTGACGTACCACTAGCAGTACATACTCACTGACGTGCCGTGACTTGTATCCGGCATCCGCTGACGCGCCATTCGTGCTAGTCAATGCGCCGAGGTTTGGGCTGGTCGACGCCCCATTTGGGCTGGTCCAACGGTCGGTCCAGGGCGGGTAGATGGTAGAGTTGTGGTAGCAACTGGGTGAGCTTTGCGGGCGCCCCGGTAAACCGAACGTTTGTATCTATTTGTTGCTTCACCAAACTTGGCAACCCCGATGTGCTCGGGCTGTTCCTGGCCAATCAGAACGCGTTTAACGGTCCTACTTAGGCCTGCAACATACGTGCGACTCGCGTTCTGGGTCCTTTGCACTGTGTATGCATCTTCTGTAAGTTGGAATAGGTACTAGATGTATGTATAGTGGCATACACTGAATCTAAAGAACAGATGAGATGCGGTACAGACTATTCTCGTGTATGGTAGGGATGTCTAGACTCTACATTACTGTACTGTACTGGTTCTTTGAGTCTCGAGTCATAACCGGTGTTGCGGCGCAATATACACTGTTCTCGTTGATAGCAATCATAGGCGATAGCATTCCAGTGACATAGATTATGTTCCTACTACTAGTACTACTAGTACTGTATTCTAACACTCGTTGTACGTGTTGGTCCACGCTCGGTGCTTGCCCTCTCGTCCGCCCGCCCGGCGCCCGCTTGTCCGCCCTCGAGCTCCCACTTGTCCGCCCGCTCTCTCGTCCGTTCACCCTCCTGCTCGTCCATCCACTCGCTGGCCTACTTTCCGGCTTATCTAACTCGTCCGGTTGTCCGCCCGTCTGTTCGGCCGCCCGTCTGTTCGGCCGCCCGTCTGTTCGGCCGCCCGTCTGCCCATCTGCCCGTCTGCTCGCCCTCCCGCTCGTCCATCCGCTCGCCTGCATGCACGCCCGCCTGCGCGCCCGTATGCCGGTTTGCTTGCTCGCCTGCGTGGGCATCTGTCGGCTGTGTCTGCGCGGTGGGCATTTGCCCAGTGCGTTCGCGGTGGGCATGTGCTGTTGTCTGGCCGCTTGTCCGTCTGCTTGCTCTCCTACCTATCCGCTCGCTCACCTGTCCGCTCTACTACCCATCCGCATACTTATCTGTCCCACCCATCAGCCTGCTCGCAGCGCGCGCGAGTGCCCGCCCGCCCGCCCGCCTGCTCACGCGCTCGTGCTCGCACCCGTACCTGCGGTCTACCGTCGGCTGCGCTTGCACGCGAGGCATTGGCCCTGCGTGCTCACGGTCGACGCGCATGTCCTGCGCATCGCCGCGTCCTGTAAGCATGGTCAGTTCATTCGATGCTCGTGTGCGTCTACACTCACCTCGATACCAGCTCCTCGCAGACACATCCACCCGCCGTTCGTCGGCTGCGCCTGCGTGCATGGCAGTGACCCTACATGCTTGCCGTCGTCGTACGCGCTGTGCTCTTGCGACGTCGGTGATCCGGCGGTGGTCGACGCGGCATGGTGGAGGTCGCAAGGAGGTTGCAAACGGCGGGCGGAACCGCTCGCCGCTCGCCGCTCGCTCGGCTGGTTGCGGCCTTCCGGGCTTGTCCGAGGCAGACGCCACGCAGGCGGCGGCGCAGGGGATCCGAGATCGTACCTGATCTCAGATGCGCTGACCCCGATGTGCATCCATATGGGGTAGCCTCGCATCGCGCGTCAGTGGTACCGCCCCGCCGGGGACAAAGGGGCCGGGCTAGCCCGGGGTACCTGCCATATCAGGTAACGACCGACGGCGCCTCGTTCATACATGACGGCGCCTCGCTTTTACATGAGCGAGTGGCAGCTCATGTATGAAAACAGCTGCAGGTAAGTACTGGAGTTTATGTATGATCACTCCGTGCTCACCACAAGGATATCATACAAACTTATGCCTATATGGCCTGACTTTACCCCATTTCGGATACAGGTGTACACTCTGCTTGACTAGTGTAAGTGGTACCACGGAGGCGATCTTCGCAGACCCCGTCAACTTCTTCACTCTGTACATCTGATACCGCTCGTCGGCGTCAGCAGAGAAGCTCGAGAACCATTCAATGTAGACGAGGTGGCGCGGTACCTGGACGCCAGGAGGGAACAGTTGTTGCACATCGTTCTTCGTAAGTGAGAAGATTGCGCGCACTTGGCCTACTCGCAAATCTGCCATTAGTACACTGTCAGTAAGTCAATGGTGGTCCGTCTGTAGCCACGCACCTTGCAGTCCAGTGCTCGGCTCGTCAGTATTCCGAACATGCACAAGTGCGGTGTCAAAGCGCGCAGGTGAAGCGATGTTGCCATTCCGGCCCATTCGCCGCGGATGCGCATGGATTGAGTCGAGGGTATCATTGCCGTAGTAGTCCTGGTTACGAAATTTGATGCTGTGGAAGACGGGAAGAGTCGAGGATGGGAACCGTATTTTGACAGCGCGGGCTTCGACTTCGCTACGAGTCAACGCCGGCGTGATCGACTCCACCACGAATCGAGCAAGGGCGGGCATGAGGAATGTCGCTGTGGTGATTGCGAGTCCCCGGTGCGTGGACGACGCGGAAGGGAATTCTTGGTATCGGTGAAAACGATGGGCGGGGGTCGTTGGTGCAAGTTGACAGTTCGCGGAGGAAGCGAGCGAGGTCCGTGGTACCTCGCGGAGGGAAAAGGGGAGATGGGGTGGTGCGCCGCACGCTTCGTCCGCGATGTCCTTTAGTGAAGACCGCCTTTCCTGAGCCTGGTATACTCGATGGCCTTCCCTCCGACGTTCCTAACCTGAGCTCTCCTGATTCCTGAGCCTGAGCCTAACTTCTGCGACCTTCCTTAGCCTGAACGCGAGCCTGAGACGGGACCTGAAGCCTGAGATTGCCCGGTGCAACCTAGATACTGAGTCCTCAGAGGTAGTGGTAGGTAACTAACTCTCCTTCCCTCCGCCCCGTCCTCCTAGCCCCCTTCCGCCGCCTTTCCCACGTCCCTGCCTCGCTGGCACCCGTTCCCCTCCGTTCCTACTCCTTCCGCCCCCGTGGGTCTCCCTCCGCCGTCCCTGCCATCCTCATCCGTCCGCCAGTCCACCATCGTGTGAGTCCTCAATGCCCGCCGACATCCCACCGAACCCCTCGACCATCGTCTACACCACCCGTTTCTACCGCCTCGTCGACCTCATTCGTGACGAGCGTGTGGTAGAGCCCCGTCTGAACCCCGATAGCGACCTTGAGTGGCTCGCTTGGGCCCATGGCGCCCGATGGCTAATCGTACGTGCCTTCTTCCGCCTCGTCCTCCTCGTCTCGCCAACCTGCCTTCGTTCCGCACAGCGGATGCTCTTCGATTCTCGGTCTCGCGCGGTTGCCCACGGCGACGCATCCCTTCCGCTCGTCCGCCGGTACTCGGACGTCCAGGATCTTATCGAGTACCTCGACCAGGTCTTCCTGACTCTCCCGTCCCAGCATAGCTACGTCGGCGAGCCCTACCCGTTGATCGCCTGGGCTCCAAACCGCGTCGCCGCTGAGCAATCCGATGCCGAGGTTGGTCGCCCGCTTCTTCCGATTCGGTACATGGAACGGCCCATGCAATTATCTTCCTTCCGCGCCTCCTCCGACAGCCTCGATGGTCTGCTCACCCGCTTCCAAGGCCTCCTCGACGAGTGCCGGACCGCCAACCGCGACGCTCGTTCTGAAGCCGTCCGTTTTGCCCGAGGCCTGGGTTCCGTTGAGGCCGGCGTCCGGGACTTGCACGCTCGCTTGTCGGAGGGAGTGTACGTGCCTGACGGCTACTCCGGAATACCGCGTCGCCTGCAGTTTGCACGCCCTCCCGACGTCGAGGCCATGGAGGAGGGAGAGGTCGAGGATGAGGTGGCGGAGGGACCTGCCGTTCATGTACAGTAGCCTTCCTCCTTCCGCATGTATTTGGTTGGGTGCTCGATTAGCTCTTCCGCCGTGTGCGTTCGCTTGTGCGACAATCGATGTTGCGTTCGCTTGTTCGACAATCAATGTTGCCCTATGCCGGTTGCTGCCCCTTCCCGTCTTGACTTGTACGTGCGGTGTATTGAGGTCGTGCCGCTGCTCCCATGTGGGCCCACCCCACATCGCACCATACCCATCAGGAGATAGAAGCTCCGTGAGAGGTACAGCGTTGCGAGTCGGCCACTTTGTCATATGATGAAGCAACGGACACGCTAAATCAGGCGGTCGCCATCGTGTCTCTTCATCTGCGGCGGCAGGTTCTGAGTGACGCGGATCGGCCAGGTACTGAGCATGTAGTACTCGCCACTCGACATACTTCGCATGCTGCAACACCTTCTCGCGGCGCTCGAGCCACTTCGTCATTTGTGGGAACTCGTCTTTCTTGTTTGTCGATCGGTAAGCCTCTTTTGCGAAATCGATGTGAAGCCGCTCCGTGGCTTCGGTATTGTAATTATCCGTTGTGCCGTAGAGTTTAATCGCGCGAACATAGTGAAGCATCATGTGAAGTTTCGGTATGAGAAAGTGGCCGCGCGTACCAAGTCTGACGAAGACGTCCTTCTTCTCGTGGAACTCGGACAACCTGCGTTCGAGAGCGTCGAGTGTCGCGCTCGAATGAACCGAGTATTGAGACATGTACAGGAAGTCGAGGAGTGACTTCGTCGCTGCAATCAAATCCGCAGACTCTCCGCCCGGCAGGTCAACATCGATGAGTAAGCCCAGAATAAAGCGAGCCATTTGCTTGTGCTCGGTTCCCGTCACACGTGAGAGGCCGGATATCCCTTTGTAGAATATGTGGATGCTGTGATTAGGAGGGAGCCGCTTCACGCGTGCGTCGATCTCATCCTCGCCGATGATATCCGTTAGCCACACAAGGAGGTGTTTGATGACCCCTTGATGTAGTTGATGGAGTATGTTGGGTGTGATGGAGCGGTATATGTCGACGTACGGTAGCTTCTCCCAGAATGGGTGTTGAATCGGCTTAATGCCGATTTGCTCGCAGGCGCTGTTGTAGTCGGCGGTCCCTACGAGGCCGAGTGCGTCGAGGGCTTCATTGACGTCACGATAATCGTGGGGGCATGGGTAGGTACCAAGATCATCATGAGGGCATTTGCATATTGGGCAGTCGCCCGTATAGGTCCCCGTCACGAGAACCTGCTCTGGGTAGTCTCCGACGTAGATGACTAGTATCGGGTGGCACCGCCGTACGACCCCATCTCCGCTTGTCATATGAACACCTGTCACGCCAGCATTGCGCAAGGGTTCCGTGACTGTCGACATGCATACATGGAATAGATTGGCCAGGGTCCGTCGGCGAGCGGCCTTGTTTTTGATGTGCTCGAGCCGACTGGTCGGAAGATACGCAACGAGAATCTGGCCGCGGTGCGACGGCTTGCGGCGAATCTCCTTCGGAAGGTTCCCGATCGTGAGGTAGACAGGGTACGCGGTTTTGTTCCGGAACATCGTCAACTGTGTCTTGTCCGATGAGAGGATAATCGGGACAACAGTGGCTCCGGGATTCTCGCTCTCGAGCTGCTTCTGCTCATATGGGATGAGAACAAGATTCAATTAAGAGCTCGAAGACATACCTGCGTCGCCCACCACCATTGCCCGGTATGAAGGTCATGATAGAGACGCACTGTCTGGTCCGCATCCGCGTAGTGGCGCTCAGGAGAAACGCAGAGGTATCTCGCATGTTCCGTATCACCATATAGCGCACGAGCGCACTCCAGTATATCACGGCAAAACATTGCGAATGTTTCGCCGCCCACGCAGGCTTCAAAGCGGCGGAATACTGGTCTGTGGTTGGGAAGCTTGTCGTCGATGATCTTGTTTAGTTCATCCGCATTCTTGAACGAGAGCCCTAGACGACTGCAGACCTACACAACCAAGATACACATTAAGTGTCGGCAGATGTTCGCGGCAGGTATCAACTCACCTCGTCAATCGCGAGCAAGTCTGAGAATGCCGTTGAGCCGAGGCCACGCAGTTTAGCCCAGCGTGCAATCTCCCAATCGACGCGCGACGTGAACGGCGCATAAAAGTTCTTCGAATTGGGATCGACTTGATGCGCATACGCCTTGTATCCTGCACCAGTCGATTTTGCACCTTCAGGATCGATGGGCGCACCGGCGTCGCCACCAAATGGGACGATGTGGACCGGCAATTGGCCAAGCTGGATATGCGCATCCCTTTGAAGACCGCCAGGGGCGTTGTCCTGTACGCCGTCGTGGGCGTCGGCCGTGGAGGAAGCAGGATCAATGTCCATGCGATCGTGTCCGCCTTGCATATCTCTGCTCGCGAGATCATCTGGTGGAGGGATGTCGTCACCAACTGCTTCGTCTCTGGCAGAATCATCGAGGTCGTCTTCATCGAGGTCATCGGCAGGTTGGCACGTCGGCGAGTCATCGAAGGGTAGATCGTTGTCGTCGTATTCATCGGCCGCACCAAAGTAATCTCCGTCAAACAGGACGTGACCTTCGTCTCCATTGCCAGTGTCTGTATCGTCCATAGGCTGCCCACCCTCGCTAGCACGGGAGGCACTCCTCGACCGTGAGCGCGCCGCCTGAGCACGCCGATGGTTGTCACGGCGGGTCAGATGGCGCATAGATTCCTCATGTTGGTGACGGGCAGCTTGACACGCTCCCTTTTCACTCAGCTGGAAGTGTTGGAGGAGCGTGCCACGGCGCGAGAAGCTCTTCATGCAACCGTTACAGATATAGGCCATGCTGATTACTGACTAGCAACTCTGCAGATATGCGGGTAAGCTCAATCGACAGAGGTATGTGCAATTAACGCACCGTGATACCGACAGAAAAGAGTGTCTAAGTGGCTCGACACGGCTGGAAAGTGTGTAAGCGGTGACCGTCGAGAGGTAGAGGCGAGACGTACGGAATTGTCACACGGTGACTTTCACCAGCGCCGAGCCCGCACTTGCTGGCTCGCTCTCCGAATCCTGCCAGCGCACACCCTCCTCCTTTCCACGTCCTTTCTTCTAGTGCCCTAACAGATCATCAGTCTTGTTCAGTACTCGAGACAACACACCATCAGCACGTCTCATACTCACCGACACCGTCGATTTCGCTGGCGAATACCTCATCCTTCCTGTTGGTTGGGTTACGGTCACCGGTGTGGTCTCTCGTAGCGAGCGCGACTCGGAGGGTACTGGTCTCGCTGCCCACATTGACAGTTCTACCGAAACTGGTATTGTCAGCTAAAAGATCGATTTGGGAGTGCCACGTACGTTGACTGAAAACCCGCTGAGTTGGCTCGCTGACCGGTCTTTTGCCGTAGTCAGTCGAAAGCAAGATCATTGAATGTCGGCGCGAGCAGCTTCCTCGACTAATGGCCGCGCTGGACGACCGTCGTCTCAGCTCATTCAAGCTGCCGATGTTGGAGGTCATGATGGAAACCTGAGCGTTGAAGAGCAACCTGAGCAGGCATGTGAGTATGCAACACTTGTGTCTACAGCTAGCCTACTCACCGTGACCAATGACTTGCGGTCTCAATAGCAGGGCACCGCCCGCCGGTGCGCGCCGCGTCCAGGAAGGCTGCCCAAAAATGTAAGTACAAGTGGCGTAGGATAGCTCTGCTGCTCACAGCGAGACTTACAGCATGGGCGACGTATATACCAAAGAGTCGTAACTCACTGAATCCGCCTAGCAGTAAGGTAACGAAGTCGTCGGCACCTTGTAAGTCCGTTCCCGAAACTATATTGCCGCTGTCTTGATCTGATAATGCCTGTTGTAGCATCTGCCGCAGGCACGCGCGCGTCAGTCGAAGAAACACAGAAAGGGACCAAGGAGAAGCGCAAACGTGCAGAGTCCGTGGCGAAGGAAGCAGGCAAGGGCGCGGTTGATACGAAGAAAGGCGCTGCGAGCTCGGAGCGCCGTGAGCCAAAGAAGGCAAAGACAGGCGCACAGCCAAGTCGGTGTTAATTGCTATCGTCTCTCAGTACTAAGCGCTGACGCGACCGAAAAGAACACAAAAGCCACACAAAAACCCAACCGTGAGGTCGAGCAGTGGTATGCGAGGCCTCTGAGTCTATGAGATGTACGTGGGACTGTACAGTGGTCTAGGTAAGAAGGAGGAGGACGGACAAGACTCCGAACGACGTGGGAGAGCTTCGAAGATGTCGAAGACTGTTCGAAGACGAGGGCTAAGCCTCGAAGGTAGGAGGGAGTTTCGACAGACGTGTCGAACGAACGGTGACAAGGAAGGCGAGCGACGGCAGGAGAAGAAGTGTAGAGCCTCTCGGGGCAACTACGAGCTGACGAACGTACTGGCGAACTGACTGACTGGCTTCGAACGTACTGACTGACTGGCGAACTTGCTGACTTCGAACGTACTGGCTGACTGACGAACCTCGCCGGTGCGAGGTGAGATTGAGAGGGTAAGGGGGTCTCTGAGATTCGAAGGGAACAAGTCCCAGAGTATATACAGGAAAATACGGTCCGAAGACCAAGAGAGCCAAGAGAAATAAGAAATGATGAATGAAAGTGATAAGGAAAGCAGCCAATCGGAGAATGTCACAACGCTCGACCCGGACCTACTAACACATGAGAGAATCCAACTCGGCCTTCCGCAGGTTCCGCATAACGGGCGACCGTCCCCGAACGGCGAAGGTCATAACCGGAGCCGGTGACAGTCCTCGAAGATATGAGACAGCTGCAGGAGTTCGCCTGACTTACACGAACATGCCGCACCTCGACCCAACTTCCGAAGCGTATGCTGCCCGCTACTACCGCCTCCTAGAGGTCCTCAAGACCGAGGGACTTGTCGAGCCGCGATACGATGCCAACAGTCCCGGAGAGTGGCTGGCTTGGGCCCACGGAGTCCGTTGGATGATTGTACGTGCCTCCGAACTTAGACTATCGTTCGAACCATCGAACCGACCTTCGAACAGCGATTCTTGTTCGAGTCCCGCAGCCGGGCCATCCTGCTAGCGAACGATACGCTTCCTGCTCCTAGGTCGTTCCCCGAGATCGACGAGTTGATGCGTTACCTCGACGAGGTCTTTCACCGCGATGGCAACCAGGGAGACATCCTAGGTTCGCCCTACCCTACGATCGCGTGGTCCGAGACCTTGGTGCTGCTCGAACAAGTCAACCAGGCCGAACGTCGTCCTCTCGCGAACCCACAGTATCAGCGCGAGACGTTGATCCTGTCCGACTTCCGCCAGCTGCCCGACAACCTCGAGTCCATGGGTCGAGCGATTCACAACATCGCAGTCGACCAGCGCCGCACGCACGGCACCCTCGTCGGGTTGCTCGAAAGCCTGCTCGAGCGCGTCAACACTGACCGTAGCTTCGACGCCGGTCCGTCTGTTCGTAGGGGTAGGGGTGGTGGTCATGGGTGTGGAGGTCGAGGCCATAGATACGAGAGTTGCCGAGGCCGTCACTAGTTAGTTTGACCTAGCCGTGTACTTGCCCGTAGTCCTACCAATGTAGCGACGCTTCTAAACCGCTTGCCTTGCCACTAAGGGTTCCGAACATTGACGCTTGAGCTTCGAACATCGGGCGGTTCCCTCGAACGGACGGACAGTGCGTCGACCGTTCTGACTTAGTGTACCGTTGTATCGACCGTAAATGGCGTTTTCGGTGGGTAGGTGAGCTAAGGGCTCATCATCTCCCCCTTACTGAGATACTGACCGTCCTGGTCGCTCGAACACGCCGGCGCTTGATTTGCGTCCGCGATCATCGAGATACTTCCGCGCCAGGCCGTCCGAAGGTCTTGTCCAATGGCGAGCACTGAGAAGCGATTAGCGAACGGCAGGACGCGCTTCGATCACGTTGATCCGAAGAATTAATCCCATTGGACGGGAGGTGAGCGCTTCTTTCCCGTTTCGGACTGGTTCTGATGGGATGATCCCCGTTGTTTCAGCGCCTCGAATGCGGTAGGTGGACCCACAAAGCTCGAGCGCACATATAGCGGGGGGGATCCCGCCGAACTTCGCTTAATCCCCCGCTTCGCTCTCCCGTCTTCGTCTCTGTTCGCTCGCCCCATGTCCGCTTCGTCCGCTCCCGCGCCCGCTCCCGTCTTCGCCAAGTCCCCCGAACCTGCCGGCGCCTCTGCGTCGGACGACGAGTACACGGTGGACGCGAAGACCGGCTTCCCCGTCCCCCACGACCCGAAGATCCCTATGGCTCCGCTCGCCAACTGGGTCGTGGGGCACCTCGTGCCCGAAAATCCGGATGCCATCGAGGAATGGTTCGAGGGCGCGTACGCGGCTGTGGTAAGTCCTCCGCTTGTTTCGTTTCGTTCGTACCGACTCATACGTTCGAAGAATCGCTTCACCCGCGTGACGAAGGGCGCGTTCCTTTCGCAGCGCCACGCGACGGCCCTCGGCCGTCTCCTTGTCCTCGCCACCGACGTCAACCCGGAGGCCGCGCGCCAATGCGCAGACAACATGGATTGGCCGCTCCTTGAGGCCGCCATCAAGCACGCGGCACTCGAACGCGAGAAACGCGCGCTTTGGGACGCCGAGCAGACCCGCCTTCGGCTCGAGGCCGATGAGAGGGAACGTCAGGAGGCCGAGGCCCAGAAAGTCCGCGAGGCCCAAGAGGCCGACGAAAACGCCCGTCGCGAGGCCGCCGAGGCCGAAGAACTCGAACGCCGCGAGGCCGCCGAGCTCGAGGAGGCCGCCGAGGCCCACAAACGCGAGGCGGCTCGCCAACTTCGCGAGGAGAAGACCCTGCCGCGACGTGGTCGGTCCGGTGCTCGGGGCAAGGGTAAGTCCCGCGCACAGTCCCCCACGGCCTCGGATGGCTCGACCGTTCGCGCCGAGTCGCCGGAAGTCGAGATCGTCCCCGAGCCCAAGGGCTCGAAGAAGACCAAGAAACGCAAGGCCCCGGCCGACGGTTCGGCCCCCGACGTCACGGACCCCGCCGTCCGCAAGCTTGTCGCCCGCGCGACCACAGTGCGCGACAGGACGATGGCAGTGAGTACTCTCCCCGATTTCTTCGTCGTATCCTACTAACATTTCGTGGCGTAGTGCGACCGCTGCGCCGCGGGTTACGCGACCCCGAAGGACTGCGTCTTCGAGGCCGACGCAGTCGCTTGCAACCAGTGCCTGCGTGATCAGCAGGGCTGCTATTGGGGCGCCGCCACTTTGGCCGGCACTCGCAAGGCTCGCCGCTCCGGTGAGTTCGCTTCGTGCCTTCGAAACTCGCGTCGCCATTCGTAGCTAACATGTCCACTTCGTAGGCAAGCGAGGTGAATCCGAGGAGCCTGCTGCCCCCGCGCCTCCTGCTCCCGTCACGGTCCCTGCCCTGGGCCCTGCGGCCTTCGTGACATCGCGCACGCCGCTCCATCCTCGCGCCGCCGCGGCCTTGCACGCCGCTCAGACGCAGGCCCCGCCGATCGACATATCGGCGATTCTTCAGGCACAGGGCGCGCCTATCCGCTCGCTCGCCGAGGCTCGTGCGGCCCTCTCGGCGACCCACGACCGCATCGGCAACGTGGAGGCCTCGCTGAACTTGATGGGCCTCGAGCTCGCGATGCTCGAGGGACTCCAAGAGTACTACGCCCGCCGCGTCGACGAGCTCTTCGTCGAGTCCACAACGGTCGCGCGGGGTGCGTTCGATGCGCCTGCAGCTGGTCCGTCGGCCGGGCCTTCGAAGGGAAAGGGTTCGAAGTAGATCGTTCGTACGCCATGTTCGTAGCTAGTGTCCGCGTTCGGAGTCTCGTACTTGTACTTGTAGTGTCCTGGTTGTGTCTCGCGCATGTGGCTGTGGGTCTGTAACGTCTCTCCCTCTCGCGTTCGTATAATGTATATCTTGTTTCTAACCGCTGCCACGGTGTTCGAAGGATCTGAGTGAAAAGAGCGAGGGTGTCCTTAAAACATAAATCTGTATGGGGTATACTGCGCGAGTCTCTTGACAGACTCATTCTTCGTCTTCTGAACTCGACGATTCATCGTCTAGTTCGTCGGGTAAATCAGGCGCGTCTGGTTCGTCATCTCCTAGTGTGTCTGACTGCTCCATTTCATGCAAGCGTTCGAAGGGTACGTCCAGATGTTCGAGCGAAATTGTGATCGATCTTCGAGCAAGGTAGGGAATGACTCGAAACGCCGCGATAGGTCTGTCGAGAACCGTGCCATCTAGTTCAGCAATGATGTAGGCACCTCCTCGGTTTCGTGATATGACGACCATAGGCCCTTGGTATCGCGGACGCATCTTACGGTTCAAGGCCTTCTCTATCGCTGTGTTTCGTACGAGGACTAAGTCCCCACGCTGGAAGTCAAAGTCTTCGATCGTGTACTGGTGCTCTCGTTCGAAGCGTCGGGCAGCCTCACGTCTCGCTTCGTAGACCTTCGAATAGATCTTCGAAAGGTCCTCCGACCGTTTCTGAAGTGCTATGGCTCGTCGGGCAATCAAAGTCGGTAGTGTCGAGTGCTGTCTCA